GAGAACCTACATAAGGACTCTATACGGGCTCTTGGGTGCCCCATAAGGGAAAAGGAGCAGATCTGTCTTATAACAGTTTCTATATTTTTGGGTAACAGCATACTAAAATGAGGAAGGTACAGGTTTCCAGCCACTTCAACAGATGTTTCCCTCTCCAAATTAGTCCCAATTGCCAGGGCTGGATTAAAGAGGCTGCAGAACATTTGCATGGGTGATCTGTGTCATTTGAAGAGATGAAGCTCTGAGGTAGTCTGGTGACTTTGATAACTGGTATGCACAAAGTATAAAACATAATCTGTTAGTCTCATGAGTTTGGTTCTACTACCCCAAGATTAGGCAAATCAGACATGCTGTAAGGCAGGCTTCCTCAACCTCAGCCCTCCAGATGTTTTGAGACTACAGTCAATTCCCATCATCCCTGACCACTGGTCCTGCTAGCTAGGGATCATGGGAGTTGTAGGCCAAAACATCTGGAGGGCCGAGGTTGAGGAAGCCTGCTGTAAGGCATCAATGTTATATCTCCAGATAGGACAAGTAGGATTGCATTCGGCTTGTACTTGTTTGGCCTTAACTTTGCGGAGAAATGCTTGGAACCATTCCTTTGTTAAACCTTTTTTTCCTGGCCCTGGCTGTGGCATAGCATATGGGAGGGGCACAGGGATGGTTGCCCCAGGAGCAAAATGGTTAGGGGTGCAAAATTTCACCAAACACTGCAGCCTCAATACAGATGTGTGTGCTTCCGTTGCTGGGCTCTGTTGAAAATGACTTCTCCATGTGAACCAGGAATTGACCTCTTCAGACAACAGAACAACTCTTTTTCTCTCATCTCTGCAGCTGCTGGGTGACGCAGAGACCATTAGGCAGTTGAATGTCCATGCGTATCTTCTTTTTTGAAACTTTAATAAATATCTTTTTTTAAAAAAAAAAATGAATGTCCATGTGTACTCTGTCCATTTCCTTTCCTCCCACTCCCTCTCTGTGTGGCCCTGGCTGCTGGCAACCCATGCTATGCCACTGCTGTCTGCCCCCCCCAATGGGGCTTAGGGGAGAGCCTGGAGATGGTCCGTCTGGCAGGGAATGAGGGCATGCGTCCCAACACTGGGTGGAGGATCCTTATTTAGGGCCCTAGGTATTCCAACATGTTCCCTGTTTCTCCATGGAGGAGGGGGGAGAAAGGTGTGCTGGTTCTCTTTGTTGTTGAAAGGTGTTGCAAGGCCGCATCCCTCATGTTCTCCATCTCAAGCTTTTTTATGCTCCCCAGGTTACCACACCCTTTGTTCCCCCAAGGCACTGCGGCTGAGCTTGTCTCCCATCAAGCAGACTAAGTTCGTGCCCCACCCTGCTCCTTCCTCTCCCTCTCTTATCCAGTGCATGGAGAGAGTGGGTGATGAATAGCGGAGAATGTCCTGTGTGAGTGTCTGGAGGTGGTTGGGGGATGGATGGTGGCTAACAGATGGAGGCGGAATCCCGACAAGACAGAAGTACTATTTTGGGGAGACAGGAGGTAGGTAGGTGAGGGGGACTCCCTGGTCCTGAATGGGGTAACTGTGCCCCTGAAGGACCAGGTGCGCAGCCAGGGAGTCATTTTGGACTCACAGTTGTCCATGGAGGTGCAGGTGAATTCTGTGTCCAGGGCAGCTGTCTCCCAGCTCCATCTGGTACACAGGCTGAGACCCTACCTGCTCATGCATTGTCTCACCAGAGTGGTGCATGCTCTAGTTCTCTCCCACTTGGACTACTGCAATGCACTCTATGTGGGGCTACCTTTGAAGCTGGCCTGGAAACTGCAACTAATCCAGAATGCAGCAGCTAGACTGGTGACTGGGAGTGGCCACCGAGACCATATAACACCAGTCCTGAAAGACCTACATTGGCTCCCAGTTCGTTTCCAAGTACAATTCAAAGTGTTGGTGCTGACCTTTAAAGCCCTAAATGGCCTTGGCCCAGTATACCTGAAGGAACGTCTCCACCCCCATCATTCACCCCGGACACTGAGGTCCAGCTCTGAGGGCCTTCTGGTTGGTTGGTTGGTTGGTTACTTACTTACTTACTTACTTACTTTCTCCCTCTCTTGTAATTTGAATATAACTTGAATTTGAGGACATGCAATAAACGGAATGGTGGAAGATTCAGCTAAAATACGGTGGTACCTTCTTTCCCAAACTTAATCTGTTCCGCAAATCTGTTCCAAAACCAAAGCATTCTAAAACCAAGGCATGCTTTCCCATAGAAAGTAATGCAAAATGTATTAATCAGTTCCAGACTTTTAAAAACAACCCCTAACACAGCAATTTAACATGAATTTTCCTATCTAAGAAGACTATTGATCCATAAAATGAAAGCAATAATCTATGTACTGTACTATAAAATAAATAAGACAGTATTGTAGATGATAAAAATTAAAATTAATATTTTTTCTTACCTGCACTGATGATAGTCATTATTTGGATGGGGGACTTTTATCCATTTCTGCAGTCACACAATCAATCAATCAATCAATCAATCAATCTGTAGCTGAACAGGGTTCCACACAGTCACAAAAACAAGTCAAAAAAATGAAGTCACAAGTCACAGTCCCATAAAAGTTGGCTGTGCCTAGAATAGTAGCTGTTTCTGTTGCATATTTCCTAGAGGCGAGCAGAGCTTTCTTGGCTGTGTTCAGCCCTTCATGCTTTTAACATTGTTTTCTACAGTTGATGACTATCAAACAAAACCAAGAGGGATGCATGGTTATATACATGAGACCTCCCGTTTGCAAAGTTGATCTACTACCCACTTGGCCTGTATCCCATTGGGGAGGTGCTTTGGCGTCTCCTCTTTGTTTTCCGGGAAGCTTGACTGATCTCTTCTACAGAACAGTTCCCCACCTCCCAACTACACATCCACAGATACGCAGTTGCATCAGGGAGGCAGAAGTGTGGGTTGGATTGGTTTTGTGCATGTATGTGTTCAAGGCTTGTGAACAACTCTCAGTTGAAATCTAGAATGATGCAGACTCCTCTTTTCATCAGCCTCCTTGCTGCCTTCATAGCCCTGGGTGAGTATGGAAACTTTTTTGGGGATGGGGTAGGGGGGAGGCTTTGCAGTCCCAGAAAAAAATGATGCATGTTTCATCTCACAGATAGTCCTCTGTGCAAAACAATCATCATTACTCCCTGGGGTTCAGAACTTTTGCAGGAGTCCACTCATTAGCATCTGCAACAATATATTGAAATGGGAAACTATGGGTGCTAAGGAAATAATAATAATAATAATAATAATAATAATAATAATTCATTTATACCCTGCCCATCTGGCTGGGTTTCCCCAGCTGCCTCTGGGCAGCTTCCAACAAAAGATTAAAAATACAGTAAAGAATCAAACATTTAAAACTTCCCTAAACAGAGCTGCCTTCAGATGTCTTCTAAAAGTCAGATTGTTGTTTATTTCCTTGACATTGGATGGGAGGGCATTCCACAAGTGCATCCATCTTCGGTGATATAATATGCATGCTCATTTCCTAGACTAAAGGCTTGGCTGGGGGAGAAAAGAGCCAAGCTTGGAACTAAACAGACAAGTGAAGCTGAGCATCCTGTTATGACAACCTGCCACGACTTTGCTGATTCGGTGAGATACAATTTCCTGATAAGGCATAAAAATAAAAAAAAGAGAGAGGGAGGCATTAGGAGAGCACATACTTTCCATGTGTTGTAACATCTGAGCATTCCAAGGGTTGGGAGTCTGTGCTTTTACTCTCACCCGTCTGGCAGTCAGAGAGATGGAAGAGGTGAGAGTTTAATGCCTCTCAAACATACCCTGTGGTAATGTAGTTTTTCCAAGGGCTGTTGACACTACAGTCAACCAGGAGGAAACACAATTCCAAAGAGATTGGAGTAAATTTATGGTTTATACAAATAATAACTGTAGAGATTTGAAAACTCTAGCAGGAATGAAATAAATCTTACGACGTGGACTGGATATAATAAGAAACTGCGGAAAGGAGACTGAAGTAAGAAAACCTGTTGAAAGGAGGGAGGGAAGTCAATGCACGGCAGAGTGTTGGGAATGAATGTGGACAGAAGATTGTTGAATAATACTGTACTTTGTTTGTGTGAAGTGAAAAACCAATAAAAAGCATTTATTATTTTAAAAGACACAATGTGCACTAGCATATAGCTCTGAGAGTTACATGTCAAAGTGGGTGTGTCCAAATTTAAGGAATGGGTGTGGCCTATTGGATTTATTTTTTAAATGACAACGTGAGGTTCGGGTGGGATCAAGAAAAATCCTCTTCGAATGACAATGAATCTGTGATAGAAAAAATAAAATGGACAGATTTGAGGGGGCCTTGCAGGGGCACAAAACATTTGACATCTCAGCGGGGGTACCTATTGGAATCATATTTGTTTTGCATAATTGTTTTTTTGGGGGGGTTCTTGGAGGGCCACAGAATTTTTTGGCAGCACATGAGATTTATGGAAGCAGTCCGATATAAAAATTAAGAATGGAAAATTTTTGAGACCCTCAACCCCCCCCCCCCCAAATAAACAGCTTTGGAATCATGATCATGGACTCATAGAAAGAGAGGGATAGCAGGTGTCGATGTTTTTTATAAGAAAATGAAATTTCTTTTTTTAAAAATGACATTTAAAAGCACAGCTTGTGAGGTAGCCACCCCCCCCCCCAGTTTAGTGGGACAGTTGCATAAGGAATTGGCATCATATATGGTGTTGGTTTTATTTTTAAAAAACACAATTGGTTTTCCAATAAAGCCTCTAAGTAGTTTGCAGAAAAATGGAATAAATAAAATCATTGCTGGGCCTTGAAGTCTGTTCTGTATTGTTGCTCTTTGGCTGGAGCCCTGGCTGACTATTCCCAAATTCCTACTCTTAGCTGCAACTAGCAAGGAGTAACAACAACAACAACAACAATAATTTATTAATTATACACCACCCATCTGGCTGGGTTTCCCCAGCCACTCTGAGCGGCTCCCAACCAAATATTAAAAACACAATACAGCATTAAACATTAAAAACTTCACTAAACAGGGCTGCCTTCAGATGTCTTTTAAAAGTCAGATAGTTGTTTATTTCCTTGACATCTGATGGGAGGGCATTCCACAGGGTGGGTGCCACTACCAAGAAGGCCCTCTGGTGGTTCTCACAGGGAGGGAACCACCAGAAGGCCCTCGGAGCTGGACCTCAGTGTCCGGACTGAACGATCCCTGTAACCTCACTTCTCATTGTGAGAGAACGCCAGAAGGCCCTTGACGCTGGACCTCAGTGTCCAGGATGGACAATGGAGACGCTCCTTCAGGTATACTGGGCCAAGGCCATTTAGGGCTTTAAAGGTCAGCGCCAACACTTTGAATTGTACTTGGAAATGTAATGGGAGCCAATGTAGGTCTTTCAGGACTAGTCTGATATGGTCTCGGCGGCCACTCACAGTTACCAGTCTAGCTCCCGTATTGTGGGTTAATTGCAGTTTCTGGGTCACCTTCAAAGGTAGCTCCACGTAGAGCACATTGCAGTAGTCCAAGCAGTAGATAACCAGAGCATGCACCACTCTGGCGAGACAGTCCGCGGGCAGGTGGGGTCTCAACCTGCATACCAGATGGAGCTGGGAGACAGTTGCCCTGGACACAGAAGTCACCTGCGCCTCCATGGAAAGCTGTGAGTCCAAAATGACTCCCAGGCTGCGCACCTGGTGCTTCAGGGTCACAGTTACCCCATTCAAGACCAGGGAGTCCTCCACACCAGCCCACACCCTGTCCCCCAAGAACAGTACTTCTGTCTTGTCAGGATTCAACCTCAATCCGTCACTGGGAGACGAGGGAAACAAAGTGATATGATTAAACTAAACATCTGAAATATTATTGATTGATTGATTGATTGATTGGGTTTTTATATACAAGAATGTTATACAAATAAGTATACCAAGTTTTCTCATGTATATCACAAAAAACAGCATAATAAATGTGGGGGGAAATATCTACAACCATATGTTTCATTATTAGTGGTCAGTGTATAAGTTCCTGGTTTATGAATTGGTTAAAACAATTAGGGAGAAGGAGAAGGAGAAGAAACAATTCTCACTACAGCCAACCAAAGACAACCAACCACACCCTAAGCATGTCTCTCACCACCAGGAAATATTTTGACTGCAGCACAGGACCTGGAGAGGAAGCTGCTGTAATTACGTTATATCAGGACTCTGCATGCAAGTAATATGAAAAAGAGACTGTGCAGGCAATCAGTGTCTCCAGACCTCCCAAACCAATGGAAATTGATGGGTTTCTGTTTGCTAACTGACCCCAGCACTTCGCTGCCACCCAGCTTAATAGCTTTCCTACCCTGGGGACCCCGCTAGCTGAAGAGGATAATTGGGATGAGGAGAGAGAGGGGGATGGCGGGTTGAGATTTCATTGATACTCTGGCAGAAAAGTACCGTACTTTTCCATGTATAAGACTAGGTTTTTTTTTTACTGAAAAATTGTGTTTAAAATAGGGGGTCGTCTTATACATGGGTCTTCTTTCTTTGGCAGTCACTCGAAGCCAAGTAAGTTTGCCTTCCATAAACACAGTTTTAACAATGAGTCCATAAGTGACTGTGGAGGCCAGTTCTGGATCCACATGTCCTTCCACAGTGGGGACATTGGTTTCTGGGCGGGAGTTGATCACGGTGTGGATTTGCCAAGTGTGCCTTCCCTAAGCACGTTTCTCCCTTGCGTCCTGAGTTCGAGTGTCTTCAAAGCCCATGACACCTTTGGTAAAGGCTGTTCTCTAACTGGAGTGCTTGCAGGCCAGTGTTTCCCAGTTGTCAGTGTTTATACCACATTTTTTTAATATTTGCCTTGAAACAGTCTTTAAACCTCTTTTGTTGACCACCAGCATTATGCTTTCCATTTTTAAGTTCTGAATAGAATAGTTGGTTTGGAAGACGATAATCAGGCATCCGCACAACATGACCAGTCCTGCCTAGGGGGGACGTGGGATTGGTCGATGCCGTGAGCTGTAAATGGTCTGCAGCGTGTTATTGATGTCTGGGGCAAGGGGTGGTGTTGATTGGGTGTTGGTGTGGAAATTGGGTGGGCAATAGGCTGCTTCTCCCAGCAAGGGGACAGACGTTAGTGATTTCATGCAAACCCCCCTCCCGTAAAAAAAGCTCAACAACTCTGGGCAATCTTCCCCCATTTTTAAAATTTTTAGTCCCCCAAAATAGAGTATGGGAAAAGTATAAAGAGTTATTAGAACCTAAAATGCCTTCGTGGTTCTCACCCTTAGAGGCGATAGCAGTAAAAAGGAAAAAAATATGGAATCAAACTGGGACATATATAAGGATTTATTAGAAGAAAAAGATAACAAATTGAAACTGAAAGATTATGAGGAAATAAAGCACCACCTAACAGGGTGGATTCAGTACCACCAACTAAATGAAGTGTTCAAAGCAGATTTAAAAAAAAAGGTTTTGCAAATGAAATTTCAATGTTAGATAAAGAATTATTAAATAAAACAAAGGTAATTTCTAAAATGTATGAAATTTTGTTGGAATGGGAGATGTTTTATGACTTTATCATGTTTTATGACTTTATTGTGTTTTATGACTTCCTTGATATTGTATGTGGGCTGGAACTGGTCTGTGACCGAAATAATAAAATTCATTCATTAACAATTTTAAAAATAAATAAATAGAACATTAAACTTTTTTTAAAAAAACAAACTTCCTTATAAAGGGCTGTCTTCCGGTGTCTTCTAAAGGTTGTATGGTTACCGTATTTATCTCCTTTGCTTAGTGGTTGCATAACTCCATACCCTCCAGCATTTATCTGATGAAAATAGGGATGTACTAAGGAAAAGAGGGACATCAAATAAGAAACCGGGACGGCTTCTGTAAATCCAGGACCGTCTCTGATGATTGAGACACTTGGAGGGTCTGTAATGACTTTAGCCAGAGGGAACCTGCCCAGGGTTTGAGTACACCTTGTTTTGATACATCTTGAGTTCTTAACTCTGGGTAAAGAAAAAAGCGGGAGAAGGAGAGAAAGGAAAATTAACAACATCGACTTTTCTTATTTTCTGTGCTTTCAGGAATGGCTCTAGAATGTGAGCAATGTATTGGGCCGACAAGCCGCTGCTCAGGACCTATGATGCAATGCACCCAGGAGCAAGACACATGTGTTTCTCAGGCGTTGAGTGTCAGCCTTTCTGGGTTAGGTAAGTGGAGATGACCTACAGCCACCAGCAGATTTGAACAAATGCGTAACATCCGCTTGCCTGGGTGGGGAGCAGGGCAGGGCCAAGACATTTGGGCATCTGAGGAAGACCCCCAAATGTCAACCCGCCCCCCATTCCCACTAGGGAAGAAGAGGAGAGGTCCCAACAAAGGAGGAATGGCAACTAAAGCTATTTGAATACATTGAGTTCTCTAAATGACAGAAACAATTAGGAATGGAACAAGCCAAAAGTTCACTAAGGAATGGGAGTGCTATAAAAATTACCATATTTTTTGCTCTGTAAGACTCACTTTTTCCCTCCTAAAAAGTAAGGGGAAATGTGTGTGCATCTTATGGAGCGAATGCAGGATGTGCAGCTATCCCAGAAGCCAGAACAGCAAGAGGGATTGCTGCTTTCACTGCGCAGCAATCCCTCTTGCTGTTCTGGCTACTGAGATTTAGAATATTTTTTTCCTTGTTTTCCTCCTCCAAAAACTACTGGTAGGTGCGCCTTGTGGTCTGGTGTGTCTTATAGAGCAAATACCTAGAAAAACACTGTTCTCAAATAAAACCTTTATTATGCTTTGATTAATTTTTGCAAAAGACAAAACAATTATAATAACCAACAAGCTAATACGGTACCAAGGAATGGAAAACATCTAAAGAAGGCAGTTAAAGAATGGGGGGGAAAATGACCCAAATTGAGGTGGTGGACGGAAGTCAATTCAAAAGATTAGAATTGTTAAGGTTTGATCATTAAATACAAGTATGGAGAATGGGTGGTGCGAAAGATAATTAGTGGCTATGTATTTTTTCACTTTATTTTCTTTTATTATGTTACTTGGGTATAGTTTGAATTATAGATGGAAAATGTTTATGGATTTATGCAAAACAAAGCTTAATAAAAATAATTAAAAAGAAAGAAAGAAGAGAAGAGGGAAGATCTATGTCAGGAACAAGGGGTTGAAGAAAGATGGACACCTGCTTCCCCGGGGGACCCTGTTGCGTGAGGCAGTCTCCTCACCTTGCCTCTTGGTGGGGAGGATAGTTCAGCTGGATTCCTTGCTGTGGTTTAATTCCCTGGAGATTCCAAATGTAACCAGTTACCCTACCTTCTGTCTGCAGAGGAGCTTTGGTTGAGCATTAAGCAAGGAAACAAAGGGCATTTCCTTGACTTGGATTGAGAAAAGTGCTAAAATTATGAGAATGATGCCTGCTACGTATCTAGCACATATCTAGTAAAAGGTAAAGGTAAAGGATCCCTGGTAGTTAAGTCCAGTCGCGAACGACTCTGGGGTTGCGGCGCTCATCTCGCTTTACTGGCCGAGGGAGCTGACGTTTGTCCGCAGACAGTTTTTCCGGGTCAGGTGGCCAGCATGACTAAGCTGCTTCTGGCGAAACCAGAGCAGCGCATGGAAACGCCGTTTACCTTCCCACCGGAGCGGTACCTATTTATCTACTTGCACTTTGAGGTGCTTTCAAACTGCTAGGTTGGCAGGAGCAGGGACCGAGCAATGGGAGCTCACCCTGTCATGGGGATTCGAACCGCCAACCTTCCGATTGGCAAGCCCAAGGCTCAGTGGTTTAGACCATAGTGCCATCCACGTCCCATCACATATCTAGTACCCAGCTCTAAATGACTTGGGATCCAAGTACTTAAAGGAGTGGCTTCCTGCTATCAACTGCAATGCCCCTGCTGATGGCTTTGCTGGTGGGAGCTGCTGCCCAGTTGGCACTGACCCACAACCAGGCCTTCTTAGTGGTGCTGGAGCACCCTCCCTGGTGAGGTGGCATCTGTTTCCCACGTTATTAACACCCAGGAGGAAGTTAAAACTAGGCATTTATTTAATGGCTGAAAGATGCCCCATTGATATTATCAGCTCAGGCCATGTGACTGTTCTTGAATGGTTTCCATTTGTTTTATTTGTTGATTGTATTTCTTTGCTGTTTTCTTGCTTCCGAACCTGGATTCTTTTCAGGGTAGAGGTGGGCTAAGGATTTAATGAAACATGAACTCGAGAAACTGGTGCACGATGGGCCCGTGGCCTGCCTTGAGACCATATGCTACGATTGCTAAATATGCTGCGGTGTGTGGCCGGTGGCTGCCCACATTGAGGCTAAAGCTATCGCTTGTGTTTCACAAGATTTGCCTTCTTTTGATCCCTCCAGAACAAAATGTTTTTGAGAAGGGTTGCGGCTCATCAAAATTGTGCGGCAAAGGGCCCCAAATCATCAACACTGGCCCATTTGGAACAACAGTAATCGAGACTCATTGCTGTGTGGGAGCTGCCTGCAAAACAACATGGCCCCCTAGTAAGTCACCGCTTGTCTCTTTATCCTTTCCTCACTCTTTTCATCAGTAGCTTGCTGACAACCTGGTCACTGAGATTCATCCTGATTTAGACTAAAGGTTGCAGGAAAATGAGAAGACACCCACCTGCGGAATAGTGACAGTTTAGAAGTGGCCATTCTTTTTCCTTTAAAAAGAAATGCTGTTGCTTCCCACACCCCTTGGGAAACCTCAGCATTGATTTGATGTTTTACTGTGGCCTCTTGCTTCTTCCAGACTGCTTCGCCAAAAACAATGCCCTAGGTGCATCAGAACAAATGCTCAACTAAGATGGGATAGAATCAACCCCCCATGTAAGTTTTGTGCAAGCATATCAGGAGGAATGCTCAATGAACAGGTCATGTGGATGATGCTAAAACATCAGGAACAGATTCTCTTTACAAGACTGAAAATCTTGGGCTAAGAAGATGCTCTGTGCAAAGAAGGAGAACCTGTGGCTCTCTAGATCAGGGTTTCCCAAACTTGGGTCTCTAGCTGTTTTTGAACTACAACTCCCATCATCCCTAGCTAGCAGGACCAGTGGTCAGGGATGATGGGAATTGTAATCAAAAAACAACTGGAGACCCAAGTTTGGGAAACCCTGCTCTCAATGATGGCAAACTGCAACTCCCAACATCCCTGGCAACTGGCTAGCTGAGACTGATGGGATTTGAAGTCCAACAATAGTGGAAAGGCTATAGGTTCTCTGTCCCTGGCTCCATGGAAATCTGACCTAGAATTGGAGGTGTGTGAGGAAATGGGAGAGTGCAGATGTTCAGTGGTAGGGCCAATTCAAATGCCTGACGGTTTAAGAAGGGAGGGCAGGAGGAACCTCTCCCAAAGATGGGTAGAGACAAAAAATTGGAAGGGGCTGTCATTTCAGGTGAAATGGTGCCCCCATGTATGAAGCCAAAGATGGCAAGAAACATGGTACTGGCTTGTCAAATGTGTGTCCTAGACATATGAGGCACTTAGCAGAATGGGAGGCACTTAATTTTTATGATCTTCTTCCTAATCCCCTTGGCTGTTCTTCTTACATCCCAAATCTGATTTTCTCATCTTTCTTCCAGCTCCAAGGAGAAACACCACATTGAATGGAAGGCAATGCTCCGCTTGCCCACCTGATGGAGCCGAGTGTAAGTTTCCGCCCATCAAATGTGCTGGAGAGGAGACCAAATGCTTTGAGATATCTGGAACTACAACCATAGGTAACTATAAATCACCTATTCTTATAAGGGTTTGTTGGAGGAACTTGATTTCTGCAACTCTTGTTGCAGATTGGCCTCATCCACACCTACAATGTTTTCTGAGGAAGGTAATTGAGAGGGTTGTGGGATGGCAACTGTAAACGTTTTTTGAAGACACCAATCATCTAGACCAATTCCAGTCTGATTTTGGAGCTGAATTAGTCTGGGTTGCCTTGAAGGGGTGACCATGATCGAGAGAGAGTCAAGGGGAGGGCAGCCTGACTTCTACTCCTCATCCTCTTTGTGGTTTTGATACCTTAGTATCCTCCTGGACCACACTGTGGGATGGGTTTCGGAGGTACTGCTTTACATTCCCGTTTCCAGCATTAGAGAGTATCATTTATGCAGTTATGCTGTGGAGTTCTGCAGTCATTTGGATAAGTCATTAGGAGATGTGGAGCATGCTGTTATTGATGCATGCCCCCCCAAAGTCTGTTTCTAAACAGTACCTAAATCAGGTGCAAGTGGGCATGAAATGGGCTGGTGCCTGGCACAGTGATGGGCTGGATGGGGGCCAAAAAACTGAGCTTAAATCCTGGGATAATGTGGGTTTTGTGGGTGAGTGCTTCACTGGTCTGGGAAATCTGTCAGTATGAGATTGCATTGTCCCTTCCAACCCTATGATAGTATGGTGTCTATAGCCCTTCTTAGCCCTAGTGATCCCCAGATTGGATTAGGGTGATGCGTACTACATAGGGCTCCCTTAAGGTTGGTCTAAAAGCTTCCGGTAAGGCAGAATCCCCCAGCAAGACTTATTGAAGGGGGTTCCATATCAACAGTATGAAGCACCTGTCTTAAAAGAGCTGCACAAAATAGAAATGTTGAGAAAGAAAGTCTTGCCTTCATGAATGGCTTACATTGTATACTCCTGCCCAGTCACTTCAGCCTTTGGCAAAGAAATTTGTGATAGTGCCCAATGCTCTGGAGGCTTCACTTCTGTCCACTAAGACAGGGGCCTTCAGTGTGGTGGCCCCTGCCTTTTGGAATGCACTCCCAACAAACATCTGGCAGGCACTACAGTATTGGCATTTAGAGACCTGCTTAAAATCATAACTTCACTCAGACCTGAGGGCGTGAGCCAGCCATGTTTGATGTATTAAGCTGCTCTACTGATCTGAAATGCATTTTGCCAATTTTAGTGATTGTTTAAATCTCCAGCTCTCCCAATAATTCCCTTCTCTTCCTTCTCCTTCCCCTCTCCTCTCCCCCTCTCATGCAGCTGCTTACACAGAGGGAGGGAGGGAGGGAGGGAAGGAGGGAGGGAGGAAAAGCACCTATCCTCCTTCATGCAAGGAAGAGAACAAATGAAAGCCGCTAAATGTCCCCCTGTTCCACTCTTGGAATTTGTTTCCTGCCCAGCTTGCCCAGCCACTGACTCCCCCACGAAATAGAAAAGTGAAATCACTGGATGAAGTATCTCTCCTGATAAATGACTGCCGTTTCCTTCAATTCTCTTTGCAGCAGGACAAACCGCAAACACCGTCCTCAAGGGCTGTGCAAATGAACTGGCCTGTCAAGCAATAGAAACAGGCACCAAAACATTTGGGAATGTGATACAAGAAGTCAAGTCAGCTAAATGCACAGATGGGGCGGCCAGTACCATCCCAGGATCCCTTGGACTCCTCTTCCCAGCCCTTAGCGGGCTGCTGCTGGTCAAGTTCCTTGCTTGATTCCCCAGTTGATGCTAAGATTGGAGAATCCGCTTTGAGCTACTCCTCTTTGCTGCTTGCTTGTGGCTATTATTGAGGCCACCTACAGATGCTGAAGAGCAAGGGCCAAAGGCCACTCTCCAGTCTTGTCTGTCTGGTCCTTGAGAGTCTTCCTTTGACACCTCCCTGCCCCTTTCACCCACCTTGAGTGCTTTTGGCTGCTTGGAATGTGTCTTTGTGCTCCGATGATGCTTCTAGCTTGCCTGGTTGGAAGACAGAGATGGATGGCTGAGTGTGTGTGCACAAAATAGTCTCCTATGTAAAGGAGAGCTTTACATTCGCTAGTCCCCAACGGTTGCCTCTGGCTCTGCCTACCAAAGGCATGTGGCCCCCAGTAGTCTGTGCAGAATGGAATGTGGCCCTTGGACTTACAAGGCTTCCTCATCCCTGCCCATAGTCTAGAAGCTCATGTTTACATCTACTGCCCTCCAACAGGAGCAAAGGGTGATGTTGACCAAGGGCTGGTTGGTGTCTTTACCAGCAGATGCCACTATTGGGTGGCAGGCAAAGGAGGCTGGCTGTGTCTGTACAATACACAACTGGGTCTGGATAGTGGCCAGCAGTCACTAGCGATGCCCTCCTGGCCAGTGGTATTTCCATCCTGATTCAGCACTGGGTCACATAGTCAGCACGCACCTTTTCACTGAGCTAGGGCTTTTCTCTAGGAACTGGTGAATCTGCCCATTTCTCTCAGTGTCTCCCATTCCCCCACCGCATAATAGTTCATAATAGTTCAGTTCTCCACATTTCTGCATTATATTTCTTTTTTAAAAATGGAATAAAGGTCACAAAAATCATCACCATTTTAGATTCCACTTCTCCTAGCATACATTTTTTGTATGTCAAACATACCCAAAGTTTCCAAGCAATTTCCTGTAATATGCATTTATGCACACTATATTTAATGAGTTTTAATGCACATTAACATATGTGATTATGTACACATTGGTTGCTTGCAGAGCGGTGCTGCAGAAGTGGAGATTCCGAAGGATACCTGCTTTTTGGTTCATGCCCAACCCAATCCTGGAAAGAAATACACTAGCGCCAAAAAACATCATTTAGAAATGTTTAATCTGAAGAAAAGTGCACTCAGTGCCCTGGGCTGCTTTACAACAGTAGGGTAAGCTCAACTCCACCACAAAATTGTACAAAAGTTATGGGAAAGAGGCAAAAAAGGAGAGCAAGTGGTAAATTGGTATCCTTTGATAGACAGCTTGCAGAACCCTACACAGCTGACACTGATAAGAGCGCTTTGCTTTATTTTCTTCCTCTAGTGATGAAGTCGTCTCCTCTCATAATTCAGTCCTGGTTCCACTTTTGTAGTGGATGAGTGACTTCTTAAAGGCATTACAGATTTTGTTCTCTACTGTTGGACTTTTGTGCAGCATTTTATACACACACACACATACATTTCACCCAACTTTTTTGGGGGGGAGGGGTCTTTTTTTTAAAAGCTTCTGTAAAACAGCCAAGAGAAAGTTGCTATTGGGAGGTATATAGATGACAGCAGGTAAATAAGCAAATAATCTCCCGGTAGTATGGGAAACATCGACTTCGTATGCATCAAACCCAGGGATGAAGCTCTGGGTTTTCAAATTGTGCCGCAACGTGTGTCCGTGTGTGTGTGTGTGTCTATGCAGGGGTGGCGACTTGGGCCCCAGATCATGCATGCCCAATCACACCTGTGATGTAATGTGACGTCAAGATGTCACATTACATTGGCATGCTGCAGCGGCGCTTCCAAGGCCTCATGGGGCCTCGGAGGTCATGTCCGATGCCTTGAGAGACATCTGACGTGAAGTCACCTCAGAGGCCTGGCGGGGCCTTGGATGTCACTTCCAAGGCCTTGTGGGGCGTCGAATGCTTTGCAAGGCCTTGGACATTGCCTGGGAGGTCACATCAGGCTTCTGACATGACTTCTGGTGCCGAGAACCCACAAAAGAATGTGAGTACCCAGGCCCCCAAGAGTTGTCTCCAGTGTGTCAATGTGTATGAGAGAGAGCGCGCAAGGGAGGCAGAACTAGCATATACGTCACAGGAAAGTGCCTTAGAGAACTGCTACAAGCACAGTTCTCTCTACCCAGTGATAAACTATAATTGAACTGCTGTGCCAGCAATGCCAACAGTTTTTGCCTCTGCTTCCCACCTTCCAGCTTTTCCTGGTATTGTGGTAAAACCGCTCCTTGGGTTGTTGTCTTTTTTAATATCAAGAAGTATCTTAGTTGATTAAGGAACAAATCTAATACTGTGTGGCTTTTTACCATGTATCTTTACTGTGCTATATGAGGCATTCATCCATATTCCCACCACCACCACATATGTATTGATTGAACCTGTGGATTCCATCAAATGCACATGCAGAGATCTTTTGAATATATATATATGTGTGTAAGTGAAAGAAATAATATGCTTAGAAATTGGGGTACTAAATAAAACGAGATAAATAAATCAAGCTATTATGTGCTGTTAGCAGTTTTTATTCACGTGTATTTTCCATAGGTTTGCCTTCAGGTGAACTCATCGAAAGGATTTCTAAACATGTGTTTATTGCAATGAATGGGGGTAAATTCTGGTTTCCTTAGTTTGTGAGAGGCAGCCAACAAGGCTGTCACTCCTTTATTGTTTGTTTGTTTGTTTGTTCTCTTGATTGAGTCCCTGTCAAGTGTGGGGAGCATTCATCTCTGCAGATGTTGGTGAATTCAAACTCGCCATCGCCGCCAGCAAACATAGCCAATGCCACTGTCCGGGTTACAGGCAGTCGGAGTCCTGGCTTGGTACGTTGGGACCGTGGTAGAGGTCGGGAAGCAGGAATCAGCAGTCCAGGGTCAGCAGTCCAGGGGTCAGGAAGCCAAGAAACATCTGGAGGGCCAAAGGTTCCCGACAACTGCTGTTAAGGAATGGGCTGCTATTTACAGTTGTGAAAGTCACACAAGAAGAATTCAACATTAATTTATATGCCAATCATGTAGCTTTGTGCACATTCGATCCTGACAATCCACTTGCAAAACTGTTGGCGGTAATTGAAGATTCCAGCAGAATCTTGACGATAAATTTCATGTTGGGCAAGTCCCGAAATCAGAATGTTTTGGATGGCTGCAGTTAATGAAATAGAAATGATCGCTGCATATGTTTTGCTGATGAACTTTTCACTTATTTTATTTGGTTTTGTAATATAGGTTTTAGCTTTATCAGAAGACAGAGAATTGATCATTCATTTACAGGCACAGCAACTCATGCACAGACAGACCCTGCCAGCCTTTCTAGGATTATTTGGCATCCAGTAATGTGTGTGTGTGTGGGGGGGAGACGGCCCACTTTCATCCTCCTAGAGAGCACCATCATTTAGTTTTCGCTATGGGAACTTGGTCCACGCTTTAAGGTGCTAGCAATGGGAGTTTGCTGATCAGCTAAGGCCATTATCTTGCAACGAGATTAGCCTGATTATGCACGTTTCCGCTTGAAGATTCTAACATTGCAGATACTGAATCACAGGCCTGGAAGGGACCCACTTATATCACCCAGGACAAACCTATGACACATCATTGTCCTCAACCACAAGTAGAATCAAACCATCAGCCCAGGCTGGGGAGTCCATTTCATCATCTCCTGAAGAGAGCATCAACTGCATGAGAGCATTTTGAGGAATCCCCTCCTCCATCTTCCCACAGCTTCAAAACATATTCCAGCAGCCAAAGGCTTGACTCTGCCCCTCCTCCTGTCTCAATGATTATTCTACCAGCTCTTCTGCTAAACACAAATATAGGGTAGGTTGGTGGGTTTGTAGAAGGTCCATGCACACAGCTGTGATACTTCACCGCAGTTTCAATGTTGAGGAGAAATAAATGTGAAGGATGTGAGGGGTCTATTCAGGTGTTCTGACTTCTAGTCAAGCTCACCCAGACCCCCGTCAAGAAGAGCAGGGAGTCTTCCACAGTGGGGGTATCAGCTGCCGCTAAGGGAAAGAAAGGCTACCAGCCTCAGTTTTCCTACTGCATACCCTCCAACATTTCTCCGATGAAAATAAGGATGTCCTGTTGAGGTGGGAGTTGAGGTCCACCAGCCCAAAGTAGGACCTGTTTGAGTGGTTGGGTGGAGGGATACCAAAGAAGGACGTAAAAAAATGCTGGGGTGATTGGTTCTAGTGCTTTATTAAAGAAAGGTGCAGACTTAGAACATTGTGCAGAGCTGTGAGACAGACACTGCAACAGTGACTTGTCCATGCCCAAACAAACTTCCATATAGTCATATACCTGAAGGAGCGTCTCCACCCCCATCGTTCAGACCAGACACTGAGGTCCACCTCCCAGGGCCTTCTGGCGGTTCCCTCACCGTGAGAAGTGAGGTTACAGGGAACCAGGCAGAGGGCCTTCTCGGTAGTGGCGCCCGCCCTGTGGAACACCCTCCCATCAGATGTCAAGGGAATAAACAATTATCTAACTTTTAGAAGACACCTGAAGGCAGTCCTGTTTAGGGAAGTTTTCCATGTTTGATGTTTTACTGTGTTTTTAATATTCTGCTGGGAGCCACCCAGAATGGCTGGGGAAACCCAGCCAGATGGGTGGGGTAATAATAATAATAATAATAATAATAATAATAATAATAATAATAATAATAATAATAATAAATACACAAAGCGGCATAAGCCAATTTGACCAGGTTTTCCCATTGCTTCACTTGACCAAATGAGGAAATAGGTGGCAAATACCCAAATCTTGCAGATGGTTCCCTTCTGGGCTCAGGCCCCAGCATCCCAAGCCCCCAGATAACAATAGCCTCAAAGCAAGCCAATTAGCCCGTCTCAAAGCAAGTGAATATAAACATATATGAGTTCAAGGTTACAACAACTACCAATTAATTGTGGGGTTGTTTTGACTGCCAAGATGGCGTTTGCAGAACTTCGGGAACAGTTCACCTTTGCTTCATCACAGCAGAAAACGGAAAGCCCTCAAATTGTGGTGGGCAGGACTCCGGTGGCTTTTGATCTGCTGGCTGCAAAGCTCGATCAGTCCCAAAGATAAGCCCAACAGCCAGATCCCTGAGCTAGGCAAGCCTAGAGCCAACGTAGCAAAAAGGAAGGAGGAACTGTTCCTGCTGTCTGCCACAGATAATAAAAAAGACTAGTTCGTGCAGTACATAGTTATCTACGGAACTTGCTACCACAATGAATAAGAGGGTTTGGTGAAAGAGGACCTTCTTTAGCACGCACCAAAAACACAAGGCACTTTAAAAAAACCACTGGCTTAAAATCAAACACCTTTTTTTGGTAAATTATCATACCTTCAGTGTTTTTTATTTTGATGAGTGGCCATTTGGTGGGAGCTGCTTTGGGCAGTTTTCTGTGGGAAAGATGTATACAAACTAAATCCACAAATCAAGAAACTAAAGTCAAGCACCTTGATGGCATCATTTGCCCACAGAGGAAGTTCAATCATGTCTCCACCCATTTTGAGGTATGTTTGACAGTTATCTTCTAGAAAACAGCTGGCCACCTCCACATAAGATAAGATTGCATCAGAGAGGCAGAGACTTTGCTGCATTCAAGACTTGTGATCCAGCTCTGATTCTGAGTCCTAGATGAAAACCAGAAGGATGCCGACCCCTCTTTCCACCAGCCTCCTGGCCACCTTCATAGTCATGGGTGAGTCTACAAAGCCATGGGCGGATCTTTGATTCAAGGCTTTTGTAACCTGGGAATTTTCCTGCATCCTTGAGTTCACTTCAACCTGTCCATGGGTTGGAACAAAGGGGCTACAGGACTTCTGCTTGAGTCCACTCATTACAGTGGTACATTGGGTTACATACACTTCAGGTTACAGACTCCGCTAACCCAGAAATAGTACCTCGGGTTAAGAACTTTGCTTCAGGATAAGAACAGAAATCGTGCTCCGGTGGTGCAGCAGCAGCAGGAGGCCCCATTAGCTAAAGTGGTGCTTCAGGTTAAGAACAGTTTCAGGTTAAGAACAGACCTCCGGAACGAATTAAGTACTTCGTTCCTGCAACAGTACAGTCCTACCTTGGTTTTCGAACAGCTTAGTTCTCAAACGTTTTGGCTCCTGAACGCCGCAAAACCCAGAATTGAGTGTCCTGGTTTGCAAACTATTTTTGGAAGCCGAATGTCCAGCAGGGCTTCCCACGGTTTCCAATTGGCTGCAGGAGGTTTCTGCAGCCAATCAGAAGCCGTGCTTTGGTTTCTGAATGTTTTGGAAGTCAAACAGATTTCTGGAATGGATTTTGTTCGACTTCCAAGTTACAACTGTATAATGAAACAGGGAACCTATTGGTGGTGTTGCTGTAAAGAGATGAAGGTCGGAGGTAGGCTGCTGACTTTTAAAATTGGTAGCTGCCACCTACTGCACGTTTTCCAGATGATTGTGGGTTTATGCTTATGTGCATGTTTGTGGGGTTGGAGAGGACCAGTGTGGCATTTTCAGTGAAGCTCCAAAGGGGGGGTGGGAATGAGAGTTGTTTTTCATCTGGCGGAAACAAGAAATGGTGGCCAACTCCAAGGATACGCCATTTTGGGGTGTGTGGGTATGACAGATGCTACAGCCTTTGTGGGGTCTGGGGCAGGGCCAGTCCACTCATGAGGCAAGGTGAGGCAACTCCTTCGGGCAGCAAAATCTATAGGGGCAGCAGGTTCAGCCTCCAAGGAATGTATTGCTCCTGTTGCTGGCGCTTCCGCAGTGGCCGCAACAATTGTGACAGCTCTTTGATGGCTGGATTTGCCTTCCCCTCCTTGCCTCTGCCTCTACAGTGGCCTCTTGGTGAATAGGAGGCACTGCTGGTCTCCTCCCCCCTTGTTCCCAATATGGGTCTTTATTCCCCATTTCCTCCCTGGTGAGGGGGGACACAGCGTTGTGGCTTGCCTTGGGTGTCAAAATGTATTGGGCTGGTCCTGGTCTGGGGGCCTGTTTGCTGCTCCCTGTTCAACAAGTATATCTGAAAATGAACAAATGTTACAAAAATGCATGTTTCCAGGGAAGTCACATGCCTGTTCATTTCCTTGAGTAAAAAGAGCCAAGCCAGATCCTAAGCAGGTAAGCCCAAAAATAAACAAGCAAAAAAATCCCCCGCAAAATTGGAACTGGTCTCAGTATAATTTATGCAACCTTGATTAAACAGTAACTGGTCCCATTTCTTAGCTTCCGTTCTACAGCTTTCAGTCTCTCAGCCATCTTGGAACCACTCCTAAGAATGTAGGCCTTGAACAGCTCAGGTCCAACTTTTCTCAGGAACCTCTTATGCCTTATGACCGCTAGGTGGCAACCAGAGAAACATACCTTGCCCACCACTTTGCAGATTCCATGAGCCCTGCTTCCCAGATAAGATGTTTCAAAGACAACAGTGGTATTGTGAGAGCAGCTACCTTCCATGTGTTGTCAGATCTGAGCATTTGACCACTTGGAAGCCTGCGTTTTCTCCTTTCTCCTTCATGTTTCATCCAGGATGACTCCAACCTTCCTGGTAGTCACTAATAATAATAATAATAACAATAATAAAAACTAAATAAATAAATAATTTTATTTATACCCCGCCGTCCCCAGCCAAGATTGGGTTCAGGGCGGCTAACACCAGGTAAAAACAATTGATTAAAATACAACTTAAAAACAAGATTAAGTACAACGTTAAAATGCAGCCTCATTTCAGTAGAAACGCAAATCAGTAGTGAAGAGGTGCCTCTGGAATGGCTCTCATGCAAGCCCTGAGGCAAGCTGGTTTCCCCGAGGGCTGATGATGCTACAGCCATCCAAGAGGTGGCAGAGTCAGGTGATTTATGTTGGATTTCAAATAGGGAGGGAAGAATCTGTCCCTTCCCATTCTCACACATTTCTCATTTTGAGAAAACTCTTCTCTTTCCTCTAAAACCCTGATACTGCACCCAGACCCCCCAAGTGTCCCTATTTTCCAGGGACAGTCCCAGGTTTACAGAATCCATCCCAGTTTTTGATTTGATCCTGGAGTGTCCCACTTTTCCTTAAAGGTAAAGGGACCCCTGACCATTAGGTCCAGTCGTGGCTGACTCTGGGGTTGAGGCGCTCATCTCGCTTTATTGGCCGAGGGAACCGGCGTACAGCTTCTGGGTCATATGGCCAGCATGACAAAGCCACTTCTGGCGAACCAGAGCAGCACACGGAAACGCCGTTTACCTTCCCGCTGGAGCGGTACCTATTTATCTACTTGCACTTTGACTTGCTTTCAAACTGCTAGGTTGGCAGGAGCAGGGACCGAGCAACGGGAACTCACCCCGTCGCGGGGATTCGAACCGCCGACCTTCTGATCGGCAAGTCCTAGGCTCTGTGGTTTAACCCACAGCACCACCTGCGTCCCTAGGACGTCCCTATTTTCATCAGAGAAATGTTGGAGGATATGGCGTTATGTGACCCCCGAGGCAAGGAGATAAGTGACTATACAACTCTTAGAAGACTTCTGAAGTCTGCCCTGTATAGGGAAGGTTTTTAATGTTTAATTTTTTATTGTGTTTTCATATCTGTTGGAAGCCACCCAGAGTGTCTGGGGCAACTCAGTAAGATAAGTGGGGTATAAATAACATCACCACCACCACCATCAAATAAGATACCCCTAATTTAATCAGAAAAATGTTGAAGGGTATGAGATGGTACCAGATTCCCCACCCCCTGCTTGATGCTCACAAACCTCATTCCCACAGGCCCAATGTGACTAATGGCTTTTCCTAAAGGGACTTGCCCAGAGTTTTACACCTCATTTAGTGAAATTCAGTGGCAAGCTGAGTTTGTAACCTTGGGAAAGGAAAAAGGAGGAGGGGGAAAAAGAGAATTAACGATGTTGACATTTCTTGTTTTATGTGCTTTTAGGAGTAGCTCTGGAATGTGAGGAATGTTCCATCTTTGGAAATAATTGCACTGGACGTAAAAAGCCATGCTCCCAGTATCAAGACACATGCAGTGTTTCCGTGACAAGCCTTAACCTGACTCTCGAGGGTAAATGGAAATGACCGAAGGCTACCAGAAGAGTTCAAGAAATGCCTAATTTCCTCTTGTCTGAGTGTGGCTGGTTCATTGATGGTGTGCAGAGGAGGAGTCTGGCTCAGCTGAGGCCCCTACTGTCAAGGGTGTACCATGGGTTGCTAGTGCCCGGGGCAGGTCAAGTGTTGCACCCTCCCCTGGTGGTCAGCCCCTTTGCTGGGCAGCATCTAATCAAGGGAATCTTTCCTCGCAAACTAGCCCCAACCTGGGAGCAGAGATAAGGCAGAGAAACATGGAACCAGGAGCTCCACTGTGTTGCCTTGACCTCCTATGTTTCGGCAATGCAAGTGGTTCCTTCAGTGCATTCCTGCCTTCCTCTTGCCAGTAGAAGGCTGGCCCAGGGGTGGTTCATGTGCAGGTGTCCCTTCGCTGGCCATGAGGAAAAGGAGGCATCACCTTGGCCTCGGCCTCAAAGGCTTTGCCCGGGCGCAACTTGCCTCCCTGCAGCTCTGGCCTCAATGATGGAGCCTGTTGTGGGCACATCTGGTTGTGCCCCCTCAGAAATTTGCACCTGGGCAGTGCTTTTTTTCTTTAGGGATACTCTCATTTTGACTCAAGGAAATTACCAAAATCGGGGGAAATAAATACAGCAAATGGAAAAAAAGTACAAAGATTCACAAAATGCTTAGGCGTATGCGTACCCCTGCGTACTCCCAGAAAAAAGCACTACATCTGGGGCTACAGCCCTGTTCCCACACTATGCCACTGCCTGCTGGGGTTAAATTCCCTGGAGTTTCCAAATCTAAAAAGTTACCCTACATTCTGTCCTCAAATGAGTTCGCGTGGACCAGTAAGAAAGGAAACAAAGGCCGTTTCCTTGACTTGAAGTGGATTGAGAAAAATGGTAAAAGGATGAGGATGAGAGTGGGGCAAAGTGCCCTCTATGTATCTAGTACACATTCAGTACCCAGCTCTAAATGGCTTGAGATCTCACTATCATCTACAGCAACCCTGTTAGTGGCTTTGGGAGCTACAGCCCAGTTGGCACTGACCCACAACCAGCCCCTCTTAGTGGTGGTGGATTGCCCTCCCTGCTGAGGTGGCATCTGATTCTCACATTATTAACAACCCGGAGGAAGTTAATGTCCACCTAGGCCAGGGGTAGGCAACCTAAGGCCCATGGGCCACAAACGGCCCACGGGGGCCATTTAACCAGCTCATGAGCCGCCCCTGAACCGAGCTGCCTGCTCAGCGAGTCCCCATGAGCTGCACTAAACTGGCACAGCACGGTGCAGGGACTCACTTCCATGGTGCCGGAAATTGTGTCTGTGCAGATGCAGGCACCAGAAATTGTGGCCATCTGCACTGACACGTGCACGTGCAATCTGGCCCATGGAGTGATCTCTGCTGGAGTGAACCGGCCCAGGCAAGGTAAACCTTGCCGACCCCTGACATAGGCATTTGTTTAATGGCTGAAATATGTTATTCCATTGAAATCATTAGCTGAGAAATCATTAATGACGATTCTTGAATGGGTTCCAGTCATTTTATTTGTTAAGTGTACCGCTGTGCTGTTTTGTTTTGTTTTGGGTTTTTGTTTGTTTGTTTGTTTGTTTGTTTCCCAACCTGGATTCCTTTCAGGAGAAAGGTGGGCTAGGGATTTAATAAATATGGAATCATGAAAATGGTGCAAGATACGCCAGCGGTCAGCCTTGAAATCATATGCTATGATGACAAAAGATGCTGAGGTGTCTGGTCAGCAGCTGTCCATCACTCATGCTGGGCCGTGCATGCATGTGTGACGTCAAACACTGGAAGGAGGCCCAATGGGGCCCACCACAGCCATGGGGAGGCCTGAAGAGGCCCTTTGTAGCCATGGGAAAGCCCACTAGGGCCTGCCATGAGTACAGGGAGGCCCAATGGGGCCTGTTGTGGCCTCGGTAAGGTCTGGTGGAGCCCACCAGGGTAGAGAATATTGATGGGCCTGGCCTCCTCCTTCTAAATTTTGGAGGGGCCTCAGCCTAGATGACACCCCTGCTACCCACATTGAAGCTAAAGCTATCTCTTCTGTTTAAAATAACTTTCTTTCAATCCCTCCAGGACAAACTGCTTTTACAAAGAGTTGCTTCTCATCTGAACTGTGCAACAAAGGCCCCCTCATCATCAACATGGGCTCATCGGGAACATCAGTAACTGAGTCTCGTTGCTGTGGGGGAGATGCATGCAATACAGCAAGACCCCTTAGTAGGTCACTGCTTGTCTCGTCCTTTCCTCATCCTTTTCATCGCTCGCTTGTTGCAACCTACTTACTGAGCAGTCATCCTGATCTTGTCCATTTGCAGGAGAATTAGAATACATTGGCTTTTTATTGCGCTTTCATTCTGATTTGCCTGATGGGCAAATTTGTCCAGTAATGCACTTCCCAGTGCATTTCTCAATTAAATCAGCTTTAGCTGTGCAACCTCAGATTGAATCCCACCCCAAAATAGCAGTAGTCTGGAATTTCCCATATACTTGTTGCCAACTTCCTGCTTTAGTTGGGAGCCGTTTCTTAAATATACTGTATTTACTCAAATATAATGCTCACCTTTTTTGGCCAAATTATGTTGCGAAAATTAAGGTGCGCATTAGATTTGATGGCACATTTACATTTGCCAGCAAAGACTTTTTTTGGCTTCAAGGTTCTGAAGATTGAGGTACATATTAGATTTGATGGTACGTTAGACTTGAGTAAATACGGTAATTTGGCACTCTTGCAGAGTGATTGGGAAATGCACTGGGAAGCGTGAAATGCTCCTTCTGCAGTAGTTTCTCCACCTTTGGTTCCCACCCTGCACTCAGCTCTTACACTGGCCACACCCCAGGAATCAGCTTTGACTGGTTGGCTAAATCAGATGAGGGTAGCTGATGGGTCTCAAACCATTGCTGAATTAGGAACTTGCAAGACAGGGTCCAGTGGATTGAGTAGATGAGAGCAATTGTGGGTCTAATGGTCAAGAAGGTGGATTCTGCATGTTCGTAGAGGAAGTGGGGGCAGATGCGGATGCTCAACCTGAGAAGGCAGCCCCTCTAGGAGAAGGAAAACTCTGAACCTAAACCTCCGCTGCCTTGTGGGATATCTTCAGGGAAGAAGAGGCTAAGGGGTAAATCCTACACAAATCCAGAGTGGAGTCCCTAAGATGGTTGGATGGTACCTTGCACACCTCTTTCCAGCAACTCCTGCAGTCATTGTTGTTGTTGTTTAGTTGTTTAGTCATGTCCAACTCTTCGTGACCCCATGGACCAGAGCATGCCAGGCCCCCCTGTCTTCCACTGCCTCCCGCAGTTTGGTCAAACTCATGCTGGTACCTTCGAGAACACTGTCCAACCATCTCATCCTCTGTCGTCCCCTTCTCCTTTTGCCCTCAATCTTTCCCAACATCAGGGTCTTTTCCAGGGAGTCTTCTCTTCTCATGAGGTGGCCAAAGTATTGGAGTCAAAGTATCCTGCAGTCAAGCTGGTGCCAAATGTATTGCTCTGCTCTGATTTGGACCACATCAGCGAGCTCAAAAGGGGGGGCAGTCATCTGGGAAGCCCAGGACCTCTATGCACACTGCCTAGGTTGATGCCCTGGAGAGGTCACTTTGGGGGTGCTAATACAGTGATTTGACTTCATCCTGGAAGGGTACTCCATTGCCTCTCGAGACAGACAGATGCCAAGAACGATAAGTTGGGTGTGTACAATGGCAGACCTTGTGGTCCCAAATTTCAGTGGTGCCCTGTGTGCTACCAAAATTGGTGCCCTCCCAAATCTTTCCTTCCATTCTAAAGTACATCATAATTATCGTTATGCATCCACTGCAACTGAAGTGGTTACGCTTGCCTAAATTTGCCTCTGGTGTGTGGAAAAGATGATGTCCGGCAGCATCAAAGTGCAACCTCTTTCTGATTTTTAGGGGGCTAGCTCTATATACGTTTGTATTACTATAGTCCTAATTTTTCACTTAAAGCCTGTATCAGTTAGGATTTCTTTGGTGAACCCTTTATATATTTCGCCAACATCTGTGAGAATAGGAGCCACCTAGAAAGGGGTTGACATTTCTGGTAAGATGGTTCCCCATGTATGAAGCCAAAGATGGCAACAAATACTCTGCTGTCCTACCAAACATGCCATATGAGGCACTTGGCAGAATGGGAGGCACTTAAAAAGTGGCCTGATGAAGGAAGGGGCTGATATTTGCAGTCTTCTTCCCAATCCCTTTGGCCGCGCTGTTCTTCTTGCATCCCAAGCCTGATCGTCTCACCTTTCTTTCAGAGCCAAGGAGAAATACCACATTGAATGGAAAGGAATGCTCAGTTTGCCTACCTGATGGAACTGAGTGCAAACCCATCAAATGTGCTGGAGATGAGACCAAATGCTTAGAGATATCTGGAACTACAAATGAAAGTAACTATAAATCCCATATTCGTACGAGGGGGTGTTGGAGGGATGTGGTTTGTGTGAATCTTGTGGCACAATGGCCTGACCCACACCTAGGGTGTTCTCTAGAGAAGGTAATCAAGGAGGTAGTGGGATGACAATCATAGACATTCTTTGAAGACAGTAAATCATCTAGACCTGTGGTTCCCAACATGGGGCACACACCACACAGGGGGGCAATTTGATTTTTAAGGGGAGCAATTTGAAAAGGATTTATTAACAGTGAATAGCCTTTTAGGCTTCCTTCACTTTTTGAATAATAAGAATTATATGTCACAGGGGGCGGGCATCAGGATTTTAGAGATGCTTAGGTGGGGCATGGCCCAAAAAAAAAAATAAAAAAAAAAGGTTGGGAACCACAGCCCTAGACGAATCACAGTCTGGTTTCAGACGAGAGCCTTTGGTGTGGTGGCACCCACCCTTTGAAATGTGCTCCCAGTGTACATCAGGCAGGCACGTTCTGGCGTCTGCTTAGAATAATAATAATAAATTTTATTTCTATCCCGCTCTCCTCAGCCGAAGCCAGGCTCAAGGCTGCTAATAACAATCAAATAATCAAACAATCAAATAATCCAACATTCTAAAAACATTTCAATTATAAAAATTAATTAAAATCAAATTGATGGCAACCATTAAGCAAAATTCTGTGCAGGTTGCCAGAGGAGGGAGTCAGGCTGCGCCCTAACCAAAGGCCTGGTGGAACAACTCTGTCTTGCAGGCCCTGCGGAAAGATGTCAGGTCCCGCAGGGCCCTAGTTTCTTGTGACAGAGCGTTCCACCAGATTGGAGCCGCAGCCGAGAAAGCCCTGGCTCTAGTTGAGGCCAGCCTAACCTCTCTGTGGCCTGGGACCTTCAGGATGTTTTTATTTGCAGACCGTAGGTTCCTCTGTGGGGTATACCAGGAGAGGCGGTCCCGTAGAATCACAGAAATATAGAACTGTAGAGTTGGAAGGGACCCCAAAGCTCATCTAGTCTAACCCCTTGCAATGCAGAAATCTCAACTAAAGCATCCATGACAGGTGGCTTAAAAGTCATTGCTTCCTTCAGGCTTTGCCTAAAGCACTGATCCAGCCATGTTTGATGCATTAAGCTGATATAGTGATTTGAAATGCATTTTGCAATTTTTAGTGATTCCTCCCTCTCCTTTGTGTTCTCCCCTCCACTCCCTCATTTAACTGTGTAGAAAGAAAGAAAGAAAGAAAGAAAGAAAGAAAGAAAGAAAGAAAGAAAGAGAGCACTACCCTTCTCTGCTTCATGCAAGGGGAGGCCAATTGAAGTTCCCCAAGTGCCCTAACTTCCCTTCCCCTTCCCCAGCATCCCACTTGTTGAATTTGGCTCCTGCCCAGGTTAGCCAGCCACTGAGTGCCCACTACACAAATGGAAGAGGAAGAGAAGGAACTCACTGGGCATTGCCACTCTCCTGACATTGACTGTCATCTCCTTCAATTCTCTCTGCAGAAGGACAAACCATAACCACCACCATCCTCAAGGGCTGTGCAAATGAGCTTGCCTGCAAAGCAATGGAAATGGGCGACCCATTGCCTTTGGGCATGATCCAACCAGACAGCTCAACTAAATGCACAGATGGGGCGGCCAGTGCCAACCCTGGATCGCTCGGACTCCTCCTCCCAGTCCTTAACGCGCTGCTGCTGGTGAAGCTCCTTGCCTGATTCCCCAGTTGATGCTGAGATTAGAGAGTCCACTTTGAGCTATTCCTCTTTGCTGCTTGCTTGCAGCTATTATTGGGGCCACCTGCAGATGCTGTAGAACAAGGGCCAAAGGCCACTCTCCGGTCTTGTCTGTCTGGTCCTTGAGAGTCTTCCTGGGACACCTCCCTGCCCCTTTCACCCACCTTGAGCACTTTGGGCTGCCTGGAATGTGCCATTGTGCTCCAATGATTCTTCCAACTTGCCTGTTTGGAAGACAGAGATGGATGGCTGAGTGTGTGTGCACAAACTAGTCTCCTATGCAAAGGAGAACTTTACATTTGCTAGTTCAGTTGCCTCTGGCTCTGCCTACCAAAGGCATGTGGCCCCCAGTGGGCTGCGCTGAAGGGATTCCCATCCCTGCTGCAGAGCTCCCATAGCCCATAGTCTAAAACAGAGCTTTCCAAACAGTGTGTTGCAACAACACGTTTGTGTGTTGACTGCAGTGTGTTGCCCGAACACTCCCCACACTCCTCCTGGGGCTGGAAAGGAGTTAGTTTAACCCCCAGTTTGCGAGTAAAATTGAATTACTGCTTTGAGAAACGATGCATGTCTATAAAGTGTGTCTCCAACATGAAAAGTTTGGAAAGCTCTGGTCTAGAAGCACATTTTTACATCTACTGCCCTCCAACAAGTGCAGTGTTGACGGAGGAAGGTCTGGGTTGGTGTCTTTACTGGCAGATGCCATTATTGGGCTGTGTCTGTACAGCTCTCCTGAGTCTCAAGCAGAGCTTATTCCACATTTGGATGTCTGCAAGTGGTTCTCTCCGAGCCTTATTTCAATTTTCTCTTTGTGCTTTGCATTTGTTTGAAAATTGACATTGCTTTACTGCTCTGCTGCTTTGTCATTTTTGGCATGGTGCATCGTTGATATATTGCAACCTACTTGGATGTTGGTGGTAAGAAAAGGTGGGCTAGGAATCCTTTCAGTAATAAAGGTAAATAAAAGGTAAAGATAATTGCAATAGGTGTGTGAAAAGCACATTTTCTCCAAGTAACCACAAGTGTCCAGACACAGGACGGTATGAGTAAAAGGCTAGGTTTGAATATAATGCTAAGTTAAAACATGAACCTGCAATTCACTTACATAATGTTGCACCCCACCCTAATTTCTGAGCAGTGCAAGATATCAGGGGTCCAGGTTCTGTGTTTCCTTTGGAAATGAGGCACAGCGGAGACTGTGGTGTCTTTATGATATATGGTTTATTTACACACATACACAAACTGAGTCTGGATGGAAAGAGTTCAGAGCATTCACATTTCAAGAGGGTCTCTTGCTCCTCCCATGGGTATGGCAGGATTGGATCTAAGAACACATCAGCCATGCTCTTTGTCTCCTTGTTGCAGTCCACATGGGGCTCTTTGACAACTTTCTTCATCCTTGTCACAGCTAAGAGCCTGAAAAGGATTTCTCCCCAGACTACAGGCAGTGACCATTTCACAGAGGGAGGGGGTCCATTCCTAGCCCCCATACATGTCGGCAGAGCATGCATATGCACTCTGCCCCACCCCACCCCATTACGCCTCAACCAAAGGACCCATGCGTCGGCAATCACACATCAATTGGATGCACCTAAAATGGTCGCTGCCTGTACATTATTCAAAAACGGAAATCCTACACTAGAGGTTTTCAACCTTTTCGAGTCCATGGCTCCCTTGACCAACTACATTCTTTCCCCGACACTCCTGTGGGGCTCAGAAGCCCAGTTATGTCACCTCTTGCCTGCAGAGGTGGCAGCTTCTCACCCCTTTTCAAACTCCCTCCCTTGTGGAGTCTTCCCTCAGCCTCCTCTCTTCTCCCCTCTCCTTGGGAGTCCTCCGGGCAGCTGCTGCTGTTGTCCCTGGTCTCTGAGCACCCCCCCATCCCAACCAGAAGTGCCTCCTCACATTGCCCCACAAGGACCTGGGATTGTCTGTGCATTCTCATCTTGTGTTGATTGCAGTAGCCATTGTAGCACCATCCTGTTCTTTGTTTTATTATCCATTCCGAGCAGCAAGAGCTGATGGACTGGCTGGCTGGGCTCCCTCGCCTACTTGCTTGCTTACTCCATGGTCGCCTCAGCTCCTGGCAACCAGCACCCCCTGGCCAGCTCCAGAGGCACCATCCACCTAGGGAGCTTGTAGCCAGGGCTGCTGCAACAAACAGCTGTGCAAGCCCTTGGGAGGCAGAGACGCAAGAAGGCATCAGAGGAGGGAGGGGAGAAAGAGGGACAGAGGCTGGTGTTGTCCACGGCACCCTTGACCATCATTCAAGGCACCCCAGGGTGCCACGGTACGCTGGTTGAAAACCACTGTCCTAAATCCTTTTTGTCTTTGGCCACTAACACACAGCTGGAGGAAATTCCTGCCATGCCCCAATCCCAATGACAGGCGACACACGACGGCATAGCAAGGTCAAGCGCAACAAGCCCTAAAAGTAGGGAGAGGTGGGCAGGTGTTCTGAATGCACACACCAAAAGAGGAAGCTCTGGGTCACGTGTATGGGCATAAATAGGTCCCTTGAAGCGTTTAGACTGTGTCCCATTGGCCAGATTGTACCCAGCTTCAAGGGACCTACCAATCCGGTGTTGTGGCTAACCAATGGTACCCACCCACAACACAGGGTGTTGGTTGTCCAGGTCTCACTGCAATACATGCCCTCTTTAAGGGAGGACCCGATTTGGTGATTTGCCTGTTTCACTTTCGGCCTTATTGCCAAAGGTGACGTCATGTCCTTTAAAAGCAAGATTATTCCTATTAAGCTATGGCAAGTTTCTTTCTGGAAGAAGAGCACATCAAAATGATTTTTCAGACTGAATGAGGATTGTTTTGTGGAAGAATGGAAGCCTTTTCCAGAAAATTTTATGGCATGGTGAATTCGCAAGCAGGATTTGAACTATGAGCAACAGAAGGAACGAGAGATTATTGTATGGTAGTTATTATATAAATGAGAGAAGACAGAGTGCCACAAGGGGGAGAAATTAAAACACCATGGAAAACGGGGTGGGAAGTAGGGGAGGGAGAGGGGCAAAGAAAAACTTAGGTTTTGGAGTGTACGTATATGTGATTTTTTTGAAATTTAATAAAATGTAATAAGCAATGAAATGAGTTTTCAGGCTTCTTTTCCAAAATGCTACATCACTTGGTGCTTTTCTATCACATGCTAGATCTTAAAAAGAGAGAGAGGGAAAGAGGGGAATAAAAGGAAGGCTGGCATCAGTCTTGGTGGGCCTTCCAAGATGGGTGGGCCTTGATATCTGCCCAACCATGTCAGACATCAAGGCCTATCAATCCTGTCTGGTGTTGCCACCAGGCCTTCCTCCGTATCCAAGCCCAAAATTATTGCTGGAGAATGTTTGGATCAGCACCAGTAGATGCTTTCCGTCTGGATGATGCTAAACATATTGCTTTAAAACGTTTTAAGTGCAGCCGAGCACTTTGCGATCTGACATTTCTTATCGGCTCCCACTGTCGTGCACTTACGGGCTGGACAATATCCAGCATGGTGTCTGTTTCACGTTGTCTCCCCCGGCGTTACAGACATATGGGAGGTTGGCCTGGGCCAACGTTAAGAGCCTCTCAACTTTCATTTTAAAATAACCCTGCAAAGATCGTAACCCAAAGTTCCCCGCGGGAATTCTGTAAGCCAAAGGCAAGTCTGAGAAGAATGACTTGCAACAGCAAACCCATCAACCGTCCTGGAAAAACCGGGGATATCCCAATTTGGAAACTGTGTTTTTGTGCATTTTTGGGACATAATCTCTTTCCCAACCCCAACCCCCAAACACTACTTCAGGGGTCTAACCCATATGGGAAAACTCTCTATTTGGGTTGAGATCAATGACCAGGGTTTCATTTTTTCCAGATACAACATATGGCTAATGTGTTAATAAGGGAACATGACCCTTTGAGAGAATGCATACCTTTTGAGATGTTTGTTTCATCCTCAAGATTAAAGGGTGTATAGGGAAAGCTGTGCAGAATGCTGTCAGAATTAAATTCGATTCCAGGTGCTTATCAAGAGCAATGGCAGAAAGACAGACGTAACAATATTTCTGTTGTCGACTGGAAATGGATTTGGAACTTAGAGCACCATTAACTGTATGAACCTTAAAGAAAACTCTTATGAAGGGGGAACTCAGATGGTATTTCACCTTTCACCCCATTAAGAATGACCCAAATTTTTAGGACTCAAATATATAGGAAGGGTTAGTCTCACATCCATCTTGGAACCATTCCTGGGAACACATGCTCAAGTTCCAACCTTTTTTCGAGAAACGCTCTAGCCCTTTGGACACTAGGTGGCAACCACATAAATATACTTGATCGCTGGAGAGCTCTTAGATGCCTACTCCCTCTTTCTGGGAAGTGTTGGTCTGCAATAAACCAGCCCAGCTCTTTCAGATGCAAAGATCTTTTGCTGCAAGCAACGGATTTTCAAACCTGGCTCTGATTCTAGTCTTGAAACAGATGTCTGGTGCCATGAGCAGTGCTTTCCTCACCTGCCTCCTTTATATTTTCATACCTGCAGGTAAGTGTTTTGTGATTCATGGTTGGTGGGGGGGGGGGGCTCAGCGAGGTGCAGGACCAAACTTTGGCTTGTATGTGCTGAGCATTGGGTCTCCCGTCCATTCCTCCACTTTTAAAACACTTTTTTAAAGGTTTGCATATGGTTCAGCTGGGCATGCCGAAATTCCCAGTGTGACCACAGCTGTTTGGTGCCATAATTTGCCCAGAGGCACTTGGTACCTTGATGCTAATTTGATTTGGGACCTTTGTGTCCCCCAGAGTCCTTGAAGCACTTAAGAAATGGCCCTGATTCATGGGTCCCCAGTGTTCTGTTCAGGGCTCATTCTAGAAAGCATGGGTCAGAGAGGTTTTTGGTTTGTCCTATGCTTTCTAGACCCTGGTCCACATGGTTTTTTGTTTCTCCCTCCGCTTTCCCTTGGAAAACCCACTGTTTACTGTTGAATCGGAACAAATGTCTACCTGCGGAAAAACCGATTATTCTGAATCAGTGGTAAACGGTGGGTTTTCCTGGGGAAAAGCTGTATGGACCAGCGCTCAGTGTGGGAAAGTGGGAGGGAGTGAAATAAGGACACACTCCATTCTCATGCACTGTGAACAGAGCAAACAATATGAATCTTAAAACATAGGCGCTACTGCAGAGCCGTGGTTTCAGTGTTGTTTCAAGTGCTCAAGCTATATATATCATTTATGGTTTTCTTATTTGTCGAGGATTGGAATTTAGGCTATTTCTGCTAGGGGTTACTTTTGTGCTTAAGCATTTATTTATTTATTTTGCTTTGTTATTAGGTTATTATGTTTTACTCAAAGTTGCCTTGGGAGACTTCCAGCCGTTAAAGGCAGCCTATAAATATTTCAAATGCATTAGTGGAATAAACAACACTTGCCTCCAGCCTCCCCCCAAATATCTTGCTTATTGTATTGATTGATTCTGATTCCTAGCATTACTTTGCCTCTGAGTGCTCTGTTTAAAACAACCGACACATTCCGCTAGTGGGCCTGAAGGTTTGTATATTGTTTTGCAAAGCACTTACATAGGATCAGTTCGCCTTTAAGTTTTGCCCATATTCATAACCTAATCGTCACACCCCTTTGTATGCCGAGCCAGTTACTGTGCTCTGTAAGTGAGGTTTTCTGCAGATGCCACCTTATCAGGACATCCGTTCCACACAGTGTACGAACTGGGCCTTTAGTGTGGCGGTATCTGCCCCTTGGAATGCCTTCCCCTTGATTATTAAACAGGTGCCACTTCTGTTGTCTTTTTGGCACCTGCTGAAAACCTTACCCTTCCAGTGTGGTGTAGTGGTTAAGAGTGGTAGACTCGTAGTCTGGTGAACCAGGTTCGCGTCTCCGCTCCTCCACATGCAGCTGCTGGATGACCTTGGGCTAGTCACACTTCTTTGAAGTCTCTCAGCCCCACTCACCTCACAGAGTGTTTGTTGTGGGGGAGGAAGGGAAAGGAGATTGTTGGCTGCTTGGAGACTCCTTAGGGTAGTGATACAGTGGGATATCAAAACCAAACTCTTCTTCTTCCACCAAGTCTTTTCAGCTGAGATCTTTCAGATCTGCATTGGAATTGTTTCTAAGTTTTTTAAAAAACTAATTCATCCCCTGTTGTTTGACACCCTGGGCTCCTTTGGTAAGAAGGGCAGGATATTTTAAAGAAGCTGACCTTTCAGTGTGGCAGCACCCACACTTCGAACCTCGCTTCTAATTCACATCAGGTGGGCTCCTTCACCGTACTCTTTCTGACTACTGCTAAAATGATTTCTGTTTCAACAAGCCTACCCGGAATCATGGGACGTGGGTGGTGCTGTGGGTTAAACAACAGAGCCTAGGACTTGCAGATCAGAATGGGCTCCCGTTGCTTGGTCCCTGCTCCTGCCAACCTAGCAGTTCAAAAGCACATCAAAGTGCAAGTAGATAAAAAGGTACCGCTCCAGCGGGAAGGTAAACGGCATTTCCATGCACTGCTCTGGTTCACCAGAAGCAGCTTAGTCATGCTGGCCACATGATCCGGAAGCTGTACACTAGCTCCCTTGGCCAATAAAGCGAGATGAGCACCGCAACCCCAGAGTTGGTTATAACTGGACCTAATGGTCAGTGGTCCCTTTACCTTTACCTTTACCCAGAACCACAGAAAGTTGATTTGTGTTTCAATGTTTTGTTTTGTTTTGTTTTGTTCTTTTTTTAAAAAAAAAACTTGCCGTGGATTTTAAATATTTTTGGAAGGTTTTATAAAGCTGTTCTAAACTCTTTTTATTGTTTCATTCTTTCTGTAAACTGCTTTGAGGTGAGGGGTTTTTTAAAAAACAATGAAGTGGTTTATATATTTGATGAAATAAAATAACTAAAATAAATATAAATAAAATGTTCTGTGGCTTTTTTTTTTTTTTAGTCCTGACAATTAAAAGAAGCCTGCTGACACCTGTTTTCCTTTTCCTTTAAGGGTTTTCCCTGGAGTGCTGGAGTTGTGAAACAACTGGAAGGAACTGCCAAGGGCAGAGGCAAACTTGCCCCATTGATTACGAAGAATGTGGTGTCCTTCAGTTGGAGAGGTCATTTGGTAAGGGCAAAGGGCCTGAATTTGTGGGGAAAGTTTGGAATTGTTTTGACTTTTCTCTTTCATGCACCTGGGCTGATTGGATCATGCAGGATAGGTACTCCTCATCTGCACCTTAAATTAACAACAGTATCATACCACTTTAAACAGACTTCCCCTAAACAATCCTGGGAAATGTACCGGTAGTTCACTAAAGGAACTGAGAGCTGTCCACCCCTAAATGTGTTCTGCAGGGTCTCCCAGAGTATGTTTTGGAAAGGGGCAGGCAAAGGCAGATTTAGGAGAGCCTGACTTGTTTGCCTGCACTGGGTGCTAAGCCAAGAGGGTGCCACAGGGGTTGCCACAGTGATGTAGATCAGAAGGCGAGAGGTAGTGGGGTTCCAAATTTTGAAACCGCTGAAATTTGAGTGTCCAATATCTGCCAAGGCATGTATCTGCCAAGGAAAGGTAACTTCCCCCAATCACCCATCAAAATTGGTTTAAACTGGTATCTTTGTTGATTGTATTGATGGTGACTTCTCTGTATTATTGCTATTTTATTCTGTTTGTATAGTTACTGTTAACTGCCTTGAACACCATTTGGTGGAAAGGCAGGGTACAAATTTAGCGAATGAATACAAAATAATAACTGTGCAGGGGGAAGAGGTGGGGAAATCCAGCGGTGCTACCTGGGGTTGATGGGAGTTGTAGTCCAAACCATCTGGTGGGCACCAGATTGATGGACAAAAGTGGGCTCGATGGAGCTAACCGTAGCTGCAACCAGGTCCATAATAACATTAGGACAATAAGATGTTGAGCTCAGTGGCCAGGAATTTTCTTGCAGCGGATACTTCTCTGCTGTATCAAACATCACCTCTCTTTTCCTATCCCTACAGGACAAAATAAGCAGACCACTGTGAAGAACTGCACCCAATCTAACAACTGTGGCAAAGAACTTGCAGTTTTCAATATGGGCAAGAGGCGGACAATACTGGGCAAGATTTCGTGTTGCACAGCAGATGACTGCAAGAGCATTAACCCCTGTAGGTGACTTTTATGCCTCCTTATCTCTCCCTGCTTACCATAATTAAGTCTGGGGGGGGGGGGACGACGACTATCCAATATCTTCTTTCTTCCACACACACCTTTTCCATTTTAATCTCACTGGGCTTGTATCAGTGAATGGCTTGATCCAGGGTTTGCCGAAGTGGTCTCAAGGGCACCAATATGCCCTCCGGCACCTACTAGGGCACCTCTCAAAACTCTGCCATGCAGGAAGAAGAGAAGAGTTTGGATCTGATATCCTGCTTTATCACTACCCTAAGGGACGCGGGTGGTGCTGTGGTCAAAACCACAGAGCCTAGGGCTTGCCGATCGGAAGGTCAGCGGTTCGAATCCCGTGATGGGGTGAGCTCCCATTGCTTGGCCCCTGCTCCTGCCCACCTCGCAGTTCTAAAGCACATCAAAGTGTAAGTAGATACGGCTAATAAATGTGGAAAACTGTTAGCGTGGCAAATGAAAAAAGACAAAAACTTAATACCATTACCAACTTGGAAGTGGAAGGAAAGAACATCCAGAATCCAGTGGAAATTAGAAAATGCTTCCAGAGGTACTTTAAACAGCTATATACACAAGGGCCACAGAAAGAGTGTGATTTAGACAAATTTTTAAAAACAAATGGACTTCAAAAAATCTCTCAAGAAAATAAGTTAATGTTGAATTACAAAATAACAGAACAGGAGGTGGAAGGTGCCATTCAGAACATGCAGTTGGGCAGATCTCCAGGGCCAGATGGCTTAACCTCAAAATATTATAGGTCCTTGAAGGATTGGATAATTCAACCATTAAAGGAGGTTTGCAATGAAATTTTGGAGGGGAAAAAAGTGCCAGAGTCGTGGAAGGAAGCTTATATTACACTAATACTGAAAAATGAGTCTGAAAAAACACAACTTAAGAACTACCGCCCCATATCCCTGCTTAATGTGGATTATAAAATTTTTGCAGATATTTTGGCTAAAAGGTTAAAAAAGTATTAGTGGAGGAGATACATAAAGACCAAGCTGGCTTTCTCCCGGGCAGACACTTGTCTGACAATACGAGGAATATAATCAACATTTTGGAGATGCTACAAGTGAATATTAATACTAAAGCTGTTTTAATTTTTGTAGATGCGGAGAAAGCCTTTGATAATATTTCTTGGAGTTTTATGAAGAAAAATCTTCAGGGGATGGGGGTTGGTCAAGGGTTTGAAAATGGTATAAGTGCAATTTACTCAGAACAAAAGGCTAAACTAATAGTTAACAATGTGGTGACAGAGGAATTTAAGATAGAGAAAGGGACACGACAAGGCTGCCCAATTTCCCCATTGCTGTTTATTTCGGTCCTGGAGGTTTTGCTAAATATGATCAGAAGGGACCGTCTGATTAAAGGTATACAGGTCGGAGCTAAACAGTACAAATTGAAAGCTTTTGCAGACGATTTAGTATTGACGTTACAGGAGCCAGAATCTAGTACTAAAAGAGTATTAGAATTGATTCAGGAATTTGGTCATGTGGCAGGATTTATGTTGAACAAGTTAAAAACTAAGGTGCTTGAGAAAAATTTAACACCGATTGAGAAAGAGAGGTTTCAGAAGGAGACAGGTTTAACATTGGTTAAGAAAGTAAAATACCTGGGGGTTAACATGACCGCTAAGAATTTAAACCTATTTAAAGACAATTATGAGAAATGTTGGTCAGAAGTGAAAAAGGATTTAGAGATATGGTCAAACTTGAAGCTTTCCTTGTTAGGTCGAATTGCTGTTATAAAGATGAATGTATTGCCAAGAATGTTATTTTTGTTTCAATCATTGCAAATCTTGGACAAAATGGACTGTTTCAAGAAGTGGCAGAGAGACATTTCTAGATTTGTCTGGCAGGGCAAGAAGCCCAGAATAAAATTTAAAATATTAACCGATGCAAAGGATAGAGGTGGATTTGCCCTGCCAGACATTAAACTTTATTATGAATCAGCAGCATTCTGCTGGTTGAAAGAATGGCTGCTTCTTGAGAACACAGACATTTTGGATTTAGAAGGTTTTAATAATGTTTTTGGGTGGCATGCATATTTGTGGTATGACAAGGTTAAAGCACATAAAGCATTTAAAAACCATATTGTCAGGAAAGCATTGTTAAATGTCTGGATAAGATATAAGGACTTACTTGAAAACAAAACCCCAAGGTGGTTGTCACCGATGGAAGCAAAGGCTCAGAAAAGGCTCAATATGGAGGCCAAATGGCCGAAATATTGGGAAATTTTGGAACAAGAAGGAGACAAATTGAAATTGCAGAGTTTTGAGAAATTAAAAGACAAAGTGCGAGACTGGCTTCATTATTATCAGATAATGGAGGCATACAATTTGGATAAGAAAATTGGCTTCCAGGTGGAAAAATCAAAATTGGAAACAGAACTGTTAGAACCCAAAACTAAGATTTTGTCAAAAATGTATAACTTGCTGTTGAAATGGAATACTCAGGATGAAACGGTGAAATCTGCTATGATTAAATGGGCACAAGATCTTGGACATAATATTATGTTTGCTGACTGGGAACAGTTGTGGACCACAGGCATGAAATTTACGGCATGTAATGCCCTAAGAGAGAATATTATGAAAATGATATACAGGTGGTACATGACCCCAGTCAAGCTTGCAAAAATCTACCATTTGCCCGATAATAAATGTTGGAAATGTAAAGAAAATGAAGGTACATTCTTTCACCTTTGGTGGACGTGCCCAAGGATCAAGGCTTTCTGGGAGATGATATATAATGAATTGAAAAAGGTATTTAAATATACCTTCTTGAAGAAACCAGAAGCCTTTCTCCTAGGCATAGTCGGCCAATTGGTGCCAAAGAAGGACAGAACTTTTTTTATGTATGCCACAACAGCAGCAAGAATTCTCATTGCAAAGTATTGGAAGACACAAGATCTACCCACCTTGGAAGAATGGCAGATGAAGGTGATGGACTATATGGAATTGGCGGAAATGACTGGCAGAATCCGAGACCAGGGAGAAGAGTCGATGGAAGAAGATTGGAAAAAGTTTAAAGACTATTTACAGAAATATTGCAAAATTAATGAATGTTAGAATGATGTTGGATAGAAACTAAGTGGTCTTTAGCTGAAATGTTATAAGGGAATATGAAAAAATGGTTTATTAATAGGTAAAAATCTAAAATTACAATATTTTATGATTAATGATTAGGATACATAAAGAGGGGAGGGATTTCTTGAACTAATAACAGAACTGGAATACAAAAAAGGGAGGTGTGAGGAGGTCCTGGAAATAAGCAAATGAAGGCTAAGCAATGGAAGGAATGAATTGTTTTTAACTATTTTTACTTTGTATTTTCTCTTTTTTCTTTTTCTTTTTGTTTTGTAATACTCTGAAAATCTTAATAAATATCTTTAAAAACAACAAAAAAAACAAAGTGTAAGTAGATAAATAGGTACTGCTCCGGTGGGAAGGTAAACGGCGTTTCCGTGCACTGCTCTGGTTTGCCGGAAGTGGCTTAGTCATGCTGGCCACATGACCCGGAAGCTGTATGCCAGCTCCCTCGGCCAGTAAAGCAAGATGAGCGCCGCAACCCCAGAGTCATCTGCGACTGGACCTAACGGTCAGAGGTCCCTTTACCTTTACCTTTAAGGAGTCTCAAAGTGGCCAGTCTCCTTTCCCTTCCTCCACCACAACAAACACTCTGTGAGGTGAGTGAGGCTGATAGACTTCAGAGAAGTGTGACTAGCCCAAGGTCACCCAGCAGCTGCATGTAGAGGAGTGGGGAAGCAAACCTGGTTCACCAGATTACGAGTCCACCACTCTTAACCACTACACCACACTGGTTCTCAGGAGAGGCTGTTTGCTGTTCCTCCTCATTTCCCGCTTCTGCTGGCTTAACTTCTTGTTCCTTGAAGATACACCCTAAGACATGCCTGCATTTCAATGGGTACCAGTGGGCTGGGCCTCTACTCTGTTCTGAACGGAGGAGAGGTGCAAATAACTTCTCTGCGTGTGACAGTGATATGCAAATGTCATAAATAATAATAATTTGGTTGCAATGTCTTATCTTATCTCAGGTCTACCTGTCTCCTCTTTCTTGCAGTGCGTCCTAGAAAAACCACAGTTAATAAATTTAGATGCCCGTCTTGCTATTCTGTGCATGGCGTGTGTGTGGAAGAGTCTATGGAATGTTCCGGAGATGAGCACTATTGCGCTCAGTTGTTTCAGACCCCAAGTACAGGTAAGTCATTTTGACGTGCTCAAGATTACCCGATAAGAAACATCTGCCCTTCCTAATTCTTCTGTGTATTTTCAACTTTACACATGAAGAGGGATTTGTTTGTTAAACCACCATGGGAATTATAGCTCGGGGAAGTGGCGGGAATTGCCTCCTAACTATTCCCAGAATGGTTTAGCAAGCAACACTCTCCTCCCAGGGAACCCTGGAGATTGTAGCTTCGTGAGCAGAAAAGCTCTCAGCACCCTTAAAAAACTAGAACGTGGAATGTTCCCAGAATGTGGCCCGAGTCCCTTTTCACATCCTTGGGTAGTTTTGACAGCAGCTTTCATATGCAATAGCCCACTGAGGGTTGCCACCTGTCCTGTATCATACAGGATTGTCCTGTATTTCAATGTAAAATGCTACATCCTGTGATGATACAGCTTTGTTCTGTATTTCAGGTCTTCTCTCTTTCTCTCTCTCTCTCTCTCTCTCTCTCTCTGCCAAGTTAGGGAACCTTTTCAAATGCATGTCTTTGAAAGGGTGTGTGAACAGGCATGTATGTAAGCTCTGGGTAGCCAAACACAGACAGATTTATAAATTCATGTGTATGTGTGTTTACATGTGTGTGTACCAAATTCCAGAGGGGCCACCCTGTTAGGCTGCAAGACATTGCAAGATATTGCTTTGAAGTCACTTCAGCACCAGATGGGGAAAAAAAATCGTTCCCCAACCACCCCGCCCTGCCCTGTCCCGTATTTTGCCAAAGCAAAATAGGCCTCCTCTGTCCTAGTTTCTCCACTTCCTGCATCTGGTTCTTGGCCAAATAGCAATCCACAGAGAATTAAGAATAGCATCAGAGAATTGTAGCATTGGAAGGGACCCCGAGGGTCATCTAGTCCAACCCCTGCTGTGCAGCAATCTTTTTGCTCCATGTGGGGCTCCAACCCACGACCCTGAGATCAAGAGTCTTATGTGAGCTATCGAGAGGGAGAAGAGTTTCAGGGCCCTTCCATTCTCCCGATGTTGACTGCCATCTCCTGCAATTCTCTCTGCAGGAGGGAACACTGTGACCATCATGAAAGGGTGTGGAAACAAGGCTTACTGTGATCAGATGGAGAAGTTTGCCTCTGCAGCCAAGATGAGGTTACTTGAGACAAGCCATTGTGTACTAGCCTCCAGAGCAGCTAGCATCATTCCAGAATTGTTTGGACTTTTCCTCTTCAGCCATGCTGGGCTCCTGTTTGTGACAGGCCTTCCGTGATCCCTGAGCGATTTTGCCTTTCCACTCAGGCGTTATCCAGAACGTCGCCTTTTTGTGAAGAACGTAGAGCTAAGAGAGTAAAATCTTCCAGGAAATATTTTCAAAAGAAAGAGCGCTTCCTATATATATAATATAATTTTATTATTTATACCCCGCCCATCTGGCTGGGTTTCCCAGCCACTCTGGGCGGCTTTCAACAAAATATTGAAATACAGTTATTTTATTTTTATTATTTATATTTTGGAAGGAGAACGGACACACGTGTAGCATTTGTAATGCTGCAGATGATGAGGAAACACGTTTTGAATAGTAACTCTTTCGCTGCTGTAGTTCAGCGATGGGGAACCTGAAGCCCTCCAGATATTGCTGGACAACGATACAAATATTTATAAAAAAATCTATTTATGGACTGCTATTTCATTTTTTTAAATCCGCAAAGTGCGTAAAATCATACAGTAAAAACATATGAAAAAGTTGAAAACAGACACCAATTAACCACTGTGGAAAGCTGTATTCTTAATTGCCTGCCTAGGTCTGGGGGAATAGAAAGGTTTTCAGCAGGCATTTAAAAGTTGGAACAAAAGGTACCTGCTGAACTCTCTTGCAGTGTTCCACAAGGCTGGGCTGATGATGTCATCAAGCGCACCTCACAAACTTGGGGAATGAGCAACAACACTCACGCAGATGCAGAGACGCCAGGTTGCTGCCCCCCCCCCAAGACCGAGGAGCCCTGGCATGTGGTGCGCATGTGTGACATCATGCATGCGCCATGCTTGCATTGTTGCGCTGTTGTGAGGAGGTGGAGCTCTCTGGAGGAGCCGGCTGCTGAAGCTGCAATGTTTGTCGCCTGATGTGTGTGGTGTCGCATGCGCACGACACGCAGCGAGCCCCCCAACATGGAGGTGGCTCGGTCCACTTTCAACAAATATGGAGGGGGCCAAAGATACCTCGGGCCCATAGAGTTGGTGTGCCTGTGCAGATGATCTCATTGCTCAAGCTGGGGATAGAAGAATTCAAGCGATTCCTGAGGCACCCTGGACCTAGGTTGATGGCAGGGTGGGGAGGAAGGAAGGAAGGAAGGAAGGAAGGAAGGAAGGAAGAAAGAAAGAAAGAAAGAAAGAAAGAAAGAAAGAAAGAAAGAAAGGACCACCCAACTAACTAGTCACTGGGATGCTCTCCATAGGATTGCACTTTTCACATATCTAATTGTCTGTCTGTCTGTCTGTCCCTAATCTCCACCCTGTTCAAAAATAAAACTTCCTAGGCCTGTGTAATGAGATGATGAGCCACTATATGATGTGTGTATTTCTTTACATGCTTGCCTGTCACAATACTGATTGTTGAAGTGCAAAGTGGAATCAGGGGCAGAGTTGCTTTTGCATGATAAACGACTGTATATTGACAATTTCTTTCAATCAAATGACTACATTGTAAATGTTAAGAGCATGCATCGGCTCTGCTTGTGGACCGGAATATTGTTATTTGTATTTCTAGCCTACTTTCTAGTTGAATGAATCCCAAAGCGGCTTACAAACAATAAACAGTGTTCGATACTCCCATTGTTCTAAGCGCATTTTGCGACAGGGAGTTTCATTAGCGCGAGGGGTTTCTGACCTCTGGGCGGAGATTTCAAATAAAAACTGCAGAGTAGAAGGAAAGGAGGACCTTTTTTCTGCCTCCCCACTTCCATCTACTCTCTGAAGCCTGGAGAAGAGACCCTCTTAAGAATATTAGGGGGGTGGACAGGGGGAAGAACTAGACCATGTGAAAAATGAACATAATATTTTAGCTGCAGTTCATTCATTTTCAGCTTTGTATTCTTGTTGTAACAAAAGTGCACCTAGACATTCCGTTGTTGCGCCCATAACCTATGTTTAAGGTGCCATTTAGCTCCTGGCTTTCATATCTCAGTTTCTAACACTGACAATAAATAACAGTAACAGAACATTGCAAGTACAGCATAAATCATGTAAGATTCTTAACAAATCACTTGAAAAATAATTACAATCTGTAAAACACCATTAGCAAAGCAGCAACTGAAAAATAAGAGGTAAATGGAATTGATTTGGTTGCCTTTCAAAGCGTGTGTCTTTTTTTGGAGAGAGAAATGAAAGTTGTCCATGTTAGGATGTTGAAACAATTCATAATTCTGCACCACTGTGCTGCTGCTGGTGGCACTGTGAAATAGACTTAATCGTGTTTATTGTCTAGGGTGCAATGCCATCATGATGAATCATGAAAGCGGATGAGAACTGGGAAAACATTGCGTGCTATGCAGTACTTAAAAGCATTAAACAATTATGAGGAGCCTTATCCAAATAGGAAATAAGATTTCCCCACTTCCCTAGAGACCTTTCATCAATGGTTCCCTGCAGCTGCTCTGAAATAAACATTCAGACCCGAGACTTCATCTGTAGGGAGCTGTGGGGGTGGAGGGAAATAAAGGTGGAAAATCTGCAGAGCATTATTGGTCTGCAATGGGATATAAGGTCAAGAATGGGTAGGTCACTAAGCTATTTCCCCTTTGTTCCAGCCTGTTGGCAGGCAGTGCCGAGGATCCTTGCTTTGCCCCGGGCACTTGCAACCCATGCTACACCACTTCCTCAAGGGTCATCTTGTACAACCCCTGCAGTATAGAAATCACAGCTTAAGAATCCATGATAGATGCTTTAAAACTTTCAATGGAGGAGAGTCCATCACTTTCTAAAGTAGTCAGTTCCACTGTCATTTCTAATGGTTAGTGGGAATCTCCTTTCTTGAAACTTGAATCCATCGGTCTGGGCCCTACCCTCTGGAGCAGCTTAAGCAAAACGTTTCGATTTCCACCTTCTCTGATCTGATCTGCTCTGATGTGAATGAAGCAGAGCTGTGGCTGCAGTGGCAGTTATAGAACACCGAAGATGGAACGTCCAGGACAAAATGGAGCATTTGCCGTAGCTGAGCGATGATCTTCCAGGCTGAACAAACCTCAACAGAGGATAACAGGACCTTAACTGCTGTGGTGTCCCAGCATTTTGGAGAGTCGGTTGAGATGGACAGTCCTTAACGCAACATGTTAAAGCAAAAGGTACTTTGTTAATTGATATATGGTATACATATATGGGGATGCGTGTGGCGCTGTGGGTTAAACCACAGAGCCTAGGACTTGCTGATCAGAAGGTCAGCGGTTTGAATCCCGCGACGGGTGAGCTCCCGCTGCTCGGTCCCAGCTCCTGCCAACCTAGCAGTTCGAAAGCACGTCAAAGTGCAAGTAGATAAATAGGTACCGCTCTGGCGGGAAGGTAAACGCCGTTTCCGTGTGCTGCTCTGGTTCGCCAGAAGCAGCTTAGTCATGCTGGCCACATGACCCGGAAGCTGTATGCCGGCTCCCTCGGCCAATAAAGCGAGATGAGCGCTGCAACCCCAGAGTCGGCCACAACTGGACCTAATGGTCAGGGGTCCCTTTACCTTTTATACATATATGTATACACAGGAGCACATCTATACTTGTGCACACCCCCACTGGACACCACACCATGTGATTGGACGTCGCATGCATTGCTCCACCTACTTTTGTCTGTAGCCACTCCCATTACCGCTCATCAGGGAAGGTGACCCTTAGATTTTTTTAAAAAGCATCTCAGCCCCTGTTCTCTAAAGGGACTTCCCAGATTCGTGCTGCTGAAAGGTCCTGGACCTAGTCTGCTTGGAGCAATAGCCAGTGTTTGTCAAGGTTAGAGCAGACCTACTGAAATTAATGGCTATGAGAAACTTCCAGGAAGCCTCTACAACAGCTGCGCGGATGCTACTTGCTCAAAGATGGAAGGAGGACAAATTACCTATAACAGAAGAAGGGTTGAGAAAGATGATAGACTATGTATGCCAAAATGGTGAAAAGGACCTGGAAAATCAGAGATCAAGAGGACAATAAATTTAATAAAGAATGGGGAAATTTTATAAGTTACTTGAAAAACACTGTAAACAATTAAAAACAATGGCAGTATTTAAAAACAACAACACCTGCAATGAAGGGAGAATTAGGATAAAAATGGAGTTTTAAGAAAATACGGAAAATATGGTACAATACAGTTTGAAAAGAATATCCAGGGAAACCATGGGGGGAGGGACAGAAGTTCTAGGATTCTGAGAATCCTATTTGGAAAACAATTACGATTTATGGGTGGTGATAATTGTTAAAAGTGAAAATGAATAAAATAAAATAAATAAATAAATAAATGCACTGCAATGAAGAAAAATAATGGGGGTGGGGGGGTGGGAGAGAAACTTCCAGGCAGCCTCTGCTGAGCTCTCCTGGACACAAGTAGTAAGTTGCTCCCTCTAGCGGCCAACATCTTGTCCCAGAAATAGCTGTCATTCTAACAGAAGGGCTCATCCACATTCCATTTGCCTTGCTGCTTCCCCCCAGGAAAACCTGCAGCTTACCTCTGAATTGGAACAAACAGCAATCAGGTTTTCTGCAGGTGGCCATTTGTTCTGATTTAGAGCTAAGGAATGACGGAAAGCAGCAGGGCGAATGCAAAAGCACAGGATAAGGGGAAAACCTCTCAAATTAATGCTTTCTAGGCAGGGGACCAGCAGAAGTGAGGACAAACCCTAAGAGGGATATGTGTGGATGCTGTCCAGTTTGTCCTCCTTTGTAAAGCTGCTATTGCTGTGATGATATTACTGTATCTTGGGCTGAGTCCCTTTGATGGGGTGGGAGGGGAGCAGGGCAGAAGGCAGGGAAAGTGTTTGGCCGCTCTCATTCCCTTTCCAGAAAGCGTTTCTCTGCTTTGTACTGTGGAATGGCCCTGGCATAGTCAGAGACATCATTGCACCCCTGTGGTTTGAATCTCAGTCCTGGCCTGGAATTATGAACACTCCTCTGAGTGTCTGCCTCCTTGCCATCTCCATAGCTGTGGGTGAGCATGTTCGGCTCCTTGAGATGGGAGGTCTTTGAGATCTTTTTTTGGTCGGGGGTTGCTGACAATACCCAGCTTGTGTCAAAGAGCATCAGCAGTGGCTACTCCTCTCACCTGGAGCAGGAATGAATGTCCCTGCTGGTGTCTTGCAGATGAAAATGGCGACATGCCTGTTCAACGTGCCTGTTTACACAATAAATAATTTTGAGATGACATTTCTTGACTGAGAACCTCTGGCTAGGTTTCATCTCTCTCTTGTGGCCTGTTTTGAGTTCTGCTTTGCTTTTTTGCTTTCCAACCTTTTAGTTCACCCTCCTCAAAAATGTACCTCAAATCTTGGGGTTCCCCAGAATATGCTGATACCTCCCTCTTGTTTCTCAGTAGCCCTATTCTTCCTATGCAGCCATTACCCATCAGCAACTATGTTTGCTGTTAGAGGAAGTGACAAAGTCATTTTCTGGCTACAGAGGCCCCCAAGAAAGCTGCATTTAAAACAATGACGTTTAAAGCAAGCAAAGGAAGCCCGCTTTGGGTAGACTGGTGCTAAAAAGATGTTTAAAGTAATTCCCTAATGCCAAAAACTAGCTGGAGGGTCACCATCTGCTTGGCTGAGAAGGCAGACTCCTGGCAGCAACCATTCCATCAACTGAGGGAGGAAGAGATGGGAAGCAGGGCTGCTCCATCGGTCCAGTTGAAAGACCCGCAACTTTTGGTTCCTTAATTATGATCCTTGAACTGTTTCCATCCCAGCTGGTCACCAAAAGAGCATGTAACAAAGAACAGGCAACTGAACTAGATTTCCTTCTTCCTCCTCCCTTCCCATCTCCTTTTGCTTCATGTCTTTTCAACAGTGTCATGTAGGGTTGCCATATTTTGAAGAGCAAAAATGAGGACACATTTGCCGACTTCTACTTTTAACTGTGGATTGCTATGATGACTCATTTTACATATCCATGAACAAGAGGGTGTGTCTTGGAAAAAGAGGACATATGGCAACCCTAGACTGAGGGCAGGGGCCATCTTGTTTTTAACAGATCTATAAGCCCCTCTGGAAGCCTCTTTTGCCCAAGAGGAGCAGGCTAGTTGTTGTTTTTTAAAAAATGAATCAATAAACTCAACAATGAAGAAGGCCATTTCTCCCAGTACCTCAGCATCAGAGGTAGGATGGAACCCTGGTAAAGGCCCTCTAGTTACTATGACAGTAGATAGGCAGATGCAAGCAGACATTCAGTTAGGCTCTCAGGTCTAAGAACTCCCTGTTTCCCCTGCATTTTAGGGGATTATACGCTGGACGAGAGTTGTAGCAACAGCAGTGGGACCTCTACTGGTTCTACAGCGCTTTGTTCCATTGGTTTTGACAAACTGTGCACCCTTCAATTGGAGAGCACAGGGGGTAAGCATGCAAGACAAACATTCAGAAACCACCCCAGTTTTCCCTTCTGTTGGCAGATATAGCTTGATGATCTATACCAATCACTCTTCAGAGTAAAGTATTCCTTCTCCGTGTTGGCACCCGCTGCAGATATTAATATTGCACAGTTTGAAGTGACTGGAAGCATAAGAATGGACTCTTTTTGGAAGAAATCATTGTCCAAACCCATAAAATGTTTATGCAAAGTTTGCTTACAGAACTTTCTTCAGAAACATAGCAAAATACAGTAAAGGATACATCCAAAATATCCATAAGATTTTGTGCAATGTCCAGCACTGGCTCAGTATCTTCTTAGAAATAAGAGATAATTTCAAAAATCCGAGCTGTGTCTCTTCCCCACTTCTAGCCTGCTCTGTATTCTGCCTAAGTCCATGCAGATTCTTGGAGAGATTCATTTACATCCTTACTCTCAGAGAGCTCAAGAGGAAAAAATCCAGCCACCACCCTTCCAAGATGGCGAATTTGCAACTCAATACCTTCACCACATGATCAAAGCTTGCAACACTCACATGTTAGATGGCAGAAAACAACAATTACAGTCGTACCTTGGATCCCAAACGCCTTGAGAGTCAAATGTTTTGGCTCCCGAATGCTGCAAACCCAGGGTGCAATTCTCAGAGTGGGGTAGCAAGCGATCCTACTTCACAGAGAACTCTGGGAATTGCTACTCTGTCAGGAGAACAGGGGTTTTCTAACAACTCTCAGGACTACAGTTCCCAGAATGTGTTGGGAGAAGCCTTGACTTATTCAGATTGGCATAACACTGTCTTAAATGCATAATGCAGATGAGGCCTTAGTTTAGTATCACCCATTGTACCTGAATGCACTCTAGACTTTCACTTCACCCCAGTATACATATTTTAATTTCCCTCTCTGCCCCATATTGTCATGACCTGATTTTTACTGGACTCCTTTCTTGGATTACTGGGTTGGAGGTGGAGCTTGTCAAATGCTAAGACTTTCCCCTCATTAACCATTTTAATGAGTTGGTCATATGGATTTGAATTCTGTGGTGGACAACATCAAGTGAGAAAAATGCTTTCTGAACTACAGATGCTGCGTACATCCAACACTCCCGTCAGTGACTGAAATAAATTGATTCATTTATATAGCCAAAGCACATGGTTCTGCCCCCCCCCATAAAAGAATCCTGGGAACTGTAGTTTGTTGAGGATGCTGGGATTTGTAGCTATCTGATGGGCAAACTACAGTTCCCATGATTATTTTGGGGAAATAATGTGGTTTAAATATATGGGGTGTAAATGCTGCCTTTGTCTCATGGCTAGATTTACTGGATAAGAAACACCTTCCCTTCCCCTCTCTTTTCTGTGTAGTTTTTCAGTTTTGCATTATTCTCTATATATGTGTGTGTGTGTAAATATCTGTGATTGGGTTGAATGACAGGCGATCTAGATGATCCCAGGGCTCTCAGGGGGCAGAGCTGTGTCTTCCTGTGAAAAGATAAGAATCCCTACCTCGCCTCTCCATCCTTCCCAATGATCTTCCCCTTGAAGCAACACTGCACAGAATGGAATCCTAGGATTCAATCCTGCAGGGTGCAGAATGCTGCTCCTTTGCGAAAGGTGTTACCTGCAGAGAAGATAGTTGAGTGTGAGCATCACCACACAGGTTGGACTCTTCCGTTCACCAGCTGGAAGGAACCTAAGGACTCGATTCTGCCGGGTACATTCCCATATATATATTTGAAGACTTTATAAATCACCTTTGATTTTGAAAAGAAAGGTGGCCTTTCATGCTTTTTATATTTTCCTAGAAGCACCTTTTAAAGACATATTTAAATAAAATCCATCTTTTTATTCCTGACTAGGCAGAAACACACATACAGAATCATGTCATTTTAAATAGTCACAATGGCACATACTGCCCTAAATCTGCCTCTGCCGTGTTATTCCATCTCTGCTTTGTTCAAATTTCTGCTGTTGTTTAAAACTGCCAAATAAAAACCTGCCTTCTCTTTTGTTCCCCTCTTCTGACTTCAAGAAAATTCATGACTGTTAGGCAGTACTGTAAATTCTCCAGGGGGCGCTGCATGATGACAGCCTTACATTCACACACACACACACACACACACACACACACACACACACACACAGCCTATGCCTCTTCCACTAAAAATGGGGTATCCCTGCCAGTTAGGGTTTATCCAGACTCTTGTGCCACAGCATTCCACATTTTAGCACTCAGTAGGGAGCAAACAGCAATTCAGCTTTTCCTCGGATCAACATTTTCTTCTGATTTATCGCTAAAGTGTGGGTTTGCCCTGGGAAAGGAGTGGGGCAAGGGGGTAAACCACTTGGACCTGTGCTTTCCAGGAAGTGAGGATGATCTCTACGTCCCTAGGAAGCTGCCTTAAACTGAGTCTGACCACTTGTGCATCTAGCTCAATACAGTGGTACCTCAGGTTACATACACTTCAGGTTACAGACACTTCAGGTTACAGACTCCGCTAACCCAGAAATAATACCTTGGGTTAAGAACTTTGCTTCAGGATGAGAACAGAAATTGTGCAGCGGCGGTGCAGCGGCAGTGGGAGGCCCCATTAGCTAAAGTGGTGCTTCAGGTTAAGAACAGTTTCAGGTTAAGAACGGACCTCCGGAACGAATTAAGTACTTAACCCGAGGTACCACTGTATTGACATATTGAGCGCTCCAGGGTTTCAGGCAGGGATATTTCCCTGCCCTACCTGAATCTGGGACCTTCAGAACAGATGTTCTACCACTGAGCTACAGCTTCTTCCCAAAGAGCTTGGATCGCTCCGTTGGTTAGAACGTGGTGCTGATAACGCCACAGCTGCAAGTTCGATCCCCATATGGGACAACTGCATACCCTTGCTATTGCAGGGTCCCTTTCCAACTCTACCAATCTACAGTTCTATGAATTCAGTCCAGTGGATTTACTTTTTTATTCCTACCTTTTATAGCTTTTATATACCAATTCCATAAATACAAATTGCAGAAAAGCAAACACACACACACACACACACACACACACAACTTATATAATTATGTGTATATAAAAAACTGGCTTCTGTTTACCTAGGAAAATTATCTTTCCCCACATAATTAAATAAGCACAACATAGGTTCGGGTCTGAGATTTAATTGGGAACATGTCATAAATTATTATTCCCCCCCCCCTTCCAAAACAATTACTTTTTTACATGTGCAGCACCACACATGAAACAGTCTCCCCTTTTCCGCTGGCAAATCCAAAATTTATCTTCTCTTATATTATATATTTGAGTCTCCAGATACCCACTATGCCCCTTGTCGAAGGGCTCACTTACCCTTGACCTATGAGGGGTCTGAGAGATGTTTCTTTTGTCCCACCCCTTTCCCTAGGAAAACCTGCTGTTTACCATTGAATCTGCACAAATGCCAGTGGATTAACATATGTTCTGATTCAGCAGCAAGCAGTGGGGAAGTAGTGGGGCAAAAGAAAAAAATCTCATGGACCCATGCCTGGAAATCATGGGACAAAATGGAAGAAAACACGGAACGAACAGAAATGTAGATGACCCCTAACAGTAGTATTTACGTTTCTCCGCATCAATGCAGTTAACTAACATTGTTATCCATTCAGTTCCCTCTCAAGCTTCATTCCTTGCATGCATTTCAATGGAGCCCCGTCATGTTAAATGGCATTGCAGCTCCCATTATTTCCTACGGACAGTCTTCTCATTCATTTTAGTGCATCCTCACCTAGCCTCCAACAAAAGTTCATCTATCAGTCTTGGCAGGGAGGGAGCAAATGGCTAATGAAAGAATTACCTCTTGCAATCAGTTCAGAGCCAGATCATGAATTGCCTCCAAACTTCATCCCCCGTTCCCCCTTTGGTACCTCCATTTAATTTATTCTTTCCCATCAACACACTATCCTAAAAGCAGAGTAATGGGGCTGCATGCGTCCAATGTGCTTGCACAAAGCTTACACAGAGGTAAGATGAAGGAGCCTATGGGGAGCGTTTGTTCCAATTTGTTTTGCAGGAAGGTTAGACTTCAATGATAAATCCAAATCCTGGTTTGCATTTGCGGCGGTTGGTGATACATCTTTATCAATCATTTGTTCCACTTCTTTTCCACCCCACAAAAAGTCCTAAAGAGAGAGTAGATTTGTTGCGACAGAACGCTTTAATCCACTTTCACTGGGCAATATCTGGGATGTGATCGAATCCCTCTTTGCAAAGGACTGCTAGCCTGGAGGCAATCCTAGAGGAGGCGAAGAGCGATGAAGGAAACGGCAGTGGAGATCTCCAGCTCGAAGTGGAAAAGAGGCAGAAGAAGAACCTGCAGCCTTCTCTCACATGTGATCCCACCTCTCTCCTTCCTGCTTTAGACTCTGAAAAGCAAACTCTAAAACACCCAAGTGTAACATCCACAGTTGCAACCGCTTCTTGTCCACATCGGTGATTTTTCCAAGCTGCAGCTGCCTCCCTCTCCCTCTCTTCAGCTGGCAATGACATTCAGACAGGAGGAGGAAGGTCTTTAAAATAAGGGAGGGAGGATAGGTGGGAAAGAGGGGGGTGGGGGAAGCACGGAATCATAGGGAAGCTACAGCAGAGGAGGGGGCAGGGAATTCACTCTCACGCCTGCTGTTTCTGAGGTTGAAATTTCTAAAGCTGATGAAGGGTCTAAGAGAGGTAATAGGAAGCGAACATAGGCTCCACACACAAAAGCACTGGAATTCCTCCAGAGAAAGCATGTCTCCCCTTCCCCTTTTTAATAACTTTCCAGAAAGTAGTAAATAACAATTAAAACAATCTTTCCCTTCAAAGAAGTTTTTTGGCTTGTAGATGGCTGTTTTATTGCACTGGTTTTTGGCTGCTTCTTTTTTAACCACTTCAGCTTCTTTGGTTTATCAGAGTCACTCTGCTGCGGATGTTTTTTCTTTTCTTTTTCCATCCTGTGGTGTTGTAGCATTTTAATGTATCTTTGATGTTGTAAGTGATGCTTGAAGTAGTTCATCTGGGGTTGGATTTTTATGTGGGCCCCTTTCCGCTCTTTGTGAGAAAGGGCAAGGTACAAATGTTTTTTAAACAAGGAAGGAACTGAACAGACCTGACTTCAGCAGAACCCAGGGTTCAAACCTGTTCTCTGTCAAAACCTGAACGCAGCAGAATCTGCAGATTGACTATGTAGACAGGAAGCCTCTTGGATATTTTGTTTGCTGATGCTCCTTGGACCCAGTATGTCCAAGCCCCCTTTTACTCAGGGTTTATGTTCCAAGGCGCTGCACATTTAAGCGAAATCTTGTATATTTGAAGAATTAAATGGCCTCGGTCCAGTATACCCGAAGGAGCATCTCCACCCCCATCATTCTGCCCGGACACTGAGGTCCAGCTCTGAGGGCCTTCTGGGGGTTCCCTCGCTGCGAGAAGCCAAGTTACAGGGAACCAGGCAGAGGGCCTTATCTGCAGTGGTGCCCGCCCTGTGGAATGCCCTCCCACCAGATGTCAAAGAGAAAAACAACTACCAGACATTTAGAAGACATCTGAAGGCAGCCCTGTTTAGGGAAGCTTTTAATGTTTAATAGATTATTGTATTTCAATATTCTGTTGGAAGCTGCCCAGAGTGCCTAGGGAAACCCAGCCAGATGGGCGGGGTATAAATAATAAATTATTATTATTATTACTAGTGAAGAAACCTGCAAACACTCCGTTCTGCCCCTGCCCCCTTCCAACCCTTTTTGTGACATTATCAGGTCACTTCCAGGTTTTGGTGTGATGCATGTGTGTGCAGTCACACACATATTGAATGCACATAGATGGGTTCTCTGTATAGCACTTATGGAACATTTAGCTCATCGTTGGAGGGTGATAAGAGGAAGGCAGCCCTGTTTAGGCAGGTTTTTGATGACTGATGTTTTAATGTATTTTTCATCTTTTGTTGGAAGCCTCCCAGGGTGGCTGGGGAAACCCAGCCAGATGGGTGGGGTATAAATAACAAATTATTATTATTATTATTATTATTATTATTATTATTATTATATTACCAATGGTCTCCATTGGAGAGAGACTTTCTGTTCTTCAGCAGGCAATGGTGTTTCCATCTAGCCTTTCCCAGACTATGACTTTGAGGACAGCAGCAGCAGCAGCAGCTAGGAAGAGAGTAGTTCAGGGATATGTACATATTTAAATAGTCTTATAAGTTGTGCTTCTTTGTTTCTCAGTTTGATCCTTTTACATGGTTTTGTATGTTTTGTCGTATTTTATGCATTACGATTTGCTGTTACTTTCATTGATTATATATTGGTAATTCTTTATTGTGGTTGAACTGTTTAATTATTTGCTGATATTTCATTTTACTCTTTACTATTAGATTCTAATGGATCATTGACTGTTGCTATGTTTGATAAAAGTTGTTTATTTTAAAGTTATTGTGACTTTTATATTCGGTCAGATGGTTACTATTAATGTTTGATGTTTTATTATGTTTTTATGTCTTGGAAGCCCCCCAGAGGGGCTTGGGCAATCCAGTCAGATGGGCAGGAAATGAATGAATGAATGATTGATTTAATATCATTTGCGTTATTAAGTGACGTAATCTCCCATCTCAGACACAGCAGCCACTAGGGAAAAATAATCTTAACACTTGTTAAGGAAATGCCCAAACTTTCAGTTTCCCGACTTAGCTAGAACCTGGTCTTGTGGGTCAGGGGCACCAGATCCTGCCCAACTTTGTGGGTGCCCGGCATGGGCCTATGACATCACTCGCACGGCACATGTGTGATGTCACACAGTAGGAGGAGGCCCAACTAAGTCCGTCGTGGCCATGGGAAGGCCCAGCGAGGCCCATTGTAGCCTCCAGGAGGCCTGTTGCAGTCAGAGGCTTACCACCACTGCTATAAACTAATACGTAGCAATGAAAACAGAGTTTAGACAGGAAACATCTTTTCCTGTTGCATGTTAGTAACAGTTCTTCAGTTTCCTCCTAAAGTGATGGTGGTTTTGGTCTCTGTAAACATTTGGAAAATGCCCTGACATTGAATAGAACAATATTTCTTTAGTTCCCTCTAAGCTACTTCTTGTAAAAGCTGCTGTGACCCTACTTGTTACTCACCCTTTTGGTTTTGAGAACTGGGAAGAGAATGGGTGTAGTATTGTTTAAGGCAGGCTTCCTCAACCTCGGCCCTCCAGATGTTTTGAGGCTACAATTCCCATCATCCCTGACCACTGGTCCTGCTAGTTAGGGATAATGGGAGTTGTGGGCCAAAAACATCTGGAGGGCTGAGGTTGAGGAAGCCTGGTTTAAGGCTCCTTCCTGTTTCTGAGAAGTGTTTCTCTTTTCTTCTGCAAAACTCCCAGTTGCAGAAGAATCAGAGATGGTAACCTACAGTCAGTGTACCAAGGGTTTTAGAACAAATTTTTGAATTTGGAGAGGTAGCAGGTTTCAGACTTGACAAAAATAAGACAAAAACAAGGCAACAGAGGACTATTGCCCTTATTTCCTGTTTGCAGGCTTCCCATGGGCATCTGATTTTCCTCCAGAGATGAGTCATAATTTTCTTGAGTGAGGGGCAGCCCCACAGTTTGAGTACCTCTGGGCCAAGGGTAGACAACATAATGCCCTCCAGATGTTGCTGGCCTCCAACTCCCATCATCCTTGACTGTCAGCCAGGTTGGCTGGCTAGCTGCAGCTGAAGGGTTTTGAAGTTGTTGTGTAGACACTCGATTCACCTTGAGCTCTTTATTCTGGGGAGTAATCTCTGATCTCACGAGAGGAAGAGAGCCCTCCAAACACCATCCAGAGCACAGCAATATTTATGCATTGCTGATCGCACGAAACACAGAGACTTCCTCAAATATAACATGGAAAATTTGAAGCAATATTTCAAGATGTTCCAAAATAGATGCTCGCCCTTTAAATTCAGCTTGCATAGCAGTTTCTGCTGCTGTTACTGGCAGTTGGGGGTAAAACATGCTAGAATATTTTTGCACAACTTTTATTTGTAGCTAAGCAGTACATGGATAATCAAACGCCATCCTTACCGTCCATTCCGTGTTACTTTCACTTCTCTGATTGACTAAGGCTAGGTTCAATATTCTTGATCCTTAATCCTGAGCCAAACTTTATTGATTTCTCTAACAAAGTATAGCAATATTTGGAGGTATAGGAGCCAACTCCTAAGGGCCAAGGTCCGTTTGACACCCCCCCCCCATAAAATATCTGAGGGAGCTGCCTCCCCGCCCCCAAGTTGATGGGCATTGCCATTCAAATGGTGTGTGCGCACACCGTGTTGTCTTGTGGTTGATTATGTGGAGTGAGGATTACCTACTTATTTATGCTACAATTGCCACATAATATTTCTTCTGCATTTGTGATAAATTGCCTTTTGATTGTGGCAGCAGCTAAACTCTGGAACTCCCTGCCGATCGACATCAAGCAGGCATCTTCAATGTGCTCTTTTTGGTTCCTGCTAAAAAAAATTGTTTGTTTAGGCAATCATACTCAGATATGCAGAATGTTGACACACGTGTTAATGTGGGTGTTTTTGTTTAAATGTTTTTAAATGTTTCAAATACAGTGGTACCTCGGGTTACATATGCTTCAGGTTACATACGCTTCAGGTTGCAGACTCTGCTAACTCAGAAATAGTACCTCGGGTTAAGAACTTTGCTTCAGGATGAGAACAGAAATTGTGCTCCGGCGGTACGGCGGCAGCAGGAGGCCCCATTAGCTAAAGTGGTGCTTCAGATTAAGAACAGTTTCAGGTTAAGAATGGACCTCCGGAACGAATTAAGTACTTAACCCAAGGTACCGCTGTACTTGATGATTTCATTGGTTTAGTGTCTTTGTAAACAGCTTTGAGGGTGATGTTTCCCTTTCTTCCAATCACGTTGTATATAAATTTTACGAAATAAATAAATTCCATCCAGTTTTGCCCCTGACCACTGTTGGCATGCCCTGCACCAAAAAAAAGTTTGAAGGAAATGTGGCTTTCAGACTGAAAAGGTTCCCCCCCACCTTGCTGAATCTGATCATCACACAAGTTCCTGCTGATGCAAGCAGGGAAGTGATTACTCCTGGAGCTCCTGAAGGAGTGCCTCACCCTGAAAATACAAGTCTTGTAGCAGTGAGCATCAGAGCCTGACCTCCTATTTGTCTTCATTTTTCAGGGCGCTTCTCAGGGTGCTGTTTCCAGACTTTTTCCAGTCAAAATGTTCCTCAAATGCACCAAGGTGCTGGATTCTTCAGAGCTGCTTCTCTGCAGGCAGACTTCGTCGCAAAGCAACAGGGCAGCCACTGCAAATGAGAGAATTTATAATATTCAAAGGGCACAGCCCTGTAATCAAAATACTAATATAACAAATGATACCCGAGGTACGGGAATTGATTCCTGTTCCCTTGCTGATTAACCACGCAGGTGCATCATTTCAGTTTACCTTATACAAGGTGATAAACATGCAGAAATATTATTCAGCTACCTCTTTTCTGACTGACTCCATTCTACTGGTTCTAAACCAACTCATTTTGGGGGCTATGTCCACAGGAAACATGTTGACCTTTCAAAATGTCCTGCCTTGCCCTCCAGTGGTATTATGGCAAGCCAAGAGAGTTGTGTGCATCCTTGAGTGCTGCCTCCCAATGGTGATAGAGGTAATTAATGATCTGTTGCATTCTTGGAGAGTTTCCTGCCTTCCCCTATATGGCGCTGTTCAGTTGTTGTTTGACTCATCCCCCCTGACCATTGGCCATGCTGGTTGCGATTTTTGGAGTCCAATAACATCTGGAGGGCACAAGGCTGAGGAAGGCTGCACTGTTAGGTGAAAGGTGAAGGAATGTCAAGGACTGTGCTGAGGAGGGCTGCACTGAGGAGGAATGGTGGGGGAGCCACCCCCTCCCCCTGATTCTGATCCTGATCCTGAATCTTCCCAGGAGCAGGGGGACAGTATAGATTTGGAACAGTAGTTTGCAGAGGGGCAAAGTTCAGAAGGCAGAATCTGGGAAATGCTGGATGGGGAACAACTAGGAGATGAAACACTGGAAGAGAGAGGGTTAACAGATTCACAGTCATTATACAGCATTCTTCTGCTCTCCCCAAGGTTGAGAAGAGCTCAGAAAGTCTCAAAACAGAAAGCGCAGAGGGTACAAGCTCAGATTACAAAATGCAGAAGTAGATTAATAGAGACGGAGGTGGTGTGGACCTTAATTGGGAGCACCACCATTCTAGGAGATGTGTCCTTTATTCTCTCACTGTAATTATTAAAGATTCTAACTGGTAAGATGTTCCTTTTGTCTGATCCTTTCTTTACTGTCATGGGGGAGGAAGCCAATTCCCCAAAGCCTGACAAGGAACTTGGAAGCTTACCAATGTATCAAGGGTATCCCTGTACACTGGATGGAATTTACCTGATGTGGGTGAACCCTGGGGGGGCTTCACTGGAAGTGGTACACATGATAGGCAACAGTAGCACTTCAAGCAGTGTCAAGCAGCTTGGGCAGACAACTAAAATTTCCCACAAATCACTGGGTTGAGGCATGATGCCTCAGAAGCATTGCGGGAAATTTAAACAGCAGCTCTCAGCATCCCCCCAGCCACCCTACCTAGAATTACTTGCGAGTGGCAGGATGCAACATGCTCCAAAAGTATTTCTTCTCTCTCTGGATTTGGCTTCTTCCACCACCTCTTTGATTCCATTCTCTGATTGGCTCAGAAACCTGGAATATGATTGGCCTTCTGCCTCCTGGTGCTTCTAGAATCTCTACAACAGGGGGTCCTAAGCTGTGGTCCATGGACCAGCCATGGCCTGTAAGTTTCATTCAGGTGGCATGACTTTGAAAATACAATTAAGAATCATACAGTGTCTGCCACAGCACTTTACAATTGCTACAACGGATTAAAAAACCATGGCCATCAGTAATTTTCAAGAAGTCCAGCCACTGCTCTAGAGAGCATGGGGTGGGGTGAAACTATGAAAGAATTACTAAATTTAAGAAATAGAAGCATACTTGTGAGCAAGGATGGATCCTGCAGCTCTGGGCTGGGTGGAATGTAAGGTGTGCATAAACCAGGGGTCCCCAAACTAAGGTCCACGGGCTGGATAAGGCCCGAGGGCCTTGTTTTTCTGGCCCGCAGCAACCCCCGCCACCTGCTCTTACCGGCACTGTGCTGCGCAGCTGCCCACTTCCGGGTCGGAGGAGCACCGGAAATAGCTTGTGCACATGTGCAAGTGTTATTTGGGCATGCGCATGTGCAAGCGTTATTTTTGCATGCACAACCATTATTTCTGGTGCACATCTGGGTCGGAGGAGGCCCATACACATGCACACACACTATTTCCAGTGCTCCTCCAACCTGGAAGTGTACCAGAAATAGCATGTGCACATACGTATGGGCACACACTCCCCTGCCCTCCGGCCCGCCGCACGATCGATGCTAGAGACACCGGCCTGAGGCATGGTAAGTTTGCTGACCCCTGGCATAAACTGATAACATGCAACCAATCAGCTACAACCAGCCATGCCCTGGCACCCCCTGATCTTTCGTTCCACCGGCAAAAATGAGAGACCTATCCACGGGACACTAACACAAAAACTCATACACTATGTAAGGAAATGAAAGTTTACTGTTGCTCCTCCTCCTTTCTTTTTCATCCTCTCTCCCCCCCCCCCAATTTCTCTTTTCTCCACAACTCCACATTATGAACTTATATAATTTCTCCAAGTTATAATGATAAATTCTCCAACTGAATGGCATAATTCAGTTCACTACAATTCGAAAACAGAGACACTGAATACTACTGTTGTTACTCACGAAAATCTTTCATGAATACTGAATAGTACTGTTTTCATTCAGTGAATACACTGAATACTACTGTTGTTACTCATGAAAATCTTTTAATAGAAACAAATTGGGCAGGGGAAGAGGCACCCTAGATTAAACCACCTAAGGTCTAGTTGACAAGAACACAGAGACTCTGGCAGTTTATCTCAAGGTGTGCTTAGCTCCGAAGGAAGCCTGTTGAGCAAGCAGGGAGCAAGGGGGAGGGGGGGAGAGAGAGCTTTGCTACGTTGTGCTATATACTTAGTAGCAAGAGAAGTGTGTTTTAGCTATTGCTGGCCCACATGCCCTATTTGCATTGGGGAGAGTAAGTTAGAGAGTAAGCTCTGAGGTTGTTTTTGTTTTTACAAGCAAGCGGTATAAAGATCTTACAAGACAAGTGGAGTGGAGTGGAGGACTCCCTGGTCCTGAATGAGGTAACTGTGCCCCTGAAGGACCAGGTGTGCAGCCTGGGAGTCATTTTGGACTCACAGCTGTCCATGGAGGCGCAGGTTAATTCTGTGTCCAGGACAGCTGTCTACCAGCTCCCTCTGGTATGCAGGCTGAGACCCTACCTGCCCGTGGACTGTCTCACCAAAGTGGTGCATGCTCTAGTTCTCTCCCGCTTGGACTACTGCAATGTGCTCTACGTGGGACAACCTTTGAAGCTGGCCTGGAAACTGCAACTAATCCAGAATGCGGCAGCTAGACTGGTGACTGGGAGTGGCTGCCGAGACCATATCACACCAGTCCTGAAAGACCTACATTGGCTCCCCATACATTTCTGAGCACAATTTAAAGCCCTAAACCAGGGGTTGGCAAACTTTTTCAGCAGGGGGCCAGTTGACTGTTCCTTGACCTTGTGGGGGGCCAGACTATATTTTGGAAAAAAAGTATGAATGAATTCCTATGCACATTATGTGTTACAGCTAATGACTTGCAGTTCAAACCTCCTCATGTGCACAGTGGAAGTGGGCTGGATGCCAAAGCACTGTCGCTGTTGCAGCCAAGACGGATGTTCAACAGAACATCCAGTACGTTTCCAAGCACAATTCAGCTGGACTTCTGAGAGATCCCCGCCCTGCTCCTGCACACTCGCAATTAGGAGTGGGATCAGGCAGCTCAGCATGGGGGAGCGAAGCCTCCACACCACTTCTGAGAGATTCCCGCCTCCATTCCTGCTTGCACGCAAGTAGGAGCCGGATCAGGCAGTTCAGCTGAGGAGCACCTGGCTGCCTTCAGGTGCTCTCAGCAACTATTCAGCCTGACTGCCTTCAAGGGGTTGCAGGGGATCTGAGGTGGAGGTGGGGGCTCCTTTAAACTTCTCCCTTGAGGGGAGTGCAGCTGCGAACCCCTCAATGGAAAGTGTGACAGAGCCTGCACCTCGCCAGCTGATGAGCCCCAATCCAGCTCTTGTTCTCATGCAGAAGTGTGGCACCCAAAACAGAAGTAAATTTACGACATGAAAAACACACAAGATACATAATAAAATAAAGCTAGCTCAAGCCTGAGGCTTTCCTGCACAAACATTATTGAAACATTCTTAGTAGTGAGGTTGTGGTCGAGGCTGGGTTTGGACAGAGCACAATTTCTTTCAGGAACTGGCTGCTAATACACCAATTGGGAGTTCACTCAGAACAAAATGTTCTTGCTGACAAGCATCTGTTGCTTCTGTCTAAGCTGCTCATATTGTAACAAAACAAAGGGAGGGCTGAACTTAACAATAAGCCAGTTTTTCATAATGCAGAACTCAGGCTCCATCCAAACAACACATCTAAACAGTCCTGGCTTCCCCCACAGAATTCTGGGAGCTGTTGTTTGTTAAAGGTGCTGAGTGTTGTTAGGAGACCACGGCTCCCCTTAAAGAACTACAGTTCCCAGAGTTCCCTGGGAATAGCATTTGTTAAACCACTCAGAGAAACATAGCTCCATGAGGGGAACATATGTCTCCTAGCAACTCTCAACACTCTTAATGAACTACAGTTCCCAGAATTCTCGGGGGGGGGGATACTGCTTTAAATGTATAATGAAGATGGGGCCTCATTGTGCAGAAGCCCCTTGATAATGAGGAATAGGGATGGAAAGATTGATCTGTTTCCATTTCTTTCTGTTTCTCATTTATCCAGCCTTCAGTTCTACACTTTTCTGCACCAATTCAGAATTTAGCAGTGTCAAAATACAGACCAAACTAGTTTTTTGTCTTTCTCCCCCTTTCCAGGAAACTGCCTGGCAGAGGAGCCCAATAAAAGAGAGTTTTGTTTCTGGATTGCAGTGGGAGAAATGTAAGATGAAGAAAGAAAAAAGAGTTGAGTTCTGCAAGTAGTTTGCAAGCTGGAGAAAGGGGTGTCAGAGCAACGTGAGCAGGCAGCTTGAACCCAACATTACAGCCTGGGACTCATTTGGATTCACAGCTGTCCAGGTCAATTCTATGTCCAGGGCAGCTGTCTACCAGCTCCATCTGGTACGCAGGCTGAGACCCTACCTGCCCAAGGACTGTCTCACCAGAGTGGTGCAAGCTCTAGTTCTCTCCCGCTTAGACTACTGCAATGTGCTCTACGTGGGGCTACCTTTGAAGGTGTCCCGGAAACTGCAACTAATCCAGAATGCAGCAGCAAGACTGGTGACTGGGAGTGGCCACCGAGACCATATAACACTGGTCCTGAAAGACCTACATTGGCTCCCAGTACGTTTCCGAGCACAATTCAAAGTGTTGGTGCTGATCTTTAAAGTCCTAAACAGCCTCAGCCCTGTATACCTGAAGGAGCGTCTCCACCCCCACTGTTCAACCTGGACACTGAGGTCTAGTGTCGAGGGCCTTCTGGCGGTTCCCCCACTGAGAGAAGCAAAGTTACAGGGATACAGGCAGCAGCCTTCTCGGTAGTGGCGCCCACCCTGTGGAACACCCTCTCATCACATGTCAAGGCAATAAGCAACTATCTTACTTTTAGAAGCCATTTGAAGGCAGCCCTGTTTAGGGAAGTTTTTAATGTTTAATGCTAAATTGTGTTTTTAACGTTCTGTTGGGAGCCACCCAGAGTGGCTAGGGAGACCCTATAAATTATTATTATTATTATTATTATTATTATTATTATTATTATTATTTTCCTGGTGTTCCTCAATTTTGTAATGTCCTTCTTACCCTGCAGTACCTATTGCATTATAGAACTATAGCATGTTGTCCTGAATTTCATTCACACCAGTGGCCAGTGTCACTGGACAACATCACTATTCCATCACTCTTTCCACATGTCCATGCACCCAGAAGGAACTTTGTGCAAATACACTGCCTCAAAGTTTGTCACATTACTCCCACAATTTCTCTGGATGCAGCGTGAGAGGAAAGGACTGGGAAGGAAGGGGGGCAAGCAAAGCAGGGAAGCCCCGGGCAAAAAAAGAGAGAGGTACGCTGTGCTGGCATGTACCCCCTCAAAAAGCCAAAGAAATTCTTCTAGCCAAAGAAATCATAGAATCATAGAATCATAGAATTATAGAGTTGGAAGAGACCACAAGGGCCATCGAGTCCAACCCCCTGCCAAGCAGGAAACACCATCAGAGCACTCCTGACATATGGTTGTCAAGCCTCTGCTTAAAGACCTCCAAAGAAGGAGACTCCACCACACTCCTTGGCAGCAAATTCCACTGTCGAACAGCTCTTACTGTCAGGAAGTTCTTCCTAATGTTTAGGTGGAATCTTCTTTCTTGTAGTTTGGATCCATTGCTCCATGTCCGCTTCTCTGGAGCAGCAGAAAACAACCTTTCTCCCTCCTCTATGTGACATCCTTTTATATATTTGAACATGGCTATCATATCACCCCTTAACCTCCTCTTCTCCAGGCTAAACATGCCCAGCTCCCTTAGCCGTTCCTCAAATGTTGGCTGGCGTGACATGGCCCACCGTCACTGCAACATGATTTAAAAGCAAGGAATTCTGGTAGCTCTTGTGAGCTATCCATATTCAGCAGTAAGATTTTGACTCCCAGAAGTTCTCATAAAAAACAGAGGGGTCAGAGGGCAGATGTTTAAAAATCTGGAGTGAAGTATAGCAAAAACTCACAAAGAACTGGGTTTGTCCAAAAGTTGGCTGCAGTAGTAGTTGTTGCATATTTCTCAGATTTACTTGGATGTGACCCTCGGGTTTCTGGCAATGCTCAAAACGGGGAGTGCATTGTAGTAAAACAGAGAAACATTTTCAGAGAAGGTTTCAATTCAGAGAATTTAGAGGCAGGGCGGAGAACAGAAAGCAGAAGCACTCACCCTTCTTGGAGCCAGGGGTTAAAAAGTGTGAAGACGGGCAAATCTTTTTCTAGCTTCAGAACAGCACAGTGCATTTCCGGAGATAAAGCTTGTGCACTAATAAACTTTCCAGTTGTCACAAGCCGCCTCGTTTTTGTTACAGGAGACCCACGCAGCTACTCCTCTCTAAATTGCTGATCACAGGCCTAGGAGACTTCCAGAACCATGGAGACGCCACTGCCTATCTGCTTCCTTTCAATCTTCATTGTGACAGGTGAGTAGGCTATGCTGAGAAACTTTTGAGGCTAAAGGGTTTTCAAGCCTTCTAAGAATAAATAAATAAACTAAGACACAGATATTTCCTCAACAGAGCAAGCTCAGAATTAAACAAGGCTTCATATACGGCACACATTGAAAACACAAAACTTCACTGAGGGCATCTCCAGAACTGGGAACTGTAACTCCATGAGGAGGAAACTACAGTTCTGAGGATTTGGCATTGGGGATTCAGTACACAAAGTGTTCTTTAAATATCTGGTGGGTACGCAGCTGGAGATAATTTAGTTCTGAATGAGTTAGCTGATTAGTATTTGTGCCAGTATATTGCAATGGGGATAGGTATTGGCACTATGTCACATGAAGGGGTGACTTCAGGTTTGCCTACACATTACATTGAATGTACAATCTCTCTTTCTCTCCATGAATAGTTGAGCTGTATACTTGTATTCATATGTCATGTTGAACAAGTGTGGACTTGGTCTGCCTGTGTACACAAAGGTTGAGCTGTACAAATATAGAAGAACCACACAACCACTTGTATGGTACATAGAGATGGCATGTATCTTATGGTTACCAGACATCCCAGTTTCCCAGGGACAGTTCCCGGATTTACAAATCTGTCCCTGGACAAAATCCGTCCCCGGAATGTCCCCGGATTTCATTTAATGTCCCCAGATTTCTATGTTAAGTGGTGTAGATTTATTAGTAGGGAATGAATGTTGCATGATTGGTTCAACGGCACAAGACACATCATATGGGGACTTCCGGTGAGGCAAAATGGTGGGTGCCACAGCAGTGAGCAGCTCCTGAAGCTAGCCAGAGCCAACTGTGCTACCAGGCAGGCTCCGGGCTGCTAAGACGGCCACTGCCACCGCCACTGCCGAGGGGGGACTGGGGACATTTTTGGTACATTGCCCTCAAATGATTGTGTAGGAGGTGGCTGATAAACTGATGCTGAAAACAACAATAGACTTTAGGTGACCCCCTTGAACGATTCTGGTTTGCATGTGAATGAGGTTCTCAGGATGGTTCTTCTGATTGGTATGTTTGCTCAGTTGTAGACCATCAGGACTAATTTCATATAGCAGAAGGTAACTGGTTTAGAACATTAGAAGTGCCTGCTGCTGGACTAGAGCAATAGTCCTCTTGATACTATCAGCCCCAGCATCCTTCTGGACTGCCTCTGATGGGTTTTCTTCTGTTGCATTTTGAAATGTCAAACTTTCTAAATTCCCCTGAAACAGAACTTGATGAAGGGTGGTATGCAAACATTTAACAGTGATAAACACACATACACAACAAAGTAAACACAGTCAGATTTAACTTTCTTATTTTCCCTGGTTTTAGGGGCTTCTCTGGAATGCGAGACTTGTGCAGGCGCTGGGAATACCTGCAATGGACCTATGGAAACGTGCTCTCCTGGTTTTGACATGTGTGCTGTTACTCTGTCGGAGGCCAGACTGGGTAAGTGAATGGCACCACCAGGGTCCTGTGGACAGAGAATGGTTCCAAATACTTTCCCAGCTTCCTCTTCCATGGCCAGGACCGGTTTCATCATTCACAGTAGCAGCTCTGCAGCGTAGTAGACCAACGCAACTGGGGCAATAGCTTTGGCTTGATTATCAGGAGTTTGTGTGCCCATCCTGCTCTTTTAGCACAGGGTTACCTTCCCCAATCCTAAAACAGGGAACTAAAAGCTGCTCCTTCAATTTGAGAGAAGTTAACAGCATTGGTGGCCTAGACAGTATGAGGACTAGGACTTTCACACTGGTATTTATTATTATTTATTAAATTTATCTAACACTCTTCACCAGGAGACCACAGGGCAGTTTACAACACAGGACACATAATAAAAGGTCAATACCCCCACATATCAAAAGGCCTTAGATTGATTAACAACCAAAGTCCTGGTTAAAGAGGAATGTTTTCACCTGGTAGCTTCGTTACCAGGTGAGCTGCCCTGGGGAGAGCAGTCCACAAACGGGGAGCCACAGGTATAAGTAGAGAAACAAATCTAGTTTGTAGTTGCTTTTGTAATTAGGCCACATTCGCAGCATATATTTTAAACACTCTGATAGCACTTTAAACAATTACGGCTCCCCCGCCAAAGAATTCTTTGCTAAGGTTATGGAGAGTTGTTAGGAGACACCCTCCCTATTCTCCTTCCCCTGAGCTACAATTCCCAGAGTTGCCTGTGCAGAGGGGTTGGTTGTTAAATCGCTCTGGCAATTGTAGCTCTGTGAGGGGAATAGGGTCCCATAACAACTCTCAGCACCCTGAACAAAGTACAAGGGTATCATAGAGCTTCAGATGTATGCCCTGACCTTAGTGCTGATCTCACCCATGAAACAGTAGGAAAATCAAGTAATATCATATTATATCAAGTAAGAGTGCTCTGAAGACATACGGTAGGCTGGATCCAACGGTAGTCGTTCAAAACAAAACCACCAAGTTGCATCCAACTAAAATTCATGGCCCTATGGTAGTGATATCCAACCTCCCCACTCACTTAGAAGAGCCTGGATGAGAATAATAGAGGCTATAAATGTCAATTTTCTGGAGCCCCAGTTCCATGCCACCAATTTCTAGCATCCCATCTGTAGTTATCCTTATGCCTCCCTCCTTCCTTTGCCTGATTAGAATGTAGTTGGACCATCCCTTCAAGGAGCCAGGATGACTTTCTTCTTAATAACCTATTGCACCACCCTAATGCCTCATTAAAAAGCTCCAGCTAAAAGGATAGCACACTGGTCATCTGGGAAGGACCTCTGTCCTGGACCCTCAGTATCTTCTGCCACCAGCTGGACTTTCCCAACCAAGTGGCCTCTAGATGTTTTGGATTCCAGCTTCCATCAGCTCCAATCATCAGGGTTGATGAGAGTTGAAGTTCAGAAATATCTGGAGGACACCAAGTGGTGGAATACTGCAATAGGCTTGATCGACCAAGGAAAGTGAAATGACTATTGCTCAAGATACTGAGAAGTAGGGTCAACACCACTGTGATTCTTTTTCACACATCCTGTTCTTCTTTTAATGCTTTCAGGAATGAAGATGAACTCCGTTGTGAAACACTGTGCGCAATCCAAATCCTGCAATGATGGCACCTCCATCATCAATTTCGGCAAGACAGGAGAAATGCTGAGCCAAGTGTTTTGCTGCGTTGGAGCCAAGTGCAAGACAATGACCCCCACCTGTATGTTGCTGCCATGCTCCTCTTGCCTTTCCTCACTCTTATCTTACTACCTTTCTTTTCTTTTCTTTTCTTTTCTTAAACAGAAACAACAATCAAAACCTAATTCCTCTATTCCTTCACTCTCACAATGCTCCTGTTTAATCCAATGAACTCAGTATTGGTGCATTTCATTTATTTATTTCTGTTCAATTTAATAATGGCAGGAAAAACCCCATGTACAAGGAGCCCTCCCAATTCCGTAGGGTGAGTTTTGGGATCGTTCTTCTGCCCCTTGAGAATTGTATCCCTTATTCAAGAAGCAAGAGCCCCCTCAAGTCCAATTTTAAGGGTTGTCAACCTTTGGGGGCCAGTGGGCATATCTGGAAATTTTAGGAAGTGCCATGGATGACAGCCATAAATGGCTGCCCTGGGGAGTGGAATGTCACAAAATGGCTGCCATTGCACAAAATGGCAGCTGCATCGCAAAGAGCAGATAAAGCGACAGACCACAGGATAGTGCAGATGTGTACCACCCCCCATCCATGGGGGGAAAACAACACCACCCATAGCAGCTATCATTAGGTATATTCATAGAGAGAAACTCATCACAAAGAAGTGAAGGCAAGGTGGTTGCCTGATCCTCGGATCCTATGACATGTTGCCATGTTTACGGAGGCATGTTTAATGTAGGAGAGGCTGAGCGAGTACAAACAGGAACCATGCAAAAATCGCAAACCGTCTTCTTTGGGTTCTGGAGAAGACATTTAAAGAGATTTTTTTATGGGCCCCAAATGAGATACTGGCAGACACATTGGAATGTGTGAGCCTCAGGTTGACAGCCCCTGCTGCATTTAAATTTAGCTTGCCAGTCATGAGCAAAGTGAGGAATGGTTTGGAAACAACCCTGCTACCCCCTCAAACGTTCTGACCCACTGAAACAGAATTATAAAATGTCTGGTCAAACAAGTGCGTGACATTGTCTTCCTGATTATCTTGGTGCTGTTTTTCTGTCATCCCAAATGTATGCAGTGACACCCACAAGAAGCAAACCAAATGGGAAGTTTTGCCCAGCCTGCTACGCTATGAACAGTGAATGTGAGGAGGAATGGGTTGAATGTAATGGAGAGGAGATCTACTGCCTTCATGTTTCTGGAACTACAGACCTAGGTACCTAAACACATATGTATATACAGAAGCAAATCTATCACAGAAACTCATACGGACCATTCTTGTTTTCCCATCCCAAACAGTGTAGCACCCAGTATCTCAGGCATCGCCAACATTTTTGGACTTGCTTTAAAAAAAGGGGGAAAAAGAATGAAAACTCAGAGTCTGGGAAACCTATCCAGGGACACTACTGGAGACCTTCACAGGTGCCATGGCACTCACGAGGGCCAGGCTGGCAAGGCCTGATGTATCTGGGCTGGGATCGCAGTCCATGTACTGGTGGCTTCGAGACTAGAGTACTGCAATGCACTCTGTGTTGGGCTGTCCTGGGGTGTGATTTAGAAGCTCCAGAGGGAGCAGAATGCAGCAGCTGGGCTGCTGATGGGGACAGACGGCTGGCAGCAAGTGATACCTCTGATGAAACATTTCCACTGTCTGCCCATACACTACAGGTCAAAGGATCTTATATTTGGTCTAGGACACCTCAAAAGCCTCTTCTATCCCAGCTCACCACTGAGATCCTGTGGAGGAGAGTTGCTAGTTGTGCCCCATGATTCAGAAACCTGATTGAGGCTGGATCTACGTTGGTCTTCTAAATGTCATTGAATAAAACATTCTATAATGCTTAATGGGCAGTTTTCCATTGCCAGTGGCTCGCAGCTCTACAGCGCCCTCTGGTGTCACATTTTAATGATGCATTTTTTTAACGTTATAAGTGTAGATCTGCCCTGGCTTCAACTAAAAGTTGGGCATTTAGTATTGCCCAGCGGTGGAGCAAGCATATTGGAGCGGGGCCAGCCGCCTGCGGGGGTGGGGCCAGCCACCCGCGGGGCCTCTGAGGAGTCTGCCTGCCTCCTCCCACTCAGCCACCCTACAACTTAGGGGGAGGCGGCTGGTGGACTGTTAGAGCCTGCGGGCACCCAAGCCCAAGCCACCGAGTCACTCCCAGGAGAGACACATGGCTTGGGCATGGGTCCCGTGGTGAATGCCTCCTGGCAGTTTGTCACCCCCCCCCAGTGGTGACACCTGGGTCAGCTCACCCCCCCTTCCTCCTCCCCTGGTATTGCCTAGTCCAGTACAGAATCAGCAGGCATTCTAACATTCAGAAGCCGTTTTTAAAAATGTCAACAGTCCTACTTTTAAGATGAGCCAGCCATTTCTTAACTGTTATGAACTGGATTTTGGTATGGGGAGATGCCCGGTGGCATTTTGACGAGGTTGGCATCAGGCGGACGTGGCGACAAGACTTGCAAGCGTGAACCGCACTGAGTCCACAAGAAAATGTCACGTGGAAGTTGGGTGTGATAGCTTTGGTCCTCTCTGCCATGCACAAAATCAGGAGAGATTGGACTTCTCTCAGTTCAATTTGTATCCCATCACCATAGGAAAGGGGTAGATGGCTATCACAGTGCATCACATATTGTTGACTGGCAATCTTCTGCAACCCTCTCTTTAGGAACATTAGCTGTTAAGACCACCATGAAGGGCTGTACGAACTCTCCAACCTGTGAGGAACTGAAAGAACATTCTGGCTCTATATCTGGGATCACTGTTACTTCCTTAAGCAGTTGCAGGCCAGCTGGCAGCACCTCTGGAGGCCACAGGATCGTTCCAGGATCATTTGGACTCTTCCTTGCAGCCCTTGCTGGCCTCCAGTTTGTGATGCACCTCCCATGATTTCGCCCCCTAGGGTGTCTGGCTTGAGGAATTCCTTGCTGCCGCTTGCTTGCTTGCATATGCAGACTATAGGCTTTCCAGAGCTCTCACTGACCTCAGCAAACACCAGGGATAGGGCACCAAATATGGGCCTTCTAGACCTCTCTATGTGGCCCTTTGCTCCCTAACCTTCTTGAGTGTTTTTGTCTGTCTGGAATGAACTTAGCTCAAATACAGCCGCAACACATGGCTAATAAGTATGGTAAATGTATTATTAGTTGTAGTTAGAATATAATCCAAAATTTACAATTCATAAACATCGTTATATAATGTATGTATAAGTCCATAAACAAGAAATAATCAACGTAATGAATTGCTGTCAGGGAACACCACGACACAGGCAGAATCCCTTTCAATAGATAATGTCCAACAGTATTGTACTGGTGGTTGCTCCCGTGTGTAGAATTCAATAATGAATAGCAAACAAGCAGAACAGTGTTTCTGGATTAAATCAACTGTTTCGAGAATGAATCTTCATCAGCTAATAATAAAATTAAATACGTTACATACAATGTATGAAAACAAAAATAGTAGCGACCAACCTGAATATTAGATAATAAATAAAAAATGAACAAATGTGGAATACATACCAAATAATTTGTAATAAATTATCAATTCAGGTAAATGTGATACTTATAGACCAGTGCTAACTGGTATAGCCAACTGATGCTGGTAATACAGATGTATTGAACTTTTAAGGCTGTATCAAATAACACGCAGTTAAAGGAAATTTAAAGGTACAGTGTATCAAATTTGGCATCACAACGCAAAGTAAAACCATATGTCACAGACTTTAAATGAAATGGAATGAACTTAGGGCCTGATGTGCACAGCACAGCAATGCATACATTAGGTGGGCGTGTACATATATTACATATATTACATGTATTCATGAAAAAAATGCCTTGTATTAGGGAAAATTGCTTGTAAAAAAAGGTGTATATTGGGAAAACAGCATACAAAAATGTGTATAATGGTCAAAACTGCATACAAAAATGGCTATATTAGGAAAAGCTTTCATAAGCATGCAAATAAATTTGCATGTGTTTTGTTGTTGCTGCTGCTGTAAATGCAAACTGCTATGGCAATGTGGAGAACAGAATTAAAGATTGGGAAAATGAGAAACAGATTGGTCTGCCACCTGCTTTTGTGGAAATTTCCCTCATGATTTAGAACTTTGGAGCTTGGAGTCTTTGGGCAGGAATATTGAGAAGGAAAAAATGCGACACTTTTGGTTTCCATCACGGTGTTCCGTTGTGCCAGAAGTGGTTAGTCATGCTGGCCACATGACCCAGAAAGCTGTCTGCGGACAAACACCGGCTCCCTTGGTCTGGAAGTGAGATGAGCGCCGCAACCCCATAGTCACCTTTGACTGGACTTAAACATCCTGGGGTCTTTGACCTTTTTATTTTTAACCAGCGGTTAAGTACACACCATATAGTTAAAGGGCACACACACAAACACACACACAAAATCCTGGGAACTATAGCTTAGCCATCCCAGAGCTACAACCCCTAGCACCCTTAAACAAATTAAAGTTCCTAGGATTCTTTGTGAGATTCCTGCATTGCAGGGGTTTGGACTAGATGATTCCTGGGTCCCTTCCGACTCTGTGATTTAGAACTCCATGATTCTATGATAATTGTGCAATTTAAGCAGTGCAGTTTAAATGTGGAAATGTTTCCCTAGCCCTGCATATTTGGCCTACACTCCTGCTCATCAGTTAATATTTCTTTTCCCTGTATACAAACCTGGGCAAAGTGCAAAGGACATGGAAGAATCTATTCTATGAGGACCAGGGCGGATGGAACTGCATTTCTGGTTTTTGGATAACTTGGCCATCCCCTCCCCTCCCCCGCCCTGCCCCCCACCCCCCCCAGTTCTTCTGCAAGATAGCATTCAGTGCATTCACATGTGACGAATATTGCATTATGTTTCCTGATTATAGTGCTAGTGTTCCTGTCTCATTCAATAATGCTCTTCTCAGCACTGGAAAACTTGTTGCATTATGGAACTGTGGCATTTTGTCCTGAATTTCATTCCCACCAATGGGCATCCTATGGTGCAACAACGAACATCATTGGACGACATTGCTTCTTTCACTCTTTCCACACATGCATGTTTCTGTCCCCCCATGAAAATATCAGAAAGGAATGCTATGCTGATACGGCGCCTTCATTAAAAAAAATAAAATACTCCCACAATTTTCTGAATTAAACGAATTCATTTTTTTCTGGAATCAACCTAGCAAACTACATTTCACTAATTTTCTGGGCTTTTGTGGCCCATGAAAGCTCAAATATAATGTGAAAATCAACAGCTGACAAGCTGTAGTTAAAAGCGTATTGTTGATCACTTCTCTCTCTCTTTAATAATAATAATTTTAATCAACGTTGGCTGATGTGACATGGGCCACCATCACTGCGACATGGTTGAAAAGCAAGGACTTCTGGGAACTCGTGGGAGCTATTCACATCCAGCAGTAAGGCGTCGAGTCTCAGGTGTTCTCATGAAGAGCAGGGAGGGCAGGGAATGGTTCTTAAAAAGTCTGGACTGAAGTATAGCAAAAATTCACAAAACTGGGTTTGTCCAAAAGCTGGCTGCAGTGGTAGTAGTCATAGGAGCCAACTCCTTGGGGCTGGGGGCGTCTTTGCCTCCCAATAAAATATTTGAGGGGCCCACACACCCCAAGTTAATGGATATTGCCATTGAAATGGTGTGTGTGTGTGTATGAGTGTGTGATCTCATGTGATCAATTATGTGGGGTGGGGCTTACCTGCCCCCCAATTTTATTCAAATTGGCACCCCTGATTGTTGCTGCATATTTCTCACATTCACTTGGATATGACCCTCGGGTGTTTGGCAATGCTCAAAATGTTGATTGCATTGCACGAAAATAGAGAAACATTGGTATAGATTTCTCAGTTGACTTTCAACTTTGGCAGCAGGACAGAGAATAGGATTATTTTTTTTTTAAAGTGCCCTTGCCCTTTCTGGGAACTGTTTGCTCAACTTTGTAGAACACCCTCAGCTGAGTCACACAGAGCCAGTGGCTTTGCTAGATGAAGAAGAGCACTTTGTGCTTATAAAGACATGGTTTGTAGCCCACAAAAGCTTCTGCCCTAATAAACTTTTTTTTTAGGTGTCATAAGCCTCATTTTTGTTATAGGAAACCCCCGTGGCTACTCCTCTAGAAATTGCCGGTCCCAGGCCAGGAGACCTCTAGAATCATGGAGACCCCACTGCCTATCTTCCTCCTTTCTGTTTTCATCACTACAGGTGAGTAGATAATGCTAAGAAACCATTGAGGCTAATGGGTTTACAAGCCTTCCAAGAATAAATTAATTGCTACATCTCTTAAGAAAGGTCCATAGAAATAGAAATAGGCTGTGTACACGTCATACATTTAGAGGGTGCTGGGAAATGTAGTTCCGTGATGGGGAAACTACAGTTCTGAGAATTATTTGGGGAAAGTGCACACTTGAAATGTGCTTACATGCCTGCCGTTTTTTTGCAGTTTGAGATGATTAGTATCTGTGCCAGTGTATAGCCATAGGGATAGTATTGGCACTGTGTCACATGAAGAGTTGCTCGTACATTATATTCATCGAGTGCACAATCTCTCTCTGCACACACAAATAGTTGAGCTGTACACTGTATAGCAATCCACATGTCATTTCTAACACATCCAGGTGATACTTTTTCTTGAGAGCCAGTGTGGTGTAGTGGTTAAGAGCAGTAGTCACGTAATCTGGGGAACCGGGTTCGCGTCTCCGCTCTCCACATGCAGCTGTTGGGTGACCTTCGGCTAGTCACACTTCTTTGAAGTCTCTCAGCCCCACTCACCTCACAGAGTGCTTGTTGTGGAGGAGGAAGGGAAAGGAGATTGTTAGCCGCTTTGAGACTCCTGAAGGGGAGTGAAAGGCAGGATATCAAATCCAAACTCTTCTTCTTCTTCTTCTTTACCCTGTTTTTAGGGGCCTCTCTGGAGTGTGAGATTTGTGAGGGCCTTGGGCACTCTTGCAGTGGGCCTACGAACAGATGCCCCCCTGGTTTCGACAGATGTGCCGTTATGCTGTCAGAGACTACAGTGGGTAAGTCCATGGCAAAAGCTCAAGGACCGCCTCTTTCCATACAAACCTACTCAGTCCCTGAGATCATCTTCTGAGGTCCTCCTTCATGTGCCTCCTCCTTGAGAGGTCTGGAGGATGTTGTCATGGGACTGCCAAGGAACGCCTTTGAGCTGGGGGGAAGAGAAGAGTCAGCGCGGGTATAGTCAGAAGGAGACAGAGAGGAAGTGACGGAAGGGGGAGAAGAAGAGAGCCAGGAGGTAGGAAGGCTCTCCGATGCTGAAGCAGAGCCCCAGCACCGCACAGGGAGTTCAGGAACAGACAGAGAGCCTATGCCTGTGCCTTTGGCACAGTAAAGGAGAGGGTTAAAGCGCAGGGATCAGAGACATCCCCTGCCTTTTCTGTTGGAGGAGAAGCAGGAGAAGACCACTCCCCGAATCTGAACCGGACGATTTGGATGCATGATTGTACTGTGCTGCTAGTACATATGTAAAATAAAGAACTGTAACTATCTTTCTGAGTGAGCAGAGGGTGCTTATTGCAAAGAGCATACACAAACCATCACAGGTGTCAGTGCAAGAATGGGCCTTTTCTGCAGTGGCTCCCCATCTGTGGAATGCTCTCCCCAGGGAAGTTTGCCTGGCGCCTTCATTACACACCTTTAGGCTCCAGGCAAAAGCGTTCCTTTTTAACCAGGCCTTTGGTTGATCCTATGCCCTTATAAAATGTGGCTCTTTTTTTGGGGGGGGGTGTTATTGGGTTGTTGTTTTTATTTTGATTATATATACAGTGGAACCTTGGTTCTCGAATGGCTTAGTTGGCGAGCAAATCGACTCCCAAACACCAAAAACCCGGAAATAAATGTTCCTCTTTTCAAATGTTTTTCGGAAGCCAAACATCCAACGCAGCTTCTACTTGAGTGTAGGAACCTTCTGCAGCCAACTGGAAGCCTTGGTGTTCGAACATTTCAGAAGTCAAATGGACTTCTGGAACGGATTATGTTCGAGAACCAAGGTACCACTACATTGTGGGTTGTTGTTTTTTTAATCTGTTCTGTGAACCGCCCTGAGACTTCCTGGTATAGGGCAGTATAATAATAATAATAATAATAATAATAATAATAATAGCTAGAAAGGAGACTCTGACTAAACATTAGGAACAACCTTCTCATGGTAACAGCTGTTTGACAGTGGAATGGGTTACCCCAGAAGGTGCTGGTCTCTCATCCACTGGAAGTTTTTAAACAGAGGTTGGATGGTCATCTGTCAGGGACTCTTTAGCTGAGATTCCTGCAATGCAAGTGGTTGAACTAGATGGCCCCAGGGAGTCCCTTCCAACTCTACAGTAATATGATTCCATGGCACTAACTGCCCCCCAAAGGGGAATGAATCCAGAATCTTCCCAGTTTCGTCTTGCATAGGCTGGACTGGCTTCATTCTTCACACTAACTCCACAGAGTAGGAGTCTAAGCCAATTGGGGCAATTGCTTTGGTTTAATTATGAGTGGGGTTATGTGTCCTTGATGCCCCCATTAGCACAGGATTTCCTTATAGCTCCCTGAATTTCAGAATACAAAGGCTTCTGCTCAGCATGAAACATGAAAAGAAAAGCCGTTTCCCCAACTTGAGAGACATTAGCAGTAATTGTAGCCTAGACAGCCTGGGGACCGAGACATTCTCTGTGGTATAAGTAGAGGGACAAATCTAGTTTTGTAGTTAGTTTTGGTTTCGGACTTTAAAAAAAAGAGCTATGGAACAATATTGTATCAAGTAAGGTTGATGCAAACGTGTAAAGTGGGCTTTATCCAGTGATGTTCATTTGAAGTGGACCCATTAGATTGTGTGTCCTGCTAAAATTAAAGGACCTAAATTAGTCATGTCCATTCATTTCAATAAGTCTACTCTCAGTAGGAGTAACACTGGATTAAAATCCACTGAAGTTAGTGGGCAGCAGATCTTCTCCACAGTACTTCTCAGCTATATCTGAAGAGGATGGATGGAAATAATAGAAGGGGTAGATTTAAATTATCTGGAACCTCAGTTCCATGCCACTAACATCTGCCATCCCAGGTGGAATTATTGCATTGTCTCCCTCCCACCTTATTACAAATGTAATTTGACCTTCCCTGCAAGGAACAATAATGGCATTCCTCTTAATCTAAGAGGATGGATTATGCCGAAATGGCAAAAATGTCCGGAAGAATCAGGAAGACTAAATTTTAATAAGGAATGGGGGAAATTTATAATTTATCTTAAAAACCATTGTAAACAGTTAAAACCATTAGTAGGATTGGAATAACACTTTTAGTTTAATGGTGAATGTTGGACATAATGGAGATGCAAAAGATTTGGATTATTATAAGAGATGCAGGAGGAAATGATTAACAATAGGACCCACAAAGGGAAGGAGGGAAGTCCAGGAGATTCTTTGGAATCTTGGTTTTTTTGTTGTATGTTGGATATGTGATTGAAAAAATTTAATTTGAAAACCAAATAATTTTTTTTAAGTAATTGCTTTCCTCCTAATGACCTGGTGGGCCACCACAGTGCCTTATAAGGAATGCTCCATGATGTCACATGGGACATAGGGGAATGACTTCATTCTGAGATCCTTGATATCGTCTTCCATCAGCTGGGGCAGAGAGCCTTTCCCAACCTGGTGTCCTTCAGATTTCCTGGACCAACTTCCATCATCCCCAGGCAGCATGGCCAATGACCAGGGAGGATGGTAGCTGCAGTTCAGAAACCCCAGGTTGCAGAAGGCCACAATAGCGAGAACTGGGCTCTATGGACCAATGATCCAATTCACATGAAGTGACATGACACTTACCAAGGATGCTGAGAAGTAGGGTCAATACCATCGTGGTCCTTTTTCAGACATCTTGTTTCCCTTTTGATGCTTACAGGAACAAAGTTGAAGGCCATTGTGAAGAGTTGTGTGCCATCCAGTGCCTGCAACAATGGCGTCACCGTCCTCAATATGGGCCAGACAGGAAGAGTAGTGACCCAAGTTTTCTGCTGTGTGGGGGACGAGTGCAGGACGATGACCCCCACCTGTATGTTGCTGCTGTTCTCCTCTTTCCTTTCCTCTCTTTATCTTACAACCTTTAATTAGTTTTCTTTAAAAACAGCAAACAACCAAACCCTAAATCTGTCCTATTCCTCTGCTCCTTGACTCACACCACACTCCAGTTTAATGAGCTCACATTGGTGTACTTCATTTATTTATTTGCAGCCCATTCAAAAACAGCAGGGGAATCCCTAACGCACAAGGAGCCCTCACAATTCTATACAATTAGTTTTAAAAAATCTTTCTTCTTTGCCCCCTGGGAATTGTATTTTTTATTAGAGAACGAGCTCCCTCTATATCTATTGTAAGAATTGTCAATCTTTTTGGGGGGCAGTGAGCATACTCAGGACTTGGGAAAGGGACATGGGTGACAGCCATAAATGGCTGCCATAGGGATGTGGACTGGCACAAAATGGCCTCCTTGGAAGAGGCATGGTATGACACAAAATGTCAGCCACAAAGGGAGCATACCACAAAATGGGACAGACATGCCCCCACCGCTCCATTGACAGGGAAAAGGATGGAAGGAAGGGAGGCTATCTGATCCTTGGATCCAATTACATGTGGAGATTTTTAAGGAAGCATGTTCAATGTAGGGAAGGCTGAGCCAGTGCAAGCAGGAACCAAGCAGAAAATCCAAACAGTCTCTCCTGTCTGTGGGTTTCTGAGGAGATATTTACAGAGTCATTTTGGGGCACCATAGGAGATGCTGGCAAACACTTTAGCCCTTGTGAGTACCAGGCTGACCACCCCTGCTGTATTTGAATTGATAAATGACACAATTTGAGGTCTAAAGCAAAAACAACTGATACACCTTTTATTAAAGTCCTCACCTCTTTCCAAAATTTGTACGCTTGTTTTACAAGACCGCAACATGTGCCAGTAGGCCCCATTAATTTAATACTTGAAGAAAGTCTTGGAGATGGCCTCTTTCCCCCTCAAATATTCTGAATTGAACTCATAATTGGTGAACGCCTCCACCCCACATGAGGAACTTAGAAACTGGCTGCTCAAACAGGGGCTCAAACTGTGTTTTTCTTTCATCCCAAATGTATGCAGTGACGCCCGCAAAGCCAAAGCCGAATGGCAAAGTTTGCCCAGCCTGCTATGCTCTGCACAGTCTTGAGTGTGAGGAGGAGGAAGAGGTCAAATGTTCTGGGGATGAGAACTATTGCCTTGCCTTGTCTGGGACTACAACTGCAGGTAGCTGAATGCTTAAGCATATGCAGAAGCAAATCTACACTCCACACAACAACTCAGACTGGTCTTTATTATTTCACTACTTCAGTCAGTACCGCTACATTCTGAAAGGTACCCCATACCTCAGAGGTCACCAGCCCTTTTGGACCAGTGCATACATTTTGAGAGAGTGCTGGAGTGCCAGTCACAAAATGGCTGCCATGGAATAGGCATGGCATAAGACAAAATTAGAGAGACAACCATCCCCAACGACCTTATATTTACCATGGGAAGTCAGCTATGTCCTGCTGGTCTTTGTTATGGTGATCACACACACACATGTTGTTGCTGTCTCATAAAAACAGCAAGCATTCCTCAGTACCAGGGACTACATGCAGGTCTTGCCATAGGAACATTTCTAATTGGGCATTTGTCCAATATCTCCCCATGCCCCTCTCTCCATGGTTTTTTCCTGAAATGACTGCAGCCAACCAGCAAGAGAGAGACAAAGGAAAAACTGATTTGTCCGATCTCTTCTGCTCTCTCACTGGTTCAATCTTCCTCCCTCCCTGCATATCTGCTGCCCAAAATGGCTGCTTCTGACCAACAAAGCACAAACAAGCAAGGATGTAAAGAAGTGGGCAAACTCTTGATGTTTGGATATCTGAATCTGCAAAGTGTATAGCAAGGGGCAGTCATAATTATTTACATTCCAATAAGTGAATTTTCACATAGTGTGAGGGGATAGCAGAACCTGAGTCTATACAAGATAGACACACCATTCTAATTTCACAGAAATTATTTAGAGGAGCACCTGCACTTTTGCTCCATAACTTTCTTTCTATGAGGGCTAGATACTTCTTTTTAATAAATAAATAAATGAAAGCTGGTTTCAGAGCTGTTACCACATAAAATAAAGTACATTCTCAAGAGACTACACCATAAGATGCTACATCAAAAACAACCTGTTACCAAAAAATGTAAAATAATTTTGTTTTGTTATGAATACCAAACAAACCCATATTTAATCAGGAATTGCCATCCTGTCATATACGTAGCAAATGGTCATGAAATGGAAGCAAAAACCATAGATTTAGCTACACCCAAAGATATTCTTCATTTATGAGTCAATTTTTCAGAAAGAATGATAAACATTACTTTTAAAAACCATTAAAACTAAAACTAAAACTGAAGGGCTCCTTCCAGCCCCATGATATGGCCAAACAAGCAGCTACTAATAGAAAAATTATAAGTGGTTTACATATTCAGTCTGTATTTGACCCATCAAAAATTGATAAACAACACAATTTGATGTCTAAAGCTAAAACTACCAGTACACCTATTATTTCAGAAATTTCCTGCCTCACCTCTTCTCCACATTTGTACGCTTGTTTTACAAGGCCACAACAATCCTTGAATTCTAATCCTTGAATTAATGTGGAGGGCAAAAGATTTTGGATGGCGCTTTGATGACATCATGCAGACTGGGCAACAAATTTGCATGTATGATCAGTGCACAGCCCGCAATAAAGCACTGTGGAAACAGAGTGTGATAGCCTCATCCCTCTCTGTCACACACAAGATCAGGAAAAGATGGATCTAGATCCCTACCTCCTCCCATCTTCTCTCAGTCAATACCGTAGAAGATGGGTATGTGGTTATCACAGTTCATAATATATTTCCCTGGTATTGATTGTTGACTGGTGATCTTCTGCAATTCTTTCTTTTAGGAGCCTTAGTTGTTACAACGATCATGAAGGGCTGTACGAACTCCGCAACCTGTCAGGAACTGAACGAGCATTCCGGCTCTTTCTCTGGGATCAGTGTTGTCGCCTTAAGCAATTGCAAGCCAGCTAACAGCTCTGGAGGCCACGGGATCATTCCAGAATCATTTGGACTATTTTTTGCAACCCTTGCTGGGCTCTTGTCTGTGATGCACCTTCCAAGATGGGGCTAGAAAGCCCACTGCCTTCTCAGGGCTCTTCTCGGCCACTTCTGGGCTCCACAGATTTTGCCCCCTGGGGCAGAGGCTGGGCTGTCGTGACCCTTGCTTGGGGCTCTTGGAACCTATGAGGACTGTAGGCTTTTCAGAGAAGACAAACCTTCAGCTTACACTAGGGTTGGGGAGCCACACTTGCGAGGACCAATTGTCTCCTCTTTCTATTTCAGCCTCGGGACTCCCCCCCAGGTCACTTCCCTCACCAACTGTGCTTTGCAATCTTCTCTTCTCTTCTCTTCTCTTCTCTTCTCTTCTCTTCTCTTCTCTTCTCTTTTTATTAAAGATTTTCTTGGGTTACAGAAGTACATGCATCATCTCTAGTTTCAGATCATAAAGTCTTTTTTACAGCTCATTTATATTTGATGTGAGACTTTGATGTTGTGTGTGGTATAAGGTTGGGGAACAAGATAGGTAGGGAGAGAGAGGGGTAGTCAGTTTTTATTCTTTTACATAATGTAAGTGCAATATTTTTGTGTCCATGTCATGTTGGTAGGTTCTTTTTCTATCCATTTAATAATTTTCATCGGCAGTGAGAGAGGTTGGGGGTGGGCAGGACCTGGCTGGGTGACCTTCAGTTGATTGCAGTGGGTTTATTTGTGAGAGGGTAGGGTTGTTGGGTCAAGTTAGCCATATCAGTTTGCATGCTGTCAGTGGGTTTATGTTGTCGTCTTGTTGGGCTGTGTGTAGCAAAGGGGAGTCTCACCGGGGTGAAGACATCCTTTTCTTATTTGTCCCTGTGTCTGTTTCAGTCCACACCCAGCCCAAAGTGCACACCAAGATACCCAAAACATTACTAAGTTCCTCCTCTGGGCTCTGAGCCTAACATCCTGATTCCTACAGACAAGGATACCATCAAAACTAAGCCCATTAGTGTATCAAAGCAGGCATATAGGAACATCTATGAGATTATAGCTATAGCAACTTCCAATTAATTGAAGGGTTACCTTGCCAAGAGGGCTTAAGTACAGCTTCCAGAGCAGTTCAGCTTTGATACAACACAAGCCTTCCCTTGCCTGATTCAGATATCACTTTAAACAGCCTTGTCTGCCTCCAAAGAATCCTGGGAATTTTGCTTTGTTAAGAGTGCTGGGGGTAGTGTGGAGCTAGTTTTCAGAGGGCTTTGTCCAACAATCCCGCTTCCCAAGGAACTCTGGGAATTGCAGGGCAATTGCTGTGCCTGCAATTTGCAGATAACTTTCTCAGGAAATAAGCGTGGTAGGAGATGAAGTTACTGGGCATACCAACAAATTGCCGGGCCTGAATGGTATTGTTATAAGAAAAGCTGCTCCCTTTGCCTTGTGGGGTATTCCAGAGCCCATGCAGAGTCCTTAAGTGGGTTCCCTATAGGTAGGAGAAAATAGCAGAGGCCAACCAGATTATATTGAAAAGCAAAGCGGCTAGTAAGCCTGATCTTTCTTCATGGAACTGTTGCAGCAGGGTCCCCACTCACCACATGCAGGAGGGAGGAGAACCCTGAACAATGGTGCACAAGCCCTTATATAGATTTTTGAAATTGCCCACCCTGTAGCCCAAGACCACCCCCTAAAACATCATACATACATCACAGAAGGAGGCGGTCTACAGCAGAAACCCTGTTTGCCAGAATACCTGATAATGGTCACTCACTGCATTACCAGGGCAGCCTGGCCATTCTTTTGTGATGCTTAATACTTTAGCTCCTGAATCCAGGTCACAGGCTCACTCTATTCCTGCACAAATATGCCCTTAAGACAGGATTTGCAAGCAAAAAGACATTGGGAAAGCTTTCCCCATTTGCCTCCCTTACTGTAGAGGAATATTTGAGGTCACTGGGAGAGTCAAAATGGCTTCAGGATAGCTCTCCCATACTATTTCAGGCACATGGTTCATATATTTAGACATGTATGCATTTATGAATATTTATTCTACACTTGAGACCTTAAAATTCTTATAACAGTATCCACTTGAGAGTTTTTTTAAAAAAATAACCCCTCAGATGTGAATATTGTCATATGAACTGCCAATACCGTAATGCCTTTATAGACTTCATACTTGGGATACTGTATACAGCTGGGGGTCACTGCGTTGCACGGCACTGCAATGGGTGCCAACCATAAATTAAAGAACAGAGCCTTAACAACAAATAAATAGGTAAATGGCTGCTTAATGATTCATTGCTGGTAAATTCCCCTGGTTGATGACTTTGTCATATGCAAATATGCATTATGCAAGTTTCGGGTTGCACAACTCAGTATTTGACTTTGCAGTGCTCTGTTGCCGTACAATTTAATTATGGGTCTATGATACCAATGTGAATATTTTTAGCCATTTTAGGGAGATTAATGGCACAATGTGACTGAAGGGCAGAAAGGACGATTAAAGCCATTGTCACGGGCCCTTCTCAGGGTGATCCTATTTTTGCAGACTATGGGAACATCCCTATGCACATATGAGCCAACTCCTAGGGGCCAAGGTCCCTTCATCCACCATAAAATATTTGAGGGGACAAGGGGTGGGGGCAAACTTGATCGGCATTGCCATTCAAATGGTGTGCATGAGCCACCATTTGAATGGCAATGGGGCTTACCTGCCGCCCAATATTTCATTCACGTTGGAGCCCCTGCTTTTGTGCATCCACCACACATTTGAAGCACAACTTCCCAAGGAATCCTGGGAACTGTAGTTTGTGAGGGATACTGGGAGCTGTTGCTCTGTAAGGAGCAACTACAGTTCCCAGGATTCCTTGGGGGGAGTCATGTGCTTTAAATATTCATTGGATGTGCTTTAAATGCATGGTGAGCAGGTTTGAGTTGGTGGCAATTGACCAGGAAAGAGATCTTTGACTAGGACTCAATACCTTGACTTTAAGAAAGCCGACTTCATAAAACTTAGGGAAGTGCTGGGTGAGATCCCATCGACAGTAATACTAAAAGGAAAGGGAGTTCATGATGGCTGGGAGTTTGTTAAGAGGGAGATAGTAAAAGCACAACTTCAGGCAATACCAATGAGACAGAAACATGGAAGGTGCCTAAAGAAGCCAGGGTGGCTATCTAAAGCACTTTTAACTGAGTTAAGATTAAAAAAGGATGTGTACAAAAAATGGAAAAGGAGGGAAACCACCAAAGAGGAATTCAAACAAATAGCCAGCACATGTAGACACAAAGTCAGAAAAGCTAAAGCACAAAATGAACTCAGGCTTGCGAGAGAGGTTAAAAGCAACAAAAAAGGCTTTTATGGGTATGTCCGTAGCAAAAGGAAGAACAAAGAAACAGTGGGGTCACTCAGAGGAGAAGATGGTGAAATGCAAACAGGGGACACAGAAAGGGCTGAACTCCTCAAGGCCTTCTTTGCCTCAGTCTTCTCCGATGAAGAAAACAATGCCCGACCTGAAGAATTTGGAGCAAATGATTCAGCAGAGGAAACACAGCCCAGAATAACTAAGGAGATAGTACAAGAATACTTGGCTAGTTTAGATGTATTCAAGTCTCCAGGGCCAGACGAACTGCATCCAAGAGTATTAAAAGAACTGGCAGATGTGATCTCAGAACCACTGGCAGTCATCTTTGAGAATTCCTGGAGAACAGGCGAAGTCCCGGCAGACTGGAGGAGGGCAAATGTTGTCCCTATTTTCAAAAAGGGGAAAAGAAAGGACCCAAATAATTACCGCCCAGTCAGTCTGACATCAATACCAGGGAAGATTCTGGAGCAGATCATTAAGCAAACAGATCATTAAGAAGCTGGTAAAATGCGGTCTTGACTATGCTACCACTCAGTGGATTTGTAACTGGCTGACTGACCGAACCCAAAGGGTGCTCATCAATGGTTCCTCTTCATCCTGGAGAAGAGTGACTAGTGGGGTGCCACAGGGTTCTGTCTTGGGCCCGGTCTTATTCAACATCTTTATCAACGACTTGGATGATGGACTCAAGGGCATCCTGATCAAATTTGCAGATGACACCAAACTGGGAGGGGTGGCTAACACCCCAGAGGACAGGATCACACGTCAAAACGACCTTGACAGATTAGAGAACTGGGCCAAAAAAACCAAGATGAACTTTAACAGGGAGAAATGTAAAGTATTGCACTTGAGCAAAAAAAATGAGAGGCACAAATACAAGATGGGTGACACCTGGCTTGAGAGCAGTACATGTGAAAAGGATCTAGGAGTATCTAGATCAAGGGAAGTAATAGTGCCACTGTATTCTGCTCTGGTCAGACCTCACCTGGGGTACTGTGTCCAGTTCTGGGCACCACAGTTCAAGAAGGACACTGACAAACTGGAACGTGTCCAGAGGAGGGCAACCAAAATGGTCAAAGGCCTGGAAACGATGCCTTATGAGGAACGGCTAAGGGAGCTGGGCATGTTTAGCCTGGAGAAGAGGAGGTTAAGGGGTGATATGATAGCCATGTTCAAATATATAAAAGGATGTCACATAGAGGAGGGAGAAAGGTTGCTTTCTGCTGCTCCAGAGAAGCGGACACGGAGCAATGGATCCAAACCACAAGAAAGAAGATTCCACCTAAACATTAGGAAGAACTTCCTGACAGTAAGAGCTGTTCGACAGTGGAATTTGCTGCCAAGGAGTGTGGTGGAGTCTCCTTCTTTGGAGGTCTTTAAGCAGAGGCTTGACAACCATATGTCATGAGTGCTCTGATAGTGTTTCCTGCTTGGCAGGGGGTTGGACTTGATGGCCCTTGTGGTCTCTTCCAACTCTATGATTCTATGATTCTATGATTCTATCTTTTGGTGCATGGTGGACAGGTACTTTGATCCACTAATTGGCAGCTGTGAAAAAGAAGAATGCCACTCTGTAGATCGTCAGGAAAAGGACCGAAACTGCCAACAGTGCAATGCTTTCATTCAAATCTATGCCATTGCCACACTTGGGATATTGTGGCCACGTCTCAGAAAGCATATGCTAGAGCAGGGGAAAATGCAGAAAAGGCAAATCAAAATTATTCAAAGGCTGGAGCAACTCCGCTAAGATAGACATTTCATGACTTTTTCATTGAGAGAGGTGGAAAAAGGTAAATAAGATGGGTGTGTGATAGACATACCCCTCAAGTGTCTCAATTTTCTTGGGACTTCCCAAAATTTGATCCTGATTTGATGTCCCATTTCCCCCCTCCAGCACCACCACTAAGCTCGGGGGGGAGGACAAGCGCATATTTTGGTGCCATGAATCAGCTGGTTCCCGTGTGCTGAGCACTGCACCAAAAGACGCATGCATTTTGGTGTGGTGCACTCACGCAAGCCAAAAGACCCACATATTTTGGTGCAGCGTGTCTTGATTTTCATCAGAGTAATGGTGGCGGGTATGGACACTGATTCTTGATACAATGCAGGCATTGTGCATTATGCAGAGAAAGAGGATAAGAGTCTCTCTCTCTCTCTCTCTCTCTCTCTCTCTCTCTCTCTCTCTCCATCTATCATAGTACTAGGAAAGGGGATAGTCCAGTGAAGCTGAATGCTGCAATATTCAAAACAGAGGAAAAAGATGTAGTTGTTTTTTTCTCACAATGCAGCATTAAAACTATGGGATTCCACAAAGAGGTGGCTGCCAAGTTGGATGGATTTAGAAAGCGATTATACAAAAACATGGAGGACAAGGCAATGAGTGGCGGCTAGTCCTGGCTATATGCTTTCAGCATCAGTGAGAGTGTGCCTCTCTGAATGCCCTTTGTTGGGGAACAACAGTAGGAGAGGGCTACTGTGCTCATGCTTTGCTTGTGCATGTCCCACAAGCATCTGATTGGCCACTGTGGGATACAGAATGTTGGACTGCACGGGCCATTGGTCTGATCCGTCAGGGCTCTTCTGATGTCATCAAGGCATTCTACAGCCTCAGTGCTATGACAGAAAAAGTCATGCTAGCAAGGAGGTGATGGGGGTTGTAGTCCAAAACATCTGGAGGGCACCAGGCTGGTGATAGCTGCTCTAAAGACCCCCACAAAGTCCATATGTGTCACCCACAATTGGCCTAGAATGGAAGATGAGTTGGGATGCTGCTTCACTAGTGGTATTTCAGGGCAGCCCCCAAACCACACAGACAATTTTTCAGGTGGGTTTTGCACAAATGTAAGCCTTGCAGTCAAGTCACAGCTGTCCAGGTGAAGCAAAATGAACTCCAGGTGAAGTCAAGTCAAGTCACAGCTGTCCAGGTGAAGCAAAATGAACTCCCAGCTGTCCAGGTGAAGCAAAAAAACCTCCCAAGGAGTTTTTCTATCTCCTGACGCATCGCCTCGTGCTCTCCCTGAAAAAAACAGAGGGTTCCCACCCAGAAATTTATTTCTTATTTCCTTCTTCGTTGAGATGGAAGAGAGTGTCCCAGCTGGGTGATGGATAGCTGGGAGGAGCAGCTGAGGAGGAAAAAATGACATTGCATCTCTACTATAAATAGCCCGAGGAATGGTGCACATTCACTCAGCCTATGCAGTTGACCTTTGGCAACGATCGTTTCTGCTGCAGCTGCTTGGAGCCCCAGGTAAGCTCATCCTTCCAAAGAACAACGGGACCTGCCTTATACTGAGCCAGACCATTGGCCCATCTCTCTCAGTGTTGCCTACACTGATTGGTTTCAGCTCTCCAGGCTTTCAAGCAGATGTCTTCCCAGACCTCCCTGGAAATGTTGAGGACTGATCTTGAGGCTTTCTTTGTGTTTTTCATGCTGTCTGCCACTGAGCTTTGTCTCTCTCTTTCTTTCATATCCTTCCTTTTCTCCAAGGAACTCGTAGTTCACCCCCGCCCCGCCCCCAAATTTTATCCTCGCAACAACCCTTCGGAGGTAGGTTAGGTTGCATGGGTTACCAGTTTGCTACCAGGCCAGGTTCAAGATTACTGTGTTAAATCACAAAGCCCTAGAAAACTTTGGCCCACTTTGGTCCCAAAGTACCTTAAGGACTATGTGATTCCTTAAGTTCAAACCTTGATCTTTAAGGTCTAATGTTGGCCCACTTTGGGTGGTTCCACATGCCAGCTGGCCTTTAAGGTAAAGGTAAAGGGACCCTGACCATTAGGTCCAGTCATGGCCAACTCTGGGGTTGCAGTGTTCATCTCGCTTTATTGGCCGTTTACCTTCCCACTGGATCGGTACCTATTTATCTACTTGCACTTTGACGTGCTTTCGAACTACTAGGTTGGCAGGAGCAGGGACTGAGCAACGGGAGCTCACCCCCTCGCAGGGATTCGAACCACCGACCTTATGATCGACAAGTCCTAGGCTCTGTGTGTGGAAAGTCTCTTCACTGTAGAGTTCCCTGCCAGCAGCTCTGTCTACTTTCAAATGTCTGCTGAAAACCATACTGTTTAGACACTCCTTCTGAACGTGAGATTCTTTGCAAGCACCTTTTACAGATGTGTTTGGTGTTCTTTCTTTCTTTTTTTCATTGCAGCATTACATTTTTAGGCTGCATTCCGCCTTGCTCTATGAAAGTGCAGTCTATAAACAGTTAAAGAAACAAATAAATTCATGGGGAGGAGGCAAGGCAGTGCTGAGAGTGCAGGGGGATGTCTGGGTTGATGGCAGCAGCTCCACGGGCTGCAAATTTGGAGCTTCTCCTGAATTGTGGCTGCTCTGTCACATCATGGCAAATGCAGCTCCAACCACCAGGAGGGGGCCACCATTGACCCATGCTCCCATGGATTTAATAAGTTGGTTGTTGTTGTTTTTTTTAAAAAAGGACCTGGGTGTCACTACTGAGGTGTTACTGCTGTGCAGCACTTTGCACACGATGGAAAGATTGCACAAAAAACCTGGTGGAATTTTATTTCTTAAGCTTTGGACAGCATTCACCATCCATGCCAGCTCAGGAAATGTTAGTGTCTTGATTTATAATGGTATGCTACCACTTCTCCTTCTCCTTCTATGGCACAATGTAATGCTCCCCTGCTGTAGTTTTTAGCTTCAATTCATTATGCTTTAATTAAACCATTTTTAAAAAAGAAAAAGAAAAAAAGATGGTACATAGAGTTTATATATAAATAATTGGTTGCATGGTCTGTTTATTTCTGATCTCCCTTCTAGACAACTCTGGTGAACTGAGTGTTTTGCACCTCTTTGTAACAGAAAAATCACCATGTGGTCTCTCCTTGGCTGCTTCCTCCTGGGTACTTTCCTAGCTACAGGTGAGGAGATGTCTTACCAGTTTATGGGACTGTTCTGGGTTCTGCAAGAGTTGGTAGCTGCTGAGATAACAACAAAGCCAATGCTTCTTTTTCCGAAGTCAATAGATATGCTGATGGCATAAAACTAACATCTCAACCCATTCTGAGAAATCTGTGCAAGAAACTAGCCACCATTCTGAATATTTTGAATGTTATTCCCAGGTGGGATGGAGCATGGAATGGGACCAGAGAGATGGCTAGCAAACCTACAAGTTATCAACCAACAGCAGCAATGAAGTGCTCTCCAGATATTCCTGAACCCCGGCTTTCATCAACCCTAGTCAGCTTAGTAATTGATCAAGAATGAAGGGAGTTGTAGTCCAAATCATCTGGAGGTGCCCTATTCCAGATCCACCTGTGTCATGAAATATTTGGCTAAAACAAAGCCAAAAAAACACATGGCTTTGCTTGTGTTCCTCTCTTATAGCCCTTGCTTTTGCCAGATTCTTCCTCCTTTGTCATTTATCTGTGACACTCTGTAAAGTGTGCATTGCATAATAATGGTAAAAATAATCATCTAAATTGTGGTGGGCACAATTCTATGAATGGTAAAAACAGCTAAGTGTTTGTTTCTCCAGGTACTTGTCTTCAGTGTGAGGTGTGCTATGGCGGAGGCAACAACTGTACTGGTGAAATGAAGACTTGTGGTGCTGGTCAAGATACCTGCATTATCAGTCTGACGGAGTATTCACAACGTAGGTATTCTTGAGAGTCTTGGGCTGAGATATCACATAGGTGCTATGCTGAAAATTTCATATGTTGACTATTCATTGGGTGGATGTGGATGAAGCAAACCCCTCACAAAAACTATGTCTGTGTAGAAATTTCTTCAACATTATCAGGAGGGGGCTGCCCTATTCTTGACTCAACCTTTCCCTTCTCAATCACCTGTGCAGCTCCCGTGATAATCACATCTGTCGCTAAGGACTGTGGTTCATCCAGCTTCTGCAAAATTGGTGCTGAAGAGATAAATTTTGGGAGTGGAATGCAAGTGAGATCAAATATCGTCTGCTACAAGGAGAATCAAAGTGGAACAGTCTCACTTCCTGGTATGTACTGTCTTGTCTATAAGATCTAGAAACTTGCATGGCTGCCCTCTAATTGTGACCCCTAGTTCTCCAACATAGCTACAATTCCCAGAGTGGTTTAACAGTCTGTTCCTCTTCTTAGGGAAATCTGAGAACTGTAGCTATGTGAGGGGAGTACAGAAGTTGCCTAGCAACTCTCAGCACCCTTAGAAACTACAGTTCCCAGGACTCTTTGGGGGAAGCCATGACTGTTTCAAGTGTTATGATACTGCTTTAAATGTATAGTGCAGATGGGACCCTAGATTCCCAGGAAGAATAATGGGCTCAGTCCATTATGTAGGAGCAGCCAATGTAGAACCCTACTGACACCAACATTGTTGCTACTTACCAAGATGGTGGCAACAAGGTTGGGATGGTGCAGGTGCCCTGATGGGGGAGCATGGGCTTGTTCTCCTGGTATACCTTCACAGACCCAACCTCACCACAGCCCTGACCCACCAGCCCTGCACAGTACTAGTAAGCATCAGCAACAACAGTATAGGGATGATGGCTCCACATCAACACCCTCCCACTGCAGCCACTTCTGCTTATAAGCCTTACAGCCTTGGAGCCATCTTTAAGAACTCAGCAGCCACGGTAAGCCTCCTTTCACTGAACCGAGAACTGACTGGCAAAACAGGAACTCAACTTCCTAGTGGAATTAAAATAAAATTGCCCAGTGGAGTTAAATTTAATAGACTGGGGCATCACACTGAGACAGATTTCTAATTTGCCAATACCCTCTGATCTGAATGCTCTGCCCCCTAACCCCAGGGATGGAGAAACTGCCTCTGCAGTTGAAGTTGGACTTCAACACTCATCAGCCTCAGTGGGCCTGGTCAATGGTCAGAGATGTTAAAAGTTGTAGTCCAGCAATACCAGAAGGATCCCAAGTTCTCCACCCTGGCTGTAACTCTGTGCTTGTTTGTTATCACTTCTCAGTGGGGAGGGAGCTTTAGTCCATAAAATCTTAAGAACATAAAAAGAGTCCGCTGGATCAAGACAATGGCCCATCTAGTCCAGCATCCTTACAATCACCAGCTAGGTGCTTGTGAGAACCCCCAAGGACCTGAACACGAGAGCACTCTCCCCTCCTGTGGTTTCCAGCAAATAGTATTCAGAAGCTCTGAGGATGGAGATAGAACATAGTCATCATAGCTAGTGGCCATGAGAACCTTGTGGTCTATGAATTTGTCCAATCCTCTTTTAAAACCATCCAGGTTGATGGCCATGACTGTCTCCTGTGGCAGCGGGTGGCACTGTGGTCTAAACCACCGAGCCTCTTGGGCTTGCCGCTCAGAAGGTCAGCGGTTTGATTCCCTGCAACAGGGTGAGCTCCCGTTGCTCTGTCCCAGCTTCTGCCAACCTACCAGTTCGAGAACACGCCAGTGCAAGTAGATAAATAAGTATCACTGTGGTGGGAAGGTAAACAGTGTTTCCATGCACTTTGGTTTCCATCATAGTGTTCCGTTGTGCCACAAGCAGTTTAGTCATGCTGGCCACATGACCCAGAAAGCTATCTGTGGACAAACGCCAGCTCCCCTAGGCCTGAAAGTGAGATGAGCGCCGCAACCCCATAGTCACCTTTGACTGGACTTAACCATCCAGGGGTGCTTTACCTCTTTTACCTTTTTAATGCTTCATTTTATATGTCCTGAATCTTTCAGCATACAAATTCAGAACATTAATATTTAGTATTTAATTCCTTCCGACCTTATTTTTCATCAAAAGAGCTGAGGATAGTGAAAAAACTTGCTTCTTCCTCAGCCCCCTATTGTTTCAGAGTTGAGGTCAGGCATTGGTAAAAGACACCTGATGGCTGACCTTAATTTCTCTCCATAGTGCTGCCACCACCAGACACCAAACCCAATGGTCTCCAGTGTCCTGGCTGTGTTGGGATGTTTTCCACCAAGTGCAATGCAAAGCCTGTTGCCTGCATTGGAGAAGAGACCAAGTGCATCAACATTGCTGGCAGCGTCACAGGTAGAGAGATTCAGTGTTTTCAAAATTGTCTTTCCATCATCCTGATCTTCAAATGTGCTGAAGAGTGGGGTAACCAGAGTGATCCCCATGGCAACTCCATAACCACCTGGTTTAGGTAGGCTGCTAACCCAGCAGTTCGAAAGCACGTCAAAGTGCAAGTAGATAAATAGGTACCGCTCTGGCAGGAAGGTAAACAGCATTTCCATGCACTGCTCTGGTTTCACCAGAAGCGGTTTAGTCATGCTGGCCACATGACCCAGAAAAACTGTCTGTGGACAAACGTCGGCTCCCTCAGCCAGCAAAGCGAGATGAGCGCCGCAACCCCAGAGTCGTTTGAGACTAGACTTAACTGTCAAGGGTCCTTTACCTTTTTAAGACTAACATGTGGGTTAAAGCAGCTATTCTCCAGTTTTCATGCTTCTCCAAATATTGCATAGAATCCTCAGCTTTTTTAAAAAAAAAGTACCTGTAAAGTATCTGTAAATTCATACAGTTTATTTTTAATTTTAATGCATTGAAAAAGATCTGCAGAATGACACAGAAACAGGAAAAAAAGCTTATGAATACATGAGATGATAACATGAACCAGAAATTGACTGTGACCCATCCATTGCTAATCCACATTTTCTCCAAAATTTCATTTTAAAAGGGTGGTGGCAACTATAGTGGGCAGAGAGAGCTGTTCATTGCAGGCTTGATACTGACCAACATGTTGGCCATTTCTTGCAGTGGTTCAGACCATGGATGTTTCCTTAAAGGGATGCGCTAATGAGGCTTCCTGTACCATGCTCAAACTGGGGCCAAGAACGTTTGCAGGAATCAGTACGGATCTGGCTACGGCTGAGTGCAGTGCAGCTGTTTCCACCAAAGCTCGGTAACCAGCTGACTCTTACATCGCAGAATGTCATTGCTGCACCACATCTTTCTTATCTAAATGGCTTGCCCTTCTTCACATGCTGACTTTCTTATTGATTAGTTTATTAGCTTCTCCCAAAATCAAATCAAAAAATAAATAACTGAAGAACTTGATTATAAATAAATCCTTGCAGTGCAATACCTGTGTCCACCACTTGAGGCAGCATATGCTCCTTTAGAATGAAACCACCAATAGAGAGGGAGATATTTTGTGTATGGCAGTTTAAACTCTTCCTTGAGTTTAAAAATCAAGTGGGTAAATGACCAGATCAACAGGGAATCACATTGGATATTCTCTATCTGTGTGCGAGATTCATTTGTTCCAGAAACAGAGAAGGATACAGAAGTTTCAAGAAGCAGCAGAAGGCTGAGATTGTTTTGTCTATGCCAGGACATTTTCTGTGGGAGCTTTTTCTTTGGACATGTGCAGTGTGACAGGAAGCACTGATAACAAATGTTATGTGTAACTTGGTGTAACTTGTTGTGAGTCTTTTGCTTACGCCTTACGGTGAGAGAAGCAGAGAGTGAGTCTTGGCCTCTTGTTGGACTCTAAGCCTGTCTTGACAGTGGTGAATGTCTGTATATCTTTGCTACCAATATGCTTTTATGCCTGTCAAGTAAACCTCTACACTTGACTGAATCTTTAAGGCATCCATGAGTGTTTATTGCCTCCTTTGTGTACCTCCAACCCCAAAGATGCTTCCGAGGAAGGAGATGCGTTGAGATGTAACTCTGCTGGGTATGGATACTGGCACGCGCACACACAGCAAAAGTGATGCCGGACCCAATCCTTCTAAATCATCCATCAGAGGTAGATGGATTGATCCAACAAATCAAAGGTAGCCGTGAGACTTAATAATAATTTATGGAAGTAAATGTCCCAACTTAAGAGGGAAATATTTTCAGTGCAAATTCTCTGCAACAAAATTCTGATGGAATGGGGAGAGCCACATTTTATTACAAAATGTGCATCTGAGCATACGCAGGATGCACTTTCTCAAGAGTAACAAAATGTATGTGTGTGCCAAGTATCCTTAACCATGTGCAGAGTGTCTTTGATCAGGTATGATCCGGCCAATGATAAGCAACATCCGGAGAGCTGGTGGTTAAGCACCTTTGAGATAGAGGCTTCCATCATATATCAAAGGGTCTCCAAGGTGGTCTAACTGGCAGTGGTGGGCATGTGAGATAACAGCAGCACTCCAGTCAGTGTCAACAGGCTCGGGGAGGCTGTTCCCCACAATTCCCTGGGCTAAGATATGATGCCACAGAGGCATTGTGGGAAATTTAAATGGAAGCTCCCAGAACCAACTGCCTGGTGCTAATGGCAGGAAGATATTTTGAAGAAGTTTGCTCTGCTGGACAACAAAGTTCCCAGCAGGTGAACATTGCCGCCATGAAAGAAAACCGCCAAACTGCAGACAGGCATCGAAAGCCTTTTGTGCTGGAACTCTTCAAAACTGATTACAAAGAGGAAGCAAAAGGTTTATAAAAATGTGGAGACCAACGGAATTTACACCATCAGCCCTACACCCCTGTGGGGTTTACTTTGAGCGACAGAGGTGTGTACAATTATTCAGGGATGTGGAGAATGTGGCTAGAAGAAGATGGCTTTAAACTCAGATGCTTTACTCAGAGTAGACCCCACTTACTAAGAATAGGCCATCAAATAAAGCTGAATGTCGGCAGATGCAAGGCAGACAAAATAAAGTCCTTCTTCCCATGGCACGTATTTAATTTATGGAGTTTGCTCCCACAAGATGTAGCACCGACTTAGAGGACTTTGGAAGGATCAGATGAATTTGTTATGTACTGAAGTTCTCACCCTGGGCCATCAGGGGGATACTGTAGATAGTTATGCAAATGAAGGATCGAAAGTGACGTTCAGTGATTGGATAGTTTGTATGCAAATAAAGGATCAAAAGTGACGTTCAGTGATTGGATAGTTTTAGAAAGTTGCAACAGTTACATTGTTCTGGAGCTCTATATAAGTAGGCTGACTGAGCTCTTCAGTTCAGTTCTATTCTGGCCTCTGAATAAACAAGAACTGTTGAAGAATCGCTGTGTCATCTGATATGTTCGCCCACAACTTAACAGAATTCATGGGCAATAAGGCTCTCAGTGGCTTCAAGTCACAATGGCTGCGCACACTGCCAGAATGGTATGCCTCTGAATACCAGTTGCTGAAAACTGCAGGAGTGAAGAGTGTTGTTGCACTCAGGCTGTCCTTTCAAGCTTTCCACAGGAATCTGGTTGGCCACTGTGAGAGCAGGATTCTAGACAAAATGAACCTTTTGCCTGATCCAAGCGGGCTCGTCTTACAATCTACTTAACACGCTAACTCTAAAACCTGGCACAAACAAATGCTAACTGGGGAAAAAACAAGAAAGATGTGGGTGGCGTGATGAAAATACAATAATGAATGCCGGCTACAGTGGTACCTCGGGTTACAGATGCTTCAGGTTACAGATGCTTCAGGTTACAGACTCCGCTAACCCAGAAATAATACCTTGGGTTAAAAACTTTGCTTCAGGTTAGGAACAGAAATCGTGCAGCAGCAGCGGGAGTCTCCATTAGCTAAAGTGGTACCTTAGGTTAAGAACAGTTTCAGGTTAAGAATGGACCTCCAGAATGAATTAAGTTCTTAACCTGAGGTCCCACTGTATTGCTTTTTGATCATCAGAAATGGATCGGAAAGGGTGGGGTGGGGGGTTTCGAACTAGTCCAGCGTTCTTCTAAATATCCTGCTCCCAAGAGACAGATTTTGAAAAAGAGCAATGAATGAACCCACCAAACCAATTATTTCCATGAACACAGAATCATAGAATTGAAGAGCTGGAAGGACCACGTGGGTCATCTAGTCCAACCCCCTGCAATGCAGGAATCTTTTGCCCAACATGGGGCACAAACCTATGACACTGAAATTAAGAGTCTCAGGATCTACCGACTGCGCTATTCCCCCAAAGCACAGTGATTGGAGAACCTTGATAAAATAATTCTTTCTCATTGGAAGCTAGACCTGTCTATCAAAATGATTTATCTCCTCCTCCTCTTCACTCAAGTTGCATCAAGTTGCATCAGGGCATTTCTCTTATAGTCAGCTTGCTTTCGATTTTAATAGCCACCGCAACAAAAAATTCTGTGACTTCTTTTGAATAGTGTGGCACGAAGCTTTGCAGGGGGTGGTTAATCACTGCAACCCAAAGGACTTTGCTGACATTGTGATCTTATTTGATCAAGTAAAACACACACACCACAGTTCACTTGTGTGTCATATTTCACACAGGGCCAATGCACGGCTATGGAATCCAGTTTGTAATTTCCTTAGCTCCACTTGGAGCTGTCTATGGTCCTGATTTTTTGTCTTAGCTCCTACACCATTTGTCAGAGCTTTCCTCTGGAACATAAGGACATAAAAAGAGCCTGCTGGATCGTGCCAATGCCTCACCTAATCCAGCATCCTGTTCTCACAGTGGCCAACCAGATGCCTATGTGAAACCCAAAACAGGATTCGAACACAAGACAACTCTCCCCTCCTGTGGTTTTTCCAGCAACTGGTATTCAGAAGCATTGATGCCTCTTACCATGAAGGAAGAGCAAAGCCATCATGGCTAGTAGCCATCAATAGCCCTCTCCTCCATTAATTTGTTTAATCCTCTTTTAAAGCCATTGTTTTTTTCCCTGTGGAAGTGAGTTCCATAGATTAATGATCTGCTGCGTGAAGCAGTGCTTGGCCTAAAATCTGATCTAAAACAGGATAAGCAATGCTGGCTGCACCCAGCGTACCCACCCAGTCTGTTAGCCCATAATAGACAGCACTCATCATCATCATCCAGAAGCAGGATTTCAGTACCAATACTCTTCAGCTACAGCTGATGTGTTTTATTTGTCACCTACCAGTATTATCAGCTGGTCGCTGCTTGATGACATCACTTGAGTGTCACCATGCTCTGCTACTGCTGGAGGTCATGGCAGAACATAAAAAAATAGACACCAGTGTATCTTGGGCAATTTGAGCTCTTCATTCACTGTAAAGCCCAAGGCCTATAAAGGGCCACTAAGGGCCACAAAGCAAGTAAGCAAGGAGGAAGGGCTCAGGCAGGATCTCTTGGTCTTCGTGCCAGAAGAAAATCAAGGGAGGATCTTCACATGCAGAAGGCAAGCAAGAACTGGGAGGGAAAGTGCAAACAACTCTGGAGTGTAGCCAGCCTTTCCAGAGATGGCCTTCATGGGAAGGCAAGTGCCTACTCCATGTACATGAACCCCAGCAAAAAATACCATCCCTTTTTTAAAATCATCACAGACAACCTTGTTTACACAGCCCTTGATGGCCACTGGTGGTCCTGCAGAGGGAATAGAAGGAAAGGACAGTCAGCATTTAGGCTGGAAATCGAATCCATCTTAACTGGTTTCCAGATTTTGCAGTTCCATATTTCTGAAATGGTGGCTAGGGAAACCCAGCCAGGTGGGCAAGGTATAAATAGTTGTTGTTGTTGTTGTTGTTGTTGTTGTTGTTGTTGTTTCCAAGGCAACTTGGAGAAAAAGGGAGGAATCAGGTTGGATTCGGGAGTTTCAGAATTTGTCTGAGAGGGAAACTTAACTGCTAATTTTTATATGGAAGCTTCTAATTTTCCCCCTTCGTTCTTTGGAAGTTATGAAATCATAGTGCACGCATAAAAGGATGACATGGTGTGATGACTGTACTTCATCATCGCACCATTTTGCAAATTAGACTTTTTTAAAAATTAAAAAGACTGGGGGAAATGGAACAAGATTCTCTTGGGTCAATTATCTCATGAAAAGCAAAATTCTATACAGTAAGTCTACCCTAATTCATATTCTAGAAAAATGAATCCCAGTGGGAGACATATGTTAACAGATTTTCCCCATGCTGTCATAGGAAGTCAGGTTTTCCCAGAATAAAAAAAAATCCTTTTGTTGTTGTCTCCCCTCCTCAACCTCATCACCATCTTGCTATCCATCCTTCCTCCTCTGCCTCAGCTTTGAGCCTCCTTTCCTCCTCCAATCCTTGCCATTGCCTCCTCCTAACTGTCATCATGGTGTCATTCACAGGGTTAGTGCCATCTGTCTGCGGTCATGTGAATTACACCTTGACAACAGTCTTATACAAATATATATATTCGAGAAAGTGTGTGTGTGTGTGTGTGTGTGTGTGTGTGTGTGTGTATACTTTACATAGTTAGATTAGAGTAAGCCATACTCAGAGTAAATCCACTGAAAACCAGTATGCATGTTTGTGTATGTGTTCCAATGAAGTTGGATGATGAGAAGTTCAGAGCAGCATAAGGGAGTACTTCGTCATACAGTCCCTAAACTGAACTATGAAGCTGAACAAAATGTGCTGATGGTTGCTAACTTGGAGAGCTTTAAAAGTGGGTTTGGACAGGAGGATGTGGCTGTCAATGGCTGCTAGTCATGATATCTCTATTAACATCTGTAACTGAATATCAGCTACTGCGGAGCACAAGTGGGACAGAGCTATTGTACTCATGCACCCCTTGTAGGCTTCCTGTAGGCATCTGTTTCACCTCTGTGAATTCTGGAATGGCTGGGTCTCCGGTCCAATCCAGCAGAGCCATTTATGTGGTTACTTACCTGTCCTTGCAGTCCCAGACATGTCAAGGCAATAGTCCTGGTCTCCAGTACAATTGGCAATCACTTCTTCGTTGCATGTATAGTTCTCCAGACCAAAGCAGGCTGGGCACGTTATTCCATTGAATGTAGTGCTTATGGGTGGGACTGGGAGAAAGAAAAGACAGTCCAGATTTGGGAGGAAGGAAGAAGAGAGCTCTAAACACAAGGGTGGAAATCACAAATCCACCTTCTCCCATAGAGCTGAGTGGCTAGTAAGTGCAAGCCAGGTTTTCTCTAAGTCCACTAAGTTGTTACAATACAACAGCCTTTGGTTGCTTTGCCTTGATATTCTCGTAGTACTAGAGAATTCAGTCGGGAAAATGCTGATGTACCTATCGGAGCACTTTGATATGCAAAACTTGCACTTTTACAATTGCCATATAATATCTATTTGCATTTGGGAAGAATGGTATCTTCCGTGCGGCAACACCTCCACTTTGGAAATCCCTGCCTTTGGGCATTCAGGAAGAGGCCCTCGATATTTTGCTCTTGATGCCTGCTCAAAACTTTCCTGCATTTGGAAAGTCTATCCAGACACCTGATACATAGAATCATAAAACTATAGAGCTGGAAGGTACCCTGAGGATCATCTAGTCCAACCCCCTGCAATGCCAGTCATTTTAGACAATATTGAGTTGGGTGGGCAATATTTTAGACAGTTGAGTATGGTCAGACTCAGTAGAAGACACCTTCCTATGGTCCTATGATTCAGTGACCAGCTCTTCAACAGTGCTCTCTGGGCCTTGTTAAAACAAACACACACAAGTAAGGAAGTGGCTCAGTGATAGAACCGACATCCATTTTGCAAATCACTCTTCCCCAACCCAAGTAGGAAGCTGGTGGTTTTTTTAAAAAATGACACTGTAGAATGTGGAATGATAGAATGGGCAAAGACAAAGGGATACATCAGTGACTTACTATCAGGAAAGTAATGATTGCACTCATCCTCGTTGCAGCAGAAAAGCCTGCTTGATACAATTCCTGACTTGCCCACATTAAATGTGGAAGGGCCTTTGTAGATGCAGTCACTGGGGAGGAAGCAAAACTTGTGAATAGTCCTTGGTCCTGTTGGGATCAAGGAAGAGAAAGTTTTAATCAGAAGAGAGGTCCCTGGCGTAAATGATTAGCCCTGTAATCCAAATTATACTGACCTGGAGAGAAGATGTATGCTACATTTTGGAATATACCTTCAAAGCCATGGCTTCCACCATAGAATCCTGTAGTTTGTTTAAGGGTGCTGGGAATTGTTAAGAGACCCCTATCCCCACCACAGAACTACATGTCCCAGCATGTCCTGGGAAGACAGATTGATTGTTAAACCACTCTGAGAACTGCAGCTCTGTGAGAGGAATGTAAGTCCACAAACTGTTGAGAGTAAGGCAACAATGGCTGCAACAAGTAACTTGATCCAGTTGGGGGTGGCAGACAGAAAGGCAGTCTGGTCTTCCTCCTCCCTGATTCATTCTCTTTTAGTAACTGCTTTCTGGTAAAAGAGATCCCTTCCTTCCAGTCTTTACTTCCTTCCTACCCTTCTCCAAGTTCATCCATTGCGAGTTTCCATGTGCTGGTGTTAACTTCTTGGCTCCATCTTGGCAACAGGTAAAATCTTAACTCAATGTTTTTGGTTGCCACGAGTAATAAGCCTTATGTTTTCTTTATCCGTTCAACCAGCAGTCTTACCAGCCTATTTCTTTCTGCATACTGCTGTAATATATTTACCAAACTCCAGCATAAGCACCCCCTCAGCACCCTCAATCAGCAATAGTTCCCAGGATTCTTTGAGAGAAACCAGGATGATTGAAAGTGGCATCATGGTGCTTTTAATGTATGGTGTGGATGTTGACCCAAGTCCCATTCACCCCATACATGTAAAGAACTATGAAAAAACTCTGAACAGTCAAAGAATTCTGGGAGCTGTAGTATGTTAAGGCTGAGAGCTGTTGGGAGACACACACACCCTTTCCCTTCACAGAGCTACAATTCCCAAAGTTACCTATGAAGAAGGTTTGACTGTTAAACGACTCTGGAAATTGTAGCTTTGTGAAGGGAATAGGAGACTCCTAACAACACTCTCAGCCCCTTTGACAAACTCAAAGCTCCCAGAATTCTTAGAGGAAACTGACAGTTTAAAGTGGTTCTCATAGCATGTATGGTGTTCATGTGGCCTCGGTAAACTCAATATGGTTGACTTCTGAGTAAATCTGCTTGGGCCTGGTCAGTAAGACCACCCAGTCCATGGAAAAGAAAACTATAGCCTTGCCTCATTCCTGCCATCCACCCTGTTTGCTGGAACCTGTGGGTGTGTGACATCTTATGAAACTCACCTGTTGTGTTCACGGTTTGTGCTGTGCCACATTTGATGAGCCCACCAGGGCAAATGAGCTTACTGCCACTACAACTGTCCTCAGCAGCTGAACATGACACACATGGCAGACATCCCCCTAAAGCAGGAGCAAGTAAAAGCAGACAAACGGCATATTCACTGTGGCCAGGACCCCTGGAGGGCATCTTTTAACCCTAAGAGCCAACACAATACTCATTGGATGGGTGGGTGGTAGAGGACTCCAACTCCCAACATTCCTGACTATTCCTTGTGCTTACTGAGACTGATGGGAGTTGGAGTCTAAAAAACACCAGGAGAGTCCTGGGCTCCCCATCCTTGCTGTAAGTAAGCCTTTCTCAAACTTGGGTCCCCATATGTTGTTGGACAACAACTCCCATCATCCCTAGCTCCCAGGACCAGTGTGGTCAGGAATGATGGGAGTTGTAATCCAACAAGATCTGGGCAACCAAGTTTGAGAAAGGCTGCTGTAAGTGAAAACCCAAGTAAGAGCTGGAAGAAAGGCATTCCATTCTCACAATTGTCTACCTGATACAAGCACAAGTCACCAACCTACCAATTGTAGTTTTAGGCTACAATTCCCATCAGCCCCAGGCAGCACCTTTTGTGTCATGTTGGACAGGGATGGAGAACTGGATCTTGCCAGTGGGCCAGATCCTTACCTTCCCCACTGCCCATGAAACAATTTTGACAGGCGGTGAGGCTGCCTACCTACAGTCATCAGCCATCATTATGTTGTCGGGCAACACCTTCAAAGGAAATCGCTCTTCAGCAGCCCTCTTTGCTGCATCTTTACCTACCCTACAGCTGATGAGCTATATGGGGCAGGTGAAGATGACCTCATAGGCCAATGGAGAGTCCTGCTAAACCTAATTAGAAAGTCCATGTGCTGCTGGTTCCCCACCATTGGTTTAGAAGTTGTATATATTTCTTTTGACTTATTTAATCAAGAACATATAATTCAATTACATAGTAATCTAAAGAAATAAAAAAGAAAACTATGCAGCTAATGCAACTGAATGAAAATCAGACACACAGATAATTTTGAAAAGGCCAGTTGAGGTAATTTCGTTCACAATTCCTATGATAAGTAACAATAATTATTGTTGCTGGGTGGGGGGTAGGATAATTTTTATTTATTTATTTATAAAAATGAGGAAGGACCTTGTCCTTGAGGTTTTAGGATATTCTCATTTGAAGCAGAAAATTGCTTTTTAAAAAAATCAAAGAAAAAGTCAAATATAGCCACCATGGCTAAGTAGCCGTCAGTAGCCTTGCCCTCAGATTTGGAAGACATTTTGTTAGCACAAGGAAGCTTTCAGAATGTTAATATGCATTAATTTGAATCCCTGGACGGTCCATGATTTAGAGATAGCTCTGCATGAGACAGACAGCATGAGACTCATGATCTCAGGGTCGTGGTTTTGAGCCCCACCTTGGCCAAAAGATCCCTGCATTTCAGGGACCTGGACTAGATGATCCCCGTGGTCCCTTCCAGCGCTGCAATTCTATGATTCTAATAACACCAGGTTCCACCTGCTCTTACCTTTCCTTGTCAGGAATAGTAGCATTCCTGCATGAAACCAGCAGAGGGCAAATACATGCATCAGAGAAGCCCAGTTCCCTAGGTGAGTCTCTGGGAGCTAGTGGGATCACAGCGCTGCAAGAGAGGTCAGGCATGGTTCACCTTTCAAGGAGTAAAGGCAAGGTACACAGAGATGCATGCCAGCGATAAATCGCTTTGGCTCCCTCTGCAATTTAGTGGGGAGGGAGTAGATAGGGAGAAACGGAAGCCATGGACTCAAAATTCAGTCTGACTTACTTTGACCTAGAGTTGGGCTGATATTAAAATGTCAGCTTTGCAGCCAGGTTCTCAGATTGTGTGGCTGCTGCCACCCTCTCAACAAACACTCCACTTCTGTCAATGATTAAAGGAGGCACACGTGCTTGAAATTACCAGCACCTGATCACTACAGCCCACCACAATGGACCACCCCTCCACTGGCGCTTTAAATTATGCCATAATGAATTGGCTAGCCTTTTTAACCAATGAACAGCCATGTCATGCTAAATTCCATTCCTGCCAGTCGTTGTCGTGTGACACAATGATAACCCTCATTGAAGAATGACCCTACCTCTCCCCTCCGCTTTTCCCACACATGCATGCTTCTGTTTACCCATTAAAACAGTTGGGAAGAATCATATAGCTGTATACCGCCTCAAATTTCATAAATTTACTCCCACCATTTCTGGGTTGATGATGATGATAATAAATAATAATAATAATAATAATAATAATAATAATAATAATAATAATTTATTTATACCCCGCCCATCTGGTTGGGTTTCCCCAGCCACTCTGGGCGGCTTCCAACAAAATACTAAAATACAATAAGCTATTAAACATTAAAAGCTTCCCTAAACAGGGCTGCCTTTAGATGTCTTCTAAAAGTTTGGTAGTTATTTTTCTCTTTGACATCTGGTGGGAGGGCGTTCCACAGGGCGGGTGCCACTACTGAGAAGGCCCTCTGCCTGTTTCCCTGTAACTTGGCTTCTCGCAGTGAGGGAACTGCCAGAAGGCCCTCACGCTGGACCTCAGTGTCCGGGCAGAACGATGGAGGTGGAGATGCTCCTTCAGGTATACTGGACCGAGGCTGTTTAGGGCTTTAAAGGTCGGCACCAACACTTTGAATTGTGCTCGGAAACGTACTGGGAGCCAATGTAGGTCTTTCAAGACTGGTGTTATATGGTCTCAGCTGCCGCTCCCAGTCACCAGTCTAGCTGCCGCATTCTGGATTAGTTGTAGTTTCCGGGTCACCTTCAAAGGTAGCCTCACATAGAGCGCATTGCAGTAGTCCAAGTGAGAGATAACCAGAGCATGCACCACTCTGGCGAGACAGTCCGCAGGCAGGTAGGGTCTCAGCTTGTGTACCAGAGGGAGCTGGTAGACAGCCAACCTGGACACAGAATTAACCTGAGCCTCCATGGACAGCTGCGAGTCCAGAATGACTCCCAGGCTGCGCCCCTGGTCCTTCAGGGGCACAGTTACCCCATTGGATTGCAAATGGATATTTTTTCTGAAAGCATTTAACACGGAACTGAGCAGTAAGCGTCCACTACATTCCTTTGTTGTTTTTGATGCAAATAACACACACAATACACATTTATTGGCGTTGCCCCCTTGTTTCATCCGCTCCAACCTCTTTGCCTCCCCATCTTTTCCTTCAAGAAGTGTGCTGTGCAGTGCTGGATTTATGTATAAGCTAAACAAGCTATAGCTTACGACCCCACTCTCTTGGAGCCCCCCCCCCAAAAAAAATTAAAGGGAAAAAAACCCTTAGATGTATTATTCACTATTGTATTTCACTATTAATATACTTCTTCTTAACAGTATTTCAGTTCAACAATTACTTTGATAAAATACATATTTTGTTATGTGCAAATGGCTTTAGATACCTATTAGGTCCATAAATTACTATATAGCATATATTCAACACACAAAAACAGCGATAATTTGTTGTTGACAAAGGACAGCTGGACATATAAAGGACCCCATTGCCTTCAGTAGCTTAGGGGCCTCATCAAACCTAAATCCGGTCCTGGTGTTGTGTTCAGCCTTGAGTCCTGTTAGGGGAATAGGTGGGGTATAAATGAATAAAGAAGGTTTATTTTTACCAGGTCCAAAGTGCCCAGATATTTAGCTCTTCCTTTCTCCATTGCTGGGCATGGGAAGGACTATGTATGCGAGCATCATTCAAATGAGCACTAAGGAAGCTGACGGAAGGACGAGCCCCTCTACAAATCTCAAGCGAGATAAGCAGGCACACACAGCCCTGAAAAGTGGTGGCAGCCAAGGGGGCTGAGCTTGGCCAAATAGCACATGGGGCCAGAGGCAGCGGAAGTCCTCAGCAGGTGTGCTTTAGCATCCGCATGCCAGTAGTGGCTGTCACTCCCGAGCTTCTGTTGAAAAAAGATGTCAGCTGATGAGCATGAACTCCTATTCTGATGTGATGCCCTCTATTGTGATGCCTCTCTCTGGTGAGCCAGTCGGCTGGGTGTTTGGAGATGCATTAGGCACAAGCTGGCTTTGGTTTCGGGGCCTTGGGCATGATGCCTGCAGTAGACCCCCTTTCTTAGACTGACTTCCCTGCTTGCTGTTGTTCCTGCTGCTGTTCCCCTCCTCCTGACAGCTGAAATTACAGAGCTAGTCATGTGGGGGGGAGGTATAGCAGAGCAGTAGAGGCTGTTGTGATGGGACAGAGCTGCCTTGATACCCTCTCAGGTCAGCCAGTGGCAAAGCTGCATGCTCCGGCACCGGGGGCAGAGAGCAGGTGGGGGCATGGCACGCGTCCCGGGCAAGTGGAACATCGCCCGCGGGGGTGTGGCATGTGTCCTTGGGGCGTGGCATGCCACACGCAGGAGCATGGTTCCAGGGGCATGGCACGTCACCCGCAGGGGCATGGCATGAGTCCGGGGGCATGACGCCCGGCACGGTGGGGGTTGCACAGCATGTGTCCGGGGGGGGCAGCTGCAATGGTACCCCCTTTCCCAATGGTGCCAGGGGCAGTGCACCCCACCTGCCCCGCCCCCATTCCTCCACCAGTGGGTTCACCTAGATGGGGCTATGGCCAGGTTGGGTGATGGTGAGATCGGGGCTGTGCAGAAACACCTGCAGTGCCACCCTAGTGCTTCTGCCAGTGTGTCCATCATGCAGCCCTGATGCGTTATTCATTCATTATGGAACTTATCAAATGCCTATTAAAAAACTATCTGATCATTGCATGGACTATGCTGAATCATATTATTCTGAGACTCTTGTAAAAAATGTGCTGACTACATAAACCCATGAGGAATGTACCCTTCCTCCTTGAGTGAGGTTATCGAGGCCGCTGACACCTATCAGGAATTAATAGTACAAACAAATTAGGCAATGCACAATAAAGCTATCCAATTGCAGCAGCATCACAGGTGTTCAGGCGTTTGCCTCTCCTTTGTGAGGCAGGAAGTATGATTGGTGCTCGCTGGCTGTGCGTCCTTTGCTGCATCATAATTGGTTCAACTCCACCTTATCAGCACCAGGGTGAAGGTCTCTAAGCAGAAGGCGTGTTCTATAGACATAGGCCCCACCACACATGATTTGGAACGCTTACCGTGCAAAGTTCTAAATGATATCAGGAATGTCCTTGTGGAGACATTCATTAGCTTTTGGTTGGTTGTTGACAGGGAAGGAAAGATTATTATAGTAGGAATTCCCCTCTTTTGCATATATTTGACTTCTGACTTAGATTCTGAAAAGGCACCTACAGAATAATAAGAGATTCCAACATTTTGGGTTGCAGTCCACCACATTCTACTCAGAGTAGAACCGTTGAAATTAATATTACCATTAATTTCAGTGGATTTAGTTTGAATAGGTCTAATGTTAGATGCAACCCATTGCGTTCCACTATTGTAAACAAAGGTAGTAAATGAGATCTTCTCTTGCAGAAGCAGACACCAAAAACTTCTTTATATACCATCTTGAATTCTTTCTCTTTGCTGGTGACTTTTTGAGGCAATTCCAGTCCAGAAAGTTCCAGACATATTCTCTCTCTCTCTCTCTCTCTCTCTCTCTCTCTCTCTGTGTGTGTGTGGAATGTGTGAAGAAAATAGTAATCACTCTCTGAAGAATGTGCCTTGATCAAAGTTGCAGAAGAGAAAGCGTGTTCTCCAATAAATGAGAGCACGTGTTGTGGTGTGGGCCACCGGGCCAGGCCTCTTGTTGCCAGGCAGGTTAATAGTTGTTGCCTGGCATTGTGATTGGATAACCGGGTTGCTGGGGCAAATTGTATGTTGCAAATTGGGTAGGTGGGACCATATTCTTTAAATATTGGTGCACTCTGGTTTCTCTTTCTTTTTGCAAAGTGCATCGGAGCAGGAGCAATCTTCTCATTGTCTGGTTACATTTCTTTATTTTCCCCCTTCTATTTAATCCTCTCTAGTCCCTTAATTAATTTAATTCCCCTTTTTTCCTGTTTGATTTCTCACCCCACCCCTTTCCCTGCCCTGTGGGAAGATTCTCCCTGTACCTGTGAGCGCTGCCTGTGCGTAATCCTCCTGGGCTTGCCTTTCCCAATAGGGAGAGAGCCCCCATTAGGGGCTTTCTTTTGCAAAGAGGTTTTCCCCATTTTTTGCCTGTTTAATTGTGGGGCTAGTCAGGGCTGTTCCCAGCTTAGCTGGAATCACTTCGTTTATAGTATCCCCAAAGGTGGCTTTATTTTGGGTGCATGCAGTGCTGTTGGCTGAGTTTTAATTTAGCCTTGGGCGGGAGCACTATATTGAGTTCCTTTAATATTGCAATGAGACAATAAAAGGCAGAGAGCAGAAGCAGGGAGGCCTTCACGGCCTGCTCGGCCTGCACATATCATTCAAGCCTAAGCCTGCTACAGTTAGCAGTACAGTAATTGTTAAGTCTCTGTGGCATGTGACTCACTTTCTCTATAAGAATTTATCTGTTCGTTTGCAGGCTCACTTGTTGCTAATGTATATCTTAGGCAGACAGAGTGGAGCCAGAGGCTCTCTGTGCCTCCAGTGAGCACTCTGTGTATGCTCTTTAACTATGCTGTTTCAGAACAAGTTTATTTTCTTCAAGTTTGTTTTGCCCTGATAGTGGCAATTGCCATTTTAGAGACGAGCCATTGTGGCTTAGTGGCTAGAGCGCAGTACTAGGACCTGGGAGACAGGGTTCATATCCCCCACTTAGCCATTGTTATCACAAAACAAAACAAGCTGCTCCTTTTGGACTATTCTGTTGCTGGGTAGTTCGGCCCACTTGTGATATTGCTCCCAAAAAGAACTTTGGGTTTTCTTGAGGAGGTGCTTCCCTCTAAAGGGCAAACAGGGGTACCTGGACAGGCGGTGGGCTGCCTCGAGTTTGTTATCTCATTGGAAACATTTATGTTTGGCCTAGCAGGTGATCTTAGGGCTTGGCCCTAGAATTTGATGGCCTCTGGCAGCGTTTCCGGCCTAAATAGCTTCTCCATGTGGTGCACAAAGCATTGGTTTCACCAGTTCCTCACATTTAGTTTTGCAGACTATGACAGGGCCTTTGCAGATGCCTCCAGAGCTTGCCTCTCCTGCAGAGGTTGACTTGCTGATGCCCTAGGTGCCTTCTTCCAGAAGGAAGCGTCTTCGGAGGCGGCGATCCAGGAGCAGGGAAAAGGGGAGCAGGGATGATGCTTACACCTCCTTGCAGGTACGTCAAACCTGGGTCTTTAGGGATCATCCTGGATAGCTCAGCTGGTCAGCGTATGGTGCCGGTAATACCTAGGTTGCAGTATTGGTCCCTGTATGGGACAGCTGCATGTTCCCCCATCACTCTACCCGGTCACTGAGGTCCAGCGCCGAGGGCCTTCTGGTGGTTCCCTCACTGTGAGAGGCCAAGTTACAGGGCACCATGTGGAGGACCTTCTCGGTAGTGGCACCCGCCATGTGGTACGCCCTCCCATCAGATGTCTACTACCAGACTTTTAGAAGACATCTAAGGCAGCCCTGTTTATGGAAGCCTTTAATGTTTGCTGCATTACTGTATTTCAGTCTTTTGTTGGAAGCTGCCCAGAGTGGCTGGGGAACAAATAGATGATGATGATGATGATGATGATGATGATGATTATATTGTGGGAGAGTGGACCAGATGATCCTCAGGGTCCCTTCCACCCCACTATTCTTTAAGTTGCAATTCACTATGGGAATGTTAGATGCAGGGCTGCCATCATCCCCTCAGCTTGCTAGGATCGCAGGGACGGGGACATGTGGACCACTTGTGCAGCTCCACATTTCAAATGGAAATTCCCTGAGCTATAGAACCTTAAGCTGGTATGCAGGAAGCTGGCCCGGCAGCAGCTTTGTTGGGACTTTTTAGGGTTTCTGGCCGGCGTTGGCCCTGCAAATTTACACATCATGGTGGCAACACAAGGCAGGGCATTTTGCCCAATGTGGGGGCTGGGGGCTAGCAAGCAATAACTCAATACCTCTCGCCCATATTTCCATAAAAATATCTTCCTTGAAAGCCTGGCCAAATGGTTATCTAGATAGGTCAGTGGTTTTGTGCTTGTGGGAAGGGTTTTCCCAAGGTTTGGGATTCCTCTGGCTCTTCAGCCAGTGGCTCAGAATACAGCAACTCAAAGCCAGTCAGAGAGCTACCTGTGGTAGCAAGTAAGAAGGTTAGGAAGCAGCTTTCATTGGGACGTATGGTGGTATCCCCTTGATTCTCCTGCTATTCCTATTTTCATTTATCCCCTTTGGGGATCGTCCCTAAGAAAGCCCCATATAATCCCCCATATAATTTATCGCATCCCAAAGGCACCTCAGTGAATGACTCTCTGGAATTGTTCCGCAAAATATGCATCTTTGGATCAGGCAGTTGAGCTTACCAACATATTGGAAGAGGGCCTTGTTGGCATTATGCGATATTGAATTGGCTGTTAGGCTGCTGCCGGTTCACCCTCAAGATTATAAGTAGTTGGGCTTAATTGGATGGTCCTTACACTTATAAGGCGATGCCAATGGGTTGCGCTATAGGCTGTGCAGCACTCGAGTCCTTTAGCGTCTTTCTGGATTGAACATTGCGAGTCAAGACTCGTTTAACTGGGGGTACCATTATTTGGATTATCTTACTAGCTGGTCCATGTGACACCAGCCTCTGCTAAGGCTTACTGTACGCCCCTTTTATTCCCTGAGGAGCTGGGTGTTTCCAGTGGATAGGACAGTGGCTCCTACTGCCCCTTTTAACGTATTTGGGGGCTAGCTGGATACCATTGCTCATACCTCTGCTTGCCTGTGGAAAAGCTGTTTGCCATGAAGGACGTTATTCTTGTAATACTTCCTCTGATAGCAAATGTTGCTTTGTCAGATTCTATCATTGCTAGGTCAGTTAAAAAAAAAATGGCATGCAGGGTGGTTGTTCCAGGCTGCCCCTTCCATTCCTGCTTGGCCAGGTGGGGTCTCATGGCCCAGGGTCCCTTCATCATCCTGTACAGTGGCCTTGAGCCTGGCAGGGCAAGGCAATCACATGTGACCTAACTTTTCTTGAGTTTTCCCCATTGTAATGTCAGCGCACATCTGGACTGAGGAGTACAGGGACCATTGGGTCTGTCTTGGTCTGATAACCAGGCAGTGTGAGGGTCCTGGCAAAATGGTCCTCATGCTTCGGCAGTCTCCGCCCCCTTTTATGTGCTTTCCAGCTGCACTGCTTAAGATTTAATATTGCGTTTCTGCTCGCTTTATTACGGGATCATCTAATGTTTTCGCTGTCACTCTATCCCATTTTCAGTTGGAGAGCTTCAGATCCTGGCCTCTGGATGCCCAGCTATAGCCGGATTTTCTGGAGCTCCTGTGGCGCTTTGGCAACAATTGATAATTAAGAGGAGTAGTAGCTTACATTTCCCCTTCTGCTTTCAGGCCTGGACTGATTTCTTAGCATTTAGCTGGCAGTCCTTGGCCATTCAGAGGAACTTGCCTCCATCCTCTGAGCAGGACCTGCAGTAATTGGACTACCTGCTGCAGATCGGATGCACTGTTAAAACTATCAGAATTCAGTCCGCTGCAATGTCTGCTAGAGTAAAGCTTTAATTTTTCAGAGACCCTTCTAAAAGTGTGTTGTGCCAGGGTCTCGGAAGGTTGTAAAAGGCTCCAGCCTTCACAGGACTGCAGGCAGGAAGCCGGTCAATCTTGACCTATGCAGTATCCGCAACAAGTTAAGACTTGTCTCCTGGTTCTAGATCTAGACGAGACTTCTTTCAGTATTCCATTGTAATTTTGGTGTACTGAGGGTTGGGGAAATTGTGTTGGAGCCAGCACAGGGCTGAGAGTTTGGAGGCTTATTGCCTCTGGATTTTTCCTTATCTGCTTTAGAGATTGTCATAAGTGTCTGGAGCTCTAAGTCAGACCTAGTGGGCTGGGTTGCCATCATCAGGCTTCCAGTCACAGGTAGGTGGGCCCTTGCCCTGTTATTGGATACCAGAAATATTTGGCTTTTCGTTCCCCTGGGGGCTGGCTCGATCCTAGAAGTTGCTGGTTCTCGTGGGTTGCTCCTTCGGGATATATGCGTTTCCCTTCTGGAGTTGAGACTTGTAGTGCGCAACTCCAAAACTGACCAGCTGGGTCGGGGGGAGGTTGTCCGCCTCCCAGCGACTGGGGAGGTGGGCCCGTGCCCGGTCAAGGATGTAAGGAAGTACTTGGCCTTGAGACCTCCTGGGGACGGCCCCCTACTCATGCATGAAAATGGTCACCCTTTGGCGCGACACCAGTTCACAAAAGTCATGCGTAAGGCCATCTCTGCTTGTGGGATCTCGGCCTCTGGTTTCGCCCCTCATTCCTTTCGCATAGGTGCAGCGACTATGGCGGCCCATTGGGGCTTCTCAGCCGCCAGGATCAAGGATTTGGGGAGATGGAAATCGTATGCTTTCAAGGGTTAAGTGCGAAACAAAATGCTGAGTTTGGTACTAATGCTTGTTTGTTTCAACCCTTGCAGATCCCACGCTGGTCCGCGTCTGGATAGTGGGACACAGCATCGTTCATTGGGGTGGCAGCAGAGCGAGGCAGTCTGCAGGGGAGCGTGTCTCGGCCTCCCACAGCACGTGCAAGTGTCATGGTTTTCCAGACGTGGAATGTCATGGGGAGAGCTTATGCCGCTGATTGGTCGCCGGCTGCTCTCGGACCTGCCCACCCTATGGCCATAGTGGTGCAGCTAGGGAAAAAATGATGTGGCAACTATTGATTGCCTTGCTTTGCGCACCTCAGTCCAAAAGGGATTTGGAGGCATTGGCAGCCTTATTACCTTCAGTGAGAATAATTTGGTCTCACCTGTTGCAGAGGCAAACCTGGCACGGTGTTTCCCGCCCAGAGGCCGCTGAAAGGGCCAGGAAGCGCATTAACTCTGCTGTTTGCGTGAAGGTATTGGAGCTGGGTGGTTTGGTGATTTCGCACCCAGACATTAATTTTAAGGCTGAGGCCCTTTACCGGGCAGATGGAGTGCACCTCTCCGATTTGGGGAATGATGTTTGGCTGGATGCGGTGGCTACTAAATTGGGTTCATGGTTGGGTTTGTGAGTGGTTGGCGGCGAGCGTTAGAGCTCTTGTGGCGGTTAGGCATTGGTTATAATATGCTGGTGGTGGAGGGGTCAGGATAGGCTGTGCCTGCCCCTCCCATTGCGCTGAAGGGAATTCCGTTAAAGGAATCCTGGGGCTTGCCATGATTTCTTCCAATCCCTGTCATGGGACCAGGGCCGCCCAATCCCTGTCATGGGAATCCTTGTCATAGGATCTGGGCCGGCAAGCTTCGGGGAGCTGCTGGGGTGAGCGGCGTGGGTCCGACGCTTAGCTCAAATGACCCCCAGTTTGACTTTCTCTTCTACTGGCTACCGATCGGACCTCGGGATGTCAGTTCTGTCCCAGGCGGGGGACAGATAGTCATAACCAATGTCTAAACAACCACTCACTGATTTTGTATTTTAATAAAGTTGTGGCCAAAATAGTGCCCCAAAACCAAAACTAAATTACGTGTTATGTGTGAAGTTATTTGAGGGGTGGCCTGGGGACCTACACACGCAATGAGAATTTAGTTGTTTGTGGGATTATTCAATTAGGTAAAAACAGTGCTTTTTCTGGGGGGATGCAGGGGTGCGCATACCCCTAAACATTTTGTGAATCTTTGTACTTTTGTCCATTTGCTGTATTTATTTCCCCCGATTTGAACTATAAAATGGTGGTTTTCTTCAGTCAAAATGAGAGTACCCCAAAATATTTTTTTTAGGGGGGAAAAAGCACTGCGTAAAAAAGGTAAAGGACAGTTAAGTCCAGTCAAAGGAGACTATGGGGTTGCAGCGCTCATCTCACTTTCAGACCAAGGGAGCCAGCATTTGTCCACAGACAGCTTTCCGGGTCATGTGACCAGCATGACTAAACGGCTTCTGGCCCAATGGGACACTGACGGAAACCAGAGCGCACAGAAACACAGTTTACTTTCCCTCCTCGTGCTTTCAAACTGCTAGGTTGGTAGGAGCTGGGACAGAGCAACAGGAGCTCACCCCATTGTGGGGATTTGAATTGCTGACCTTCTGATCAGCAAGCCCAAGAGGCTCAGTGGATTAGACCACAGCACCACCCATGTCCCTTTTTTCATTCAGTTACAGAGCGGGAGGACATGGATTTTGATAAGTGATGGCAAATCCAAGTGACCTTACTATGCAGAACAAAGGTGTGGTATGTCTGTGCTGGTGTGCTTGCTAGTATATAAGAAAGAAAAGTGTAGCAAGCAGGGTCCTGCAACCAAATGCTGTAGTATAACCTTGGTGTGTGGTATCTGAACCAGTGACTGTAGGGCTGAGAGAGCTAAAGTTGGCTCCAAGGCCTCCTCTAACTTGGGTCTTCCTTCATGTGCAAGATTTTTTTTTATTTTTACCAAAGTAAAAATTTAAATATTTATTTAACTGTTTTATGTTTGGTCCTTATCTTCTGTGCCATTGAATTGCTACAGTGTTTCGGCCGCTGTGCACAATGAGGCTTTGCTAGCGCACCCAAAATCAGAGTCAGGAGACAGAATTGTGAAATAGCTAACTTGTTCTTTGTTCAGACTTGGGTGGTATGTTGGTGGTGAGAGAATGGGAGAAATCAAATTGGTATTGATATAAATGATAAGCTAATCTTTCTTTTGCGTCATGCTAAGGTTGTCGTCTTCTATTTAAGCCTAGGCATGCTTGAGCCAATGCTTCACAAGTGAAATTGGGTAACCAGAAGAAGACATAACTACCCAGTTTGCAGTCCTTGTGGTAAGTCACATATGCCATCCATTTTGGAGCACCAGACCTGAGCACATTCAGGTTGCATCCACATCATCCATCTAAAGCATTGTGATGCCCCTTTAAGCAGTCTTGGGTCCCCCAAAGACTCCTTATTAAGCATGCTGAGAGTTGTTGGGAAAACCCTATTCCTATACCAGAGCTCTAATTGCCAAATTGGTTGAGCAATCCAGCCCTCTTCACATGGGTTTCTGAGAAGTGTAGTTTTATGGGCAGATCAAAGAGATGGGTTGGGTTGGTGTCGATGGGCTGGTGGAGTTCTAGGAAAGTACCCAAGGAACATACACAACACAGTTCTACATGGGGGTGGAGGATCCCGCATAAACAGGAGGTGAAGTCCTATAGTCTCTCTGTCTTGATTTTTAACCCTTCCCTCCTTGTTTTGGCTTATAAACAAGTCTGGGATAAAACAAGCTTTTTCCTGAGATGGGCAGGGAGCTTTCCAACACCCGCAATATGTGTTTGGCTCATTCCCACACAAGCTCCCTGTGCCGCCCCGTGAATTTCTAACAGAATTCAGAGGGGAGGGGCATTTGTGTTGATGGAGCCCAGACCCCAGCAGGAAGTGGCAGACATCTCGTTGTACTGAGAGATTTGGTTTTTTTAAAAAAATCATACATACTTCCTGTAATGGTTCTAGGGGTTGCTCGTGCGTAAGCCGGTGCAAACACCTGGCTGGGTTGCCTGAGTGAACCTTTTCTGTCCGGACAGCCACTCACCCGTGGCTGTTTCAATCGCTGGCAGAATCCGTCAGTGGGCGTTTCTTAAGCTTCTTCCAGCAAAGAAGCTCTTTGACGCCTAGTCTCCTACTTTCTCTGCACGAAAGCCTTCTGCGCAAGGAGGGCGTAGGCAGCGGAGGAGCTCTACTCTCCCCGCTGGTCCCCGGCAAGGAGTCATGGGACCGCCTCGCTGCTTCCCCCATCTGCCCCCCTTCTCCACTGGTGCTACGCTGATTCTCTTCCCCAGAAGATGGGCTGCCTCTCCCAATCCCGGGACGCTCTCCGGAATCCCTCTGGATTTTGCTCTCTCCCTCCAGCACTGAGGGCAGTCCCCTGACACTTCCTCTCATGATTTATTTATTTATTGCAAACAGCAGGCTAAAATAATTGCTTCACAAAAAAACTGAAACTTTTTGAGCTCATTCCCACTGCACTTCTTCCCCAGAGCCATGCCGGTTCCCTTGGGACTTCTTCTCTTCTCTGTGCTTCTAACCCCAGGTAAGCAGTCGTAATCTTCTAGGGCCGGTGTGTGTTGCAGTGGAATGCTTGGGAATAAGCTATTCAGTCTCTTATGCTTAAGCCAAGAAATTGTCTCTTTGATGATATTCAGCACTAGTAGATGCATCAATGGCACGAGACAACCGAAGAAGGCCAGAAAATTGTGCTCAGGGAGTGTGCTATCCGCCAATCCCAACAAATTGGCCCCACCAGGGGCGGAACAGCAGCCTCTCAACTGTATGGACTGCTAGGGCGAAACGGGGATATAATAATAATAATAATAATAATAATAATAATAATAATAATATATTATTTATACCCCGCCCATCTGGCTGAGTTTCCCCAGCTACTCTGGGTGGCACCCTGTATTTTTTATAAATTCATACGCTGGTTCATCAGCACCTCACAGCTACTGGGAACAACATTGGACTCATCTTTTTCTTGAATTTTCTTGGACTTATTTAAAAACAAGAAAAAATGAAAAACTGAGTCAATAATTTGTAAGAATCTAGTAAAATCAGATATTACAAGTTCACTTTATGTAGTTTGGAAGTTTTCACGGCACTTTGCAAGTAATTGTCTCTTTCTCACATATTTGATAAATGATGTAAAATTATTCTTGAACAACTGTGTGAATATTTCTCGCCAGCGTGCTGCACGAGTTGTACTATCTAACCCCAGGTAAGCAGCAGTAATCTTCTATGGATGATCCAAGTTGGAAATTTTGGAAGAGTTGACTGGGAGTGGAAACCACTGTATCTCCTTCAAGCTTGTTGAACGTTGCATTATATTGGGGAAGGCAAAGAACGGTGTTGCACTTGACCGACTTTTCTGGGATCCAGTGGACAGGTAACATAGGGAGATGTCTGTGCATGGACCCTTCTAAAGAAATCTTTTGTCTTCCCATCCACAGGTGACTCATTAGAGTGTGAAACCTGCCTAGGGTTAGACAGCAACTGTAATGGCACTATGGAGCGTTGTAGTACTCATGAAGACACCTGCTCTGTCGCTTTTGTGGAAGCTACAGTAGGTGAGTGAGAAGGACCTCTACCTCTTGCAAAAGGTCTATCAAGATGCTTTATTGGGAGTCAGGCCATCCATCCATTTACCTGCAGTAGTGACTGTTTAGACTCCACATGCACTGGACTACAACTCCCATTATCCTCCACCATTGGCAACGCTGACTTGTGATGATGGAGATTATAGTCTAAAGCAGGCATGTCTAACTCCCAAGAGACTGCGATCTACTCACAGATCACAATCGACCTGTTGGACATGCTTGGTTTAAAACTTCAGAAGCACACTGCCTCTAGGTTTCCACGCAGAAAGCTATATTTCCCAGCCTCTTGCTACCTGAGGTACCTTAACTCTGAGGTGAGGGATTGGTGACCTTCCAGGTGTTTCTTTTTTATGTAACAGATTTTTTATTTTATTTTGACAGAGTAATGATCATAAATAAATAAAAATAAAAATGTGCACTCCACCACCAAGACCATTCCATTGTAACTATCCAGCCTCCCAAAATTTCAACACCTCTTGCGATGGTTTGACCCCTTTCCGTATCTCCTCAAAGTCATTTCTCCTGCATATTCCCCATCTTACCTCAATGGTACATGTTAATTTATCATTAATAGCTATACCACACCTCTTTATACCATTCTTTTGTTTTATATTCTGCTTGCCCCTTCCACTTCCTAGCTATAATAATTTGTGCAGCTGTCAATAAATGTGTGAGCAAGTCCTTCATAGCTTGTGAACTTTCCACCCCATCGTAACTTCCAGATGTTTCTTACCCTTCACTGTGCTCGCTAGGGCTGATGGGAGTTGGTAGCCCAGCCAACCCCATGTTGTGGAAAGCTGGCTTAAGTACTTACCTTATGCCTTCTCTGCAGCTGAAGTAACAAGTCAGGAAATAAGAAAAGGATGTCTATCCACTCACGCCTGTGGACTCGCACCATTTTATCTGAATTTGGGCAAGATGTTTATTGCCAGAGGAAAGGCTGTCTGCTGTGAGGGGAATGACTGTGCGTCTGTTTCTCCTCAAGGTAAGTATAGTTTTGCTCCCATCCTCTTTTCCTGCTCTGTGCCCCAGGGCTCAGGTTGTGCGACAGTATGCGTACGAATACAATTCTTCCCCTTTTCTTATACTGCCTCTTTGCTTTTTTCAGTGCCCCCAATAAACAACACGGCCAATGGGAAAAAATGCCCAGCCTGCTTGTCTCTAATGGGCCCCTGCTCTTCAGAGCTGGCAGAATGTACAGGGGCAGAGGACTACTGCCTGGATGGAATCCTCAAAAGTGGTAATTCTGATTTGATATGCTCTTCTGATTCTGAAAAGTAATTGGTGTAGCAGCCAATTCTGTCCCATTTTAAGTCTTGCTGGCATTCCATCAGAGGGATCTGTTCCATCCTGCTCTGTCCAGTTGTCTGCATTTTAAATCCATTTCAGGTTCACTTTTTACATGAAATGTGCACCCTTTGTGTAAGGTTTGCAGAGTTGTAGCTGATGTTAATGGTAGCCAGGGCTGGCCCAAGACATTTTGGCACCTGAGACAAACCACAGAATGGTATTTGCCTCCTGGTCAAGGAATAAGATGTGAGTGATGATCTACAAGTGGGCAATAAAGATCTGCATGGGGATCTGATGCCCCTGTGAATTCTTGCCCCCCTGAGGTGGTCGCCTTGCCTTGCCCCATGTGTGGGCCGGCCCTGAGCATAGCATAGACTAATTGAAATTAATGGGTATAGCTAAAGTGTACTCTGAGTAGAATTCACTTGGAAACAACACATGCTTTTCAATGAATTCACCAGTAAGAAGCACATTTTGTATGCACATTTTGTGCATGCTTTCCTCACATTGAAAGCACCTTACAAAATCCAGAGAAGGGCCCAATCCGTCTGGGAGATGCATTCTAACTGAAATCTGAGTCTGGGTGCAACAGTTTGGGTGGCTCTATTATGAAAAGTGGACTAAATGAATTTCTCTCCTACCACTGATTTTTGTGGTTCTTTCTCCTCTCCCAGCATGAGAATTGATTTTACCTGCAGTCATTGCTAGCTTCAGCATTGTGGGAAATGAAAATGGTGGCTCACGGACCCGATACCGGGGTGTCACCATTACAATTAGGACCCCAATGACTTCTTGAGCACCTCTCCTGCCAGGAACTTAGCTGAATGCTCGGATCTTCTGAGGCCCTTCTCCAGGTCACACGTCTGAGAGAAGCTTGGAGGGTGGCAATAGGGGAAATGAGAAATGCTCTCTGTCGCAAGGTCTACCCTGTCCCTTTGTTGGCACCTTTTTGGTGCCAGGTAAAAACTTGCATTTCCCCAAACTTTTGATGGACTCAGCTGATGTAGATTTATTCCTAGTATGTTGCAAAATGTTTGATGCTCTTATGGGTGCTGTTTTCCATTTTATGGTACAACATAACAGTTTTTCAAGCTTTAGAACATCTTGTAAGTAGCTTGAGGAGCTGCAGGTGCAAGCAACTAAAATGCCTCATCATCATCATCATCATCTCCACAGCTGGGGATAATAATGGACAAATGTCATATCAGGAACATTGTAGACTTGACAGGCTTTCAAAGAGGACACCTTAAAAAGTGGGCTGCTTCTGATAGCCCTTCTAATAGAGGACATTCCTACATGGCCAACCTACATAAATGCCAACATTGGGGTCATTGCAGCAACATCCCCATCAATGGGTTATATCCAAAGCTAGTCCTTCTCAGAGGAGGTCTTTTTTTGCCAGTGTTGGGGAAAATCTAATCAATAATAATAATTTCACAATGTGTGTTGTCCTTTTGTTCTTTTTTGCTTTGCTTTTTCTTTATTTTAATAGTCACCTTGACTCATGGCAATGGTGGGAGACAAATAAACTTATTTGCGGTGGTGATTACTGGGAAGAGTGGATCCCTGATCTCCCATATTTTCTTTTCAGCTCCAGGATGGTCTGACTTCATCATAAGAGGTTGTACTACCAAGTCTTACTGTGCTATTTTAGAAAAAAAAATTGGCCCAGCCAACATTTTTGGATCTGTAGTTGGTAAATGTGAACCAGCAGATAAGGCACCTCCATCATTATGAGTTCCCCTGTCATGGCTTCTGCTGGTGAAGATCTTCTGGTGATGAAGACCTTCCTGTGACTCAGTCCCGAGGAAGACCTTCCTTTTAATGTCCTTCTTTACTTTCGATTTGTCATTTTCCAGAGGGATTTGTATTCTTAGTTGTTCTACTGAATTAGAAAGAAATTCTACTGAATTAGAAATCATCTTTTTAAAAGAAATCATGAACTTCTGTAGTGAAGGTCGATTGGCCGAGGAGCGGGAAACCTTTTCAGCCTGAGGGATGCATTCCCTCATGTTGACCTTCTGAGGGCCAACAGCAAAAGTTTGTGGAACAACGACTTCTTCCTGTATAGCCAATGAAACAGAGGACTTCTGCAAACAGAGGGCTGTCCTCTAGCCAGGAATGGCGTGTTCTGTTTTGCCACTTGAGGTGAAACGGAAATGTACCACCCTTCCCTGTTGCTGCCCCACTCTCCCACTGAGGTGTCCCTTCCCTGTGTTCCATGGCAGCACTTGTGAACCACTGCCAGCAGCACCGGCTTCCAGAGAGAGCTCATGAGATCTCACCAAAATCTCAGTGGGTGACGTCCTGCAAGATCTCTCCAGAAACTGGTACTGCTGCCAGTGCCGCTTCTCCATGGGTGATGACGGCTGTGGGCTGCCGCTGCGCAAGGCGGTTACCTCATCTTGCTTCATGGGTGGGCCCGCCTAACAGCCCACTCAAATAGAGGACTATTTTTACAAGGTGCACATGTGAACCCATTTACGTGTCTACTACATGTAGAGACCTGATGTCTTCCACTATTGAGATGAGCTGTACCTTCTGCATAGATTCAGGAAGTGCATTCATTAAAAATGCCTTTATACATTTGACCTTTATGCCTAATAAAGAACTTCACACAGCAGAAAATGGACAAAGATTCCTTTATTACATTGAATTTGTCTAATCCTCGTTTAAGACCATCTAGGTTGGTGGCCATCACTGTGGCAAGAAGTTCCACAGCTTAATGTGATGCTGGAAGACGTACTTTATTTTCTCTGTCCTGAATCTTCCAACATTCGTTGCCATTGGATGACCATGAATTGTAGAGTTATGAGAGAGGGAGAGAAACATTTCCCTATCTGATTTCTTGATGTCATGCATAATTTTACAAACTTCTATCATGTGGCCTCTTACTCACATTATATATATCTAAACTAAGTCTTAACGAAGTCCTAAATACTACAACATTCCCACCCCCTCAGTCTATCCCCTTGTCCAGTTTGATTGCCATTTTCTGGATCTTTTCCAAGTCTACAAAATCCTCTCTCTCTTTAGGCAAGGCAACCACAACTGCATACAGTACAGTGATACCTCAGGTTAAGAACTTAATTCTTCCGGAGGTCCGTTCTTAACCTGAAACTGTTCTTAACCTGAGGTACCACTTTAGCTAATGGGGCCTCCCTCTGTCGCCACACTGCCGCCGCGCGATTTCTGTTCTCATCCTGAAGCAAAGTTCTTAACCCGAGGTACTATTTCTGGGTTAGTGCAGTCTATAACCTGAAGCATCTGTAACATGAAGCGTCTGCAACCCAAGGTACCACTGTATCGGAAATTTGAATGATGGCAGTTCAGACCCCTTAAAAGTATTTGTGAAATTAAGATATCTTGCCCCATCGTGCATCACATTACATTTGTTTACGCTGAATTTCATTTGCCATTAAAGAACCATAGAATTGTAGAGTTGGAAGGGGCTGCAAGGGTCATCTAGTCCAACCCCCTGCAATGCAGGAATCTTTTGCCATTTTACTGTTTGGAGAAGTCCTTTTGGAGCACTTCGCAATCTTGGCCACCTCACTGCTCTCTCTTAACTCCATGTTGTTTATGAACAGGTTAAAAAGCACAGGTCCCAATACCTATCTTTGGGGAACCCCACTTTCTACAAATTTCCCTCTTTCCATCAGTTCCTGGGCTGGTTGGTATAGGAACTGTACCCAGGCCTCCAGTTCACTAGGGCTTTAAAGGTAAGCATCACAAACACTTTGAATTGTGCTCCAACACAGAAGAAGAGATAATAGGAGAAGGCATACAGGGATTGCATCCTCCCTGCCCCCCTCTTTTCTTGGCCCAATGGTAGAAGAGCGGGCTGGAGTGATATTCCTCCACCATTGTTCAGCTTGACAGAGGAGCAGTCTGCTCGCGTCCAGCACAGTCACTGATGACATACATGATGTGATTCTAATGTGATTTTGGTTTTCATCTTTTTGCAGCGTGGGAAGGTTTTATATGTGTCTGTCTGTCTGTCTGTCTAGATCTGGATCCAAATCCAGATCTAGATATTGTTCTTGCTATATTATCATTGAACACTGTTAGTATTACGCATGTTTCCATTGCCCTCTGATCTTATGTGGAAGGATGTGTGGATCCAGATTTGGCCTCCATGGCCACTTACGACACACCGTTAAGACCATATTCATAGAAGACAATCTTACTTGGCAACGGGTGATTGCCGAAGAAGAAAGAAGATCTTACGAAAATTTCGTATTTTAAATCTTTGAAATCACACTAAAACTTTTTTTTTTAGTGATAACTACATTTAATAAATGGTAAACGTACTCGTCCTCCTTGAGTGAGATCACCAGGGCAGCTGACATCCACCATGAAGCTGTAGGAAAATTGAAACAGTAAATTAACAAAAAGGCAATCAAATTCCAGTGTCCCTACTTATGAGCAGGTGGGGGGGGTTGAAGGTCTCTAAGTGGAGGAATTGTTCCATAGACATGGCCTCCACACCCCATGATTTGGAACACTCGTGGTGCACAGTTCTAAACACCAATCTTTGTGCAGAATAGGGTCTCTGCTTCAGACCTTCCAACATCTAGTGATCATCTCCCATTGGATTTTGTTGCATTTATTACAGGGAAAGAGAGCAGCAGTGCAGATTCCACCCCTCCATACATATTTGCCTTCTGAATTGAACTCTGAGAATGCACCTGCAGAATACTAAGGGAATGCAACGTTTTGGGTTGTAATAATAATAATAATAATAATAGTAATAATAGTAATAATTTATTATTTATACCCCACCCATCTGGCTGGGTTTCCCCAGCCACTCGGGGCAGCTTCCAACAAAATATTAAAATACAATAATAACTAATAGATCCATATCCATTAATATCAATAAGTTGCTGTCCAGCACACAGCCCTAGTTATATGGATCACTTCTCTCCCTGTCTCTTACTAGGCCCCTTTGCCAAATGGCTTCCTGGTCCCAGAAAACTGGTCTCACCTGTATTTTAGCACTTTGCCAGTTTCAACATCTCCATGCATTTGATACATTTAAGAACTTTGGGGAATCTGTCACCACCAAAAAACACCTTATAACAATATAAAAAAAAATTGATTTCTGTCCTTTGGTTCCAAGAACTCCATTCTATCCCCCCCCCCCAGCTACAATGTTTTCTGTTTCTATTTTAATGTTTTATACTTGGCCCTTATCTTCTGTGCCATTATGGGGCTGTGTCTGAGCTGCTTTGACCCACAGAACTTTGATGACACACCCCAAACGAAAACTCAGGAAGCACAAGTATGGTGAGCAAAGGTCCCATGTCTAAATGGATCTAACTTCAGTTGCAAGCAGATGGTGCAGTTATGGTGGAAATCAAATTTGCAGAAGTGATATGATAATCTAATCTATATCTTGCGTCATGCTACTGCTGCCGCCGCCTTCTTCGTAAGCCCACATATACAGGAGCAAAGGTGCCAGAAGTGAGTTTTAGCAGCCAGAAGAAAACATTCTCATTGAGGAGCGCCCGCCCTTCAGTTCTTCACAACTCAGGGTAAGTCACATTTCCCAACGATTATGGAGCTCGAGACCTGCAAGCTCTTACCATCCACTTAAAGCACTAGGACAGCATTTTGAACAGTTAGGGGTTCCCCCGAATAATTATGGAAGCTGTAGTTTGTTAAGGGTACTGAGCCCTGCCAGGGCTCTCGTTTCCAACTTGGTTGAACAGTCAATCCCTCTTCACAGGGAATTCAGAGATTGTAGCTTTGTGGGCAGGAGGAGGAAACAAAAAGATGCAGCATCTGTCCAGTATCTCCCACCTGGAAGAGAACAGTTGGCTTCCCCTGCTGGGGAAGGCTCTTGAGAAGCATGTGTGAGCTGTCCGGGTGTGCAGTGTAATCCTACCCCACCATGATTCACTCACCTGACAGCTATGTCTCAGCTCTACATGAGCGTGTGCAATCCTGGTTAAATATGAGGTGAGCTTTACAACCTCTGCACCCTTAATCCCTCCTTGTTTTGCTTTATAATCAAGTTTGGAATAAAGTTTTTTGCCGAACTGTGGGGGAAGGGGTAGATTAGCTTCCCAACCCTGCTAATAATATGTGTTAAGATGAGATCCCTCTGTTATCCCATGAATTTCTTAGAAGATTCATGCGAAAGGAAGGCTCGTATCAGTGATGTCCAGATTCCAGCATCTCACTGTACTGAGAAATTTGGGTGTGTGTTTGTTTGTTTGTTTGTTTGGTTGGTTGGTTTTTTAAAAAATTGTGCATGTTTCCAATCTGGATTTTTATTTATTTATTTTGCAGACACCAGGCTGGAAAAAATTGGCTTCACAAGGAAGCAAACTTTTTGCATGTGCTCCCGCTGCACATTTCTTTTCACACACCATGCCGGTTCTCTTGGGACTTCTTCTCTTCTCTATGCTTCTAACTCCAGGTAAGCAGCCGTAATGTTCTGGGGTGATGTGTGCTGCAGTGGGATACCTGGGAGTAAACCAGATCCAAGGCACTGATTTTGGAAGGGCTGGCTGGGGTGGAAACCAAAATATCGCCTATAAACTGGTGAGTGTCACACTACATAGAGCAGGATCAGTGTTGCGCTTGACCCACATTTGTGGGATCCATCCCCTTTCGCAGGCGGATGACTTAGAATGGCATCTGCACATGGGCTCTGCTTTTGAAACCTTTTACCTTCTCTTCTACAGGTGACTCACTGGAGTGTGAAACCTGCATAGCGACAAGCAGCAACTGCAGTGGCAAGATGATGACTTGCAGTGCCAATGAAGACACCTGTGCTGTCTCTCTTACGGAAAGCAAAGCAGGTGAGTGAGAAGGATGCCCACCAAATGCAGTCTAGGCCAGAGGTTTGTAAAAGGCATATCAAGATGCCTTATTGGGAGTCATTCGATTCATCAACTGACTGGTGGGGGCATGTGCGCACGGCCACTGCACTTTGTGGGTGCCCTGCCCCCCCCCCATTAAAATGTTGTGGGGTCTAGAGCACTTGTGGCTCTGGGGAGTTGGCATGCCTGACAGCTTCCTGACAGTTAACTGGGGCTGATAGGGATCAGAGAATCATAGTCAAAATCATTTAGAACACACTGCATCTAGCTTTCCAAGCTGAAAGCTCTGGTCCCTGGAGCTGAGCTATCTTAAATCTGGGATCAAGCCCCAATGTCCTTCCAGATGTTGCTGGACTCCAGTCCCTGTCATTTCTGAGTCTTCACTGGGCTCTCTGGGGCTGGTGGGAGTTGTAGCTCAGCAACACCAGGAGGGAACCGTGTTGTGAAGGCTGCCCTAAATGCTTATCTTTTTCTTTCATTCTCTGCAGATCAGATATCAGTTCAAAGTATAGCGAAAGGCTGTTCATCCACTAAGGCCTGCGGACAGGGACCATATTCCATAAATTTGGGCAAAATGTTTACTTCCAGAGGAGTGGCTGTCTGCTGCAAGGGTGCTAACTGCTCATCCATTTCTGTTCCACGTGAGTGTATTTTTCCTTCCCCCCCCTCTTTCTATGCCCCAGAGGTCAGGTTGTGCCATAGATTTCAATGGTGGAGTTCTGAATCACAGACCAGTCATTTGCCACCGTGCAGCACAGTGGAGGGAACCATTATGTCTGGGAGCCTATTGTGGCCCTCCAGACCTCTCAATCTACCAACACTCTCTGACGTATGGTCCCCAGATGTTGTTGAACTGCAGCTCCCATCTTCCCTTGTCAGAGCAACCAAGGGTCAGGGAAGATAGGAGTTCTGCTCCCACAACATCTGGGAACCCAAGGTTGAGGTACACCAGCATCTCTCCCAACAGCAGTCCTACTCCACAATCCCCTTGAATGTTTTTGGCTGGCGGGATCTGTGGTCCTTAAATTGTGATGACGTCTCCTGCCTCCCTGGATAGAGGATAGAGGGGAATGCGTGAGTGTACACTGTCTCTTTGGCTTTTTCCCCAGTGCCTCCAGTAAACAACACAGTCAATGGGAAAAAATGCCCAGTCTGCTATTCTATGTTAAGCCCATGCTCTTCTTCAGATGTGGCAGAATGTACAGGAGCTGAGGACCGATGTCTGGATCTTAGCATCAAAAGTGGTATTTCTGATTTATGTTCTTCGGATTTTGGGGAGGGATTGGCTGAGCAATGGAAATTCTGTTCCATTTTGGTCTTGCTGGCACTCAGTCCAGCGGCGGAGCGTGCTTTTCCATTGGGAGCGGGGTGCCAAAGGCGAACAGAGGCGCCCAGAAGTGGCAGCAGCTCCGAGGCACTTTGTGAGACTGGAATGATCCAACCATGCAAAATGAAGTTGGCTTGAGGATAATCGTCATCATCAACAACAACAGCATTATCATCATCCAAAAATATCTGGAGCAATGGCAGTCGTCCCCGTCCCCCGTCCCCCGCCCAAGCTTTAGTAGGCCATAGATTACTTAATAGCCAAAGGCCTGGTAAAGAGGAATGTTTTTGCCTACTGCCCAAATACATGTAGTGATGGTGCCAGGTGAGCTTCTCTGGGGAGAGCATTCCACAGTTAGAGAGCCACCACAGAAATGTTGTTGCCACCCTCCAAACGTGATGTTTTTGTCTCCCCCCCCCCTTTTTAAGAGACCTTTTTTCTTTTTTTTAAGAGACCTTTTTTATAAGTTGCTTGGAAAAGTGAGGGTTTAAGCAACTTTGCATCATCATATCAGTGCTATTATTCAAGTAAAAGAGGTGCTAGAACTCATGGTGCACCCTTGTTCTCCTATAATGGCAATGGTGCCCACTTGAGAGGTGCAGGGACTCTGGTGAGTTCAGGCTGGTGGTGCTGATTATATGATATAATAGTATTATTATCCCACAATATCTGGCGCAATGCTTCATCAGGAGCATTGGAGACCAGACAAGCCATCAAACAAAGGATTTCTCAGATAGGCTTTCAAATAGAGGACTGTCCTTTACGAGGTCAAATACAGGGTCACCCTGCACATATCCCAGTAGAGTGGTACCTCGGGTTAAGAACTTAATTTGTTCTGGAGGTCCGTTCTTAACTTGAAACTGATCTTAACATGAGGTACCACTTTAGCTAATAGGGCCTCCCGCCGCCGCCACGCGATTTCCGTTCTCATCCTGAGGTAAAGTTCTTAACCAAAGGTACAACTTCCAGGTTAGTGAAGTCTGTAACCTGAAGCGTCTGTAACCTGAGGTACCACTGTAGAATGGCTACAACTGGGGAAGATGCGAGTGGCACTTGGGAGGAAAACATTTATTCTTTGTAATATGTGACTTCAACTCATAGGAACATCCCCATCAATGTGTTATATACAAGACTAGTCTTAGAGTAGAATCATTGAAATTAATGGACATGGCTACACATGCACCTTTTCACTTTGCCATTTTTATTTTGTTAGTTTGGCCAGGCCAATGTAAGGTTGAGAGCCAATTCAAACTTGTTTGTGTGAGGTAATTTTGGGGAATAGTGGGCCCCCTGACTCCCCATCTTTCCTTTTCATCTCCAGGAACGATTAAAATCACTATGAAAGGTTGCACTACCAAGAGTTACTGCGATGCTTTATCACAAAATGTTAAGAATACATTCAAGGAAGCTGCATCTGGAATGATAGACGGCAAATGTACAGAAGCTAGTAAGGCACCTCCATCATCAAGATTTCCCCTTCTGACCTTGTCATGGCTTCTGCTGGTGAAGATCCTCTTGTAATAAACCTTTTTCCGTGACTCCGCACTGAGGATAACTTTCCTTTCCATGTTTGTTTTTTCAGAGGGGTTTGTATCCATAGATATCTTACAGACTCACAAAGAGTCAGTTCATTTTTTTAAGAAATGAGAATGAAATAGTGATGGTCAAGACCAAGGGCAAATGGTTCTGGAACAAAGGCCACATTCCAACCATGCAAATGTCAGGAGTTTCTACACATAGAGACACACCCTCTTCATTCTCCAATGATGGAAACAAGTGTTGGATTTGATCCATCAACCTCCGATGGATGATTTAGAAGAATGTGGTCTGGCATCACTTTTGCTACGTGTGTGTGTGTTTCAGTATCCATACCCAGCAGAGTTGCATCTCAACGCAGCTCCTTCCTTGGAAGCATCTTTGGTGTTGAAGGTACACAAAGTAGGCAATAAACACTTATGGATGCCTTAAAGATTCAGTCAAGTGTAGCAGTTTACTTGGCAGGCATAAAAGCATATTGGTAGCAAAGATACCGTGGTCAAGGCAGGCTTAGAGTCCAACAAGAGTCCAAGACTCTCTCTTTGCTTCTCTCACTGCAAGGCGCAAGCAAGAGACTCACAACAAGTTACAAAAAGTTACACAAAACCATTGTTATCAGTTCTTCCTGTCACACTGTGCATGTCCAAAGAAAAAGATCCCACAGAAAACGTCCTGGCATAGGCAAAACAATCTCAGCCTTCTGCTGCTTCTTGAAACTACTCTATTTTTCTCTGTTTCTGGAACAAATGCTTTTGAAACCTTTTACCTTCTCTTCTACAGGTGACTCACTGGAGTGTGAAACCTGCATAGCGACAAGCAGCAACTGCAGTGGCATGCTGATGAATTGCAGTGCCAATGAAAACACCTGTGCTGTCTCTCTTACTGAAAGCAAAGCAGGTGAGTGAGAAGGATGCCCACCAAATGCAGTCTAGGCCAGAGGTTTGTAAAAGGCATATCAAGATGCCTTATTGGGAGTCATTCGATTCATCAACTGACTGGTGGGGACATGTGCGCACGGCCACTGCACTTTGTGGGTGCCCTGCCCCCCCATTAAAATGTTGTGGGGTCTAGAGCACTTGTGGCTCTGGAGAGTTGGCACGCCTGACAGCTTCCTGGCAGTTAACTGGGGCTGATAGGGATCAGAGAATCATAGTCAAAATCATTTAGAACACACTGCATCTAGCTTTCCAAGCTGAAAGCTCTGCTCCCTGGAGCTGAGCTATCTTAAATCTGGGATCAAGCCCCAATGTCCTTCCAGATGTTGCTGGACTCCAGTCCCTGTCATTTCTGAGTCTTCACTGGGCTCTCTGGGGCTGGTGGGAGTTGTAGCTCAGCAACACCAGGAGGGAACAGTGTTGTGAAGGCTGCCCTTCTTTCTTTTATCTTTTTCTTTCATTCTCTGCAGATCAGATATCAGTTCAAAGTATAGCGAAAGGCTGTTCATCCACTAAGGCCTGCGGACAGGGACCATATTCCATAAATTTGGGCAAAATGTTTACTTCCAGAGGAGTGGCTGTCTGCTGCAAGGGTGCTAACTGCTCATCCATTTCTGTCCCATGTGAGTGTATTTTTTCTTCCACCCCCTCATTCTATGCCCCAGAGGTCAGGTTGTACCGTAGATTTCAATGGTGGAGTTCTGAATCACAGATCAGTCATTTGCCACTGTGCAGCACTGTGGAGGGAACCATTATGGTTTTAACCTTTAAAGCCCTATACGACCTAGGACTCTCATACCTATGGGACCGCCTCTCCTGGTATGTCCCACAGAGGAACTTACGATCTGCAAACAAAAACATCTTGGAGGTCCCAGGCCACAGAGAGGTTAGACTGGCCTCAACCAGAGCCAGGGCTCTGATCTGGTGGAACGCTCTGCCAGAAGAGATTAGGGCCCTGCAGGATTTGACATCTTTCCGCAGGGCCTGCAAGACAGAGCTGTTCCGCCAAGCCTTTGGCCAGGGCACAGCCTGACCCCCTCCTTTGGCAATCTTCACAGAACTCTACCCAATGCTTGGCATCAATTTGATCTGAAGTAATTTTTTAATGAAATGATTTTAAAATGTTGTCTTATTTTATTGTTGTTAGCCGCCCTGAGCCCAGCTTCGGCTGGGGAGGGCGGGATATAAATAAAAATTATTATTATTATTATTATTATTATTATTATTATTATTATTATTATTTCTGGGAGCATATTGTGGCCCTCCAGCCCTGTCAATCTACCAACACTCTCTGACGTATGGTCCCCAGATGTTGTTGAACTGCAGCTCCCATCTTCCCTTGTCAGAGCAACCAAGAGTCAGGGAAGATAGGAGTTCTGCTCCCACAACACCTGGGAACCCAAGATTGAGGTATACCAGCATGCCCCATCTCTCCCAACAGCAGTCTTTTCCACAATCCCCTTGAATGTTTTTGGCTGGCGGGATCTGTGGTCCTTAAATTGTGATAACGTCTCCTGCCTGCCTGGATAGAGGGGAATTTGTGAGTGTACACTGTCTCTTTGCCTTTTTTTCCAGTGCCTCCAATAAACAACACAGTCAATGGGAAAAAATGCCAAGCCTGCTATTCTATGTTAAGCCCATGCTCTTCTTCAGATGTGGCAGAATGTACAGGAGCTGAGGACCGATGTCTGGATCTTAGCATCAAAAGTGGTATTTCTGATTTATGTTCTTCGGATTTTGGGGAGGGATTGGCTGAGCAATGGAAATTCTGTTCCATTTTGGTCTTGCTGGCACTCAGTCCAGCGGCGGAGCATGCTTTTCCATTGGGAGCGGGGTGCCAAAGGCGAACAGAGGCGCCCAGAAGTGGCAGCAGCTCCGAGGCACTTTGTGAGACTGGAATGATCCAGCCATGCAAAACGAAGCTGGCTTGGGGATAATCGTCATCATCAACAACAACAGCATTATCATCATCCAAAAATATCTGGAGCAATGGCAGTCGTCCCCGTCCCCCGTCCCCCGCCCAAGCTTTAGTAGGCCATAGATTACTTAATAGCCAAAGGCCTGGTAAAGAGGAATGTTTTTGCCTACTGCCCAAATACATGTAGTGATGGTGCCAGGTGAGCTTCTCTGGGGAGAGCATTCCACAGTTAGAGAGCCACCACAGAAATGTTGTTGCCATCCTCCAAACGTGATGTTTTTCTCTCCCCCCCCCCCCCACTTTTTAAGAGACCTTTTTTCTTTTTTTTAAGAGACCTTTTTTATAAGTTGCTTGGAAAACTGAAGGTTTAAGCAACTTTGCATCATCATATCAGTGCTATTATTCAAGTAAAAGAGGTGCTAGAACTCATGGTGCACCCTTGTTCTCCTATAATGGCAATGGTGCCCACTTGAGAGGTGCAGGGACTCTGGTGAGTTCAGGCTGGTGGTGCTGATTATATGATATAATAGTATTATTATCCCACAATATCTGGCGCAATGCTTCATCAGGAGCATTGGAGACCAGACAAGCCATCAAACAAAGGATTTCTCAGATAGGCTTTCAAATAGAGGACTGTCCTTTACAAGGTCAAATACAGGGTCACCCTGCACATATCCCAGTAGAATGGTACCTTGGGTTAAGAACTTAATTCGTTCTGGAGGTCTGTTCTTTCAGATTAAGAACTGTTCTTAACCTGAGGTACCACTTTAGCTAATGGGGCCTCCCGCTGCTGCCACGCCGCCACCACGTGACTTCTGTTCTCATCCTGAGGTAAAGTTCTTAACCCGAGGTACAACTTCCAGGTTAGTGGAGTCTGTAACCTGAAGCATCTGTAACCTGAGGTACCACTGTAGAATGGCTACAACTGGGGAAGATGCGAGTGGCACTTGGGAGGAAAACATTTATTCTTTGTAATATATGACTTCAACTCATAGGAACATCCCCATCAATGTGTTATATACAAGACTAGTCTTAGAGTAGAATCATTGAAATTAATGGACATGGCTACACATGCACCTTTTCACTTTGCCATTTTTATTTTGTTAGTTTGGCCAGGCCAATGTAAGGTTGAGAGCCAATTCAAACTTGTTTGTGTCTGGTAATTTTTGGAAATAGTGGGCCCCCTGACTCCCCATATTTCCTTTTCATCTCCAGGAACGATTAAAACCACTATGAAAGGTTGCACTACCAAGAGTTACTGCGATGCTTTATCACAAAATGTTAAGAATACATTCAAGGAAGCTGCATCTGGAATGATAGATGGCAAATGTACAAAAGCCAATAAGGCACCTCCATCATCGAGATTTCCCCTTCTGGCCTTGTCATGGCTTCTGCTGGTGAAGATCCTCTTGTAATAAACCCTTTTCCATGACTTGGCACGGAGGACGACTTTCCTTTCCGTGTCCTACTCTAGTTTCAATTTGTTTGTTTTTTCAGAGGGGTTTGTATCCATAGATATCTTACAGACTCACAAAGAGTCAGTTCGTTTTTTAAAGAAATGAGAATGAAATAGTGATGGTCAAGACCAAGGGCAAATGGTTCTGGAACAAAGGCCACCTTCCACCCATGTAAATGTCAGGAGTTTCTACACATAGAGACACACCCTCTTCATTCTCCAATGATGGAAACAAGTGTTGGATCGATCCATCAACCTCTGACGGATGATTTAGAAGAATTTGGTCTGGCATCACTTTTGCTGCGTGTGTGTGTGTCAGTATCCATACCCAGCAGAGTTGCATCTCGATGCAGCTGCTTCCTTGGAAGCATCTTTGGGGTTGAAGGTACACAAAGTAGGCAATAAACACTCATGGACGCCTTAAAGATTCAGTCAAGGGTAGATGTTTACTTGACAGGCACAAAAGCAGGCTTAGAGTCCAACAAGAGTCCAAGACTCACTCTCTGCTTCTCTCACCGCAAGGCGCAAGCAAGAGACTCACAACAAGTTACAAAAAGTTACACAAAACCATTGTTATCAGTGCTTCCTGTCATACTGCACAAGTCCAAAGAAAAAGATCCCACAGAAAATGTCCTGGCATAGACGAAGCAATCTCAGCATTCTGCTGCTTCTTGAAACTTCTGTATTCTTCTCTGTTTCTGGAACAAATGATTCTCTCACACACAGAGAGAATATCCAACAACAAGAGGCATTATTACAGCAAAAGGATACACTATTGGACAGCACAGCTGACTGAGAAAGAGAAATAGCAGAACCAATGAGAGGTGTGGCCTGTGGAGTGGACCATCGTATCAGCTGAGTGTATGGTCTAGGGAGAGTCCTGAGGACCTGAGAAGGAGGCCAGGAGGCTCGTATTTGGCCCTCAAGCCTGATTGGAAATGAAAGTCAGAGTTTTTAAGCGTGTTCTTCATGGGCGTAGCCGGGGGGGCAGGCGGGAAGCTGGCCCTCTAGATCAAGTAAAACAATAGAAATACTTAACTAATTGACCAATCACGTCAGTTCTGCCCCCCCCCCCGAAGTCCTGCCCCTTCCAACAAAAATCCTGGCTACATCCATGGTGCGCTTTTAGACAGCATGTTACAAATATGCGCGTAGCAAATTTTTTCTTTCCTCCAACAGCTGATTTGAATTCCACCTCACAATGTAACTGAATTTTCTTGCAGAGCTTTTTGTTTGCTATTTAATAAATATGGCTATTCTATGCAATGCAATGTCTCTCGAGTCTTCATTATGGGTGTGGGGGCAAAAAAAAATGAGAAACAGAGAAACTGAAATGTATAGATTCATCTATCCCAATCTCCACATGAACCAGGAAGTGGCCTACATAGATAATGTGTGGTTTCTGTACATTGGTTCTAATTACACCATTCTGTTCCTCCCACACCATTATTTGGTTTCATTTTATTGTTCTATGTTTGGTCCTTATCTTCTGTGCCCTTTCGGGGTTTTTTATTTATTGAATTTATATACCGCCCTATACCTGAAGGTCTCAGGGCAGTTCACAGATTTATTTATTCATTTTGAGCCGTTTTACACAATCAAACTTTGTATACCCACATTTATTTATTTATTTATTTATTTGTATCTGTACAAACCTTAAGCGCTGCATGAGTGGAGCAAGCAGGAGAAAATCAAAGTTCCTGGTATTAGCATATGTAATTTGAAACACAAATATTTCTTGCACATCATTCCAAAGCCTTCAGGTCCTTCATAAGTCAGGGTATTCTAGGATAGGTGTGCCGCAAGCGACCTTTAGCAGCCAGGAGAAGATAATCTCACCAAGGAGCACCCAGCCAGCAGACCATAGCAGCTTGTGGTAAGTCACGTATCCCATCCATTATGGAGCTCTAGACCCACAAAGTCACATTCACACCATCCATCTAAGTCACTACAATACCACTGTTGCTTGTCCCAGCCTCCAATTACTTATGTGATCAGGAGGGGACTGGGTAAGGAGAAGCTGTGTGAGAGGGGATCTCAAGTCTTCCAGATTTGGCTCAAGTTCTAGCAGCATCCAGGGCATAGCTCTACTACTTACTTAGCTGTGAATTTATATATTTTCTAGATGTTCACAGATGGCTTAATAATCTGTAGGATAGGTTTGCCCAGACTGACATCTAGTGAACTGGCCTGTAGGTTTCTGGATTCACCTTTTCCTCCTTCTTTGAAGAGAGTGACTTTATGCAGCACTAGCATTGATCACCGGTGCAACTCTTCACGTCGAATCATAGAATGGTAGAGCTGGAAGGGACCCCAAGGGTCATATACTCCAACCCCCTGCAACTCCCTTCTTAATATTATGGAGAGAATTGTGGCAAGGAGATAGATATAGAGTCCTAGTGCGTATCCGGTGCCTAATAAAATTTTAAAAATATCATTATGTTATGTTTTTATTTGTTCAAACTTTTATTTTCCTTTCTTCAGCCACATCCCCTAGAGCAGTGGTTTCCAATTAGGGGTCCGGGGGGCCCATTCCTTGCCTTCCTCTCCCAACTAATTTTTTGTCATTTTTGCATTGTAATCTCACAATTAAAAAAAAAATTAGTACACCTAAAATCTTTTGCTTATAAGGGGCTACTCCATATTTTGCCCAAAAAATTACTTTGCAAAAAATTACCACCATCGAGTTAGCAAAATTTCCAAAAGTTGAAGTTCCATGGCTTGGCTTTTGAAAAATAGAGGGGCTTCAGTAATTAGCTAATTGGGAACCACTGCCCTAGAAGCTTGCAAGATACATATATAATATAATTTAACCAGTACCTTTTTCTAAAAATAAAAATAATAAAAAAGTTTAGGGGTATTCTCATTTTGACTAAAATCACCATTTTATTGTTCAAATTTAGAAAAATAAATACAGTAAATAGACAAAGGTACACATGTAGATTTACAAAATGTTTAGGGGTATACGTACCGCTGCATCCCTCCTGAAAAAAGCACTGGATTAAACAGATAAAACATTTGGCAAGCAGTTAGTCTAGCCATAATACAAAGGCACAAAAAAGGCTGCAGCAGATAACAAATATATAGGAGTGTGAATGGGTGTATATATATACACACACACACACACACACACACAGACACACACACACACACACACACACACACACACACACGGTGCCAAAAAGGAAAACTGGCTGGTGCCAGGCAGACCTTTGTGAAGAGTGTCTTCTACACATTTTACGCTGTAACTTAGCCCAATCTTAATAACTAGGTAGGTTCACGTAGGAGAAAATAGTCAAAATACAAAGCCAGCTGTGTGAACCACACCATTAGCCCAGGCAACCTGCCCTCTGATACCCAGCAAGAAGCAAGAAACTCACTCCACTCCTCCAAGTTCAGTGAAACTTCCTATGTACATAAAAAATGAAGGCTGTTATCACGCAGCCCCCATTGGAGGATTTGCAGTGCTGCATCACAATCGCGGATTTGGATGAAGTCAGGGTGGGCCAGGGGAGCAGAAGAGAAGACGCGTTGGACAGCAGCAGTAGCCATAGCATGCGAGTGAGAAGCGAAGCATACGGACAGTGGGAAGGTGATGGTTTTAAAGAACAGCAGAAGTTTGAGTCCAGCAGGGATGGAGGGCAACGGCGAGGAATTGCAGCTTTAAACCATAGCAGAGGTCCCGTACACTGGGATATTTGAAAAGGGGGGAGCTCTAGGGGGCTAACACAGGGGGGTGACGGGGGGTTGGTGAGTGCATGTATCAATGGGTCACGTTTCTCATCTGGGTCAGGGGCTATGGGGTTGGAATTCAACATGTGAAGACATATGAATTCCCAATGCCTGCATTGAAAGCATGTGTGAAGGAATTGTCAGGGTGCACAGGTCACAACACGATCAACGCATCTGACAGTTATGGCCCCCACTGGCCACACACCCAGCACATGTGCAAAGTGACCTTGTGTACAAGTTGAGGAACATGAACGGCACAGCTCTACATGGGGGTGGGAGGATCCTGGTTAAACATGAGGTGGGCCTTACAGCCTCTCTGCCTTGAATTTTAACCCCTCCCTCCTTGCTTTGGTTCATAACAGGGGTAGGCAACCTAAGGCCTGGGGACCAGATTTGGCCCAATCGCCTTCTCAATCCGGCCCACAGACTGTCCGGGAATCAGCGTGTTTTTACATGAGTAGAATGTTCCCTTTTATTTAAAATGCATCTCTGGGTTATTTGTGGGGCATAGGAATTCGTTCATTATTTGTTTCAAAATATAGTCCGGCCCACCACATGGTCTGAGGGACAGTGGACCGGCCCACGGCTGAAAAAGGTTTCTGACTCCTGGTTTATAATCGAGTTTGGAGCAAAGAAAGCTTTTTGTTGAACTGTGAGGGCAGATGATGATGATGATGATGATAATAATAATAATAATAATAATAATAATAATAATAATTTATTGCTTATATCCCGCCCATCTGGCTGGGTTTCCCCAGCCACTCTGGACAGCTTCAAACAAGAGATTAAAAATACATTAAAACATCAGTCATTAAAAACTTCCTTAAACAGGGCTGCCTTCAGATGTCTTCTAAACACCAGATAGTTATTTATTTCCTTGACATCTGATGGGAGAATATTCCACAGGGCGGGGCACCACTACCAAGAAGGCCCTCTGCCTGATTCCCTGCAACCTCACTTCTTGCAGTGAGTGAACCGTCAGAAGGCCCTTGGAGATGGACCTCAGTGTCCGTGAATGATGGGGGTGAAGATACTCCTTCAGGTATACTGGGCCGAGGATGAATTGGCTTCCCAACCTTGCTAATACGTGTTTGCCTCATCACCAGATGAGATCCCTCTGTTATCCCATGAATTTCTCAGAAGATTCACGGGAGAGGAGGGTTTGTATCTATGGTGTCCAGATTCTAGCACCTCACCGTACTGAGAAATCAGGACATTTTTTTAAAAAAATCATACATGCTTCCAATCTGGCTTTTGATTTATTAATTTTGCACACAGCGGGCTGAAAAAATGGCTTCACGAGGAACCAAGCTTTTTGCACATGCTTCCGCTGCGCATTTCTTCTCACGAACCATGCCTGCTGTCTTGGGACTTTTTCTCTTCTCTGTGCTTCTAACTCCAGGTGAGCAGTAGTAATCTTCTAGGGCTGGTGTGTGTTGCCGTGGGATACCTGGGAGTAAACCAGATCTAAGCTGTTGATTTTGGAAGCGCTGACTGAGGCAGGGGCACCAACTATAGGAGGTGGAACGGGCTTCAGCCCCCTCAATATTTGTGAGTAGGGGGCTGAGTCCCCCCAGTACTGAGGGGCCTCCCTTTTTTTGATACCAACACTCACATGCCGGGTGGGGGCAGAACACATGGAGGTTGAAGATTGCCCTCTGCCCACTCCATCCCCTGTCTCCGTCATGCGTGCACCAGGATGTGTGGAGTGGCACATGATGTGCGTATGATGTCACACATTGCTGGGCCTCTTCTAGTTGGAGGGCAATTTGGCGCCCCTGGACTGAGCTGGAAACCAATATACTGACTTCAAGATGGTGAGTGTGGCATTGCATAGGGCAGGAACCATGTTGCGCTTGACCCACGTTTGTGAGCTCCTGCCCCCTTTTTGCAGACCGGTGTCTGCACCTGGACACCGCTTATGAAACCTTTCATTTTCTCTTCTACAGGTGACTCACTGGAGTGTGAAACGTGCACAGCGGCAGGCGCCAGCTGCAAGGGCAGCATGACAAAGTGCGGCGCTGATGACGACACCTGTTTTGTCGCTTTTAGTGAAAGCACAATAGGTGAGTGAGAAGGATCCCCACCAAATGCAGTCCAGGCATAGAGGATTGCAAAAGGCATATCAATATATATATATTGATGTCTTAACTGTGTTTTAATTGGTTGGAAGCTGCCTTAAGTGGCAGTCAGATGGGCGGCATATATAGAATAAATTATTATTATTGGCGATGCTAACAGGCTGATATGGATCATAAACTCATTGAAGACCCTCCAGGTGTCCCTATTTTCCAGAGACAGTCCCAGTTTCTGATTTGATCCCTGAATGTCCTGCTTTTTCTTAGGACGTCCCTATTTTCATTGGATAAATGTTGGAGGGTATATTTTTATGTTTTATTTTATGCTTTATTATGTTTTTATGGATGTTGGAATCCCTCCAGAGTGGCTGGGGCAACCCATTCAGATGGGCAGGATATAAATAATAAAGTTGTTGTTGTTATGGAATAGGACGTCCCTGTTTTCATCAGAGAAATGTTGGAGGGTATGTCATAGTCAAAAACATCTGGGGCACACAGCCTCTAGCTTCCCAAGCAAAAAATCTCTCTTTCCCAATCTCCTGAAGTCTGAGATACCGTAACTCTGTGGTGAAGGACCAGTGTCCCTTCCTCTAGATATTCCTGTCATTTCTGAGCCTTCACTGGGCTCTCTGGGGCTGAGGGGAGCTGTAGCCCAGCAAAACCAGGAGGGCCTCATGATGTGGAAGGCTGCCCTAAATCCATATGCTATTCTTTCATTCTCTGCAGCTGGAAAATCATATCAGAGGATCCTGAAAGGCTGTGCACCAGCTCTAGTCTGCAGTTTGGGACCATTTTATGTAAATCTGGGCAAGATGTTTACCTCCAGAGGAATGACTATCTGCTGCGAGGGTGCTGAGTGCCCATCTGATTCAGCTCAGTGTGGGTATAGTTTTTTTCTTCCATTCCCCCACCTCATTCTATGCCCCAGAGGTCAGGCTGTGCAATTGATTTCATCAGGGCGCTCCTGAATCACAGATTTATCATTTGCCACTGTGCAGCACAGTGGAGGGCAACATCATATCTGGGAGCCAATTGTGCCCCCTCCGGGCCTCTCTATCTGGTCCGTGCGTTCTCTCTAGACCAAGGTTTTCTGACTTTGGTCCTCAGGTGTTGTTGAACTACAGTTCCCATCATCCCTCATCAGAGCAACCAAAGGTCAGGGAAGATGGGAGTTCTGGTCCCACAACATCTGGGAACCTAAGGTTGAAGTACACTAGCCTAGATCACACTCCCTCCTTGGCCATGCCCCATCTCTCCAGGCCACACCCAACAGCAGTCCTACTCCACAATCCCCTTGAATGTTTTTGGTTGGCAAGATCTGTGGTCCTTAAATTGTGATAATGTCTCTTGGCTTGCCTGGATGGAGGATAGAGAGGAATGCGTGAGTATACACTGCCTCTTTGCTTTATTTCAGTGCCTCCAATGATGAAAAAGGTCAATGGGAAAACATGCCCAGCCTGCTATTCGCTGACTCCTACGTGCCCTACAAAGGTGACAAAATGTACAGGAATAGAGGACCACTGTCTGGATGCTAGCATCAAAACTGGTAATTCTGATTTGTTATGCTCTTCTGGCAAATTCTGTTGCATTATGGTCTTGCTGGCCCTCCGTCATAAGGGTCTAATTCCACCCTGTTCTATCTAGTTGTTTGTGTTTTTTAATGCATTTTGGGTTAATTTTTTATTTGAAATGTGCACTTTTTAGGTAACGTATGCTGGGTTTTAGCTGATGTCAATCATAGCGTTGACCAGTTGAAATTAATGGGCAGGGCTAACTTGGGTCTGTTAATTTCAGTGGGTGTGCTCTGAGCCAATTTTAGTTGGAGACACCCATGCTTTCCAATGAATTCATCTGTCAGAAGCATATTTTGTAAGCACCTTTTCTGCATATTTTTTTACCCCATTTAAAACACTTTACCAAACCAGAAAAGTGCACCATCAGTCTGGAGATGCGTTTGAATTGAAAAGCAAGTTCAGGAACTTCAGATATAACAAAAGACATAGTAAGAGGCAGCATAATAATAAGACAGTCATACCTTGAATCCCAAACTCCTTGGCTCCCGAACAAATCGGCTCCCAGACGATTGAAAAGCGGAAGTGAGTGTTCCTGTTTTCAAATGATTTTCAGAAGCCGAATGTCCGGCGCAGCTTCCAATTGGCTCCTGCAGCCAATCAGAAGCTGCGCTTTGGTTTCCGAACGTTTTGGAAGTCGAACAGACTCCATTTGACTTCCAAGGTATGACTGTAACAACAACAACAGGCCCCCAAGCTTTAGCAGGCCATAGATTATTTAATGACCAAAGGCCTAGAAAAGAATAATGTTTTTGCCTGCCACCCTAATACATGTAGTGATGGTGGCAGGTGAGCCTAACTGGGGAGAGCATTCCACAGTCAAGGAACCACCACAGAAAAGACCTGTTTTCTTGTTGCCACCCTCCAAACGTGTTTTTTTCTTTTCTTTTAAAGATGATGCTGATTATATAATATAATAATAATAATATTATCCCACAATATCTGGAGCAATACTTCATCAGGAGCTTTGGAGACCAGACAGGCCCATTAATAGAGCTTGTCTCTTAGAGCTTCTGATAGACCTTCAAATAGAGGACTGTCCTTTGCCAGGTCAAATACATTTTCACCCTAAATCTATGCCAGAAAAATGGCCTACACTTGAGGTCGACATGAGTGGCGCCTGGAAGAAGAACATTCTTTGTCCTATACTGTTTCAATCCATAGGAACATCCCCATCAATGGGTTATATCCAAGACTACTCTTAATCATAGTATATTCATTGAAATCAACAGACATGGCTCCACATGCACCTCATATATCACAATGTGGGACATTTTTGAAAGTATTATTTATTTATTTATTTATTTATTTATTTTGCTTTTATCTTTATTTTGTTTTTTATTTATTTTGTTAGCCCGTTTGACCATGGTGGGAGACAAATCAAACTTGCATTGGGGAATACTGGGAATAGTGACCTCCCATCTTTCCTTTTCATCTGCAGGAGGGTTTGGAATCACCATGAAAGGTTGCACTACCAAGACTTACTGCGATATTATACAACTAAATGCTTTGCCACGAAATTTTAAGAGTACCTTGAGGGCAGTTACTTCTGCAATTCTAGATGGTAAATGTGAGCCAGCCAGTAAGGCACCCCCATCACTGAGATTTCCTCTTCTGGCCTTGTCATGGTTTCTGCTGGTGAAGATCCTCTTGTAATGAACTCCTTCCTGTGACTCGGCACTGAGGACAACTTTCCTTTCCATGTCCGTCTCTACTTTCAGTTTGGTTTTTCTCCAGAGGGATTTGTATTCCTACGTAGATATCTTACTGACTTACAAAGAGCCGGTTTGTTCTTTTGCAGAAATGACAATGAAATGCTTTTGTGAAGATCTGTTGGCCAAGAATCTTGAGCAGAAACGGGGGACCTTTTTCAACCTGTGGAATGCATTTCATGGCTGCCAAGATTTCTCAGATGATAATAGGGACATCAGGATCATCCTCCCCTCCATGCCCCATATATACACACTGCTGGTGGAATACGGGAAAAGGGCAGGGCTGTCTGAGCTGCCTCAGCATTACAGGTTACCGCCCACACACTTCTGCTGCGCTTTTCTGCTTGTGTGGTGGCACCTCGGTAAAACCACTTCTTACTGTTTGTAGCAGAGTTTTCCTCGGAGGCAGAAGACAAGAACAGGAGTAATACTCAAATTCAGAGTCAAGAGCTTCTTTATTGCTTGACTGGTTGCACGAGCATTTTTGTTACCTTTATATACAAGCTATTTACATTCCTTCTTTACCTCTCCAGCATGGTATAATCTCAGTCCTGTAATTAACAATCCTGACACAGCAAAACTCACAGTATCAGCAGCACACGTTGTCTTACTTCCAACCTTGTTGTCACAGTGTATGCGTACAGTCTATTTGTGTGCTTTACTTGTGCAGAAATTGCAACTTCCTCCCTTTCTTTGCACCTCCAGCTGACACCAATCAAGCCTAGAGTGCCACTCCTAGACACTAAAGAAAAATTCTGGAACCCTCTTCAAAGCTTCCAGGAGCTTTTATCTGTTTCTTAAAGAATGTTTTCCTAACACTCAGTGGGACAGATTTTTAAGCAAACACGCATGGTTCAAACTGTGCATGGTTCAAACTGTAAGCTCATCCAAGTTCAAATACAAGTGTGCTCAGGTCTGAAATCTTACACATATGCTGTCCCAGTCCAGTTGGTGAGAGCACACACAGGAATCTGCAACCCTATTAAACTGTTAAAAGTGGGAATTTAAATCCCATGGACTTCCAATGAATAACACTCAAAATGCTTATTCTGACCTGCTGAATTTCTGCCTACCTGTTAAAGGGACACTACGCCAGTCCGGGGGGGTGGGTCCAAGTCTATTATTATTATTATTATTATTATTATTATTATTATTATTATTAAAATTTGTATACCGCGGTCACAACATAAAACCACAAAATATATAATAAAAACAAAAACAACCCAATACCCCCCCATGCCAACACATTTTAAAAGGGCACTGGATGTCAATCAGCCAAAGGCCTGGTTAAAGAGGAATGTTTACATGCTCAATGTTACTTTTGCATTCATAGAATCATAGAATCATAGAGTTGGAAGAGACCACAAGGGCCATCGAGTCCAACCCCCTGCCAAGCAGGAAACACCATCAGAGCACTCCTGACATATGGTTGTCAAGCCTCTGCTTAAAGACCTCCAAAGAAGGAGACTCCACCACACTCCTTGGCAGCAAATTCCACTGTCAAACAGCTCTTACTGTCAGGAAGTTCTTCCTAATGTTTAGGTGGAATCTTCTTTCTTGTAGTTTGGATCCATTGCTCTGTGTCCGCTTCTCTGGAGCAGCAGAAAACAACCTTTCTCCCTCCTCTATGTGACATCCTTTTATATATTTGAACATGGCTATCATATCACCCCTTAACCTCCTCTTCTCCAGGCTAAACATGCCCAGCTCCCTTAGCCGTTCCTCATAAGGCATCGTTTCCAGGCCTTTGACCATTTTGGTTGCCCTCCTCTGGACACGTTCCACTTTGTCAGTGTCCTTCTTGAACTGTGGTGCCCAGAACTGGACACAGTACTCCAGGTGAGGTCTGACCAAAGCAGAATACAGTAGCATTATTACTTCCCTTGATCTAGATGCTATACTCCTATTGAAGCAGCCCAGAATTGCATTGGCTTTTTTAGCTGCCGCATCACACTGTTGGCTCATGTCAGGTTTGTGGTCAACCAAGACTCCTAGATCCTTTTCACATGTGCTGCTCTTGAGCCAGGTGTCCCCCATCTTGTATTTGTGCCTCTCATTTTTTTTGCCCAAGTGCAATACTTTACATTTCTCCCTGTTAAAATTCATCTTGTTTGTTTTGGCCCAGTTCTCTAATCTGTCAAGGTCGTTTTGAAATGTGATCCTGTCCTCTGGGGTGTTAGCCACCCCTCCCAGTTTGGTGTCATCTGCAAATTTGATCAGGATGCCCTTGAGTCCATCATCCAAGTCGTTGATAAAGATGTTGAATAAGACCGGGCCCAAGACAGAACCCTGTGGCACCCCACTAGTCCAATTTATATACATGATTATGGAGAGCGCGCGCGTACACACACACACACACACACACACACGGGATTAACATAGGCAACACACCTACAGCTCAGGTACAATGCCTGCCTCCTAGCAATTGAATTCAGTTGGACAGCACACTAGGGCTGAAAAACGTACAGGTTTTCCCAGACATATCTAGGATTTGGATGTCGAAAATGGCATCCAGTATTCGGGTGTTGAAAACGGGGGAATTTTGGTGTACGGATTTTCACTTTTAAAAATATCAGCAAAATGTCAGGTAAAACCCAGATGGATGGCAACGTGATGGAAAAAGCAATGGAAATGACTCGAAAAGCTTAACAATTTGGGTGGGTTTCTAAAACAACTTTGTGGGTGTCAGGAATTTTACTTTTTGAAATATGGCGACCCCAACGCTCACACCCTTGCAGTGCTTCAAAGCCTAACACAAACATTTATTTAGAACCTCAAAAGGAGTTAGTTAAAAAGCTTAACGCCTTATTCACAACAGCAGCCCAATGGAGTTTGTGCAACGGCCAGCCTTTTAAAGACCCACAAAACTTAGCATCATAGAATTGTGGAGTTGGAAGGGACCCTAAGGTTTATCTAGTCCAGACCCCTGAAATGCAAGGAATGCTGTAGTTCTGCAGCAAGCAGGGAGACAACAAACCAGATCCCCACTCAGCCACAGGAGACCTTGGGCCACTCACTCACTCACTCACTCACTCTCAGATGAACCTACTACACAGGGTTGCTGGCAGGGCTTTTTTTCAGCCGGAACTCACCAGATCTCAATTCCGGCACCTCTTAGGTAGGTGCCATTGCCATTGCAAGAGAACGAGGGAAATATTTATGGTGTTCCTTCACCTCTATTTCTAGAAAAATAGCACTTCAAGAGGCATGCCCTCTTCATTCTCCAGTGATGGAAACAAGAGACATTATTACAGTTAAAGGATGCACTATTGGCAGGCACAACCACCTGAAGAGGACGAGAAGGAGAACCAGCGAGAGGAGTGGCCTGTGGAGAGGACCATGGTCTTGGCTGGGTTTGTTGCCTAACCTAAGGAGAGTCCTGAGGACCCAGGAATGAGGCCTGGAAGCCAGCATTTGGCCCTCAAGACTGCCTGGAAATGAAAGGCAGAGTTTATAGGGGCGTTGTTTTAGACATCATGTTACGAACATGTGGGCACATGAACACATTCACACAGCTTGAGAACCTCAGGACATGAAACGCATCCTGCTGGATTAGCTCAGTGGCCCATCTAGCTCAGAAACCTGCAAGAAGGATTCAGGCATCAGAGCTCTCTCCCTCTCCTGTGTCTTCTAATAACTGGTCTTAAGAAGTATTACTGCCTCCGATCATCAGGGCAGAATATAGCCATCATGACTTGTAGCCATTGGTGGCCTTCTCCTCCATTAATTTGCCCATTCCTCTTTTAAAGCCATCCAAGCTGGTGGCGATCATTGCGTCTTGTGGAAGCAATTTCCATCATTTAACACTGTGCTGTATGAAGAAGTACAGTCATACCTCGGGTTACAGACACTTCAGGCTGCGTTTTTTCAGGTTATGGACCCACCAAAACCCAGAAGTACTGGAACAGGTTACTTCTGGGTTTTGGCAGTCGCACATGTGCAGAAATGCTGAATTGCAACCCGCACATGCGCAGACACGCCACTGTGGGTTGCAAACATTGTGGGTTGCGAACGTGCATCCCGCACGGATCATGTTCGCAACCCGAGGATCCACTGTACTTTCTTTTGCCTCCCACCAGCTGATCCAAATTCCACCAGCCCTTAAACTCACGAAGCAGTTCAATTTGTTGCAGCTCTTTTCCTTTGCTATATAATGAATATAAGTATTCCATCCAATGCAACGTCTCTCAGTTCTTCGTTATGGGGATATGGGCAAAAATGTGAATCAGAAGCAGAAATGTACAGATTCATCTATCCCAATCTTCACACGAACCTGGAAGTGATATATCCAGAATAAGGTGTGTCTTTCTACCTTGATGACATCTGGTTTTTGTACCTTGGTTCCCTCCCACGCCATTGTCTCATTTTATTTCATTGCTCTATGCTTGATCCTTATGCTATGTTGCACTTCATTTTTATGGGGATTTTAAAAAAAAGCTGTTTGACCCAACTGAACTTTGTTCTACCATATTTTTATGGATGTATGTATATTTAAAAACCTTGAGTGGTGAACGGGTGGAGCAATCGTGGGGAACATCAAATTGGTGCTATCATATATAGCATGAAATGCAAATATTTCTTGTGTGCTGTTCCAAAGCCTTTGGCTCCTACATAAGGCAAGGTATTCCAGAATAGATGTGCCATAAGTGACCTTTAGCAGCCAGAAGAAGACATCCTGATTGAGGAGCACCTGCCCTGCAGTCCTTCACAACTTGTGGTAAGTCACATACTACATCCGTTTTGGAGCTCTAGACTTGGCAGACTCTTAGATCACATTTGCACCATCTGTTCAAAGCACTCTCAATGCCACTTTAAATAGTCATGGGTGCCACCAAACAATTCTGGAAGGTGTGGTTTGTTAAGGGTGCCGAGAGTTGTTGGGATACCCAACTAGAGGTCTCCTAGAGCTTCAGTTTTCAGAATGGTTAAGAATCAATCTGCCTTCATAGAGAACTCTGAGATGTGTCACTCTTGGAGGACAACAGAGGCACTCCTAAAAACTCTCAGCACCATTAACAAACAACAACAGCTCCCAGAATTCTTTGGGTGAAGCTGCAACTGTTTAAAGTGGTATCAGAGGGCTTCGAATGGATGGTGTGAATGTGGCCTAAATCTAGAAATAATACTACTTTATATTTCTGAGAAATGGCAATGTTCTGGAAGAGTGGTTACCGCTCTCATGGTTAGGTTGCTATTTATTTTATTTAAGAAAATATGTTTCTTTCCTGTGCCACTGAAAGAGGAATGAGGGACCTAGGGTGATATATGAAAACTAAACAAAGCTAAAACTAATATGTAGCTATAAACAGATTAAAATTAAATGGTGTTAAAACAACATTAAATGTTACAGCCCTGGAAGAATAGGAGGGTAGGTGCCATGCCCTTTGGATGTGAAAGGGGGCCACCACTGAAAAGTCCCCTTCTGTTGCTGCTACCCTCAAAAGGAGGGGACGCTCAGTCTGTCTGTTGAAGACAGAGAAGCCAATCAGGCAATTTTTGCTGGGCTATTCTCATTGCCATACTTACTTGGGAGTAAGCTCACAACCACACATGTAAAGCACACTTCTCCCATAGAATCCTGGCAACTATAGTTTGTTAAGGGAGCTGAGCATTGCTAGGAAAACTTTAGCAAACCACAGTTACCCAATACTTTGCTGAAATCAAGGTGTTCCCGTGATCTACCACATGAGTAACACTATCTAAAAAGGAGATAAGGTTGATCTCACTTGGTTTACTAATGCCAGCCCCTGGTTATTAGGAGTGTGTGTGTGTGTGCACGCGCACAACACACATATACACACCGCTCTCGGATGGAACTGAGAAGAAAATGGCAGCGCACCTGACCGCTATGAGCTCCACTGGCACATACACTGAGCACCTCCACATGACAGGAGGATTTTGATAAAATATGAGTTGAGCCATACAGCCTCCCTGGATTGATTTGGCTCCTTAAATTGGTTGCTTATTAAGTTTGGGATTTATTTATTTTTTAAAACTATTTGTTGAAATGGGGGGTGGTGGAATAATTTAGTTTTCCACACACACCCCACACACCCCACACCCCAATATGTGCTCGATCCCATGAACTTTTCAAAGGATTAATTGGCCAGGAGATTTGTATCTACAGTGTGCAACAACAGGGGTGAAATTCTACTCAGTTCGTGTTTAGAGACCAGTTTACCTAATTTACGTTCCCTGAAGCGATAGGAATAAAAATGCAGCTCTCCTTCAAAATTCATACCAGGCTGAAAAAAACTGTTGCACTCATTTCCACCTGTCATTTCTTCCCCAGCACCATGCCGGCTCTCTTGGGACTTCTTGTCTTCTCTGTGCTTCTAATCCCAGGTAAGCAGTCATAATCTTCTAGGGCCAGTGTGTGTTGCAGTGGGATGCTTAGGAGTAAAGGAGATCCAAGCTGGGAAATCTGGAAGGGCTGACCGGGGTGGAAACCGATATACAGTGGTACCTCGGGTTACATACGCTTCAGGTTACATACGCTTCAGGTTACACACTCCGCTAACCCAGAAATAATGCTTCAGGTTAAGAACTTTGCTTCAGGATGAGAACAGAAATCGGGCTCTGGTGGTGCTGCGGCAGCGGGAGACCCCATTAGCTAAAGTGGTGCTCCAGGTTAAGAACAGTTTCAGGTTAAGAACGGACCTCCGGAACGAATTAAGTACTTAACCCGAGGTACCACTGTATCACCTTCAAGCTGGTGAGTGTCGCATTACACAGAGCAGGAACAGCGTTGCACTTGACACCACTGGCGGAGGAAGAGGGGTGCGGGGGGAACGCACCGCCCCCGGCCGCGCGATCCTGGTGGGGTGCCATCACGGCTGTCTCTCTGCCCACGCTGGGCACCAAGCCATGCCCCCAGGACGCACGCCACGCCCCTGCTGGCAGGATGTCACATCCCTGTGGATGGCGTGCCATGCCTCTAGGACGCATGCCAGCACTGTCCCTGCCTGCTCTCCGCCCCCCGGTGCTGGAGCATGAAGCTCCACCACTGCTTGACACACGTTTGTGGGATCCTGGCCCCTTTTGCAGACGATAACATAGAATGGTGTGTTCACATGGACCTTGCTTAGGAAACCTTGCATCTTCTCTCCTTCAGGTGACTCCTTGGAGTGCGATACCTGCAGAGGGCCAGGCTTGAACTGTACGGGCACGATGGCAAACTGCAGTGCTGCTGAAGACAGCTGTGCTGTTACTGTTCTTGAAGCCACAGTAGGTGAGTGAGAAGGATCTCCACCAAATTCAGGCCATAGGCCATAGGTTTGCAAAAAGGCATATCAAGATGCCCTAGTTGGAACCAGGCCATTCATTCATTCACCTGCAGCGGTGACTGCTTAGATTGCTAGCAGCTCTCAAAATGCAGCTTTGGAATGCTTTGGACTACAACTCCCATCACCCCTCACCATTGGCAGTGCCGACTGTGGCTGGTGGAGATTATAGTCTCAAAAACATCTGGAGAACACGGGCCTCTAGGTTTTCAAGCAGAGAGCTCACTTTTCCAGCCCTCTGCAGCCTGAGGTACCTTGGCACTGTGGTCAAGGGCTGGCGTCCCTCCATATGTTGCTGGACTACAGTTCCCATCATCCCTGGCCCTTCACTGTGCTGGCGAGGGCTGATGGGAGCTGTAGCCCAGCAACACCAGGGGGACAGTGCATTGTAGGACACTTCCCTAAATGCTTATCTAGGAGTCCTCACAAGGGAGCTGGTCCTGGAGGAAGAACTGTGAGGGGAGAGACTTAGTCAGGCAAGGCCTCCTTCCACCAGTCTTGCTTCACCCGCTAGTCTCTGCTTCTCAATTTGTATTGTATTATTTGTATTGTATTGTATTATTGTATTATTTTATGTACTGTGGCTTGCCATTGTTTTATTGATTATCGTTTCGAAATTATTTATTGTAACAGTTAAGTGGATTTCTGTTTAACTGTTATATGTTGATATTATTATTATTTTATACTATCCTAATGATTGTTGAATGTTACTTTTGAGGTGTAGGTTGCTTATTTTAAAGTTATGTTTTGCGTTGTTTTCATGATGTTAGCCACTCTGGATACAAATAAAATAATAATAATAATAATAATAATAATAATAATTCCTTCTCTGCAGCTCAGTTAACAACTCAAGAAGTAATGAAAGGCTGCGTATCGTCTCACATCTGCGGACTTGAATCATTTTATCTGAATTTGGGCAAGATGATTACTGCCAGAGGAATGGCTGTCTGCTGTAAGGGGGACGACTGTGCATCTGTTTCTCCTCAAGGTAGGTATAGTTTTGCTCCCATCCTCTTTTCCTGCGCTGTGCTCCAGAGGCCAGGTTGTGCCATGGTGTGTGTGTGTGTGTGTGTGTGTGAACATAGGAACATAAAAATGTTTCCCAATACCTCAAGGACCACCTGTCCCCATTTGAACTGATCATCCACGAGAGATGGCCACCCAACCTCTGCTTGAAAACCTCCAAAGGAGAGGCCAAACCTCATTGAATGTTTTTGCCTGGTCAGAATGTGAATTGTGATGACATCTCTCACTTGCCAAGATAGAGAAACTAGCCTACTGTATGAAAGTAAGGCTTAGCATTCATTGCTCCACGCACTTCTCCTTCAGGCCCCATCTACGACTGGCATGTGCACCCCAGGTGAGAACGTGGTCCTTGGGCTGGAAAATAGTCCCTGCCCCCAGTATATTTGCTTTTCTGACAGTGTCTCTGATTTTTTTCCAACCCCAATAGTGCCACCAATCAGCAGTAAAGCCAATGGGAAAAAATGTCCAGCCTGCTTTTCTCTATATCCCCCGTGCTCTACAGAGGAGGCAGAATGTACAGGAGATGAGGACTACTGTCTGGATGCAACCATCAAATCTGGTAATTCTGATAAGATCTGCTATGCTGATATTGCTGATTATGAGCAGGGATTGGTCTTGCTGGCAATCAGTCACAGGGGTTCATTCCATCCTGCTCTGTTCATCTGCTTGCATTTTTTTAACCCATTTCATGTTTACTTTTTACATGAAATGTGCACATTTGATGTAACTCTTCAGGGTTGTAGCCAATACAGTGGTACCTTGGGTTACAAACACTTTGGGTTACAAACTCCGCTAACCCCAAAGTAGTTGCTCCAGGTTGCGAACTTTGCTCCAGGATGAGCCATTGAAACGAATGGGCATGGCTAACTTAGTTCTGTTAATTTCAGTGGGTCTACTCTGAGTAGAATCCACTTGGAAACAACACATGCTTTTCAATGAACTCACCAGCAAGAAGCACATTTTGTATGTGTTGTAAATGCCATTCAAAGTCCAGAGAAATGCATAAAAACTGTCTGGGAGATGTGTTCTAATAATAATAATAAAATGTTGAGGAGCATCAGGTTGGCCTGACCCCTTGTGAGAAATGAACTGAATGAATTCCTAATTGTGAGAACTTTCCCTTTTCCTGGTTTGTGGGTTTAATCTGTAGCCTCTGCTTTCCATCTCCAGGTGTGAATGAAATCACCGTGAAAGGTTGCACTACCAAGTCTTTCTGTGCAGTTGTGCAAGAAATGATTGGAACGCCCTTCCATACTTCTGAAACACTAAATGCTCAATGCAAACCAGCCAATAAGGCTCCATCATCGAGATTTCCCCTTCTGGCCCTGTTGGGGCTTCTGGCAGTGAAGATCGTCCTCTAATGAACCCCCTCCTGTTATTCAGCATCATGGGAGACCTTCCTTTCCATGTTCTTCTCTATATTTGGTTTTTCAGAATAATTTGTTTTCCTAGTTATTTTACTGAATTGTAATGAATCATGGAAGAAAATAAAACAAAAAGAAATGAGGACGAGCTTGTCCATTGAAGATCTGTTGGTCAATGAGACTTAGCAGAGATGGAGAACCTTTTTTCAGCCTGAGTGATGTATTTCTTCATGACAGCCTTCGGGGGGGGGGGGTCACCAGCCAGTGGTGGGCAGAGCCAAAGGCCAATGTTTGTGGAACAAATACTTTCTTTTGTGAAGTACGCAATCTTCCAACCATACAGTGGCGTAGCGTGGGGGGTGCAGGGGGGCCGGCCGCACCGGGTGCAACATCTGGGGGGGCGCGCTCGCCGCCTCCGGAGTCGCTGAAGAGCCTCGGGCGCAGGCTGTAGCAGAGCCCCATGTCTCGCAGAACCGATGAGCTGGCAGCGGCTCTCAGCGCTCGCCGTGGTCCCCGCGCTTCAGGGCCGCGGAGGGCGCGCCAGGCAGCCCCTCCTCACAGCCCCGCCGCCGCCGCTGCTGCTGCAGCTGCTGGGCCATGTTGCATTTTCCTCGCCTCTCTGCCCTCCTCCTCCTCCGGGCAAGCGGCGTCGTTTGGGCGGCAGCGCCAGCGGCAACTCGCCTCAGATCACCTGACACTGACCCGCCGCTGCCGCCGTGGCTACCTTACCGTAAATACCCCAGCCCAGGCAGCAGCAAGAAGAAGCTGGCAGTGGCGGCAGGTTAGGGGTTAGGGGGCGCAAATTACTTGCCTTGCCCCGGGTTAGGGGGCGCAAATTACTTGCCTTGCCCCGGGTGCTGACAACCCACGCTACGCCGCTGCAACCATAGGAAAGTCAGAGGTTTCTATGTACAGAGACACACAGTCTTCATCCTCCATTGATGCAAGTAAGAGACATTATGAAAGTGTAAGAATACGTTCTTATCTCCCTTGTGCTAGAGGAGGTGTGAATGTTTTGCTATTGGATATTTGACACAATTTCATTACATAGGAAAGCAAAATAACGAAGGGGTGTACATTATATTGGAGCAAAGCAGTGCACAAAATCAAGAATTTAAGACATGTGGCTTCTGCAAGAGTTAAGCTCTCCCCTTCAGAAATCTGTGCCAGCAAGGAAACAAAGGTCTCTCATCCATTCATTTGGTCCCTAGTCCAGCAATATGTAGGTCCTTGAGATTACCTTAGAAGCGATCTTCACTGTCTGAAGTCTGATTCCTGCTTATAGGAGGTTAATAAAGAGTAAACAGACCTTCCTGGAAAAATAGAAACATTTGTGTTCTGATCTTCTCTGCAACTATTAGGATCAGGAAGTTAGCTGTTCTTTCCAGGTCCATATGAGATAGGAGCTTGTACAAAGGTCACAGATAGTTCATGTGGGGAGGCCTTTCATATTAAACTTATGTCAGCTGCACTAATGCCATGATCCATAGAAATAAACCATGTAAAGACTATAGACTACCACGCATTGTTACACTTGCCTCTATGAAGGCAGAGATGTGGACACACTGCATATTTGCTAGTGAGATGTCTAAAATGGGGCGGACTAATGTGACCATCTATGGCCATATCTATCTGCTGCTGTGGACAAGTGCTTAAGCTGAAGCCCTCCAGATGCTTTGAACTATAGTTCCCATCAGCCCCAAGCAGCACAGGTGATGGGAAATGCAATCCAAAACATCTGGAGGCTTCCAAGTTGGATAAGGTTGGGCAACACCCTTTGGCCAATACAGACTCATCTCTCTCTGCTCCTTACGACCAAGAAACTAGCCTATCTCACTGGACATTGAACCATCTATCCTCGTACAACCCCTAAGCCCCACCACATATTTCTTTCCCCGAATCTTTCTACATCTAACCATCTTCCCCACCTTTCATTCTCAAAGGTACTTCTTCTTCACATGTGGGGCAATCCTTTAAAGGATTTTGTCATTGTTGTTAGGGTTGCAACATTGACAACATTTATCTTTTGCTAGACTAAGGTGATGTCGTTTTGCTACTAGCATGCTTCCAAGCCTGTGGCGGTTAGGGGAGAGTTGTTTTGTTCTGTCTTTATGGTAGAATTTCTTTATGTTTATGTTTTAAACATGCCGTAAGTCACTTGGAGACCTTCAGTTAACAAGCAACTGGCAATTTCAAATAGTACAGTGGTACTTTGGTTCTCGAACGGCTTAGTTGTCGAACAATTCGGTTCCCAAACGCCAAAAACCCAGAAGTGCTCTGGTCTGTGAATGTTTTTTTGGAAGCCAAACATTCAAGGCAGCTTCCAATTGAGTGCAGGAAGCTCCTGCAGCCAATCGGGAGCCGCGCCTTGGTTTTCGAACGGTTTCTGCAGTCGATTGCACTCCGGAATGGATTAAGTTCGAGAACCAAGGTACCACTGTAACAGCAACAAGTGCTCTGTGGGGTTTACAGTATGGATTTGCATCCTGGGAGTTCACTCACTTTTCTTGGTGACACCCCTGCCCCTATCATCCAGACAGGAGTGCCAGGTAAGCCCCATCCCATATAACTGATCACAAGACATGGCACACACACTCACCATTTGAGTAGCAATGCACTTCAACTTTGGGGTGATGGGGAAGACCCTTCCAATATTTTATTGGGAGGCAAAGGGACCTTGGCTCCTAGTGAAGGAGGTGAGGACAGGTGCCCCACCTAGGCCCGAAGTCACCCCAGGCCTCAATAATCAGCCCAGGCCTCAAAACTGTCCAAAATTCCCTTTCTCTCTTCTAAAAATCCACAGCTAAAGTTTTCCTCTGCTTTCTCACAAGATGCTGTGGCAAAGGCAAAATGTTACTTTTATCAGTACAATAAGGCTTCAAAAAGCTAATGAATAGGCTCTGTTCAAAGCAAGCCTGAGAACTGACTCTTATCTCATTCGGTTGTAACACATCTTTGGACGCTGAACGCAAGGCTTCTCATCCCCCTTTCCTGGGAAGAGTCCAAAAGAGTCCCAAGACAGGAGCTTTCTGTTCATGCTCGGGGGAACTCATGGGGCAGGACTCTTGAGGAGGAGGAGAAAGGGGAGGGAACTAGAAGGGGAATATATGCTCTGTGCAAATGACTGTGAACTCGTGCTTGTTTGTGAATCTATCACACTTGCTCCTTCTACCAGCCGGATGGTAGAAATAAAGCTTTTTCTCTGAAACTATTCCTTGAGTGTCTGTTGACTCCCATCTCCCTTTCCCAGGCGCAATACTCTTCCCAACCCAAGGGCAAAGCCTCATAAGGCTACACTAGGAACTGGCTCCTGTGCACCCAGACATGCAAAAAAAAAGGGGGGGGAGTTCTCCTCTTTCCCCTGTTGGGACTCAATCTCCCATCTCTTGTTTCCCAGCCACCTGCTGCTCTCAGTATGTGTCTGCAGAATAAGGTTACCAGACATCCCCGTTTCCCGGAGACAGTCCCCAGATTTACAAATCAGTCCCCTTACAAAATCCTATGATTCCGACTCATTTCAATGAAGTGTCCCTGGATTCATTGAAAAAAATCTGGTAACCTTACTGCAGAAGCCCTAGTTGTCCCATTCTAACTCCCCACCCATGACTTATCCAACAAATGCCTTTTTCTCCCTGGGTGAGCCTTGAATACTTATTCCAGGTGAGTGATATGTGCTAGAAGCCCCAAAAGCTAGTTGCATGGTTTTTTGTGTAGACTCCCCACCCTCTGCTTTGTGCATTGTGCTGCAAAACAGTGACCCCGCAGAACAGCAGATGAAGGATTGGCCACTCTTAGAATCCATCAAACTTACACAAAGGTCCTGGGGAAAACTGGCACATAGTGAGTCTATGGGCAAGATGGTGGTGTTGGTCACTGCTGTTTTCAGGACTCAACTAGGGATGGGCTGCAGCTCAGGAACAGAGCCTCTGCTCAGCATGCAGAAGGTTCCAGATTCAGTTTTCGGCATCTCCAAATAGGGCTGGGGAAAACTCTGTCTGAAACCCTGCAAAGCCACTGTCAATCAGTGTAGACAGCACTAAACTGGACAGAACAATGGTCTGACCTGTTATAAGGCAGCTTTCTATGTTCCTGTGGAGGGGAGCATCATTTACCAAACGTTTCTATGCTTAAAGTTTCCATTTTAAAATGTGTCTCCTTTATAACAGCAATAAATTTATAAAAAAGGTTTAAACTTTTTTATTTGCTCAGGTGTTTGGGCCACCGACATTTGGGTGTGGTTTGATTGACATAACCACAGCTGGTTTTTGCTGTAGTTTTTATTATGTTATTGTAGTTCTTAAAATGGCTTTTGTTCTATGGTTTATTTGTACTTTGCCATTAGCCACCCTGTGACTGAGGTTGCAGGAAGGAGATGATAGAAAAGCACTGAGACAAACAAACCAGGGCAATTATCCGCTTTTTGGCCACATAGCTGCTAGATGACAGTAAAGCTGACCCATATTACATGATTTTATAAGGTTAACTGGAGTGGGTGTGGCAAACTGGTTGTGAGGTCAGGAACTGCATATAAAAGTTAAAGAAACACACTATATCCAATGTTAATAATAATAATAATAATAATAATTTTATAATTTGTACCCCACCCATCTGACTGGGTCATTACTCACAGCAGACCCAATGAAATTAATGGGATGATTAACTTGGGTCCGTTCATCTCAGTGGGATTACTCTGAGTGGAAATTGTTGGGTACAGCCTAATCATACAGTGAATTACAGCTGGACAGCTCCCCTGAAAATATAGACTTAGGTAAGTTTGCATAAGGGACTTGGGTGGCCCTGTGGTCTAAACCACTGAGTCTCTTGGGCTTGCCAATCAGAAGGTCGATGGTTCGAATCCCTGTGATGGGGTGAGCTCCTGTTACTCAGTCCCAGCTCCTGCCAATCTAGCAGTTCAAAAGTACGCCAAAAAGTGCAAGTAGATAAATAGGTACCGCTCCGGCGGGAAGGTAAATGGTGTTTCCGTGCGCTGCTCTGGTTCGCCAGAAGTGGCTTAATCATGCTGGCCACATGACCCAGAAGCTGTATGCCAGCTCCCTCGGCCAATAAAGCGAGATGAGCGCCGCAACCCCAGAGTCGGTCATGACTGGACCTAATGGTCAAGAGTCCCTTTACCTTTACCTTTACCTTTACCTTTATTATATGTAGTGGCTATGTAAGATGATAAAAGACTTCTGGGAAATTATATATAATGAATTGGAAAAAAATGTTGAAAATAACTTTTCCTAAGAAACCATAAGCTTTTCTTTTAGGTATTATAGGACCAGAGATCCCAAAGTACCAGACGAAACTGTTTATGTACAAGACCATGGCTGTATGGACTCTGTTAGCTCAGAAAGGGAAAGCTGGTACAACTCCAAACAAGGAAGAGTGGCAGACAAAATTGATGAACTATGCCGAGATGACGAAGCTTACAGAAAGCATTAGTCACCAGGAAGAGTAGGTCTATAATAAAGAATGGGGAATGTTTATGATTTATTTGAAAAGCTATTGTAAACAATGACATACATTGGTAGGATTGACAGAAAACTTGTAGTAAAAAAACTGAACTATGGATTGACAAAGGATTTATAAAAATAGAGTTATGAAAGAGATGCAGAGGGAGAAATCATTACATTAAGATCCACAATGGGGAGGGGGGAGTCAAAAAGGATTATATGTTAAATACATAAACATATTATCCTTTTTGTTTAAATGAATATAATTCATTTGTTTATGTAAAACAGAAAATGCAAAAAAATAATTATTATAAAATAGTAAAAACAAAATCACTCCCAGTTCCAGCTTCCACTGATTCCTGCTTGATGTTGCCATGTTCTGATACTGCTAGACACCGCAGTGGAAAATAACACACGGGCACTTGTACACTTTGGGAGATCTGAGGTCTTCTTCCCTGTAAAGCCTTTGGTCTGCTTATGGCTTTTCATTAGCCACATGGGAAGGAAGGACTATTTAAGTGTGGTTCCCCTGGACCCTTTTGCTGGATGGAAATCAAGCAAAGTTCATCGCAAGGAGGAGCCCAACCAAGGCTCGAAGGAAGAGTCCAAAGAATTGTGGAGCGGCACGAACCATAAAAGAAGCAAGCTGGCAACGACCTCTTGCAGTCACAACAAGCATGGAAGTATGGAAAACACCTTCATAATGAGCATCGCAGAAAGCTTTGTTCACACAGCCCTTGAAGGCAATTACAATCACCAAGGCAGGAGATCCTGCAGAGACAAAGGAAGGAGAAGGCAGTCAGCACCAGAGGAATCACAGCATCCCGTGATTAGGAAGAATTTGTTGCAGTCCACCTTATTCAGCAAGCCAAATCAATTTGCACCTATCCCAGTCGGCGAACCCTGAAAGCTTAATCGTGGCTGGATGGAAAACTGAGGAGTTGGTTCCTTCTGCTTTCCCTGCAAGAAGGATCCTGTCTCTGCTACAAGAGGGGCAGGGTCAATTCCCTTTGTGGTGGAGGCTGCTGAGGAGTCCTGTCTGTACATGCACCAGTTCCCCACTCCCCATTGGAAATTTTGCAATTCTCAAAAAGCTGTGATACAGGCCTCATCTAAGAAAAACACATCAACATGTGGGTGGGGGGAGCACACTTTAAAAATACATTGTTTAATGAAATTTAAAAGTGTGTGCATTGTGAGTGAAACGTAATATGTCAGCATCACCCCTGAGCCAGTGCCACCAACTGGACTCATCCACTTCAGCCCCGACTGGGCTAGGCGAGCTGGGTAGCACTTCCAGAGACCACCTTCTACACAGGAACAGGTCAAAGTGCTGTGGACTCACAGCTTAGAGTTGTGAGCACCAGATTCACTCCCACAAGAAGACAGTCGTCGCACAGCAGAGTAAAGCAGAGTATAGCAGAGCATGAACGACTCGGAGAGCACCTCTGTAGAATATCTTCTTTATTCTATCTACAACTATAATATACAACTATATACAGAGCTAAATGAGGTCTAAGCAAAATGAATGCTGAACTGCACTGAGTGCCGAAAGCTGCTCTTAGCAGCAACCTTATCTATACACACGATCTCTAACACTCAGTCTCTCTCTCTCTCTCCGACACACTGACTGACTGACTCTTTGATGTTAGGCTGGAGCGGAATAAGTAGAGAGCAGAACACTGCCCCTCCTCTCTGGAAAATCACCAGACTCATCAGCAGATTCTTGGATATGGGAGGGGTGAAATCTCCTCATAATGTGCATTCAATTATCACTATTTGCATTTAAAAAACAACAACAGACCAATGCGGAAAGAGACAGCCTTAAGAATAAATATACGCAGATTGGAAATGGACCCGAAATCTAGACCCAAAATGGAAATGGACCCAATCCATTCCCCTGAAATAGCTCGTTAAGGACATTATGTCATCTAGCTTGGGGAAACTGGAGAGTGCCTAGTTTCTCTTAGAGTCCCTGCTATGCATGGCAACAGAAAAAGGTGCCATGTTTAAAAAGGACTCAACTTTGCCTGCAAATGAAGAACTGCAAGTTTACATGCAGTGCCCTCCTGATTCTTCCTGCAGCTTGAATTCAAGCATGGAAGATTCTTCCTTTTCAGCCACAGATTGAAGTTACTTCATGTCACATGATGTCAGGCAATATGACAGATGGGTGACTCCACCCACCCATCAAAGTGACCTGTTGAGGGGCTGACCATTTCTGGATCCAGCCCTTAAGCCAAATCCAGTTCCCCAGCCCTGCCTTACAGGGGTCCGAGATGAAACCTTTTCAAGATTCTGGTTGAATGTGTGAGGATTCAATCTGTGGCCCCAACATTCCCATGTATGCCAGCCTAGCCTCTTCCTCTCCCAAGATTCACTGAGTTTGGCTTCTGTTTTTGCTTAGCATTGCCAAGTTTTGATTGTTCAATTCTGTAAAAGAGAGGCTGACAATCTGTGGCAAGGGGAGGGGTTTTTTTTTTTGAGAATTTTGGAAGAGAGCTTGGGAGGGATTTGGGGAAGGCACATGCCACACTAATAGCCTCATGTACACCTGATGTCCCTATGTATTTGACCAGAATAGCTCCATAAGACAGATCCTCACAAACACCCTGGTAGATAAGTTCTGTACCAATGAAATTTCTGGACTTGAGTGTGGTCTGGGTGAAAGGAGGTGGGAATGAGGAAGAGATGAATTACCAGCAAATATAGGGGATGGAACCTCTGCGAAGCCAGACACATCGGAACAATAGTGCTGGTCTCCCTCGCAGTTGGCAACCACTTCAGCAAAGCATCGATTTCTGTTGATAGCAAAGCACCCTTGACATTTCCTCCCATTGGCTGTCATGTTTACATCTGGCACTGTGAAGGGGGTAAACAGAGAGAGTCAGGTTAGAAGGAGAACAGGCAAAAGTGGCAACCAGACTCCTTTCTCAGTCCCTTCCATGCTAGGAGAGATTATATCCATGATCATTCTTGCTTTGTTACTTGGGAATATCACAGCATTCATAGCAGGGATGGGGGAACTGGTCTCCCTCAAACTGTTGCAGCACCCCAGAAACAACTGAAGGGCCACAAGGCCACAAACCGTGTTTTACAGAGAAGAGTCCATAACAGCACAAGAGTGGCAATGACCTACCTATCGTCTCTGAGGTTAAACCTCTTCAGGGAACTGGCTGAATGTGAGAGGACTCAAACTGTGGTCCCAACATTCACAGGCATGATGGCCTAGACCACAAATGTCTGAGGGAGATTATTACTATAGCAGGATAGTGAGTATTCTCCCTTCAGCCAGAATCCTATGTAGGGTTTCTACTTGCCAGGAAGTTTCTAGCTAGGTTCAGTTGAATGCCATGTGAGCCCCCTTTAGACATTTGCACTGACTGTGTGGAGGTTGAGAGAGGACACACTGGAACAGTACACATGGGGGTCCCTGATGGAGGTGCTGGTGAGCTAGCTCTCTCCCAGACCCTAACACACTTGGAGTCCTCATATCATTGTCAGAGGCAGGAATAGGGCTGCAGCCTTGTCAGCCTTGCGGGAAACTGCTATTGCACTCATTAATGCGGTTAGAATTTGGGGTGCAGGTGGCACTGTGGTCTAAACCACTGAGCCTCTTTGGGTTGCTGGTTGTAAGGCTGGCGGTTCGAATCCATGCAACAGGGTGAGCTCCTGTTGCTCTGTACCAGCTCCTGCCAACCTAGCGGTTCGAAAGCATTCCTGCTCGAGTAGATAAATAGGTACCACTGTGGTGGGAAAGTAAATGGGGCCACACACATGAAGGCATTGGGGGCCATGTCATTGTGCATGCCACAGTCCCCATGCACATATGTATCCACCTAAATTCCTGAAGAGGACAATGGTCTCATCACATTGCCTTTCAGAATGCTGCTTTCAGAGATTTTAACGGCTGCTACTTATGATAACTTTGCATTGCACCTACCGTCTAAGGCAGCATGCTCTGAATAAGGATGGGTGTAGCAGTCAATTTCAAATTATCTCTATTTCTTATTTTTCCAATCTTAATTTCAGTTCCCCACATGTCCACATCAGTTCTGAATTTATTTTAGCAATGCATAAAGTTTTATTGCGCTAGCCAAAGGCCATGGCATCACTCAAAGAAAGGAAAACAAAAAGGGGGGAGGAATCAGCAGTCACTACATATGCAGTAGAACCACAATAGAATCCACCAAAATTCCTTGTTACACATTTTCAAATAAAATGTGCAAATGGTTTTTTTAAAAAAAACACCTTTCATTTTAGTGCAGATTTCTGCTGATGTATTTTATCTCATAAAATATTGCACCACTTGGTTGAGGGGGGGACAGGACCTAAAAGTGCTTTACAAAAAGATAAAGCAATAAAATCAGGGGGAGGGGATACAACCCTACTTTAAAACAAACTAAAGCAGATTAAAACTACCTCAACTTTCTAAGCATCTGGATAGATGCCGCTGTTTTCAGCAGGCACTGTCAGGAATACAGTGAGTTTGCCTGCTTGATCTCAAGGTAGAGCTATGCAGCTTATTACAACTAGAATGCAGGCGTTTATGTGCAAATATACAGTAGCAAGTGCCCTTTGTCCTCAGATACGATACGATATGATAATCTTTATTTTCTGGGTTTCAGGATGAACTACCAGGGGCATATGCAGAGAGAATAAAATAGCATAAAAAACAAATTCCCACCTCAAAACATTAGCTGGCACCCCTCCTAACTACAGAGAGGAGTTGGAGGGTAACAAATGATGCAGTTTAAGGTGATATGATACATAGTTTGGACAACATAAGGGTATATAAATGCATAAAATACATGGTGGAGCAGCCTTATTGCAGCCATTCCCCTTGCAACAGGAAACCTTGGTGAACACTGTTTCTCCTTCAGCAAATTTAATGGCTGTGAAGCCTTCATAGCAGCTAGTGGATTGCTTGCAGGTTTTCAGCACGTATTGTTGTCCTGCAAGGATTTGAGACAGAGAGAGAGAGAGAGAGAGAGAGAGAGAGAGAGAGAGAGAGAGAGAATTTTAAATCGAAAGGGAGGACATGATGTGGACAGGCTCTGATCAGTGGTGTAGTGGTAAATGTTTAAGTGCAGGAGCTCATAATGCTGAAAGCAGGCATCTGTGTTGTTCTAATATATCTTTATATATTATATATATTGGAGAGGGGGGCACTGAGCTTTGGTTCAAATCTAGGCACTTTGTGAATAGGCTGCCTTGGCTAAAGGTGCTCCATAGATTGCCTGCTTTGACTTATCTATCTGAATCCACTTCATTTTGCCTTTCCCAATTTTATATATATAAAATTGCATCTCACTTTCAACAGAAGTTGGTAAAATTTGCAGGCATGGTCGCTCCTGCAGAGAAGATAGTGCCTGTCAAATTATAGGCAAATAAGTCTGGGGACATTTGTGCTGCACACCTTTCCTTTCCTTTCCTTTCCTATTTTAAAAGGGATTATATCTTTTTTCTTTCTGTGAAGAACTGGATGGAATTTGCAGGCAAAGCCTGCCCTTTCCAAGGGCACGAATCCTAGCAAATTTTGGAAGGATAGCTGCAGTAGTCCCCCCCCCCCAAGGGCCACTGTTATAGCTTTGAGATCTGCTCAATCATCTCCCACTTTTACTATTGGGAAGTAAAAATGGCTATAACTTTCCTGCATTTGACAGAAGCAGATGAAATTTGCTGGCATCATAGCCCTTTCTGAAGGGAAAAAGCCTGCCAAAGTACAGGCAAATAAGTTCAGGGGCCTTTGTTCTGGACACTTCTAAAAAAATAATAATTAAGGAGCCATATCTATCTCAGGTGTCGTTTCAAAGTGCCACCACACTGAATGCCCAATTCTTATATTCTGCAGAACAGACCTTCTGATAAGACAGTATCTGTAGGAGGCCTTCTTCTGCAGAGTGCAGTGTTGCATTGGGTATATTATAGATGAGACTATCTTTAAGGTATCTTAGTCCCAAGCTGTGAGCTAAGAACCCTTTAACATCACAGCTGCAGAATTAGGACCAGTGGTCACTGAACCCTGTCAGTGGTTGTTGATCTCTTGCACATACCTCTAATGTTGTATGATTGAACAATGGCACAACTGTCAAAAATAGATGAACATTTCTTCAAAGTTCCAGTGCAATCCAGTTCAATGTCATTACAAATCCAGCACTCCAGAGACAGCCCTAAAAGCAGGAAAGGAAGAAGAATCATCAAGATCCATTATTATTGTTTGTTACCTTTTCTAAGGTTAATATTTGAATTGGCAGTACTTAGCCACATAGCATCATTACATTATTTATATTTTAATAGCAAGCTGCTTCCAAGTCCAGGTGAGCAATAGCTCCTAAAAGTGCAGGCACAGTCAGGTGCCAAACACTGAAGTGCCAGCCTAAAGAACCGGGTCTCTCTGGGATTGAGGGAAGCTCCTCCTCATGAGTAGATCAAACTCCACAGGTGATGTGGACCTTTGTTTTGGTCAATTGTGCAGAGGGCCACCAAGATTATGAAGGTTCTAGAAACCAAGCCTTAGGAGAAACGGTTGAAAGAGCTGAGTACGTTTAGCCTGGAAAATAGGGGACTGAGAGGAGATATGATAACCATCTCCAAATATCTCACGGGCTATCACATGGAGGATGGAACAGGCTAGTTTTCTGCTACTCCAGAGGGTAGGTCTGAAACCAATGGCTTCAAGTTACAAGAAAGGAAATTCCAACTAAACATCAAGAAAAAATTTCTGATAGTAAGAGCTGTTCAGCAGTGGAACAGACTCCTACGAGAAGTGGTGGACTCTCCTTCCTTGATGTTGGATGCCCATCTGTCATGGATGCTTGAGCTGAGATTCCTGCATTGCAGGAGGTTGAACTATGACCCTTGGGGTCCCTTCCAACTCTAGAATTCTATGCTTCTATGATTGGCCGGTTTGTTGTAAGTTGCTTCGGGCAAGAGAAAGTGGCTAGAAATTAATAACAATCATCATCCGGATTGTCTGCTGCCATCTGCTGCCATTTAGTTGCTTTGCTCTGGGTGGGGCTCAGATGGCTCATGGCCAAAGAACTCCAGTTGCCAGAGTGTTGGAACAATATCTTTGCACAAGTTGCCAGACATGTGACTGAGTTTTCCTGTGTTTTGACCTTGGGCTTGTTGTAACTGAAGCAAGACCACCTCCGCCTCCATTGTAACTGATGAATGCCATCTTGAGCCAGACAGCTGTCGTTTTGATATATTATAATCATTTATTCTTATTGTAATCAGTAGGCTAGTTTCTACATATTATCCTACACTCTGTCCTCCATCCAGGGAAGAAGTGAGTTGGGCCAATGAGGGTATAGCCATAGCCAATTTAGGGCGACATAGGCAGTTCCCCATGGACGCGGGTGGTGTTGTGGTCTAAACCACTGAGCCTCTTGGGCTTAGAATCATAGAATCATAGAATCATAGAGTTGGAAGAGACCACAAGGGCCATCGAGTCCAACCCCCTGCCAAGCAGGAAACACCATCAGAGCACTCCTGACATATGGTTGTCAAGCCTCTGCTTAAAGACCTCCAAAGAAGGAGACTCCACCACACTCCTTGGCAGCAAATTCCACTGTCGAACAGCTCTTACTGTCAGGAAGTTCTTCCTAATGTTTAGGTGGAATCTTCTTTCTTGTAGTTTGGATCCATTGTTCCGTGTCCGCTTCTCTGGAGCAGCAGAAAACAACCTTTCTCCCTCCTCTATGTGACATCCTTTTATATATTTGAACATGGCTATCATATCCCCCCTTAACCTCCTCTTCTCCAGGCTAAACATGCCCAGCTCCCTTAGCCGTTCCTCATAAGGCATCGTTTCCAGGCCTTTGACCATCTTGGTTGCCCTCCTCTGGACACGTTCCAGTTTGTCAGTGTCCTTCTTGAACTGTGGTGCCCAGAACTGGACACAGTACTCCAGGTGAGGTCTGACCAGAGCAGAATACAGTGGCACTATTATTTCCCTTGATCTAGATGCTATACTCCTATTGATGCAGCCCAGAATTGCATTGGCTTTTTTAGCTGCCGCGTCACACTGTTGGCTCATGTCAAGTTTGTGGTCAACCAAGACTCCTAGATCCTTTTCACATGTACTGCTCTCAAGCCAGGTGTCACCCATCTTGTATGCCTCTCATGCCTCTCATTTTTTTTGCCCAAGTGCAATACTTTACATTTCTCCCTGTTAAAATTCATCTTGTTTGTTTTGGCCCAGTTCTCTAATCTGTCAAGGTCGTTTTGAAGTGTGATCCTGTCTTCTGGGGTGTTAGCCACCCCTCCCAGTTTGGTGTCATCTGCAAATTTGATCAGGATGCCCTTGAGTCCATCATCCAAGTCGTTGATAAAGATGTTGAATAAGACCGGGCCCAAGACAGAACCCTGTGACACCCCACTAGTCACTCTTCTCCAAGATGAAGAGGAACCATTGATGAGCACCCTTTGGGTTCGGTCAGTCAGCCAGTTACAAATCCACTGAGTGGTAGCATAGTCAAGACCGCATTTTACCAGCTTCTTTACAAGAATATCATGGGGCACCTTGTCAAATGCCTTGCTGAAATCAAGGTAGGCTACATCCACTGCATTCCCTTCATCTACCAGGCTTGTAATTCTGTCAAAAACGAGATCAGGTTAGTCTGACATGACTTATTTTTCAGAAATCCATGCTGACTATTGGTGATCACAGCATTCCTTTCTAGGTGCTCACAGACTGTTTGCTTAATGATCTGCTCCAGAATCTTCCCTGGTATTGATGTCAGACTGACTGGGCGATAATTATTTGGGTCCTCTCTTTTCCCCTTTTTGAAAATAGGGACAACATTTGCCCTCCTCCAGTCTGCCGGGACTTCGCCTGTTCTCCAGGAATTCTCAAAGATGACTGCCAGTGGTTCTGAGATCACATCTGCCAGTTCTTTTAATATTCTTGGATGCAGTTCACCTGGCCCTGGAGACTTGAATACATCTAAACTAGCCAAGTATTCTTCTACTATCTCCTTAGTTATTCTGGGCTGTGTTTCCTCTGCTGAATCATTTACTCCAAATTCTTCAGGTCGGGCATTGTTTTCTTTATCGGAGAAGACTGAGGCAAAGAAGGCATTGAGGCATTGAGGAGTTCAGCCCTTTCTGTGTCCCCTGTTTGCATTTCACCATCTTCTCCTCTGAGTGACCCCACTGTTTCTTTGTTCTTCCTTTTGCTACGAACATACCCATAAAAGCCTTTTTTGTTGCTTTTAACCTCTCTAGCAAGCCTGAGTTCATTCTGTGCTTTAGCTTTTCTGACTTTGTGTCTACACGTGCTGGCTATTTGTTTGAATTCCTCTTTGGTGGTTTCCCCCCTTTTCCATTTTTTGTACACATCCTTTTTAAATCTTAATTCAGTTAAAAGTTATTTAGATAGCCACCCTGGCTTCTTTAGGTACCTTCCATGTTTCCGTCTCATTGGTATTGCCTGAAGTTGTGCTTTTACTCACCCAGCACTTCCCTAAGTTTTATGAAGTCGGCTTTCTTAAAGTCAAGAAATTGAGTCCTAGTATGCTTGGCTGCTCCTTTCCGCTGTATAGTAAACTTCAGAAGAGCATGATCACTCGCGCCTAATGATCCTTCCACTTCTACCCCACTAACCAGGTCATCAACATTGGTTAGGACCAGATCTAAAATGGCTGTTCCTCTTGTTGCTTCTCCCACTTTCTGGACAATGAAGTTGTCTGCAAGGCCAGTGAGGAATCTGTTTGACCTTATGCTCTTGGCTGAGTTTGACATCCAACAAATATCCAGGTAATTGAAGTCCCCCATTACTACTATCTCCCTTCCTTTTGCATGCTTGCCAATCAGAAGGTTGGCAGTTCAAATCCCCGTGACGGGGTGAGCTACTGTTGCTCTATCCTAGCTCCTGCCAACCTAGCAGTTCTAAAGCATACCAGTGCGACTAGATAAACAGGTACTGCTGCAGAGGGAAGGTAAATGACGTTTCCATACGCTCTGGCACTTGTCAGTGTCTCATGGCACCAGAAGCTGTTTAGTCATGCTGGCCACATGACCCAGAAAGCTGTCTGAGGACAAACGCCGGTTTCCTTGGCCTGAAGTGAGATGAGTGCCGCAACCCCAGAGTAATTCGCGACTGGACTTAACTGTCAGGAGTCCCTTTACCTTGGCAGTTCCCCTACACACAGTGCCGAGTGGAGGGGGCACAAAATTGAGTAGATAAATAGGTACTGCTCCAGCGGGAAGGTAAATGGTGTTTCCATGTGTGCTGCTCTGGTTTCGGTGTTCCATTGTGCCAGAAGTGGCTTAGTCATGCTGGCCAAATAACCTGGAAAAAATGTCTGTGGACAAACGCTGGCTCCCTCAGTCTGTAAAGCAAGATGAGCACCGCAACCCCAGAGTCGTCCACAACTGGACTTAACAGGCAGGAGTCCCTTTTTCTTTAGGCAGTTCCCCTACACATGGTGCTGAATGGAGGGGGCACAAAATTGAGAAGATCCATAACTGAGAAGATTCATTTGGGGGCACCAAACGTTGCCCAGACAGACACTGTTTTGATATATCATAACCAATTATTCTTATTGTAATCATGCTGAAATGCAATCTTACGAGAGGAATGTAAAAAGAGCAGGCTGCAATAAAAGGCGTAAAAGAAAGTTTTAGAAGCATGCTTAGGCATGGCCTTTAAACAGGGAAATGCCTAGCTAGCTGAGGTGTGGAAAGATCTGTCTTCACAGTTCAACTGGCAGTAGGACTGTATCACTGGGTGCCTTGCATGTCTATATGACTATGAAAATGGTGTGTAAACAGAGATCAGGGTTCCAGCCTCTGATCACTTTCCTTATTGCTTGCTGTAAGCTTTCCTGCTCAAGCAAGAAATAAAACTTTGCTTTTGGAAAATTCTCAGGCATCACACCTCATTGCTAGTGAGTAAAGGACTCAACTGTGCAATTAACATTACGTGGGGTTTCCCCACATCAGAATATTTCTGAACCTTGCCTTTTATGTTGTTCCTGTGTTTTGAGTTTGGACCATGACCAGAACTTGATTTCTTTGATTGCCCCTGTGTGTGAATTTGGGACTGCTGAACTTGGTGTCATTTGCAGTAGGACAGCACCCATATTTTGTATGGTGGGTTCCTGAGATGAGCAGGGGGGTTTTTTTGTCAGTGTTTGGGTACACTCTGATGCAGCTTTGAAACAAGATGGTGGAGTACACCTTTCAAAACTTCACTAATTCTAACTGCTAACTTGAAAACTGCACTGATCTGGGTTTCCTGAGCAATGCTGTGTAAGAGATTGCTAGTACTTTATATAATTATAAGCTCTGAGTGTGTCAAGCAAGGTAATTGACTCTTGTCCCTTTTTCAGGGTTTTATTTTTTCCAGAGTTGCACTCAACATTACATAGCTCCTATTAGAGGGAGTGATGGTGATGTAGAGAACGATGCCTAGTTGTTCACCTTGTGACCCACAAAATATCATTTCCAATTATTCACATTCATAAAAATGTCATTTAGCACAATTAGCTTTTTAAAAGTTAAATTTTGCAAGCTGCCCTGTTTATATTACATTTCAGAGCCCTGGTTTAATAATGTAAGGGTCCTGCTTTGCTTACCTTTACACGCCAGGAATAGTAGCATTCCCATATTGAACCAGCGCAAGGTGAGATAATGCATCAATGGAGGGGTTTCTGGGCTGTTGGAAATTTTGCAGAAGAGATAATTGTTATACAGTGCTGCAGGAATGCCTCCATCCACCCTCAAAAAACAAACAACAACAAGAAGAAAAAGGTAAAGCATGTAATAGATAAATCAGTTTGATTGAATTTCTGCTTTAGATTTGATGTAGGATTGGAAAGCGGGGGGTTTGGTAAGATGCAGGATGATGTGGAGTTGCTGGTGGGGAGGTTTTGACACCATGGACTTAACTTCTTGGCACCAATATCACTGACACTTACCCAGACAGTGTGGTTGCATGCCAAGCTTGGTGCCCAGCAGTTCCCAAGTGATTAATAAATGCACGGACACGAGTATTTAGGTTTATGGGATAAAATAGGCCACAACTTTATTGGTTACAGAAGTGAGCAGTTTGGCTTAGGCATTGAGTGAAGCCAGGCTATATCTCAACTCCTGTCCATCATCAGGGAGTCCAACTAAAGGTAAACCAACAATAGAGGGAGCCCTTGACTTATATCATAGGGCTAGCCCACATCCAGGCATCAAACAGAATCCACACACACCCCAGATCCCTTTAACAGGCTAACCTTATTGCAGAGAGGCAGGTGGAGGCTACAACCTCCCCTCCATTAAATGAAGGCTAAACCTCACAAAGTTGTTACCATTGCTACAAGGTAGGTGAAAACCAAATGGCTGGAGCCAATTCACCAAGTGGAAAAATTCCTACCCATTCCCAACAACAATATGGCGGCCAACATTTGTCCATAGCAAGGTTTTGTCATACCAACGCATAAAAAGAGGGTGGGTGGGCTGGAAAATCAGGCAAGGATGTGAAAGAGGGGAGCCCCCCAGCCACCACACTGCAGTTTAAATCTCCCACAGCAATGTTTAGCTGACGGGGCCACTAGGCGTGACGTAGCCGGGGGTCAGTGCAAGGGGGGAGTCAACTTCCCGCCCCCAAGCTGGATCACTGCCAGGAACCGGATGCCTGCCCGCAACACTGCCCACTATGAAAGGTGAGCGGACATTCAGGGCATTGCAGCAGCAAGGTGTGGTTGCAGCGGGCATACCAAAAGGAGCACTGGATTGGCTGTGCCAGTGTAGCCTTGCCACCCCAACCTCACCGCTGCTGTGCCCTCTGCACCATCCAGGTTCATGGCACCAGCCCTTCCTGACAATGACCCAAATCAGAACGCAAACTAAAGTTTTAACTTTGCATACATCTTTGCTGCAAGATCAAGAACTGGTTTGTTTTTTACTATGCTCAAGTTGACTGAATGTCTAACATCTTTCTCCAGGGCCGGGGATTGGAGGGCCTGGTATGGTAGCAGTATTTAGGTGAGGGATTAGGCTGAGGCTACACAAAATAATTCCCCCTCACCTAGCTCTGAGGTAGTGCTACATGGAGCATAGCTGTCAACTTTTCCCTTTTTTAAAGGGAAATCCTCTTCAGAATAAGGGAATTTCCCTTTAATAAAGGGAAACGTTGACAGCTATGACATGGAGCTGGGGCAGAGAGCAAGTGGAGACAGAAGTTGCAGAAGCCCTCATCAATGCCTGCTTGCAGAAGCCCTCATCAATGCCTGCTATGTAGGGTTGCCATGTGTCCTCTTTTTCCAGGGCACATCCTTTTTTTGGGGGGGGGTAAAATTTCTGTGTGGGTAGATTTTTAAAATCTTCCAAAATGTCTCAGGCTATACTTTCTGGGTGAGACATGGCTGAAGACTTGCTTTCCTCTTCTCTTCACCTGCCCCCTCCAGCAATATATCACAGCTTCTATAGCCTACATATAGTAGGGGTATTTAAAATGAGAGTCGTCATAAGGTAAAGGGACCCCTGACCATTAGGTCCAGTCGTGACCGACTCTGGGGTTGGGGCACTCATCTTGCTTTATTGGCCGAGGGAGCCGGCGTACAGCTTCCAGGTCATGTGGCCAGCATGACTAAGCTGCTTCTGGCAAACCAGAGCAGAGCACGGAAATGCCTTTTACCTTCCTGCTGGAGCGGTACCTATTTATCTACTTGCACTTTGACGTGCTTTCGAACTGCTAGGTTGGCAGGAGCAGGAACCGAGCAAGGGGAGCTCACCCCGTTGCGGGGATTTGAACTGCCAACCTTCTGATCGGCAAGTCCTAGGCTCTGTGGTTTAACCCACAGCACCAGCCGCGTCCCTGAGAGTCATCATAGCGTCCTCTTTTTTGCTCTTTAAAATATGACAACTCTATATAGTGGCTGCCAGCTCCAGGTGAAGCCCCAGCTTTGAAATGTGCCAGCTGTATGGGGCTCCTATTCTGAGGCAAGTCCTATTGTGACACCCTCTTTGGAGGAATCCAACAGATCAGCTTGGTGGTGTAGACAGTTAAGCTTACATTACTGGTGGGTGTTCTAGGCTCTGCTGTCCTGAACATGTAACCAATGCCATTCACAATGTGGATGTCAGAAATGGAGGGAATGATAAATGGCAAGTAGCAACCTCCATGGAGGATGTGTCATTCCTCTTCTTTGGGAATTATTGAACGCTTCAGTTCCACAGGCACCATGCACTTAAGTGAAATTGCAAATACCATATTTTTTGCTCTATAAGACTCACTTTTTCCCTCCTAAAAAGTAAGGGGAAATGTGTGTGCGTCTCATGGAGCGAATGCAGGCTGCGCAGCTATCTCAGAAGCCAGAACAGCAAGAGGGATTGCTGCTTTCACTGTGCAGCGATCCCTCTTGCTGTTCTGGCTTCTGAGATTCAGAATATTTTTTTTCTTGTTTTCCTCCTCCAAAAACTAGGTGCGTCTTGTGGTCTGGTGCGTCTTATAGAGTGAAAAATACGGTAATTGGAAAGCCTATTGAAAAAGCATGAAAGCACCTCGTTCCGCTTCCTGCCCATTTTTGTGATGTTTTTGGGTCACTTCCAGGGTGGGCGTGATGCATACATGCCCATTCAAGCACATATGAGACACGCCTAAAATGGTTGTTGCCTGTATTCATTTACAAAGTCCAGAACAACGGAGGTCAAAGGTACCTTAGGGACCTCCAGAACCTCTATTTCCCTTCCATAAGCAACAAACAAACAAACACATTTCTCATAAAATGACATCAGAAAGTCTTAGAAAGCCCTACCTGCCTTTTCTTACTTATCAGTAAGTCAGTCCATATCTACTGTGCCCTAGAAGGCTGCAGCAATCAATATATGAACCTGAATCTTGACTGCAAAAGACCTGTTGGCACCATAGCAACATCATCGCTATGACGACACAGTGTGAAGGTTAAGCAGGCTTCTTAGGCCTTTGGCAGTTTTGTGGGAGAGATGGTCAGGCAGTCACATGACTGTTGGAATTCCCTCTTCCTCCACAACTGTCAAAATAAGGGTTGGAAACCTTCCCTGCCCCCATTGAGGGCCATATTCCCTCAGGAATAATCTGTCAGGGGCCGCACTCCAGCAATGACCAGAGCCAAAAAATGATGATGTTGTTGCTACATTTATTGATATCCTATCTTTTTCCCTGAACCAGGACTCAAGGCAGCTCTCAACAAATAAAACAAGCATGACAGAAAAATTAATACAAACATGGGTTTGGGGATTTATTTGAAATAAAATCAATTTGTTGTTACAGGCAACCCTATATCAGGAAGATGTTAATATTTTGTGCTTTATGATGTTTTTATATGTGTTGGAAGCTGCTCAGAGTGGCTGGGGCAACCCCGCCAGATGAGTGGGGCAGACGTATTATCATTGTTGTTGTTGTTGTTGTTGTTGTTGTTGTTGTTATTTATTAAGTAGTGGGTGGATATAGCAGATGACACAGAGATTTCTCCAAGTAGTTCTTTATAAGTAAGCTGGAACTGAACTGAACAGCAAACAGCTCAGCAGGCCTGCTTTTCTAGGCAGCTGATTGTCAGCATTGTAACAACAGCAGCCCAGGGTTTCCTGCCTAAATTAACTTACGTGAGCCTGAGTGAAAACTATATACACAATACCCCCTGGTGGCCAGGGTGAGAACTTCAATACATAACATTATTATTATTATTATTATTATTATTATTAAATGAAATCCAGACCCTTCCTGTAGTCTTGTTATGTTGTCTTCTTTGTTGAGGTTTATAAACAGAGGCTGGATGACCATCTGTCAGGGACTCTTTTGCTATGATTCCTGCATTTTAGGGGGTTGGACTAGATGACCCCCGGGCACCCTCCCAGCTATACAGTTCTATGATTCTATTACTCCTGGACCTCTTAAAAAGTACCCACCACATACATTCCCATTGGAACAAGTTGTTTCTAATGGATTTTAAATGCAGTCGTACTGTTTGCACTAATTTTCTAGGCAGGAAATGGATTTGATTTTTCACCCCAATAAAAAAATGTTTGAACATTTTAATTTGTTTGTTCCCTGCACCTTGAACTCTCTGCCTGCACCCAATGCTGACTAGAAAAACAAAGTAACAGTATTCTAAATGAAGTTGCTCATGTGAGCTTCCACCTTTAATCTGGGTTGGTACTCAGGCCAGATATAGATCTTGCTGAGAACTAGATTTTACTTGCCCTAATAAAAACTGCTACCCACACCAGCTTTGTACTAGATCCGTTGTGTGCTCTTTCAGGCTGTATCCAGATTGGCATGGCAATTACAAGCATTAGTTGAGAAGACTCAGAATAGGGAAATGGCCACTGTTAGTTCTAATCTTTCTCAGAATCACCATTCCGCTCAAAAATCCCCCCCTATGAGACCCTAGATCAGGCGTGCAAAACCTTTTCCAGTCCCAGAGTCTTATTTTCTTCTGGGCAACCTTCTGGCAAATGCCAGTTTGTGGGTGTAGCCAGAGACAAAAGTGGTCAAAGCAATGGATGTGGATTCTATCTTCCTACAGTAGGCTAGTTTCTACATATTATCCTACATTCTGTCCTCCAGCCTGGGAAGAGGTGAAGTTGGGCCAATGAGGGTATGGCCAATGCGATTTGGGGCGATGTAGGCAGTTCCCCTACACACTGTGCTGAGTGGAGTGGGCCCAAAATTGAGAAGATCCATAACTGAGAAGATCCATTTGGGGGCGCCAAATGTTGGCTTCACACAGAGCGTCATATTACAAAAGGATACCCTCCACCGTCCCACTGATCAAAATCAGGACACTTGGGTTTTTTTGATCCTGAGCTCTCGTGGGAGCCAGCTGATTCACACAAGAGTGCGTGACCAAGAAATGAGTGACTTTTGGTCCAGTTCTCTGGTGCAAGCCAATGGACTCGTGCCAGAGCGCCAGACCAAAAAATGGAAATTCTGCGATCCAGTCAGAAGCTGAGGTGGCTTCTGTAATTCTGGGATGTCCCACTTAAATCAGGATGAGAGAGCAGTATGCAAAAGATTACCAAAGTCCACCCATGTTATGGCCTGGGGAGATTTGTGAGGACCAGTCTGGAAGGCCTTATGGGGCCACATTTGGCCCCACAGACCTGAGGTTCCCCACCCTAGCCCTAGACCCTCTGGGAGTCCCTGTTTCTTTACTTAGTTGTTTCACAGTGCTGAGAAAACCCTAGAATTATGCGAGAGCTGCCATACGTCCGGACATTATCAGGATTGACTTCAGGGGACAATTTCTGAAATGTGGCACTTTGTCCTGGATCTTTGGCAAGTTGTGGTTTTTGGCATTTTTGTAAGGAAAAAAAAGCTCTGTAAATCAATTGTGGGGAACCTTTGACCCTACAGATGTTCTTGAACTGCAACTCCCATCGGCCCCTGCAAGTTGTAGTTCAGCAGCAACAGGGGAGCCAATGGTTCTTCACACATGCTGTAAAGGAAAGCCTCTTGATAGAGTTGCCCACAGGTTTGATTGAAAAGGAAAACTTTAGCGTGTCAGGCATATTATGAAACGTATTCCAAAAATTAAATAAATGTGTTTTTCATAGTTTAAGGATTTAGAATAGTCAACAAGTTTATAGAGTAAAAGCTAAGGTCAAGGAGTGTAAGGGTGGTTTTGTAACAGTGCAAGCTGGTATAGGAAAATGTCAACACATGACTGGTAGGGATCCTAGGATAAACGTCCTATAAAAGGTCCCATGTTAGTCTGTGCAAGAACTCTCTCTCTCGCTCCCTCATCTTTTTAATCCTCAGGCTCTCCTACCATCAGAGACTATCCACACACAGCTTTGGGCTCTGGTAAGAAGTTGCCTACTAACTGGCTTGATCCACCAGTCTAGTGAGGTTTTGTGATATGGTGGGATATGTTACTTAATATTTACAAAGTTGTTTGATTATTAGACTATGGGGATACATGTTTGAAGTATGATGGAGAAAAACCAATGATTTTTAAAATGGTGAAGAAAGCAATGAAAAAGCATTCAGTGTATGTCATGCTAGGGCTGATTAGTATGGGATTCCAGATGTCACTGGGGCCTTTTAAAAGCCCTTTCTGATGCCTTTTTGAAATCTTACTGTAGGGGAGAAAAAGAAATTAAATACTTTGGGGAATCTTTAGGAACACTTGGCCCACCCTGGAACTATCCCCGAATTAATCTGGGAATTGGGCTAATGTTCAAGGGTTTTTTAATATATTGTTGTTGTTGTTGTTTAGTCGTTTAGTCGTGTCCGACTCTTCGTGACCCCATGGACCAGAGCACGCAAGGCACTTGTCCTCCACTGCCTCCCGCAGTTTGGTCAAACTCATGCTGGTAGCTTCAAGAACACCATCCAACCATCTCATCCTCTGTCGTCCCCTTCTCCTTGTGCCCTCCATCTTTCCCAACATCAGGGTCTTTTCCAGGGAGTCTTCTTCTCATGAGGTGGCCTAAGTATTGGAGCCTCAGCTTCACGATCTGTCCTTCCAGTGAGCACTCAGGGCTGATTTCCTTAAGAATGGATACGTTTGATCTTCTTGCAGTCCATGGGACTCTCAAGAGTCTCCTCCAGCACCATAATTCAAAAGCATCAATTCTTCAGCGATCAGCCTTCTTTATGGTCCAGCTCTCACTTCCATACATTACTACTGGGAAAACCATGGCTTTAACTATACGGACCTTTGTTGGCAAGGTGATGTCTCTGCTTTTTAATATGCTGTCTAGGTTTGCCATCGCCTTTCTCTCAAGGAGCAGGCGTCTTTTAATTTAGTGACTGCTGTCACCATCTGCAGTGATCATGGAGCCCAAGAAAGTAAAATCTCTTACTGCCTCCATTTCTTCCCCTTCTATTTGCCAGGAGGAGATGGGCCCAGTGACCATGATCTTCGTTTTTTTGATGCTGAGCTTCAGACCATATTTTGCGCTCTTCTCTTTCACCCTCAATAAAAGGGATTTTTAATATATTAAAAAATCCCAATTAAACATATGGTTGGGATGGGGGCAGGGAAAGGAGGAGAAACTTGTCTCCAAGAGTAGGAGGGTTCAATCCTGCAGGAGTTGGTTTCTTCAATGCCTTCCCTATGAGGAACATGCTGGTTAAGGAGATCCCTGCCAACTTGACAGCCCTAGACAACCTGATCTGGGACTGTCTTGTCCCGACATGGCCCAAAGCTGGTTGCTCCGAAATGGCCTGATTTGGTTTGGGCACAAGTTATTTTAAGTACATTATTTTAAGCATTTTAAACATAGGGCAATAAAAGGCACATGTCAATTTCATTGTAGCATTGTTGCCACTATCCCCTGGCAAACTGGGAAGCACTGCAGTTTGTCATTTGGACTATGCTTTTGGCTTGTTCCAGTTATGAAAGAGCTTGGGTGAGGGATCACAATGAGGAAGCTTATTGCTCATTTATACTAGGGTTGCAATTTTTCCTAACACCTGCAAAGTTGTTGAGCTTTTTTAAGGAAGCCTCCCACACACACACAAAATAATTAAGAAAGATTTTGGAGCTGTTTCCGCTGACATTTTGCCAATTCGGCAAAGTTTCCCCCGACCCAAAAGCCAGGACATGTCAGGAATCTTCCTGATGTATGGCAAGCCTAATTCATACCATTGTGCTATCAATATGTCTACACTCCTTGGGTTGAAGCGTCAGCTGCATGCTTGCCTTAAATCCCTGATGCAGAGTACATGCTACTTTTCACAGTACAAAGCCTTCAGGTAGGGATGGGTGAGAAATTTGACCCATTTTGCATTTGCAGCTGAACCTATCAAACCCACACTTTCTGAACTGAAATACAGTTGGCAGAGTCTGTAACCTGAAGCGTCTGTAACCCAGAGTGTCTGTAACCCGAGGTACTACTGTACAGCCACCCTTCAAAATCTGCACCTCATCTGAATTTTGCAGTGCAGTTCTCAAGTCGAATAACGTTAGGGGAAAATGTGCATGGAAATCAATATATTAGTGAAATGGCCATTCAAACATGCATTACATTTGAAGAATATGCATGCAGAAAAATCCACATATTAGCCAAGACCCACAGACTCTGGTTGAGTGCCAGGAAAACTATGGGGTCTTGCCAACTTTTGTAACATGAGGTTCTGGACTGGATCTGGGCAGAGGAAAGCTAAGGAAGGAGGGAAACACACCTCCCTGGAAAGACGTGAACAGCATTAAAAAACATGGGTTCTAGGCTTGTTGGAGCACTGAGGAGGAGCAGTCCAATTAGGAACTGGGGGTAGATAGGAACGTAGTGTTTCGTGTTACAGAGTCCCCTGTAAGATTATTATTACTTGACCAACTTCAAAGTAGAGGGGGCTATCTGGAAAATTCTACTTCATTGTGAGATGATGAATAGGAAGCAGTAAGGAATCTGGTGCAAGACAAACAAATTCCAACCTCCAACCCGCCACTACGATTGCTGCGTTGTTCAACTTCAGGAATTGATCAGAGGACGCTCTCATCAAACTTTGTCCGAACACAGGATGTGCAACTGCAAACTAGTGGGAATTCTCTTGTGTTTCACCGGGGTTTAATGTAAAACAGAAATGCATGTGCATTGTGTGCCTAGGACCCTCGTACCTACGGGACCACCTCTCCTGGTGTGCCCCGTGGAGGACCTTAAGGTCCATAAATAGCAACACTTTGGAGGTCCTGAGCTGCAAGGAGGTTAGATTGGTCTCAACTAGGGCCAGGGCCTTTTCAGCAGTGGCCCCGACATGGTGGAACACTCTGTCACAAGGGACCAGGGCCCTGCGGGATTTGACATCTTTCTGCAGGGCCTGCAAGACGGAGCTGTTCCGCCAGGCCTTCGGCTTTGACTCACTCTGACCCCTTATATGGGATTTGGTATATAAATTTTCCCTTGGCTTTTTTTGCTGGCCCATGTAGGATAGCTGGCTCGGGTGAATATCTGATGTTTCCTCCCTTTATGGTCTTGTTTTATGGGCTACTACTAAAATGAGGCTGCATTTTAAGCTGTATTTTAAGCCATATTTTAATTAACTGGTTGTTGTTGTTGTTTTGTTTTTTTCTATTACATTTTATTGTAATTCATATTTGGTGTTAGCTACCCTGAGCCCGGCCCTGGCAGGGGAGGGTGGGGTATAAAAAAAATATTATATTATTATTATTATTATAAAATGTGCCACAGTGAGTTGAATGAGTTCCGTGTTCATTCAAACACTTCCAGAAAGTTTACTTTGGCTAATCATTCACTGCCGATCTTCACATGCTCCACCTTGAGAGGTCCCTGTTGTCCTTCTTCCATGTCCCTGAACTCTGGCAGGCTTTTGGCTCCACTGTAATATACAGAGCTGTCAAATAATAAAAAGAGAGACTCTTAGCCCATCTAGCATTGTCTACACTGAGTTTAGAGAATTGGATGTGGTTATACAGGCATAGGAACAGACTATGCAAGCCTTGGTGATCTGCTGGTCATTGGTGCTTCAATGTGCTCTGGGCTTGGAAGACATCACTGATCAGCAGTGCCTGCAAACCGCTTTTGCTCCAGCCTTGTCTCATATAAGATGTTTTGGCAAGTAGACATGGCTTGGTCTAAACAGCATCATAGGTGAAATTGGAAGGCTTGACAGAATCAGACCAACAGGACAGAGGTTGCTTACCCCTGGTCTCCATTGATCGACAGCAGGTCTTGGGGGTTTCAGAAGGGGGGTAGTCCTGGTCCTACCTGGAGATTGGCATATCGGCAATCCCCCCGCCCCAAACAAATTGATGTTTGTCTTTAATCTGTTAACTTTTTATCATAAACTTTTTATGATTTTATGTTTTTATATCATTGTAAACTGCTGTGATATATATTCATGATACAGCAATATATAATTCTTTTAAAAAAATTAATACAGTGGTACCTCAGGTTACAGACGCTTCAAGTTACAGACGCTTCAGGTTACAGACTCTGCTAACCCAGAAATAGTACCTCGGGTTAAGAACTTTGCTTCAGGATGAGAACAGAAATTCTGCAGCGGCGACACGGCGGCAGCAGGAGGCCCCATTAGCTAAAGTGGTACTTCAGGTTAAGAACAGTTTCAGGTTAAGAACGGAACTCCGGAACGAATTAAGTTCTTAACCCAAGGTACCACTGTAAATAAATAAGTAAATAATACTCCACTGAAGGTTTTCACGCTGCAGTAATCTGACATAAAGCAAGAGTTGATGTGGTGATTTTGAACCCTTTTGAACAAAACAAAACTCTGAATTCACAAGATGTCTTTTGCATCTAATGATGAGAGAAATGCTATGACATGCCACCTTTGTTAATCTAGTGTTGGTTCTGTCACTAGAAATGGTTTTCTAACTGAGCTAGGAGCTAAAATCTTGCCCCAAATATGAATTCACAATAGCCATATGGGATTCTAATATGGCAACTGCAGTCACTGCTTTCCCAGATAGGCAATATAACTGTTTGGTCATGTTTTGGATTCTGCTCCTGCTGACAAGCTTACTCTTCTTGTTTATTGCTCTGAATGGTTTTGCGGCTACCTCAGGCAACACGGATAAATATTTTGTGCAACCACTCTTGCACCGTGTATTTCCTATCACCATGAAAGCTCTCCTGGAACTCTTCTTCTTCACTCTGCTTCTTACTATAGGTAAGGAATGTTTCAATGTCCCATAGGAAAGGGAATTGTTCCATTAGGATCAATGGGGGCCAAGCTAGATGTCATTTGATGCCACCTCATTGGTGTGACTATCCAGAATAGCTTTACAAGACGGGTATGCAACTGGATATGACTGGTTGGCTGGATCCTTACCTCCACCACATGGGCCAAGTCAGACAGGGCTCCCCACTTGCCTATCACCTGATATCACAATGGCATCAAGTGACCTGCTTTTACCTGTATGTACCATCTGGTGATAGTTGTGGTTTGCAAAAGTTCTCTGAGGGCAGGGATCAGCTGGAATCCCTTGAAGGTGTTTAGATAATGTCTACAGAAGCTTAGAATCTTCCAAATGGCTTCGGTCAAATTTCCAGCGGGCGCCACTGGGATTCAGTGCATTGCATTGTTCGTCAATCTTCTCCATGGCTAGCTAAACCAGAATAAATTGTGCAAAATGATTACAGCAGGGGTGGCCAACTCCCAAGAGACTGTGATCTACTCACAGAGTTAGAAACTGACAGTGATCTACCCCCTTTTTGGGGGTTCAGGTCGAAGTTGTTGTTGAGCTTTTCTTAGGGAGGAAAGCCCCTTTTGGGGGGGGCACAGCGCAAAAATGTTGAGCTTTTCTTAGGGGAGCCAAAGTTGTTGAGCATCTTTGGGGGGAGCCGGTGATCTACCAGTGATCTACCACAGGTGGCCAGTGATCTACTGGTAGATCACGATCTGCCTGTTGGACATACCTGGATTACAGAATGCAGAATGGAAATTGTACACATTTGCTCAGTTTGCATAGCTGCTATTGATCACAGAATTAGAGTGTCTGTCTGTCTGTCTGTCTGTGCGTAGCAGATTTTTCTACAGAGTCTTCCTTCTAGGAACAGGCTGCTGATTTCTAGAAACAGCCACAGATGGTTTAGAGGGACATCACTTTAGCTACCAGTGGGTGGGTTTTGCCCTTTTATTGAATTTGGAATTCTATCTATCCCATATACTTTAGCTTGCTTTTTTTGCATCCCGCATCCAGGTGCCTCGCTGGACTGTGAAACTTGCATGGTCTTCAACACTGACAATATTGAGTGCCAGAAGAAGACTTGTGATGCTGGGCAAGATACTTGTGTTGTTGGTGTGAGCAAAACCTCAGTAGGTGGGTGAGAGAGATCACAAGCCAAGCTCTGACAGTGAATTGGCCACAGGTCCTATGCAAGCTACATGGGCTTAAGAGCTGAAGATGCCTTATTGTGAGCTCAAGGTGCCTTATCCCCCTGCTCCAAGGTACACCTGTGGGAACTGTTAGGTTGGTGAGTGTCAGAGACAGGGCCTTTCTTTGTGGGGGACCCACATCTCTAGAATATCCTCCCCAAGGAAATACATGTGATCATCTTTTTTTCAGTCTTTCGGAAGGCCTTGAGGGCTTTCTTGTTTCAGTCCACATTCTGGTAATTGGCTGGAACACTGTCTTAATGATGGTTTTCTCCACTGCCACTAATTTTAAAGCTTTTCTTTTGTTGTTGTTACTGTTGTTATTTTTATTTGGTCCATTTAGAGATCACTTAGTGCCCGCAGATCTTGAAGAAATAAAGAATTCCTTTCAAAGAAATAAGCGAAAGTACATATAAATACAATGAACACAGTTTCAGGTGATTTGCATTTTAAAAGTCCAAATACATGGATATGCAATATACATATTTATATTTATAAAAAGAAGAGCAGAAGAAAATTACTAGGCAGCATCAGAGATTCTCCAAGTGTTCCAGTTTTCCAGGGATAGTCCTGGATTTACAGAAGTCCCAGTTTCTGATTTGATCCCAGAATGTCCCACTTTTCCTTAGATTAGGACACCCCTCTTTTCATCGGAGAAATGTTGGAGGGTATGGTAGGACATCCTTATTTTCATCAGACAAATATTAGGGGTATGGAGCTATGAGGGCCCCAAGTTAAAGGGATAAGTAACTATATAACCTTTAGAAGACATCTGAAGGCAGTCCTGAATAGGGAAGTATTTTTAATGTTTAATGTTTCAATATGTTGTTATATACGTTGGAAGCTGCCCAGAGTGGCTGGGACAATCCAGTAAGATGGGTGGGGTAGTAGTAGTAGTAATAATAATAATAATAATAATAATAATAATAATAATAATAAATTTTTTAAATGTGACTTTGGTAAGAGAGGGGGATGGCTTGCAGAGAGCCCAACATGAACTAGAGGACCATGAGAAGAACCAGAGAATCCCAGGCTAGAGACTCGATCAGGACTCTTAAAAACTAGATGGCCAGTGTTGGCATAGCCTTCTTGACTTACAAGCTGCTAGGAAGAGCTGGGCAGGTGAATATCTCTAATAAAGTGCTTGTGTTTCTTCCTCGTCCTCAGATGGACAAAGCATTCTGAGCTCAGTGAAAACCTGTCAGTCTTCCGACATCTGCAATCTTTTGGCACCAGTTCATATGCATTTTGGCAAGGATAGGGTCATCCAGGCAAATGGCGGCTGTTGCACAGGAGATGCCTGTATCACAGCTTCTCCTCAGTGTAAGTACAGGACTGCTGTTTTTCTCCTGACTTCTTCTAACTCAGTGCTAGCAGGGCTACATCATGGTGTTTGTGACATAAAATAGAAGGATGCAGTCTGGGGTGGGAGCTATAATAGCAATGACTAAACATCTAAACCTCAAATAACAAATAGTAGGAAGGCTGGTCAACCACTGCCAACCTTAGGAGCCTGAAATATCTGCATGACAGGTGGGTCAGTGGGTGAAATTGGGCATGCTGTAAACATCTGACATGGGAAACTGCCTTACATCAAACCATTGGTCCATCAAGCTTGGCACTGTCTATACTGACTGGTTGTGGCTCTCAATGGTTTCAGACAAGGAGTATCTCCCAGCCCTATCTGGAGATGCCAGAGATTCAACCTGGGACCTTTTGCATGCAAAGCAGATGCTCCAGGGATGCTTGGTCTAACAATCACCCCTGCTTGAATGAGTAGAACCAAAGTGGGCATGGCCCATCTCGAATGCCATCTAGCTCAGTATTATTAGACTGACTGTCAGTGGCTCTCAAGCAGGGGTGCCAACAGGGGGGGTCAAGGGGTGTGCGGAGGAAGGTAAGCATCCTGACTATCAGGGACTGTGCTGAGGATGAATGGTGGGAGCCACCCCTCCCCCTGATCCTGAATCTTCCCAGGAGCAGGAGTGCAGTGTAGATTTGGAACAGTGGTTTGCAGAGGGGCACAGTTCAGAAGGCAGAAGCTGGGAAATACTGGATGGGGAACAGCTAGAAGAAGAAGCCCTCCCCAAGGTCGAAAAGAGCTCAGAAAGTCTCAGAACAGAAAGCGCAGAGGGTACAAGCTCAGATTACAAGACGTAGGAGTGACGTAGATTAATAGGGACGGAGGGGGGAGTGAACCTTAATTGGTAGCACCGTTATTTCTAGAGAGACTTGTTCTTTTCTGTGATTATTAAAACATCTATCTGGTAAGACGTTTCTATCATTGGATCTTCTTATTTACTGCCACGGGGGAGGAAGCCGATTCCCCGAAGCCTGACACTGTCCCACCAGCCAGGTCCAATTCCCCATCCCCTGGAGACTTGAAGCTGAGAATACCTTGTCCTCTGGCCAAGAATTTTATGGCAGCATCAAAAGCTGAACCCAGGACTTCCTGAATCCAAGTGCAGTCTCTTGCCATCCATGCTACACTTAAACTGTTGGTCTCCCTTTGCTTTCCAGTGCCACCAGTCAACACCACAACCAATGGAAAACAATGCCCTGCCTGCTTTTCTTTGGCAAGCTGCAACCCGGAAATGGTAGATTGTACTGGCTCTGAGGACTACTGCTTTGAGGTGGTCACACAACTCATGGCAGGTAATTGATTTAATATGAAACATTGCTTATGAGTTCTCTCCTCTTTGGGACTGTGAACCCACCTGGTGGCCATCCTGGGACCATTACCCCAGTCACCAGATTGGGAAGGGCAGCAGATTTGCACCCTCTCTCCCAGCGACCACTGCCTAGCACCCTAGGGTTGCTGCAAAGTTGCCATGAGCACCCTTTCCAGGGTGGAATCTACACACATATAAAAAACCACTCTGAAAATGCTTTTTTTTTTAAAAAAATCATTTTAAAAAATGCATTGAATTTGCCATAAGGCTCACCATCGCCATCTGGTGTCACATTGTATACAGTGGTAACTTGTGTTACGGACGGGATCCATTCTGGAAGCCCATTCGTAACATGAAAAGTCTGCAACTTGAAGTACGACGTCTGCGCAGGCGCACGGTGCGATTTGGCACTTCTGCGCATGCATGAGTGGCGAAACCCAGAAGTAACCCATTCCGGTGCTTCTGGGTTGCCACAGGATGCAACCTGAAAAATGCAACATGAAGTGGACGCAACACGAGGTATGACTGTATTGCACTTAAAACGTTTTACTTGCAGCTGTATAGCTGAGTCCCAGGTTGGCTGATGGTACTGAGTCATCCATGCCTCATTCTGAGGAGGGGTCCTTCCTGAGAACGAGGCACTGTGGACGAGATGACCCTCGAGAGAACCCCTGCTGTTGCCCCTTTCACACAGCAAATATGGTTTAAAGTTTAACAGCAGTAAGCTCTTGAACATTAACGATCAGCCATTTGCTGCTTATAAAGTTTAAACAGCATTGGCTACCACAGTGGCGAAGCAGCAGCAGGATAGGCAGTCTTGGGGGCCACCTTACCTCACTCTGCAAGGACCCTACATTCTTGAAAGACCTACATTAGCTCCCAGTATGTTTCCGAGTACAATTCAAAGTGTTGGTGCTGAAGTTTAAAGCCCTAAATGGCCTCGGTCCAGTATACCTGAAGGAGCGTCTCCACTCCCATCATTCTGCCCGGACACTGAGGTCCAGCTCCGAGGGCCTTCTGGCGGTTCTCTCATTGTGAGAAGTGAGGTTACAGAGAACCAGACAGAGGGCCTTCTCATTAGTGACACCTGCCCTGTGGAACACCCTCACACCAGATGTCAAAGAGAAGAACAACTACCAGACTTTCATCTGAAGGCATCTGAAGGCAGCCCTGTTTAGGGAAGCTTTTAATGTTTAACAGCTTTTGTACTGTATAAATAAAATATTGTATTTTAATATTCTGTTGGAAGCAGCCCAGAGTGGCTGGGGAAACCCAGCCAGATGGGCAGGGTATAAATAATAAATTATTATTATTATTATTATTATTATTGCTTCGATGAGGAAGGCATTGCCAAGTGTGAAGCCCAGGAGATTCCCAGCATGCTCCTCATTCTGCTGCTTATGCAGAGGCAATGGCAACAGATGGGGGACCTGTTCTAGCCAGGAACCTGTCCTGAGTATTGAGTCTTAGCCTTTTACACAGATGATTGCAATTTTTTGCAGACCCCTGCCAGCTGGGGAAATTGGCTTTTAACCTTCACTCAAGTGAGATTTGTATATATTTTTTTTGGCTGGACTCCTGCATAAAGGATGCTGCATAACAAAAGGGGCCGCCGAAGAAGGCAAATGAGCCAAAACACATTTGGCACTGGTATTCCAGCTATCCAGAAAATCAGAACATTAAGAACACCCCATCCTGGCATTTTAGCCATTTAAAGAAAAGCATTGAAGAACCATGAGTGCAACTGTACAGAGGGTTTATCTGTATCCAAATAATTGCATGGCTCTTTACATGTTATTTGACATACATTCTGTTTTATCCCATTTAGTAACTGAAATACAGGATTTTTGCATCTGATATTCAGTTTTCTGGGTTGCTGTGTCTTCCTAACTTCTTTTATACCAAAGTTCAAGTCCTTTTTTTAATGTAGAAAAATATGTTAGCTTATTTATGGGCAGCACAGCGATAAAATTTTGTGCATATGCAGACTGATTATTAAATTTATTTAAGTTTCCCCTTAACGTTTTCATTTTACATGTATGCTTTTTTAGTCAGGTGTTTCCCTCCTTCTTTTTGTTTGTTTTAGGCATTTGTTGTTCAAGGAAATAGCTGAGCACTTTGGCATCATTTCAATGTATTTTGATTTTCTTCGCCTCTGTGAGCACGGCAATGGAAAAGGGGGCTATAAACTGGGATGAATGAGCTTGTTTGAGCAGAAATGACTGAAGAGCTATTTCTACCCTGATCTTTGTTTTTCCTCTTTAGGACAGTCTATGAGCACCACTCTGAAGGGCTGTACTACTGAGTCTTTCTGTACTGCAATACAAAGTGGCAAGGTGAACTTGGCCAATATTGGTGTTTCTCTTGCAAAAGCTGAATGTCAGCCAGCCAGCAGGGCTGTTCCCTCAGCATGATCCCTACGAGGCAACAGGGTAAAGATTCTCCTGTAAGGAACCCAATGTGGCAACACAGCACCAAGGGAAACTTCCCTTCCTATTTCTATGCAACCTTCTCGGAGCTCATCAGCTGGGTCTCTTGTCACCTGCAATTTCTTGCATTAAACAAGATGGAGAAAATACATTGGAAATACATTGAGTTCAGTCTTGGTTTGTGGGGTGGAGGGTGGGGAGCAAGGATTTTTTCTACAAATCGGTATGCAAAGTTGCGCATTTGTTGAAGAAAGGTCTTTCTCCTGTTTGGTTGCTTTCACGATCCACATTTAAAAGCAACACATTCTGATCTGTGTTGGATTTTCCCTCCAACGGCAGGTGTTTACACAATGTCAGCATGCTTTCATTTTGTAAGGCAGGTGTGCCTCCTCCTCCTCATCATCATCATATTTATTATTCACCCTTCGCCAGCAGGGTGGATGACAACAATGTGAAAATCGAAATTAAAAAAGTTGAAACAGATTACAATCACAGGAATGGGGAGGGGCTTCAGTGCCTCAGGGGATGTATGGGGATGGGGCAAAGCCCCCATCTGCTGGAAACCTAACTGTTTCTGCTCAGAGGTGTCCCGCTGAATCAGTGGGGCTTACTCCCAGGTGAGCCTTTGCACATCTAGTCTCACTGTTAAACAGAGTCATGGAATCATAGAGTTGGAAGGGACCTTGAGGACCATCCAGCCCAACCCCTTGCTATACCCACAGCCATCCCTAGGTGGGCACAAATAATCAACCTTCTGGTTAACAGCCAGATGTGCTGACCCATTGCACTAGCTATTGTCTAGTTAAAGTATACAGTGGTACCTCAGGTAACAGACGCTTCAGGTTACAGACTCCACTAACCCAGAAATAGTACCTCAGGTTAAGAACTTTGCTTCAGGATGAGAACAGAAATCACGCTGCGGCAGCGTGGCAGCAGCAGGAGGCCCCATTAGCTAAAGTGGTGCTTCAGGTTAAGAACAGTTTCAGCTTAAGAACGGACCTCCAAAACGAATTAAGTTCTTAACCCGAGGTACCACTGTATTGCAAGTAAAGCCTTACAGCACAATGCTCACCATGTCAACAGAAGTATAGTGCCCAGATCAAGGGAAGTAATAGTACCACTCTATTCTGCCTTAGTCAGACCACACTTGGAACACTGTGTCCAATTCTGGGCACCACAATTTAAGTTGGATGTTGACAAGCTGGAACGTGTGCAGAGGAGGGCAACCAAGATGATCAAGGGTCTGGAAACTAAGCCTTATGAGAAGTGCTTGAAGGAGCTGTGTATGTTTAGCCTAGAAAAGAGGAGATATGATAGTCATCTTCAAATATCTTAATGGCTGTCACATGGAAGATGGAGCAAGCTTGTTTTCTCCTGCTCCGGAGGGTGGGACACGAACCAATGGCTTCAAATTACAAGAAAGGAGATTCCGACTAAACATTCGGAAAAACCTCCCTGAGCTGTTCAGCAGTGGAACGGACTCCTTTGGGAGGTGGTGGGCTCTCCTTCCTTGGAGATTTTTAAGCAGAGTTTGGGTGGCCATCTGTCATGGATGCTCTAGCTGAGATTCCTGCATTCCAGTGGGATTGGACTAGATGACCCTTGGTGTCCCTTCCAACTCTTAAGACTCTATGATTCTATGAAATGAAATGCCAGAAATGCAGTTAGTGACCATTCAGATTAGAGCTACCATGTAGACAGGATAAGCACAGGGATCCTCTCAAACAAAAGGGAATGTGCCGGGCTACCTATGTGCCAGACTATCTGCTTTAAAAAAGGACACTGGCTTGACCATTTAAAACAACAACAACCCAACCCATTCTCTTCTGCAGACTCAACTCTTATAGCTGTAAAACTATAAGATTGGAAGGGACTCCCAGGGAGTATCTGCCCAACCCTAGAACAACATAAATCACAACACTTGAATTTATTTATTTTTAATCTGGAGGAGTCGGAATTGGGCTTGGCTTAACCAGAGGAGGAACGGCCGCTGGGAGGAGCACCGAAAGAAGAAACACCATTATACATCTGCATCACCACAACCAGATGCTTACATCTTCCCCAGCTGCAACAAAACATGTCTCTCCCGTATTGCTCTCTGCAGCCAAGGCAAACACTGTAAACTCTCCCAACGGTTTACTTCACTCCCGATGTCTCACTCTTCAGTTGTCTCCCGAGACAGATGGATGCCGACTGCAACAATCTTTAGAGATAACTCTCTCTTTTTCTAACTTGAAAGAATCAGCTTAAGGAAGAATTATGGGGTGCATGGCTTTAAAAGAGCCCTAGACAAATTCATGAAGGATAAGGCTGTCAGTGACCACTAGCCACAATGGCTATGCTCTTCCTTCAAAGTCAGGGGCAGTAATGCTCTGGATATCGGTTGCTGGAAACCACGGGGGGGAGGTGCTCTTGTGCTGGGGCCCTTCATCACCCCTTTAACTCCTCATTCTTAGTGTGCCATTTCAATAGTAATTTATATATTTTCAATAACATTTTCTTCTTATCATCCAATAGTTATCAGAGGTCACAACTGTTGCAAAGCCCCACCCTGGTTTCCACACTGTTCTGGAGCTAGTTCAAGGTGCTCATGTTAATGTTTAAACCCTCAAATGGCTCAGGCCCCCAGCTGCCTCTTCCCTGACAGACCCCCTTGGGTACTAAGACTGGCAGAGGGTGTCCTTTTGGGTGTCCCACTACCCTCAGAAATTCGAGGGAGTGGTGGTTAGGGAGAGGACATTCTTTGTAGCAGCCCCTAAACTGTGGAACTCCTTCCCCACAAAGGACCCACCTCATTTCTGTACTTTGATTTTTTTAATAAAAAACCCCGGTTTTAATCTTATGCAGTGCCAGATTTACGTATAAGCTAAACAAGCTATAGCTTAGGGCCCCACTCTCTTGCCCCCACCAAAGGGAAAAAACTAGATGTACATTTCCAAAACTGTATTTCAGTTCAACAATTACTTTGATAAAATACCTATTTTGTTATGTGCAAATGGCTTTAGATACCTATTAGGTCCATAAATTACCATATAGCATATATTCAACACAAAAAACAGCAACAATTTGTTGTTGACAAAGGACAACAGGATATATAAAGGGCCCCATTACCTTCAGTAGCTTAGGGCCTCATCAAACCTAAATCCGGCCCTGATCTTATGTAACATTGTGGTTTAATATTCATGTTGTGCTTAAATTGTTGTAACTTGCCCAGGGACATTAGGGCGAAGTGATACTGTAAAACGACAAGAAGAACACAATCTTCAAAGCATCATAAAAAAACCTATTCCAGTACAGATGTAGACTGGGAAAGCTCAACGTAAAACACTTGTTGAAAGATTCATTGACCATCTAACTTACACCCTGGCTGTTGCTCCTGATGGAGATTAACTTGTAAGCCTCCAGAGAAGGCTTGCAGATGCTGTTGGAAAGCCCACAGGGAGGGCAATCGGTTGTGGTTCTTCCTCTGATCTTGCCTCTGATTCTGGACGGAATCCACTGCAGTCGTGACAAATAACCATTGAAAGGCCTATCCTCCACATATCTGCTTTATTCTCTTATAAGGCCATCACCACATCCCATGGAAGCAAAGTAACATTTTAACATGCATAATCATAGTAATGCCAGTGGCCTGATGGGGGGCTAGAAGAGACCCCTCCCCGGTTATCACGTCAGCTGCGGAGAAGGGTTACGTTCCTCTGTGTGTGTGCAACCAGGGTCCTATTTATAGATTACTCCTATTGCATGCATGTGTGCATGCAAGATTTAATCCAGTTTCATGGAAACTAAACTGTGTAATGATTAACAATAGGTATGGGAATAGCTAATAGGAAGACACTGAAAGAATCACCAGCCACACAATGACTCACTTTATAAAGGTTGGCATCTGAGTTCCGCACCTGATGTTGGGCTGTTGGAGAAAGACATTCTGTCTACCTTGCACTGAGAAGCACCCTACCTGCACTCCTGGAAAAACTGTGGTAAGTTCAACCATCCCTTTTATATGACTCTCTCTCTCTATATATATATATATGTATGCAATCATTACAGAAAAGAGAAAAATACCTACATATAATTGATATATTATAATAATTTGTTTAATGTTGTACAACATAGAAAAACCATTATATTTGTCCATATTTAAGTTACATTTATATTCTGCAAATGCAGTAAGTGGATTCCATTTATCCCTTTAAAAAACCCATCTTTATTGTCTACTTTCTGTGACGATAATTCAGTTCTGTAACCTTATCCATTTTTTATACCTTTTATTTTTATTTCCTTTCACTGTTTTTTTCCATTATTATTATTTATTTATTTTTGCAAAGAGCATGCCAGCAGCTACTCTTAGATTCTGCATTTACTCTTTATTTGTGGGTCAGAATACCCTAATAAAATTACCGGAGCCCAATGGCAATGTGCAAGTTCTTACTAATATCATCTCTACTACCTCTCCCCTAAAAACTTTAATCATTGGACAAATACAGGAAATATCTTTCACGTCCACCTTCAAATATCCACCTATTCAACACTTAAATAATCACAGTGTGTAAATTTTACACATGTACGATTGATAGAGCAGTTTGAAATGATTTTCTCTGGTGTTAAAACAAAGAGATTGTGTTGCTTCCTGAACATGAAGGAGGCTGTGGCAAAACCACTCCTTAAGAATCCGTCCCTGGACTCAGAAAATCTAAGTAACTACCAGCCATTTGCCAATCCCCCCTTCTTGGGCAAGGTTATTGAGTAGTAGTAGTAATAATAATAATAATAATAATAATAATAATAATAATAATAATAATTTATTTATACCCTGCCCATCTGGCTGAGTTTCCTCAGCCACTCTGGGTGGCTCCCAATCAAGTGTTAAAAACAATACAGCATTAAATATTAAAAACTTCCCTAAACAGGGCTGCCTTCAGATGTCTTTTAAAGTTAGGATAGCTGCTTATTTCCTTCATATCTGAAGGGAGGGTGTTCCACAGGGCAGGCACCGCTACCGAAAAGGCCCTCTGTCTGGTTCCCTGTAACCTCACTTCTCGCAATGAGGGAAACAGAAGGCCCTCGGTGCTGGACCTCAGTGTCCGGGCTGAATGATGGGGGTGGAGACGCTCCTTCAGGTATACTGGACCGAGGCCGTTTAGGGCTTTAAAGGTCAGCACCATCACTTTGAATTGTGCTCGGAAGCATACTGGGAGCCAATGTACCGTATTTTTCGCCCCATAGGACACACCGGCCCATAGGACGCACTTAGTTTTTTGGGGGGGAAATAAAGGGGGGGGAATTATTCCCCCCCCCCCAGGTGCGGGGCTGGGGCCGGGGAAGCCCGAGCTTCCCCCGACCCCAGCCCTCAGAACAGGCTGCTATCCGCAAGCCGTGGGAGCCACAGCTAGCGGAGCGCTGCGCGAAGCCCGAAGCTTGGGGCGTGCTGAGCTCAGCGCGCCCCAAGCTTCTGGGTGCCGGCAAGGTCTCCACTAGCCGTGGGAGAGCTGCGTCTCCCACGGCTAGCGGATAGCTTCCTGAAGCCTGGAGAGCACCGACCCCCCTCGCTCTCCAGGCTTCAGCGAAAGCCTGCATTCGCCCCATAGGACGCACACACATTTCGCCTTCATTTTTGGAGGGGAAAAAGTGCGTCCTATAGGGTGAAAAATACGGTAGGTCTTTCAAGACCGGTGTCATGTGCTCCCGGCGGCCACTCCCAGTCACCAGTCTAGCTGCCGCATTCTGGATTAATTGCAGTTTCTGAGTCACCTTCAAAGGAAGCCCCACGTAGAGCACATTGTAGTAGTCCAAGCGGGAGATAACTAGAGCATGCACCACTCTGGTGAATCAGTCTGCGGGCAGGTAGGGTCTTAGCCTGTATGCCAGGTGGAGCTGGTAGACAGCTGCCCTGGACACAGAATTGACCTGCGCCTCCATAGACAACTGTGAGTCCAAAATGACTTCCAAGTGGTGAATGGTTGTGAACCAGATCCAGGCACTCTTGGAGAAAACTAATTTTCTAGATCCATTTTAATCAAGGTTTTGGCCCATTTGGGGCACACACATGGAGTGTCCTTGTTAATTCTCCTCGACCTTTCCATGGGTTTCTGTACCATCAACCATGGTATCCTTCAGGAACGGCTGTTCAAGTTAGGGCTGGGTTCTTGTCCTACTTGGATGGTCATTTCCAGAGGGTGATGCTTGGAGAGTGCTCTTCAGCCCCATGGAGCCTTCACTGTGGGGTTCCTCAGGGTTCAATTTTATCACCTATGCTGTTTAACATCTACATGAAACCACTGTGTTGGGCTATCCGGAGTACATTGTCAACAATATGCTGATAACACACAGCTGTGCATCTTCTGTACATCAACGGGTGCAGCAGTGGATGTGCTGGACTTGTGTCTCACCTTGGTAATAGACTGGATGAAAGCCAACAAACTGAAGCTCAATCCAGATAAGACTGAGATGCTGTTAGTGGGCAATTCCCCAGCCTGGATGGATGGGAGGTTGCCTGTTCTTGATGGGGTTGCCGTCCTTTGGAAGAAGTGAGTATGTAGCTTGCGGGAGCCTTCTGGATCCATTGCTGTTGGTTTGAGGCTCAAGTAGCCTAAGTGGTGCAGAGTGCCTTCCATCAGTTTCGGCTGGTGGCCCAGCTGTGCCTATATCTGGACAGGGATAGTGTAATTTCTGTTGTCTCTGCTCTGGTAACCTCTAGGTTAGATGGCTGCAATATGTTAGATGTGGGGCTGCCTCTGAAGGCGGCTTGGAAATTCCGGCTGGTGCAGATTCTGGCCACCAGGTTGCTCACCGAGGCAAGACAGTTTGAGCATATCACACCAATCCTGGCCCAACTGTACTGACCACCAATTAGTTTCTCAACCCAATTCAAAGTGCATTAAGGACCACCTCTCCCCATATGAATCATGGGTGACCCTTTTCTTCGTATGCCTCCTCCACAAGAGGTCTGGAGGGCGGTTGCACAAAAACATGCCTTTTATGCAGTGGTTCCCCATCTGTGGAATGCTCTCCAGGCAAAAACATTGCCATGTTTTTGGTCTGTTTAACATTCTGTGTCCTTTTAAATATGTTTGTGAGAGGAGGGTTATGGGTTTGTTTTGTTTTCGTTCTTCCCTTTATTATGTATTTTGTATTTTTATCTATGAAGTGCCCTGAGGTCTTTGGGAGAAGGGTGGTATACACATTTAATAAATTAATTTTTAAAACAATTAATAAATTCTCATGTCAGAGAGGAACTCTAGCTCACTTCCAGAGTCCATGCCTTATTATTCAGAACCAATCAGGAGGCGGCTCTTCCTGTCTTTGTTTCAGACCCCACCTATTGCTAGTTTCCCTGCCTTTCACCTCACCAGTGACCACTGATTTTTTATTTCTGTGAGTGCCTTAGTTGTACTAGGAGATGACAAGCACAGCTACCCATACCATGTGGATACTTTACAGCTAGAAGATGAGGAAATGGGAAACGTCAGCAAAACCATCACTCCACCACCTCAGTGATGAACTGGCATTTTAGAGACTCCAGTGAGTTCTGATTTTGAAAGTGCTTCCTTGCTGATTCTCTGAATGTTTCTGCAGAAAATCTGTTTCATCAACTGAGTCTTCAACGTTGCACTTCCTTCACCATGCAAGCTCTCCTGGGACTCCTCTTCTTCTCTCTGCTTCTTGCTACAGGTGAGGACTTAGTAGTTGATTTTCTTTCCACACCCCAGAGGGGAATTGTCCTGAAGGCATTAATAAGGTGGAACAAGTTCAAAGCTGGAATCCTTTCACTTTGCATGAGGAAAAAATCAAGTATAATTCCTTCAAGCAAGGATTGCTTGGTTTGACAAAGGCAGGTATTGAACTGGAAGGACTCAGAGGCCATCTAAGGTGAGGGAGTTCTTCCTGACCTCTTGCTTAATTCATATATATTTTTTTTTGGGGGGGAGCCATTGAATGCCGATTCCATCACCCATGGGAGACCCAACTCAGTTTATGTTCCAAGGTAATCTCATTATCCACTCAGGTGGGATTTACCCATTTCTTCAGGCAAATAACTCAAACATCTGCATCTCTTTCCTACTCCAGGTGCCTCTTTGCAGTGTGAGATTTGCACAGCCACCGGACAAACCTGTTCCAGTGATAATGTGGAATGTGATCCTCAACTAGATACCTGTGCCGTTGTTCAGTATGAACCCACACGTGAGTGAAAAGGATCATTACCCAGGCCAGATGAATGAATGGGGTCCCTGGTTGCACAAATCATATAAACAAATGAAACTCTTGTTCTGTTGAATAGTCCAAAGCTGTCTCCAACTAACAGAAGCTGCTCAAGGTCTCAGCCAACTCTCTTTCCCAGCCCTGCAACCAGAGACCCTTTGACCAAAAGATTTCAAAGCGTGGGCCTGACTGCTGAGATGAGGTCCCTCTTTGTGAATGTGTCAGACTATCCTCCACCAGGGCCAGGGCTTTTTCAGTGACGGCTCCAACCTGGTAGAATGCTCTGTCCCATGAGACTAGGGCCCTGCAGGACTTGATTTCCTTCCACAGGGCCTGTAAGACAGAACTATTCTGCCTGGCCTTCCCTTCAGTTTGAATTAGCCTGATCCCCTATTCCCTTTTCCCTTTCCTTTTTTATGAAGAAACCCTTCTGGGACCCCAAATGTAAACTCTTCGCTGGTCTCCTGCTGGCCCTAGTAGGACCAACTTGGCCAGTTAGCCCTGGTGATCATTTGATGTTTACTGATTGGGGTTCCCCCCCCCGCCCTAAAATGACCCCTGAATTTTATTGACATTGATGCTGCATTTATGTTGCATTTTATGCTGTTTTTAAGTCATATTTTAATCAGTGTTTTATATTTGCTGTTAGCCGCCCTGAGTTATTATTATTATTATTATTATTATTATTATTATTATTATTATTTATGGAGGGATATTCGAGCCCCCTACAGGCATACAAACCGAACATCTGAAGGAGCATTGTGCTCAGCCTAACACTTCACCACAATTTCTCAGGTGTCTCCAAGACATGAACGGGCATCAATAAAGGAGTAGGGCTCACCCCTCAGATTCCCCAATTGAGACTTCATGCATTCATAACAAATGCTTGAATAGGGCTCCCATGGCTCCTGTTTGTGTGAGTTCTAATTTGGGTTCCGTAGAATCTGAGTCAAATCACCATCATTTTTGTTTATGCTTTATCCTAAAATGCACATCTTGGTATGAATTTTGTGGTGTTTTTGAGCTGAAAGTTAAATTGCAGAAGCTGAAATATCTATTGGTGGCAAGGAAAACATAGGTATAAAAGGAGAATTCCTCAATGCCAATATCCAAGTTTGCAGAAGTTCTCTCTGGTGAGAGAGCCCCAGGAGAGATTTAAAAATCACAAAATATGCAGCAAATATAGGCTGTTAGACCTTTAAAATATGCTCTTCTATGTTCATTCCAAGGTTACCCTCTTCCTCTAGCATAGAAAAAAATCACACATTTGGTACATTTAAAATGTTTTACTTAAATTTTTTTCAGAGGTTTGGTTCATGTGCTTCTCCATACACCAGTGAGGAAATGCAGGCAGTAAAATTTAGCTTAATTACAGTGGTGAAAGTTCCTAAGTTGTTGGTATAGGAATTCAAGAAAGGCTTGTTAGAGCCATGCGATCTGAGCTTGGATTAACCAGCTCAGTTCTCTTTACATGCTAAACTGGGAGGGAATAATAGGCTTGATTACCTTCCCCCAAGGTGACCTAGCTAAGCCTGGCAGGAGAGCTTGCTCTATGGCGTTAACCCCTTCATGTATTAATTAGACTTAAGCATGTTGGTTATATGAGGCTGGTTTCCCCCCAATACCCCTGCGCTCTGTATATTAGTGTAGGAAATGAGAGTCTGCGTAAGTTGTTTTAAAACATGGATCAAAGGACATCTTACAGCACTGCTGAGTGGGTGAATTTATGTGGGACATAATGGCTCTGAACACTGACTCTGCTGGTCATTCAACTTCAGTTTGTTTGTTTGTTTGTTTGTTTGTTTGTTTGTTTTATATCCAGCACCAAGCGTCAATGTCAGCAAAATAGTTAAAGAATGTCTTGTTAAGACTGACTGTGAAAAAAAGAAGATAGGGGAGTCTGTTCTAGGGCTTGGAAAAATTAAAACGTTTGAATGCAACAAGGCCCCTGGAGCAGCTGCATCTCTCCTCCTCGCTTTCTCCAGCCTCCTGTTGATGAAGAGTCTCCTGTAATGAAGTGCTGACAGCAGTACAGAAGAGTCCCCTTCTCATTTCCATGCAAATACCTTCAGACCGAATCACGTGTTTCACTGGAGAGATCTGTTGTAATTTCTGATGTTTTGAGTAAGAACAAATAAAGAGGAATAAATAAATAAACCTACTCTTGTTTTGAGGGTGAGAGGGGTGAGCAAGGCATGTATTTCCAACAATGTGATTGACCAGAAGTAAAATTGTTTGTGGAAATCCATAATTTTCAAGGAATGCTGATGTTTTCGGAGGAGAATTAAGGTAGACTCTAGCATTATACAACCTTCTTAGGTTATGCAATATGTAATATTGTAATTATAAATTCAGGATGCATTGCAATGATCAGTGCAGATCTCCATGTGTTGCCTTTCAGCTAGAATGACTATTTTCTGTGCATGCACATGGACAAATGATTAGGAGGGTTCCTTCAGAGTGACCTAAGTGGAGTTTTCCTTTGAGTTCCATTTTATGTGACAGTGCTTGCACATCATTCTCTTGAAAGTGAAGTACCTTGCATTTTCGGTGCTTAGCTTTGAGACGTATGACATCTGTAGCAGCAGTGTGCATAGGTGGGTGTGCCTGGGTAGAGTTGGGTTTCTACATCCTGCAGGGGAGGCTGCAGAAACAGACTCCCCACTGTAGACTCCCCTCCATGTAACCCATAAAGAGTGATGGGGAGTCAAGAGGAAAGGAAGGAAATAGATCCAGGAAATAATGAGGCACCAACTGACTCAACCAGGGAAGGAAAACCATGTCAAGCCATCAGCAACCTGACTTCTCACAAATTCTCATACGTTTGCTTCTTGCAATGATGCACACTAGATGGGATGCCAAAGAACTCTGGACAGGGAAAGAAACGGAAAGTTTCACTTGTGCCTGGTAGGAGTATAAGATAAGAACAAGTGACAAATTTAAAGCATGCAAGATAAGATGTCACCAGGTCTACTAACTGAGACGGGCCAGTGAGCTTTCCTTATCCTGATCCCTCAATTAACTCTTCATTGTGGTATGGAAAACACTTTTCATTTCAAAAGAAATCTTACATCTTATTTTGCTTTTTATTATATTTGTGCATCTAGACACAGGCCTTTCAATCTGGCCCATTGGACTCTCCCCAAGTGAAATCCCCTACAGGCCACACCCCTACAGGCCACTGTCCTTGTTTCACATCCTCTCTAGGTGCCTGCCTAGAGCTGTTTCCTAGTTCTGCTGGATCTCTCAGTGGCCTTTGACACCATCAACCATAACATCCTTCTGGACGGTCTAGAGGGGCTGGGAGCTGGGGGCACTGTTATACAGTGGTTCTGCTCCTTTCTCCTGGGCCGTGTCTAGAAAGTGGTGTTGGGGGATGAGTGTTCAGACCCCTGGGCTCTCACTTGTGGGCTGCCTCAGGGTTCTGTCCTCTCCCCCATGCTTTTTAATATCTATATGAAACCGTTGGGAGAGATCATCAGAGGGTTTGGGCTGGGTGTTTATCAGTATGCAGATGACACCCAGCTCTACCTCTCCTTTAAATCAGAACCAGTGAAGGCAGTGAAGTTCCTGTGTGAGTGCCTGGAGGAGGTTGGAGGATGGATGGTGGCTAACAGATTGAGGTTGAATCCTGACAAGACAGAAGTACTGTTTTGGGGGGACAGGGGGCAGGCGGGTGTGGGGGATTCCCTGGTCCTGAATGGGGTAACTGTGCCCCTGAAGGACCAGGTGCGCAGCCTGGGAGTCATTTTGGACTCACAGCTGTCCATGGAGGTGCAGGTTAATTCTGTGTCCAGGGCAGCTGTCCACCAGCTCCACCTGCTCCGCAGGCTAAGACCCTACCTGCCCGCGGACTGTCTCACCAGAGTGGTACATGCTCTAGTTATCTCCCGCTTGGACTACTGCAATGCGCTCTACGTGGGGCTACCTTTGAAGGTGACCCGGCAACTGCAATTAATCCAGAATGTGGCAGCTAGACTGGTGACTGGGAGTGGCCGCCGGGATCACATAACACCGGTTCTGAGAGATCTGCGTTGGCTCCCAGTACGTGTCCAAGCAAAATTCAAAGTGTTGGTGCTGACCTTTAAAGCCCTAAATGGCCTCGGTCCTGTATACCTGAAGGAGCGTCTTCACCCCCATTTTTCAGCCCGGACACTGAGATCCAGCGCCAAGGGCCTTCTGGCGGTTCCCTCATTGCGAGAAGTAAGGTTACAGGGAACCAGACAGAGGGCCTTCTTGGTAGTGGCACCCGCCCTGTGGAACACCCTCCCTTCAGATGTGAAGGAAATAAATAGCTATCCTATTTTTAAAAGACATCTGAAGGCAGCCCTGTTCAGGAAAGTTTTTAATATTTAGCACTGTATTGTTTTTAATACTTTATTGGGAGCCGCCCAGAGTGGCAGCTGCAGCTTTGCAGGAAGGCCAGCGCCTCCCCTTCCACCGACGATGCAGGGCTGTGCATCGGGTTCTGATCCTGTTCTGCGTCAGCCTGCAGAATTGGCCAATGGCAGGCTGGCCTGGAGGGCTGGGCTCTTTGGGGGCAGGCTTGAGGGAGCAACCAGGCTTCTCTGAGGTCCGCTCCTGGGAGGTTTAAAACTGCCCACGCCTGCTCCCAACACCCAGCTCTTCTTTGTCAGATCAGCCCGCCCACCCACTCTAATAATTTTGCATTTACTCCTTTAATTGGCTTTTGCCTGGAGGTTTCGCCTACCTCATAGCAATCGTCACAGCTTTGGCAGTTTAGGCACTGCGTAACCTTAGCCTTGGTTGGAGGGGGAGTTTTAGCCTCACCTTCCCCTCAAGAAATAGGGTATTCCATTAAAGGGGTCCGTGATGCAGTTACTTCTGTCCATTTGCCCAGACGGGGGGGTTTGGGCCTCAGCACTCCTAGAGGCGGTGATCCCTGAGGGGATACCCCTATTGATGTAAGTCATAGGAATCCCTGCTGCCGGGTTGGCCCTGATGTCATTTCCTGTAGGCAGCCCGGAAATAAATACTTACCCAGTGCCTATGCCAAACCACTTTACCTGTAGTAAGTGAAGTTGTGGCCTGATTCAATCCCATTCAACTGTGTGGTTTCCTTTATTGGTAGTTCACCTGAGCAGGGGGAGGGGGTCAGGGAGTGAGCAGCCTGGTCCTGAAATGACTCTTCTCCATCTGCTTTTGCCTCTGCTCCTGTCCCCCAGCGGCATGTGCAGAGCCTCCAAGTGTCCCTATTTTCCAAGGACAGTCCCAGATTTACAGAAGCCATCCCGGTTTATGATTTGACCCCATAATGTCCCACTTTTCCTTAGGATGTCCCTATTTTCATTGGAAAAATGTTGGAAGATAAGCAGTTATGCGACCCTTGAGCCAAGGAGATGAAGGCAACCCTGTATAGCAGGCATTGCCAAACTTGGCCCTCCAGCTGTTTTGGGACTACAGTTCCCATCATCCCTGACCACTGGTCCTGTTAGCTAGGGATGATGGGAGTTCTAGTTCCAAAGCAGCTAGAGGGCCAAGTTTGGCCATGCCTGTATAGGGAAGGTTCTTTTAATGTTTAATGTTCTGTTATGTGTTTATATATGTTGTAAGCCACACAGAGTGGCTGGGGCAACCCAGTCAGATGGGTGGGGTATAAATAATAAAATGATTATTATCAGGGAATGAGATGTCCCTATTTTCATCAGTGAAATGTTGGGGGGCATACATGTGGCTCCCAGAATGTCAGTCAGAAGGGAGTGTGGCCCTCAGCCTGAATAAAGGTTCCCCAACTCCTATCTATAACTATTCTTCAATTTCATTGTCATATTCTTCACATATGTCCATGTCTCAGTTATGGCAATCCATCCCTTAGGTCACAGCACAACTCCACTCCTTGTTTATTTATTTTTGACTTTTTGAAAATTAAATGTATATCCTACCCTTCCTCACAAAGGAACCCAGGATGGCAAAGTACAAGGGACAAAACAATTTAAAAAACCTCTTCAAAACAATTCCAAAGCAGATGCAGGCTGGGAAAGTTTTCAAAATAAAAGCCTTGTTGAAAGGGGAAGTGTTGGCATCTGCCCACTATTCAGGGGGAGGGAATTTCCTGAAACACTAAAGGCCTGATTCCTACCTAATGTTTGTTTTTCATTTCTCACTTCTAAATATTCCATTACATCAAAAGAAATACCTGGCAGGGAATACACCTTGATCATGAAATTTTAGTCAGCCAAGGGGCTGGATTGAAGCAGTCTAATTTCAGGCTCGCTGGCATTCATTCATAATTCAATCCTCTTTTTTTCCTTGTTTGTTGAAAGAACACACAAAAATCTGCCTTTAAATGGAATGCATTTTGTATACACTTCTTACCTAAAATATTAAACTTCCCCATAAAATAGACACTTTCCCCTGCTTTTCAATGCATTTATCTGTAAACGGTGTCCTTTGTACAACTCTTTTATGTAAAATGCACATTTTTGCAAACACCTGTTGCTCACTGAAACTGCAGTGTAAAATCTGGAGAAGAGAGTAATACAGTTGGGAGTTGCATTCTCACCTGCAAGCTGGTTTTTTTTTGGGGGGGGTGTCGGGTTGCTCTGCTTCTCCTACCTTCCAGCTTGGAGGTGTTACTGTGGGAGGGTTTTCTGAGCATTGGATCATGTGCCTTGACAGATGGAAGCTGTCTGCCCTCTAGATGTATGTCCAGCCCTTAACGTATACATTGTAAAAGGTAAGTAGGCGGATGTATATTAGCTGCTTTAGTCTAAGAATGTGCCTAGAGTAAGGGCCTGGTTGCTTTGTGTGATGTGAGATGCACTATTTGCTTTCTGTGCTATCCAAATGGATACTCTCTACAGCAAGCATTTGTGAGTCGAAGATCCACCACCCGCTTAGGGATAAATAAAACACAAGGACGTATTTAGGTTAATGGGCTAAAGAGGACCACAACTTCATTGGTTACAGCATGTAAGTGGTATTGGCTTAGGCATTGGATCAAACAAACACGGGGAGTCATCCAAAAGGTTAACAACCAGTTGGAGGAGCTTGTTGATGCAGATACAACTGGAAGCTTCCCCTGATGTCACCGGGGGTCGTGTCATGGCCCTAGCCACCAGCAGGGCATCGGACAGGATCCACGACCGCTGGATTCCTTTAACGGAAAACCAACAAGGGGAGGGGTAGGTGATGGCCACAACCTGCCCTCCAACACACGACACATATTCCAATGCCTAACCGCCAATGCCCAAAAAGTTGTGACGATTTGCTATGAGGTAGGCGAAAAACCAAGAGGTTGGTGCCAATTAGCCAAATGGATAAAAATTCCTACCAGATTCCCTGGGCAACCAAGGCAACCAACCAAAGTCCATAGCAGGTCAAAAGCATAAATATGACCTAAAGGGAGGGTGGGCGGGTGATCCAACGACTCCAGGCAGCTGAATGAGGGCATGGTGCTTGTTTGGAGGTTCTAGCAGGGGAGAGCAGCTATCGTATACCCTTGACCGAAGAACGGTACACTCCTTGTATCTGGGATGGTCGTCCTCTTCCACCGAGCGCGCAGCTTCAGGAGGGACACACATGGAGCGGTGAGGGAGGAAGGGGACACCCGCCTAGCCAGCCAGATCAGCTGAATCAACCCTGGCGATCAATGGGGTGACAGATGTCGCAGCCAGATCACCCTCACATTTATCTATTCGGGAAGAATGGCAGATAAAGTTGATGGACTATATGGAAATGGCGGAAATGACTGGCAGAATCCGAGACCAGGGAGAAGAATCGGTGGAAGAAGACTGGAAAAAGTTTAAAGATTATTTACAGAAATACTGTAAAATTAATGAATGTTAGAAAAATGTTGGAATGAAGTTATATGGCTTTAGTAGAAATGTTATAAGGAATTAAGTATAAATAGATTAATAGAGTATTAAAGGGAAAAATAAGGTTAGAATGCGTTAAGATAATTATAGGATAGAAAACAGAGGAAGATGGAAAGGAATTGCTGAAACAATTAACAGAAGTGGAATACAAAAAGGGAGGTGTGAGGAGGTCGTGGAAACAAGTGAACGAAAGATAAGATAATGAAATGGTTTTGTTTTTGTTTTATTAGTTTTATGTGTTAGTGTTTTGTAGTGTCTTTGTATTGTGTTGCTGTTTTGTTTGTTTGTTTGTTTTTGTTTATGTTTTTTCTTTTGTAGTGTTGTGTTTAAATTGTTGGAAAATTAATAAATATTATTTTTTTTTAAAAAAAAATGAGGGCATGGTGCTGCCGCGGCCGCTTGAATGCGGCTAAACCCCACCCACCAAGCCAGCCCTATTGGCTGGCTGATGGGCATGGCGCAGCAGCCGGGAAACTGACGCAGGAGGCCAAATACGCCCCCCTGCTGACACGGGAACCAGCTCCCACTCACAACTCCTCCCCTCATAAAGGAGTAGAGGCTATGCCAGATGCCAGTCCCCACCAGGTTTACTCTCTGTGCCCATTCCCTTCCCTTCTGGGTACACATGAGCAGATGGCATTTCATCACCATGATGCAGCTGGGTATTGTGGGATTAGATTGGTGTGGAACAGGCTGAGATGTGGGAATGTGTGCTTTAGAATCAACTGTGCTGCCCACTTTGTGTCAAATGGTGTCAACTGGCCCTGGTGATATATTTGAGCAAGAATGATCTGGGGCAGAAGATAGGACTGTCCTTGAATCAACAGGTGCAACAGGGCCTGGAAGTGATACATCATCATACACACACACACACACGAGAGCACACCTGACTGTCAGGCTGCTGCCAGTGACTCCCAGCTGCTTGCCCAGGAACGTACAAAGACAAGGGAATGTTTCTTACCATCCGCTTTTTATTCAGTATTTACAGAGAGAGGCTATAGAACCCAGCCTCTTGGATAACAGCGTTGTTCTGAATGAATTCCACCCCCCATCTCTCCCACTTCCTCATTCATCAATCGCATCATCTCTCCTATGGGTGCATAAGTGTCCTCTGTCCTTGAGCTCTTTGCTCTCCTACTTTCAAGACTCACTGGGTTCTGGGAGGGGGGCGGTCTGGAATGTTTTCTAAAGACACCGTATCCATCAACTGCCCCCCCGGGGGCTTCCTCCTCCTCTTCCTCTCCCATTATTTCCCAGCTTCTCCCCTCATCTTCCTCTGAGCTGTGACCTCCCTCAAACCCCTGTTGTAAATCTAAACTGTCTTCCTCTTGTCTCCTGCCTCCTTTTATCTGCATGATCTGAAATGCTAAAGAGGAGGGTTTGGAAAGGGGTGAAGCACACTGAAAAGAATTTGGCAGGTTGGCGTACTGGAATGTTGTGGGCTGGCACCAAAGCACGCACCCCACTTTAGAAATCTATGCAGTCATCCACTTCCCCAAATGAATAGGATCCACTCTGTGGCATTCTCGTCACCCTGCCCCACAGCCCTCCTAGCATAAAAACACAATAATAGCCTTTCTGGATCAAACCAAAGGTCCATTTTAGTCCAGATTCCAGTCCTTGCAGCCTCCGGCTGGATACATGAAACCAGGACCTGAGCACAAGAGCACTTGTGATAAACAGCAGTTGTCATTCTGAGGCACCTGGATAAGGATAATTAATAGGCATAATAATATATTAGGATAATTAATAGGCATGGAGTGGGTAAGAGATGAGGACGGTTCCTGTTTCACACAGAGCCCTTTATAAAGGTGGGTTTCTGAGCACCATACCTGACAAAATTACATTAGGCAGTTAAAGAAGGACATCCCGTGTGCCTTGCACTGCCAAACACCCCACCAGAAGTCCTTGCAAGATTGTGGTAAGTCCTACCATCCTCCCCTATTTTAAAACAAGCTTGATTGAATCTCATATATAATTGTGTGAAACAGCAACATTCTACATGTAATAAAAACATTACAATCATATTCTACTTAATGTTGCATTACATGAAAAAACTATTTGTTTCATCCATATTCAGATGATATTTATATTTCATAAATTCAATAAGTGGACTCCACTTATCTTTAATATTTTCTCTTTGTGGTCTGCTTTCTTTCATCACAGCTACCTTCCAAATGTTTGTTAATCGCTATTCCGCTGTTGGTGATCATCTGTTTTTCTATTTTTGCGCAAAAAGTATGCAAGTTACTATTCCATTAACTCTTACAGCTTATTTGTGGGTCTGAATACTTTTTAAAATCATCAGGGGGTCCAGTGGCAAAGTGTAATGTGCTATGAATGACTTTATCTCTGCTACCTCTCTCCAAAATAATTGAATTATTGGACAGATCTATGTGGAGACACATACGATTTCAGTTTGCAATGAGCTTTGCTGGTTCCTGAGTACAATTCTTCCCTTTTCTTGTTCACAAATTGGTCTGCCTGCTATTTTTTTTCCTATTTTTAAACAAACCTATCCACCCAAGTCGGAAAAAACCATAGCTCAGTGCTACAGCACATCCTTAATCTGCAGAAAGTCCCACACTCAAGAATTCAAATCTCCAGTAAAAAGGATCAGACAGCAGATGATGGGAAATGCATTTCTCTTCCAAAAACCCTGGAGAAGCATGGCATCTCAGAAGGGACAATACTGTGATAGGTAGAGTTGGTGCTCATGAGCCTTTCTGAGGCACTCTGGGAGGGGCAACAGATTCATACTTAGCGCCCTTCACCTGCAAATGTTTATTCAGTAGAAGCTGACCCATTAAGAAGATCACTTTACCCTCAGCCGCCTTCTTACACCCAGTTAGGAGATGTCTATTCCTGTATTTATCTCTGACTCCCACCTGCTGCTAGTTTTCCTGCCTTCCTTCCCACCAATCCCAATGAGCATCAGCAACCACTGGTTTTATTACTTGCCTCAAGAGTAAGTCTTCGTTACTGTCCATTCCTTAGTTCTACTAGGAAATGACATGCATCATTCCTGCATCATGTTGATGCTTTTACAGCTTAAAAAAGGGGGGGATGGGCAACACCAGTTGGGCAGCCCTGATTCCATCACCTCAAAAGTATCTTGGCATTTTAGAAACTCCCATGAATTCCCCTTGGGAAGTTGTTACATGCTGATTCTCTGAATATTTGTGCAGATCCTTCAGCCCAGAAAATCTGCTTCAACGACGAGGGGCATCTTGCATGAGGCTTGGACTGCGTACATCCTTCACCATGAAGCCTCTCCTGGGACCCTTCTTCTGCTCTCTGCTTCTCACTACAGGTGAGGACTTGCTAGTGAATTTCCTTCGTACACCTCAGAGAGGAATTGTCCTGGAAGACTTAGCAGTTTGGGATAAATTCAAAGCTGGCAGCCCCCATTTTCTCACATGAGGAAAAAATAAATTATAACTCCTTCAAGCAGGGGTAGCTTGTCTTGACAAAGGCATGTTTTGAACTGGAAGGACTCAAAGGCCATCTTAGGCAAAGGAGATCTTCCTGACTTCCTGCTCCATTCATATTTTGATAAGGAGCAATTGAAGGCCTGTTCCACAGTGGGTAAAGTAAAATTCCAAGGGTATTCTCATTATCCACTCAGGTGGGATTTATCCCTATTCCCCAAACAAATAACACAGACATTTGAACATACCGGTAATTTCTCTTCCAGGTACCTCCTTGCAGTGTGAAGTTTGCGGTGCCATTGGGAAAACATGTTCCAGTGATAAAGTGGATTGCCCTGCTGGAGAAGATACCTGTGCCACTTATTCGTATGCACCTTCACGTGAGTGAGAATTATCATAACCCAGGCCAGATGAATGAATAAGCTCCATAGTTTAGCCTGGAAAAGAGGAGAATGAGAGGAAATATGATTGTTGTTGTTTAGTCATTTAGTCATGTCTGACTCTTCCTGACCCCATGGACCAGAGCACGCCAGGCACTCCGGTCTTCAGGAAATATGATAGCCATCTTCAACTATCTTAAGGGCTGTCACATGGAGGAGGGAGCATGCTTGTTTTCTCCTGCTCTGGGGGGTAGGACTCAAACCAGTGGCTTCAAGTTACAGGAAAGGAGATTCCGACTAAACATTCAGAAAACCTTTCTGACAGTTAGAGCTGTTCAGCAGTGGAGCAGACTCCCACGAGAGGTGGTGGGTTCTCCTTCCTTGGTGGTTTTTAACCAGAGGTTGGATGGCCATCTGTCATGGATGCTTTAGCTGAGATTCCTGCATTGCAGGAGGTTGGACTAGAGCAGGCTTCCTCAAACTCGGCCCTCCAGATGTTTTTGGCTTACAACTCCCATGATCCCTAGCTACCAGGACCAGTGGTCAGGGATGATGGGAACTGTAGTCTCAAAACATCTGGAGGGCTGAGTTTGAGGAAGCCTGGGCTAGATGACCCTTGGGGTCCCTTCCAACTCTAAGATTATATGATTCTATTTGCACAAATCATACAAACATATGAAGCTCTCTTTATACGGCACAGCCTGGAACTGTCTGCTCTGACTGAAAGCCCCTTCTTGAGGTCTCAGGCAGCTTTCTTCCCTAGCCCTACAGCCCGAGAGCCTTTAAACAACAAGCCTTCAAAGCATGTGCTCAGCTGCAAAGTTGAGATCCTTCTTTGTGAATATGTCATGGAAGGAGAGCAGAGCATTCAGTCTGAACATGTGAAGGAAGATTGTGTGCCCTGCCCAAGTCCTCTGATGAGTGCTGGTCCGAAACGGGCTGCCATATTCATGGGTAAGGTTTCCAAGACATGAACAGGCACCTTGATGGACTAAGTCCCCAATCGACTAGTCATGCAGCCAGCTTCAGACTAATGTCAATTCTGCTTTTGGCCAAGGAGTGCACCCAGTTTGCATAGTATCATTGAGCCAGAGGAGCTCAAACCACAAATTCCCATTTAATCTTTCAGACATTCAAAATGAACACTTGAACAGGGCTCCTGTGGCTCCTGTGTGTGAGAGAGCACTAATTTGGGTTCCAAAGATTCAGCATTTTTTAAGGTTGCACCATCATTCTTGTTTGCCTTTTATCCTAAAATGCACATTTTTGTATGAATTTTGTCCTGTTTTTGAGCTGGAAACTGTTGCAAAAAACAACAACCCAAAGATCCATAGGTTCTGAGTTCCATATCAGCCCAGAAAGTGACAATCAGGAAAGACAAGCTCCAGCATACCTAAATAGAAACTGGATGGGTGAATTTTCTTGGGATATAATGGCTGTGAACTGTGACAACTTATCACTCGTCTTTATTTTTCCTTTTGTTTTGTTTTATATCCAGCACCAAACATCAACATCACAACATTCAGGAAATTATGCCTTACGGAGGCAGGATGCAGAAATGCAACCAAAGACATAGGGAAGGTTTTTGAAAATGTGGGACTTCTTATAAAGGTTGAATGTAACAAGGCCTCTGAGGCAGCTCCATTCGTCTTCCTGACACTCTCTGGGCTCCTGTTGATGAAGATCCTCCTTTAATGAACCACATGCAGTGAATTAGCACTGAAGAAGAGTTTCATTCTTATATCCATGCAACCTTCCCTGGACCTGACCATGTGTCTGTCCAGAGGAAATTGTTGTTTTATATTTCTTCAGTAAAAACAAATAAAAAGAAATCTGGAGGTGAAAAGGCATGCATTTCCACCAATGGAATTGGCTTTTGTTGTTGCTATTATTCTACTCGCCCTTCATGCTATGAGGTAAAAAATAGAGGTGAAAATGTTTTTGTAAATTCAAGATTTGACCAATTTTCATGAAACCCTGCTGTTCTGAGAGGAAAATCAGACTATAAAACATGTCACGTAAACCAGAAAAGCGTTGTTCTTCTGATAGATTTTGATCAGCTGAGTCTGGCTTACAACAGAAGTCAGCTGAATTGCATTCTGATCCGTGCTCAGAGCTATTTTCCAGCATGATAGCAAGCAAGAGAATTTTGCAAGTGTGCATATCATCCAAACGCTGCTGGTGCTTCCATTCCTGAGGGTGTCGTTTGCATACACTCTGACACTGCTCAGGCCACCTTAGCCCACTCACTCGCTTCCGTCTCTTGCTTCCTTCTCTCACTTGCAGGCATGACAGCAAAGCTGTTTCCACCCCTCACACTTGCCAGGGACAGAGAAAAACAGGGAGGGAGAGCTGTCAGCCACAGCTGGCTGTACCGCCACCAGATTCCCCCTGAAATAATGCTTTGGCACCAAGGAGCTGCTACCGGCGGAGGAAGGGAGGAGGAAAAGGAGGATGTGGTGGCAGTGGAGGTTGCTGCCGATGAATTGGTGGGTCCTGGTGGGCAGGGACACAGATGGCAGCAAAAGAGGAAGAAAAGCAGTAGGCAGAAGCGACCTCCAGAAAAGGGTTGGGTGGATAGGAGGGTGACAGAGATGTGGAAGGGAGTCCTGCTTCTCCTCCTCCTTGCCTCAGGAGGATGAGTTGAAGCTTCACCTACATGAGGATTGAGACCCAGCTGTGTGGAGTCTAGTGCAAAGGAGCTGTATTAAAAATAAAATGTGTCCTTGCAGGCTGGCTCTACCAAGTCTCAAGAACATTCTCATTCTGAGAGCTGGAGTTCCTAGGCTCCTTCACTCCTCTCGGTCCTCCCTATTGAGCTACACATAGCCCCAGCAGCTCATGCAAAGCAACCGATGAAGACAGCGGAGAGCAGCAGCAGATGTCTGTATCTGTGTGTGTGGAAGGAATAGAAGTGAAATTTCAGTTCACATTCAAACAACTTAGTTTGCACTTTCTGAAAAATGATGAAAACTGAAACACAGCATATAACTTCTAAAGGTAAAGGTAAAATTTAAAGGACCCCTGGTCTGTTATGTCCACTCAAAGGCAACTATGGGGTTGTGGTGCTCATCTTGCTTTCAGGCTGAGGGAGTCGGCATTTGTCCACAGACAGCTTTCTGGGTCATGTGGCCAGCATGACTAAACCGCTTCTGCAGCAACAGAAAACTGTGACGGAAACCAGAGCGCATGGAAACAGTGTTTACCTTCCCGCTGCAGCGGTACCTATTTATTTACTTGCACTGGTGTGCTTTTGAACTGCTAGGTTGGCAGGAGCTGGGACAGAGCAACGGGAGCTCACCCCGTTGTGGGGATTGGAACCACTGACCTTCCGTGGTTAACACCACAGCGCCACCCGCATCCCTACATACCTTTACATAACTCCTACACTGTGTAGTCCTCACGTGCATTTTCCAGAGTGACCCTAGGAGCCAATCCTCAGTGGCTGACTCCTCTCTGATTGGTTCCAGTCAATACAAAGGTTGACAAGACTTTTTGCTCAGTAGATAAAAAGCTCCCCATTCACTCTGACTGGATACTGGAGACAGGGACCCTGCTGGGACTCAGCTGTAGAAAGCATAACACGTCTTCAGCCCCTCCATGACCCTGGACCACGGCACCTCTGCATGTTAGTGGGGAAAGTGCAAACAAGTGAGCTATAGCTCTGCCAAATGGCCTTGCCTCTCACCCCCTTGGTGAGTGTAGCTGGTGTGTGTTTGAAAGGAGTAGTGTTGGGGTTGGTTATCTTGCAGGTAGCCTGCAGAAACAAACTCTCCACTGTACATGATTTCTATCTAACTCATAGTGATGAGGCAGAAGGCAGCACTGGGGCTGGGGAATGAAAAGGAAAGGAAGGAAATAGAGCCATCAAATAATGGTCACTAATGGACTGAGTCAGGAAAGGCACCAAGTCACCAGTTCCCTGACTTCTTGAATATTCTCGTACTTCTGCTTTCTGCGATGATGCACTCTAGCTGTGATGCTAAAGAACTTTGGACAGGGAAAAAATGGAAGGTTTCACTTGTGTGGTAGCAAATTTATTGCATGCAAGATAAGATATAGCCAGGTCTGCTAACTAATACAGCACCCAGTGAGCTTTCCTTATCCAGCTCCTTCTCTTAACTGCAGTAAGGAAAACACTTTTCTTTCTTTTTTTAAAACAAAATAAAACCTCATACATCTTATGTTGCTTTTTATTATATATGTGCACCTAGACACATGGCTCTGAATCTGGCCCTTGGGTCTCCTCTCCCCAAAAGAAATCCCCTCCTCTTCTGATTTTGAGTGGCTGGAATGTAGTGTCCTATAGCAGGTTAAGAGTCACATGTGTTGGCAGCCTGCAGTGGCATAGTGTGGGTTGCCAGAGTCCGAGAAAAGCAAGTATTGTGTCCCCCTAACCTGTGGACCATTAGCACTCCCTGAGTCCTTTCCTTCAATCCAGTATTGAACCCATTAACCACTCCCCCAGTGGATGTATTGTATTTTAAGAAAAGGCTATCTAGGCCAGGGTTCAGCAACCTATGGACCATGGGCCACAAGCAGCCCACGGGGGGTCATTTAAATGGCCCCTGAGCCATCCCCAGAAATCGTGTCTGCGCAGACATGATTCAGCCCTAGGAGCGATCTCTGCGGGAGTGAACCGGCCCATGTGAGGTAAACCTTGCCGACCCCTGATCTAGGCGTACTTTGATTTTTTAAAATTATGATTTTTTTAAAAATGCAAGTTATGGAACATAGAAGAGAGTTTTGGTTTCTCTCCAGCCACCTAACATGGGGATGCTATATATTTATATTTAGAATGGTTTGTTGCTGTTTTTTAAAAAGTTGAACCTCTCTGCAGACACACACACACACACACACACACACCACACATATATTCTGAAAGTAATTTCTCCTCCTCCTCTCTCCAGTTTCTTCAAAGAAGAAGAGGCTCCTTATTTATGAAGGAAGGGAGGAAATATTTCACTTAACCTCTCATCCCATAGAGATGCTTTACTACATTTTGAAAAAGAGAAAAGCCCTTCCTCCAACTTCACCTTCTCTTTCTCCAGTGTCTGTAGAAGAAAAAGGGGACAGGGGAGCCGACTTGGGCCCCAGGTTATTGCTGCACAGTGTGTGTGATGTCATGACGTCACACACACCCCTGCCCTCAGAACCTGATTTCCAGTGCCTCTGGAAGTCAGGTTCCAAGACCTCCCAAGACCTCGGAAAGCGAGGCCCCAGATATGATTTCCGAGACTTCACGAGACCTTGGAAGTTGGGGGGGGGGTCTGCAGTGTGGGTGCTGAGCACCCACAACAATTTTTTTGTGGCTGCTCGGGCACCCAGAGCCCCCTATAGTTGGTGCCCCTGAAAGGCGACACTCCTTATTCTTCCACAGTTGGTTTTGAATATTTAAGGAAGAAGCTGCAATCTTCAACTAAGTAAAACTAAGCCCATGCTTGGATTAGCACTTGAGTGTAAATACTTGGCATATGTTCTTATTTAGCTATATGTTCTGCCAGCAAAAGCTTTTGAATATTTTGATAAGCATTTGGATATTGTTTTAATTTCAAGAAAAGGGTCTGGTTTCCTGGCTGCAATTTAGCTGCACTGCCAACTGTCCTCCCCCCGCCCCCCAGTGCTTTCCCTATGAAAATCTGCTCTGTACCACTGAACTGGAGTAAATGGCAATTCATGGAAAATCCAAATTGCCGTTTCTTCTGATTTAGCAATAAAGAGCAGGTTTTCATGGGGAAAGTGTTGGAACCAAAGAAAAGGCACTTGGGTGCATCACTTTAAAGTGCAGAGCTGTGCCTAGAAAAAGCAGGGCAAGACATAAGTGGGGATGAGCCCAGAGTCTAAGCTTTAAAACCACCCCAATATCAGGCCACGTTACCTCATTCCCACCTTTATGGAGGGAGGTTGCCACAGAGAGCCTTTGAGATATGCTGCCCTGGGGGGAGGGGCACTTTTTCAGCCTTCTGGTTACATCACTTATCTCTCGCTTATCAATCACTTCATGGGGATTCTGAGAACAAAGTTTTCCATGCGTCATGACTGACAGTTTTACCACATCCAAGATTGCCTTGCCAGAGTGAGACGGATTAATCCAGTGGCATATGTCATCTGCAGTAGACAGTGGGAGGTACTCCCAACTCCCTAATTAAGTTTCCAGGAGGCCCATGCCAGGGAGATTAAGATAGATATGGCTAACCAGCTGCGGCTCACTGCAAGTAAAAGGGCTGACCTTTAATCCCAAATACTGATTTATGACTCCATTTCAGGAAATGAGACACACTGCAGGATGAATAATATAATAATCCTCTATTATCGCAATGCAATAAAATTTTATGTTCCTGGTAATGCCACATGCAAAGGATGAGAACATGGACAGAACACGATAAAGAATAAATTCCAGAGCTTCTTCCTAGCACTTTTCCATATAAGAGTTAAGCTTTAGATCCATTTCTTTTTCATGAAGAGTTAAAATTTGGATCCATTTCATGAAGAGTTAAGCGTGGTGTAGTGGTTAAGAGAGGTGGACTCGTAATCTGGTGAACCGGGTTCGATTCCCCGCTCCTCCACATGCAGCTGCTGAGTGACCTTGGGCTAGTCACACTTCTCTGAAGTCTCTCAGCCCCACTCACCTCACAGAGTGTTTGTTGTGGGGGAGGAAGGGAAAGAAGAATGTTAGCAGCTTTGAGACTCCTTAG